GTGCATGGCGGCGGCGGCGGCGGCGGCACTGCGGCGACTGCATGAGAAAACCAGATGCTAATCAATTCTCTTTTTATGATATTTGAAACTCGGCCATAAATGAGCTCAATCTCTGTTAACTCTCCTTTTGGTTTTATGATGATAAACATGTCGGAGTGGAGGTTTATGAGTGTCTTTCTGCGGCCGCTATAAAAGCAGCTATGTGAATATCATATGTTTCATGGGTCTGCAGCCTGTTTCGACGCTGGCTGTCATTCAAATCCCACAAAATATTCTAAACACGAGTGTTTGAATAACTTACAACCTCTCGACTGAAAACATCAGCACTGAGTAATACCCAAAGGGGCGAAGCAATAACATAATTCGGTGATATGATAATAGCTCCAGGCTGTGTGTGAGATATAAACATGATCATATGGGGTGTCTGGTACTCCAGGGGGTTAAGTGAACGTAATCCTGCTTGAGACAGAGCGCTAAAGAAGAAGCCAAAAAAGGAGGCAGGGAAAAGTCATGTGTCAGGGTTCAGCTGTGAGCGGCTGAGGGAAGTTTTTACACTAAAAGAGGGAATTTAGAGCACGTTCAGCTCTGCTTCACATGTGACGGGCTGCTTAAAACGTTGAATGAAAGTTGATAAGAGGTCAGAAGAAGTTTACGGGGGGGAGAAAAAGAGAAAGGCAAAAGGGTAACTAGCCGAAGTGGGTCGTCACTCGCACTGAAAATGATTTGATTGACAGGGAGAGGAGACAGAGGGGGGTGAAAGAGGAATGAGGCACGCAGGTTCAAAGCTAGCGAGCAGGAGAGGGAAGATCACAGAGGTTGAGAGGGAGTTGAGAGAGGGTACAGAGGCAACCCAAAGAGGAGGCCTTGAAAGAGCCTTATCTGTGACCCATCTGTCTTGACATGCACACTCCTCTGGTTAGTGCCCTGGAGGGGAGGGAAGGGGAGCTGCCTGCGTGTCAGTAACTCAGCGTGCAGGGCTCAGGGCGAAGGCCTTGGCCTGTGCACTCTGGCCCGAAAACCAGACTAACCAGCCCCATGCCTCAACACCCCCAGGATAAACTCCCATGACTTTTACTGCTGCGATCATGTGATTGACTGAGCGGTGCAGGGGCAACAAAGACAAAAAACAAAACAAAAAGCACATTAACAAAAAGGCTGACGCACATCAGTGAAGACACAGAGGTTACTTTCTTTGACAATTCACTTTTCATTTTGGCTGTCAGCTGATCTTGGCTTGACTTCTTTCAGCGGCGTCTGGTTCCTGTTTGGTCAATTTTTGGTCTGAGACTGGAGATCAGCAGATCTGTCTGATGATCTCGTGTGTGTTCAGGGACTTTTTACAATTTATAAAAAGTGGAGAACAAGAATCAGAGGGTTGAGATGCCCTTAACTTTAAGAGTAATTTGATATTGATCTAAAAACTTTGACTCCCTTTCATGTAAGATTACTACCAGGCCTGATAGTCTCCTGGATAATTGTCTCACTAATTTCAATAAAAAGATAAAGCACAGGACTACAAACCAATTGTGTAAATTAAGTTTTCTGTTCAACTTCATACTATTTAGCAGAATTGACCATTTAAACCCCTTTGATTACAGAGAGATTAGTCTAATTGAAAATAGATAAACAGAATGATAAGTTGTGGCTGTAATATTGTGCACATGTAACATCAAAGTGTGCCTGATGAGATCAATCTTTTATGATGCTTCATAGCTGTTTACAGAGAACTTTCTCCAGCTGTGGAATCAATAAAGCAGAGGGGAGCAGGAACACACTGTGCATAGATAATTTACTTAAATATATTTAACAAGGACGGCCTCAGAGAGATTAAAAATCGCTTTGCCGAGATCAGCAGCAGCACGTCCCAGAAAAGTTAGACAGACGACACATGATTGGAAACTTATCCTGGATCAGTGAAAGTTATCAGTTAAAGCATCGTCCTCCAGCGCCTTCAGTCTACTTTCAAAAACATTTTAAGAGACCAGAAGTTAAAGTAAAACTTTAACTTAAAGCATCAGCGGGCACGTACAACATGAAAAAGTTTTTGTGTTTCTGTTTGTGGAGTAAGGTTGTGGAACAGATCAGGTGTGGAGCTCAAGCGTTGTCCAAGCATGACCCAGTTTAAAACGCGATACAAAAACATAAAAAAAGCATAATACTTCATCCTAATCCTTTTCAGACATGTTGGGTTCACATTATTATTAGTGGTATTTTTTTATTTTATTTTAATTTCTACTTTTTGCTGTTATTGTTGTTTTAAATATTGTCATTGGTTTTGTTTGTTACTTTTCGGTTTACTTTCTTGTGTTTCACGCACATGTTCATAAAAAATAAAGAAATGAAAAATGAAATTAAATGTTGAATATGAGGATTAAAAATCAGTGAATTACTAAATAACTATGAGTTGTCCATAGTGCACAAAAATAGAAAACAGAAAAACTGACATAGTCTCTGTGAGTTGACCTTTTTGGTCATGATGGTGGTCGCCATATTGGACAAACTGACTCTGTATCGTCCTTGCACCGAAGAAGCAGAGCTGAGATTTCTGCCTAATTAGACAAACATATACCCTCCATAAATTCAATCAATTAATCAATCAATCAAACTTCATTTTTAAAGCACCTTTCATACATATAATGTAACAAAAAGTGCTGTCCATTCAAGCAGGATATTAAAAACAATGAAATAAAATAAATACAAATACCAAACCCCACCCACCCTCCCAACCCCCATTCAACACATACAGCACTCACACACACACACACACAGATATTTATGCAAAAGACCAAGTAAGGACTCTTCAACTTGCCACAGATGACTAATTATTTAGTTATAACAACTAAATGATCTATATGTTTTTGAACCAGGCTGCAAACATGTTAAATTCTGATGTAAAGTGGACACTTTAACTGCTGTAAATGGGAGTCAGCCTCTAGTGGACGCTTTAGGAACTGCATCTTTTTAATCAGTTCAACACTAGATTCATTTTTCAGCACCTACTTCGACTTTGCATGTTGCACTTATTATTGCACAAGAGCATTGAAGCTTTTTTAAACACCTCTGAGTTTTTTTAACTGGCTGCAGCAGAAAAAAAAAGAGCCTGTTGTATCTCTTCTCCAGACACCACAGGTGACGTGCTCTGTGTCTTACAGTGTTGTTACAGTACCATGCAGAGGTGCCTGTCTGTCACCACCTCCACAGGGTCAAAGGAGCAGCCCAGAACAAAGCTAGCTGACAAAATCAAATCACTAGGGTTGCTTGTTGACTGTTAGGTTTAAGTCTAAATCTACAGAGGCTATAGTCCTTACTGAAGAAGCAGCTAGTTTCATTCTCAGCCATGACCCTTAGCTACATGTTTCCTCCGCTCTCTACTCCTGTCTGTCTTCAGCTGTCCTCAAAATAAAACAAAAACAGACTAAAAGACACAACTTCACAAATAAAGTAGCTATGAGTCTTAATTTAGTCCTTATCCAATCAGATGAGTTTGCTTTGGTCATGGTGGAAAAGTCAAGAAACCATCTGTCTTCGAAAAGTAATATCATATGTCAATGTCTGGGGTAACTTTGGTCCCTTTATTATTAAAAAAGTTATTTTCTTCTGATGCAAAGACTCCTAAAACTTGTTGTGAGTGCAGCCTTTGTCAGACACCTTTAAAATGTTCATTTAAATGTATAAAAGCCGATCAAACCACAATTGGAGTTTATTCATCAAGGTAGATTTTGAGAATATTCTGTTTTGTGAACATTTGGCACAGACGTATCTTGACATGCATCTGTTTTTGATTTTCCATGTCTCATTTATCCTGTTTCTAATAATGCTTTTACACAACTGATTCTCACAAAAGGTCATTACTAGGATTTGGGTCTTGATGTGTTGTTTTTGTAAAAATAAATTAAAACAAACCTTAAAAAGTAAAATAGCATCAGTGTAGAGGTCTACCTGTGCGTCTCTGTCTTGTTTTTCTGACTCTACTCATTAATTCTGAGATCTTCTGGCATTTTCCTGCAGCTGAAGGAAGGATAAAACTCAAACTTAAAAAGTCATTACCAAGAGGAACATTTCCCACCGTGTCCCCGCCCTCACTGTCCACAGCAAATATCAATCAGTCCAAGTTACTTTGCATCAAATCCGCCCTCCTAAGATGTCTGACTCGACTTGCATGTACAGCACACCTGGGAGATTTACCATAATGAATACCTGATGTGGTGCAGCACTTAATACCACCTATAAAATAACTCCCTTCCTTCTTCCTGTGGGCCCCGGCTGTTGTTTATCAAACGAGGTAACGTCCTGTCATGTGACCCCTCCTCCCTCCCAGCGACCCACCTGTGTGGACTTTTCTCTTAATCCCCCTCTTAACCCCCCATCCCTTTTTTTTTTCGCTGTGCGCTTTGAATACTTAGACTACTGAGTGTAACTAATTCTCCCACACAAGGATATTGTCTTCTGCCTATCTCTGCTTTTGTCCTTCTCTTTCAAGCTGCCTATTCACTCATTTCATTAGTTTGGCGGTGCGGTGGGAGAGAGGGTAGGCAAGTCCAGGAGGGGTTGGGGGGTAGGGGGGGGGTTTCCAATTAAAAGGCCTTAATAGGCTATTACCATCACCTTAAGTTCAACTCTGTGTTTTTTTACAGCATGAAACCAGCTAAAGATTAATCACCGGAGCAGCGTGGGAGCTTTAAAAGCCATTCTGTGATTAATAAACTCTAATTAGGACCGAGGATTTCAGCTGCCTTCTAAAATAGTTCAGTAAAATAGTCAGAAACTGTTTGAAATATTAATAATTAGTGACAAAGTGGTGCAACTTTTCTGTTTTACACATTAAGGATTTCTTGATTGATACTGAAATTAAAGTTTATTTAAAAAATTGAGAGACTTTTTGAGGGAATAACTTTTTCTGAGGTTTGTCACAATTTTTGGAGCAGTATTTATCCTCTTCAGGTTTAGCGTTCGGGACAATAAATGTAATGGTTGTTGTTCTTGGTGGGGGTGAAACTGAAATGTGTTTAACAGGCCGCTCTCCCCGCACACATGCTGCACAGACTCTGCAGCTGACCAGGGGGCCTGAGGACGAAGCCGGTCCCCTGGGATGACCAAACCACCCTTTCTCAGACACCCATTTGTCGTACCCTCCTCCCTCTCCCTCGCAGTGGCTGACCCCGCAACCAGCAGGGGTCAGCTGCGCAGAAGGAGGCCCCCCCCTTCCCTGCACCCCAACCCAGGGTCCGGAGCCGCGGCGTAAATCAGCGGCTGCTCATCGCGGGAACCCTGCTCTGCCCGGAGTCTCAGCCCAGCCTGGCACCATCTGTCCCGGGTCTCTGACGCAGAGACAGCGCCGCCAAGGTGGGTTCCCACTGACCTGCTGCACCCTCAGGTCGGACCTGAGACCAGAGACAGATCCATCACACTGGAGTCTGGACATGGTGGAAGGGGCTCAGAATACAGTAAGCTGACTCCTCAAGAGCTGAAAATGGACTTTGTAGAGGTACAGGTGGACAAACTGATAAAAATCTAACTAGATCTCATCCTTTCTAACAGTAAATCTACAAACACAGGTACTCATATTAGGCCACTTAGCCAGAGCTTTAATTTAAAATAAAATAGTTATTCATATCTAATCTTGTTTTGTTTCGCCTCCTAAATCAGAGTCTGGTAGGAAACCCTCGTCACAATTAAACTTTAAATGCCAATGACTTTATATTAATTTGAACAAACAGTGAATTTCTTTACAAACTCCCTCTGTAGTTTATGACGTTAACAAAAATATCAGCATCTTTAGGAGTCTCAGACAGAGCTACAAATGTGCGCTGCATTCAACGACCTTTCGGAGCCGATCTGTGGGGTTTCTAATATTACCGTTCTGTGAAGCACTTTCAATACAGGTTAATGTTGGCGCCCCCTGTAGACTGAGTGATACCGCCTTTATTTTTCCAGATCCTGTCCAACAAACATTTAAGTTATATATTCTGAAAAAAAAAATCCCATTTTGTTTTTTGATAAATATTTGCTGTGGACCAAATAAAAAGCGATTTTTCTTCACTTCTGTATTTTTCCTCAGCTTCCTCCTCACCTTCCCAGGCATTGAAACTTAGAAATGGTCGGCCTTTCTCCTGATAAGGTCAAAACAGGCATCATTAATTTCAGCCTTTTTCGCAACCAGTTAAAAACTCCTTACAGAAGCTTTAATTTGAAGCGTCAAAATGAGTTTTAATATCCGCTAAAGCTGGTGTGTGCTTCTGTGGTTGTAGTCAAACTGGGGACTCAATTAAAGGACTGTTTCAAATGAGAATTAGCACAGAATGGACAAACTAGTGAGCGCCGACTTTGAGTGAGTGGATTTCACCAGTTTGAAGGAAAAAAAAGAGGATGGTGATTGTGCAGAAAATAATTTGTATGATCCAAAAACTTAGGTTAATGCTAAAAATGCATCACAGCTTCTTGTCCTCGAAGGCCACCGTCACTTCGCCCACAGGGGTGAGCAAGGGAGCATTTATTTAACATAATTTTAAACTACTTATTTTGATAAAAGTGCAGCTATGAAGAAGTGCATAATTTTACTGTGAACATGTTTACACTCATTCAAGTCTGTGTAAATTATAAACTGTCATTTTTGCTCAATTATTCAATAGAATTAGAATTTTTCAATTGATCTAACAACTTAAACTCCCCTTTTTCTTTATAGTTAAAACAGCTGAGTGATTAATCTTTGGTCAACTATTTAACTATTCTGTTTACAACTTGACACAGCGGTATCTGATCATGCTGAAGTACCTTTACTTGTCTAGAGAGCAGATGAAGTGGAGGATTACCCGTAAGAGATCCTACTCATGTGGAGAAGCAGTTCTCTGCAACACAACACAAAGAAAGTGAACTCCTAGTTGTCGCAATTGTAATTCAAGAGAACACTGATCTAGTTGATGTCATTAAAATCGATTAGTAATGCCTGAATTGAACATCTATGACTTTTAAAAGAGTGCAGAGTACTCAATCACACACCAGCCTTTCTTCCCTTATATTTTCTCCTGTTTTGGTCTCAACTGCACAGCTGCAAAGTAGCTGTCAGCGTCTCTTGACATAAAAGCAAAAATGACTGACCTTAGAATAACTACACGCAAGAATAGCGAGTCAATTAGGGCACTTGCAATTCCACCTCTGGCCAAAACAAGTCCCAATCTACCGCAGTGACCTGAGCGACCCTGTTATTTTGCTGTATAACTGCCACAGACTAAATAGGTGATGTAGTACTCACACATGTGAAACCGTCTGAGCTCTTTAGATGAGGACAAGTCTCTGCACTCCACCTCATCACCTTTGACGACTTGACATCCCCCCCACCACCACCCTCATCATAACAGCACCTGGAATCCTGACACGTAAATCTCATCAGCAGAGACAGTCTGCGGGTCCCCGGGCAGATCGTCCTGGCTTATTGCTTTCTCTCACAGCCGCGACCTTGCTTCTCGCCCCCCTCGGGCCCGGCTCTAATGGGTGAGCAGGGGTCATAAAGTGGTTGTGTTACTGTTTTCCTTTTTCCAAACCAGTGACACCAGTTGTTCACCCTCCTCACCGGGTCCTTTTGTGAGGCCTGACAGGCTGTCAATTCCAGGCGGAGGAAGATTGTAGAAGACGACACGCATTACCTTGAGGTGACACCGCATTCCTCTGCAGGCCTGTCTTTATGAGCTAACAATAACTTCGAATAGCTCTGCAGCAAAGCATTAAAAGTTCGCTTTTACTCTATGCGGTGTGTGTTTGGTGTCATTTCCCGCTTGTGTTGCATCAAATCTGGACATTTCACTGAAAGGACATCAAGTTAATCTCCCAGATAAATGATCATTTGGGTAAAGGATCATTGTTTGTTCAGACTCCCACTGCAGTTCTCCTGACATTATTTGTTGTTTCATCGCTCTCAGACTGAGCAGTGATTTTTTTTTTTAGTCATCAGGGTTGAGGGTAGGACAAGAAGACCTTCACAGGGACACATACAACCCCAAGACAAAAATAGACGCCCACCCACATACATATGTACTCATGCACACATATACACGGTAAAGAGTGTGTCATACTGAGAACAAGCACATGACTGAACATTTTGTACTTCGGTCCTCTCATTTGTTCAAGCAAACAGTCAGAATCTCAATTTATCATCCTTAAACAAATATACAAGTAAAGATATATCAGCTGTTTCATCAGTGTGGACTATAAAGAAGAGTTCTGACTTTGTGTCTTATGGTTTGTAATCAAAAAATTATCTATTTACCCATAGGTGTTTAAGATTGCAAAAAAAAAATGTAGGTGGTTTTATTTCTTTACAAATTAAGTCATGTGTGATTTAAAAATAAGTTTGTGTCGTTATGAAGCAGAAAATCATGGACTGTCATGAGGGAGATTTGAGTTTTGACTTAAAGGAGAATAATAAAGACATCTTGTGTTCAACAGTTCAGTCCTGAATGTCATGAAATCTGTGCACATACTGCCCTCTAGTGTTCAGCTCATAGTGTTGAGAGTGTATACCTACCATTGTGCATTAACAGGCACATGTGAACTTTTGGTCATAGCTAATCTGTTTTTGGGCAGTACTTCTAGTTATCTGACTGTTAATGTTTTATGTAAAAAATGTATTTTGGATATTGTTAATTATTGCAATAAAAAATAAATTAATAAAGATGGAGATTTTTCTATGGTGACAGACTCCTGTGTTTTTTTTTTAAATGCCTGATCTCTTGCATGTGAAAGTCACTTGTCAAGGAATATTTTACAATATTCGGTTTTCAGTTAAAATACATATATTATTCCTTTGTACTGTACAGTTTGTATGCAGCACTAGGCATGGCAGTTCTTTTAGATGTACTGAATCACTAGAATCAGTTCACTAAAAAGATTTGATCAAAAGATTTGTCCACCAAATCACCAAATCATTCCACCGCCGGAGAAGTCTGCAACTCCAACCTCCTAAACTGATACACAGCTGAACATTTCAGGATTCAGTTCAGATCAAAGCTTCTGGGACTGGGAGACAAGAGTGTTTGGCTGTGTTTCTTTGGCAAACAGGTTTGTAAAAACGAACTTGTTTATAAGTCATGATGTTTAAGTGTACTGTCCTATGGTATAGTATTTATCAGGTCAATGCGTGATTCGTTCAAGTGATTCAGGCGTCACTGCATGTGGTCCCTCGTTCACCGGCTGTTGGCCTGGCAATGCTGTTTCTTACTTCAGCTCAACTGAAGTGAGAAACAAATGAATCACTCGAGGAAGTGACTTGGTTCAGTACATTCACTTAAGAGATTTGGTTCTTTTGAACGAATCGTTCGCGAAGGACACAACACTATGCAGCACTTAGTTCAACCTTTTTGCTGACTCACCGGATATGGTCTGCAGCTGATCTATCTTCAATCTTTCCATTTTACTTATTCATTGATCTAACCTCCTGTTTTATTGATCACTTGCTCTCTGTGGGTTTTAAGACATGATTTCTCTGTAGTTTTTTTCTTGTTTTGGAGATAAGATCTGTCTGTGCTCTCTTTCTGACTCTAACGTTTGTTATCCTGTACTGAGCTGAGGATTGTGGGTCAGGATAGAAATGAAAGCACAAAGTGTGGACATATGTACACATTTATATTGAAGGTCATCTGGTTATCTTTAGCATGCATACATTTTGGGGGGGATAGATTTGTATGGTAACTATGTCAACACATGTATGGTAACAGCAGTCAACATTTCCCTGAATTTTTGTATGAGGAAACATGCAAACATACCTTTCACACAAAGCAGGAGGGATTTATTTCTCATGTTTTGAATGTGGATGTGTTAACCCTGCTTCTATGTTTAAAACAGTTACATCATTTATTTGACACCCTTAAACACACTGCTGGTTTCAAGTTTATATGATGTTTTATTATGATAGAATGACAACAAAACCTCATTTCTGTGAGGAAATCTGCCACAGAATTCTCACTGTGGCTGAGCTAAGGAAGCATGAATTGAAAAACTGAAAACAGGTCCACTGTAACTCTGAGGAATCGTAAAAATCGCCTTTTATTTTTTCTTCTGTGTTTCTCCCTTCAACAACATTCACCTGCAGTCTTTAGAGTTCAGTCTGACAGCAAGAACGGCTCCACAGGTCAACCTTCACTCCCTCCCGCCCTTCAGTTTCTCCTCCACTGTGTGATCTCCCCTCGAACCTCCCATGCAGGGTGGGCTCTTGACCAGAGCGGGGTTACTCCCCCACTGCTCAGGAGTCTTTGCCTGGATGGCCAGCGCATGAACACAAGTACTTAACTCGTCTTTCAGAGCTTCATTTACCAGACGGTGGCGCTTTATTAACGGCAGACCCTCAAACAGAGAGCTGACAACCAAAACACGGAAATGGGATTCAGAGCCGGGGGGCACCGCGTGCATGTGGCTTTCATTGTGTACCTCTAAGTGATCCGGTTTGAGTGAGTCCGTCAGTTTGGTTCTGATGGCTCTCTCGACGGGCCGGCTCGGGTCTGGGTCCATGTGTGGTCTGAAGTGGGCCAGAGGCCGGCTTAAGGCAGGAATGGCTGGGATGGGTCGGGCACAGCGAAGGACAGCCGGCAGCATCAGAGACTGTGGCAGGAGACCCCCTGTGATCAGATAAGGAGACAATAAAAACACATTATATCATCCTTTATCTAATGACAGGCTCTAAGGAGCAATAACCCAACCTTAAAAGGACTTCATGGTTGTTTTGGACTTAAAATTGTAGTAAACAATGCTGTTTTAACAGGGTTGAATGTACATGAAATTAGATTTAAAAGAGGAATATGGTAAATACATGATTATGAAGGATGTCAAGAATTTACTGCAGTCGGGAACAACTCCATAAAGCCTGAAAAAGACCGCTCTGATACGATTGATGTGTGGTTTGAGTGTTTTGATCACAATAAGTGCTAAACGCATCAAACTTGCTGCTAGCTAAACAGCTCCTACTGTAAACAGCAGGGATTATGTAAGTCAAACGACACATTTTACCGAAAATAGCACCTCAAAAATCTCTACATAAGACAACAGACTTATTCTTTTTAGAAATACACAACTGTTAAGTCATTTGTTGTAAGGGTTGGGTTAAATTTTCACAAAATCAGAACTCACCTTGCAGCTAAAAAGGGTTGTCGGCAGGCTACAGGAGTCGCGCATGCGCAGTGAGCAGTAAAACACCTTCCTCTTCAATAGAGCTTATTGGCGGTCGGCAAACCAACTTGAAGGTGCATTACCGCCACCTACTGGACTGGAGTGTGGGACAGTAAATTGGCAGACAAAATAAATACATTGTTTTTTTTTTATTGTTCTTTAATTTTACTTGATGTTTACAATTGTATTTTGATTCTTTTTAACTGTAAGCCACTTTGTGACTCTTTTCTATGAAAGGTGCTGTACTGAATAAATTTTACTTACTTACTTACTTACTTACTTACTTACCCACTGTGCTCTCCCACATTTTAACGTTCAATCTTTTCAGATGCTGCGATTTTGATTCTATTAGAATATTTTCTTGCTCAATAATAATAATTTTGACAGTGTAACACAGTTTCTGATTTGCTTCTTTTTTCAAAATGTTTTTATGAAATACATTTTAATGACATTTAATTAAGGAGGACAATAATGTGGCTACTATTAACTTAGATAATTAGGTTTTTGGCCTGCAGAAAATAACATTATCTAGTGTCAAAATAATATTCATTATTTGGATGCATTGGGAGTATTTTCTAGTGTGAGCATTCAAGAAAAAATGTAAATTTTGAACACAACTCATGTTTGAACCTCCTTTTCCATCCTTGAGGTGTATTTATAGCAACATTGCTTGCATTATTTCACCGTGTCTTAAATGTGGAATAACATTAAATGACATAAAGAGACAACAAAGATCAGATTTTCATATTTTTCCACTTGTTTATTCTTCATGGTTCTTTGTTATCCATTGTGATTCCAAAGGGTCAGATGCACAGCAGAGTGCAAACCCGATCAAAAATCAACAATGAGAAAATATAAGAAAAGAAAAAATCTCACACACCTTTAAACAGAACTGATGTCGTCACATTAGGGCTAATTATGAGTCATAACCGGTATTTAACATTGATGTATTTACTTATATTTCTTCCTCATTTTTACAAAATACACAAAATCAAAGACAACATACATCATTGTTCATTTACACTTCTTTTTTTGTGTATCAGTTTTTTTTATACTCATGGTTTCACAAACAGTTTCTATACTTACAAACAATCAACTACAGTTTCTACAGCACAGTACAATGACAAAGGTGATAAATTCTTTATTACATTTAATTAATGGCAATGCAATCTTATTGACAAAAGCCTCAAGACTTAGGGTTTGTTTTTAGAGAGTACACACAAATGTCAGCTGTTAAGTCCTGTGTCATTATTACGCCAACACGAAGCATTTCATTGGACAAGGCCGGCAGAAAGTAACACGCTCCTGTTCTCGATAGCTTCAGAGACGAGAACGGGAGACAAATACCCAAACACTTATTGCTTTGTTAACTTTTTGCACTCACAATTGACTGTTGCTCAGGCAACAAGTTAATTATACAAAAAACCCTGTAACATAAGCTGAGATATGTATCTACGAGACAATTTAGACTTAGAAGGAGCCTGAACTGAGTCACTGAGACAGGTTAGCGCTTTAACGGTCATCCATTTTGAACAAATACAACAGTTATCTTGACATCGTTGTTTTAATTCATGGGTGATACAGGATAACATACAGGGAGAAGGACTGCTGATGCTTAGCTTTTATATTTTTACAATTAATGTGTGTTTTAAACACGATCAGTGTGCTTTTAAAAGGGGATCTGGGCTAATTTTCCTTTTTGTGTGCTGGCCATTTTGGCGCCTGATGTCAACAAAAATAAGAGCGCCTGGACTCTAAATTATAAGTCCAGATGTTCCTGTTTTTTTGCACTATCAGCAGCTGAAACAGACAAAAACTGGCTGCAAATTTTCAGGGGTCCGAAAGCATTAAACAGCTATCTTATTAGTTATATTATAAGTACTTTTATTTACATATATTCATATCTATAACTGAGAACTGATGGTGTAATGTGTAAACTCAGGCCATACAAAATATTTGGCAATAATCAATGAGAGATGGCACACTAATAGATAATGGATCCAAGGTCGAATTGTGGAGTTAAGTCAGTGAGAGGCGGAGGGAAAGGAGGGAAATTTGAGGGGGCAGATCATCAAAGCTCCATCAAAGCACCGATGTTCACAACTGCACTCCTGTTCACAATCTCCTCATTTGGTTGCTTTTGGTCTTTGTGCTCTTGCTAAACACCTCGTTCTTCTTCTTCATGTCTCTAGCAAGGCTGGATCCGATTGTGTCGTGAAGAACTCAAGGCGTTCACAATTGTGCATGTACGACAGAGTACATTTAGTGCAATGGGTCGTCTAGTTATTTAACCGTCTTGAGTCTGTGTATGGCTGCTATCCTACAAAAATGGCAGTCTGGGTGAGGGTTTATTTGTTAATTTTACTCATTAACAATTGTTTGTGATTGTGAACTTATCAGCCTCGCTTTTTTTAAAAGTTTCGGGGAATGTGGAAATCGTTTTCACAAGCTCTCTGTGCTTTTACCAATGTGAGATGTATGACAGGCAGCCCTTGGCAGTGAGTTCTCTATGGTGAATCTCGTGTTGTGTCTAGCTACATTTGTATTTCATAATAATGTCATAAAGCACAAGTAAATAAAAGGTCCAGCGCACTTCTAATTCATACCCCGTTTGCAGAATTTTTCTCATCAGACTGCATTAAATCACGACGGTTCCAGTACATACACATCTCACATGAAGAATCTGAAGCAGGAAACCTCCGCTGCTGTTTTTAAAATTTGGCGCAGAGTTTTCAACTGATGCTACTCTCCGATCTTTTGAACGAAAAACCTTAAAAAGATTTAAACTACGGCTTATTTTTTCTTTAGGGTTTTCAATCTAAGACAGCTACCCCACAACCATTCACAAACCAGAGAAGGTTTTTGCCAAATGTCAAATCCTAAAAGACAGAAATTAAAATAAATAAAAAACAATATTGCACAGAGGTTCAATATTGCACCAAGAAGCACACTCACATTAATATAAACATTCAGTTGACACAAATAATTCGATTATAGTTTATCCGTCATCTCGTACACACGTAACACAATTTGTGCCTCCAGTAAAATCATAAAAGCTCCAAGTGAAGGTTTTGCTTTTTTCACCCTTTGACTGCTTGATTTCTGCCACGTGTACCATGTATTAGGTGTGGTGTGTATTAATAAAGTTATATTCAAATTTGGGAGTGTGCACTAAGGATGTTTAGAAGCACTGTGCTGTCTTTAAAATTTGGAAATATTACATTAAATTAAGCCAGACTGATCCAAGGGCAGGTGTAACTAGTCAAAAATACTCATTATGTTGTACTCTCAATTCTCATAGTATTACATACATACTTTGTGACATGCATAACACACTCCAAACATATTTTATAAGAGGCAAACATACTGTAAGTCTGAGGGGAGAGGTACTAAAAAGGCATTTCTTACAAAGGAAAACACAGCATGACTGAGAGATGGTGACTGACTGTGAGTTTCTGAACATTTTCATCCAGTCAAGAAAATGTCAGGGGGGGACATTCACACTGGCGAATGGTTGTGCTTCAAATGTACATTTTTGACAAACAGCTTCATCTTTGCGATGAAATGGCGATCAATGACGGCACAGAATTTAAAAAAAAACACGGCGTGGGAAAGGAAACGCATCCACGGACTGATCTGGATGTCTGGTGACGTGAGCAGAAACGATGTTTTTTAAAGGGAGAAGGGCCTCGATCGATCTCCTCGTCACAATCTAACGACAACAAAAAGCAAAACCTGGAATGTCCTATAATCTATAAAATGGCAGTTAGTCTGTACAACAACACAAGACCTCTGGGAGAGAAAGAGAGAGAGATAGAGAAAAAATGAGCACAGGTCTTTGTTTGAGAGAAAGCCAAGAGCGGTGCGTCTTGGTTTTACCCCGAAAAAGTCAAAAATGCTTCAAATCAAGGCAGAAAATGTCGCATTTTTGATTCTATGTCCAACAATGGCAAAAGTACTCAAGACTTGACGGGTGAGTTGAATTTGCTCAGGAGGATGGAGGTGATTACAGAGAACCCCGCAACAATGGCTAGTGGTCATTTCTATGAGTCTGTTTCCATGGCTCATCATCAAGAACCCCCGACCCCTGACCTCCAACCCCAGATGGACGAACTCTAATCGGGTAAATTAATCTACATTTTCTACTTTGACTCACGAGGAAATTAAATATTCTTTCACTGGATCACTCGGCCTCACTTTGGAGCGATCAATCCCTCAGAGCTCAAGGTGCGTTCAAGCTTTTTTAGGTGAAGTTTCTAGGTTTGATTACCTACCAAATAATCACTGATCCCAAATATTTACAGCAAATCTTGAAGCGTGTGCGCTTACTTTACTCTATCGTCGTGAGGGAGGGGTTAGAGGGGAGGGCTTTGAGGGCTCTTGAGCTCTTCATTCACAGTGTGGCGAAAACTCTTCTGTTCCCTGGAAAGCTGCTGGAGCCACACTATTGCAGCACCTGACCCCGCGTCTCTGGTAGTTTGAGGGCCAGAAAGCTGCCCGCCGCCAACGCCCCCGAGGCAAAGAGGATGGGCACGGCCTTGGTGATCCCGACGAACGAGGTGAAGATGCTTATGCCTAAAACAGCCGCTAGTTTACAGAGAGCGTTGAGGAAGCCGAACGCCGTGGTTCTAAGGAGAAAGAAGAGAGATATAGACAGCCAGGTTAGAATTTTATTTATTTATTCTAAATATTTTTTTTAATTGAGTTTCATGCTTCCACCACAGGGTACATAACCTTTTCCCAATCAGTACAACAGCATTACATATCATACCATAACATAACACCTATCACATATCACAATCTACATTCTTCCTTGGTGGTGCCACAATAACACGAAACCCTTATACATTTGGACACCAACACAAGTGGAACAAAACAAAAACACACAATAAACAGTTGCAAAATTTAAATCCATATACCACTCATGCACTCATCTCACATCCCCACCTCCATGGACCTCCACCCAACAAAAATCACCCTGTATACCTGCTCGTATCCTCATACACACAAACACTGAATTCTCCACTGATCCCCCGACCCCCTTTACCCCATAACTATAAGACTGAATGTTTCAATAACTCACACTTCGTAAATCTGTTTCCATACATCATTATATTGTTCAACCTTATTGTTAGCATTAGCTTGTGTCTTTTCTATTGTCAGGTAGTATCTCATCAATCCTTTCCAAGTATAAAGAGAAGGAGCCTCTGTTTTTTTTTTTTTCAGTGTTTTAAAATTAACTTTTTATAAACTCAGACAGAGAATAGAATCTGTCATCCCACTCGATAGTGGATTGCCTCAGTATTCTGGAAAATGCAGAGTACAGATGAGAAGTGAATTTGTTTTTGACATGTAACAGACATCCGGTCTTAAATCTCATTCCACACTTTCCTCACTTTCACACATGACCAAAATGACACTGATCAGAGGAGTTTGGGTGAGACAGGTTAGTCTTTTATTTAGCCTTCTGTTTCTTTTATAGTTACCTGTCACTGAGCCCACTTTAGATCTTCTTTTTTCTATTAATCTCGTATAAAAATATAAAATAAAAAGACAGCATGCTGCTGCTCCAACACTTGCCTTTTACATGATCTTAAACATGTTATATGATCAATCTTTTCACACAGCTGGCAGAGCCTTTTATTGTATTTAAAAACACCTTATTGTGGTTGTATATTCTGTAAATCAAGAGCTACTGGTGCAGGATTCAATCTACACCTCTACACTCAACAGAAGTTAAAGAAATGAAAAGCACTGTCTCTAAACTGCACATTATTTCATGTACAAGCTGTAGAGACTTTATGAAACCACAAGGTGGAGCAACACATCATAAACTGATGCCTCAAGAACACAGAGGGCCAACACAAAAGAAACATGCTTCTGCTTTGGTTCATGTTTTCAGATTGTGTTGCAGATGAATATTATTTTACATACATGTATTTTGATTGAATAACAGAATAAGACTCAGCAGTCTCAGCCCTTTAAAGGGGGACCATAAAGACCAGAGAAATTAGCCTTTTGAAGCCATTAGGTGGCAACAAGACAGCTGCACGCTCTGCATCACATGGGCAACCAATGATTTCACCCCACAATGTCATCCATCCCTGTGAGCCAGCCAATCATGGCAGGGCAGGTCCTGTGACGGCGTCTAACACGTCATCTAGCACCATCATGTCTTCACAGTGTCAGAGAGATTTCAGGGCATGCCTTTATTTCCTACCTCTTGTCAGAGGGGTAGAGCTCCACCGTCAGCACATCCAGGGCGTTCCAGGAGGCGATGCTGATTCCCCCAAAGAGGCAAAGCAGGGCGATCATGGCCGACTCGCTGTTACCAAAGGACAGGAAGAAACAGCTGATGCAAGAGATCACGCTGGAGCCGGCTGGAGAGAGAGAGAGGGAAGAAAAAGAGAATAAAAGAGGGTTTAAGGAAGAGGGGGATTATCTCAAGCCTGAAATTTACTCCAAATGTGTTCAGAAAAGACAAAACGTGATCATTATTGGTCGTCTGATCAGCTGCTTATCAACCAACGAAGAGTCAAATCAAAGCTGACTCTAAAGGTCAATCTGTGGTTAAGTCAGGGGAGGAAAATGACCGCCCCTTTAGACATGGCGAACGGGGTCATAGGTTCAAGTTACCTAGCATCCTCAGCCTCCCAATCTTGTCCATGAGCAGAGCAGAAACAATGTTGCCCGGCAACACAGCCAAGGTGCCCAGAAAGCTGACAAAGTAGACCATGTAGGCGTTGTTTTCATCGCTGACGTCGCTGAGCACGCAGCCTTCTTTATTGTGCAAGAACGTGCTGTTGATGAGCCGGCAGTTCACCAACCTGTACTTGAAGAGGTCTGTGGAGGAAAGAGAGAGAGAGAGAGAGAGAGAGAGAGGGAGGAAGAAAGAAGATGGAAAAAAAAGCACACTGTGAGGATTTACTCGTTATTAAAGCTGCACAAACAATTTCAAACATGGGTAACTTTAATCCCATCCAGTAAAGATGGTGAACTTTGAATATCTGTAAGAGTGTTTGCTCAACAACAGCTTAACATCAGGAAAGCACAAAGCCTTGCCTAGTCCTGTTAGATTTAAATTTGTGGGAGAAAACTGGAGGACTCAAGGTGAACCGAGACAGTGAAAAATGGTAAAATGGAAAAAGGGCAGCTGTGTACAATTTGAATTCTTGGATATTCTCTGGCTAAAGAAAATCTAACCAGGATTCTAGAGGTTTCTCTTGGTCCTCATCTCATTCTGCCTCCACTCCCTCCTCTCCTGTCTCCTCTACAACCGCTTTTCTCACCACTCCCTCTGCTACATCCTCTACCGCCTCATTGAGCACCTCTTTAGTATCCCGCCCGCGCTCCTCTCTCTAACCACCTTTTCGGTCTCCTGCATGTCATCTCTGTCACATTTGCATCTCCCTCTTTTGCTGCCTGTGCTATCACCTCTTCTGAGTCTGCCTCTCTGACTGCCTGCTCTGCAGAACCACATTTCACCCAGAGCTGCTCAAACACATAAGGGAGGAAAAAAAGCAATTGGGTTATTTCCTCATGTAGATGAAGCAGGTTTTGCTGCTTTTTGACACACAGAGAGAGGAAAAATGACTCCTAATAATGTAAGATGTATCAGTTCTACTGTGGTGCCATTAGGGTGTGCAGGAAATACCACAGACTGTATAGGAATTGGGTGTAGGCTCATGTTTTAAAAATGAAGCCAATGCACAAATGTCCTTCACTTGCAGTTTTTACATCGGCCAGCAGGGGTGACTCCACTGGCTGCATAGAGAAACCAGAAACCAGAGTAAATTGGGCTACTCCTCAGTTCATTTAGCACCTTATTTATATCACAGTCACTCCTCTTGATATGTGTTTTATAAATTTTTGTGTTGCATGTCTGTGTATTTGCAGCACATTTACCTTCGATGCAATTAATTTGGACTCACTGTACCTAAAATCCATCCTTCACAGACCTACGTGATGAGCTGAGGCTATCCCTTACTACAAATGCATTGTAGACACAGAAAATAAAAAGTGTGCCATCAGTTCAACTTGAAATGAATTTATTTAAAGGTCTTTTTGAGTTTTTAAAAACAGCCTGGAGAGAGAAAGCGCTGGCAAAGAGAGACACCAGATCATCAAAAACACATTTTTACTCACTTGTCTGAGTTAAAGCATCAATTTCAATTAAAGGGAGTCGACATCAAACTGATGCAAGTTGTAGAAAATGTGAGTTTCAAAGGCAGCTTATGAAAGATCAGTCTATTCTGGAGATTTTGAGACGGGATTTTCGGATATTTAAAACCTCTCCCTGCAGGAGCCTGAGGGGCAGACTCAGTAAGTCTGGATCTGTTGTCTTACTTCTCAGACTGAAATAATACATGTTTTTAAAACGTGTTTGAGTTTGTTCCCCACCTCCTTATCATCCACTACATGGGATCAGTGTGTGTGAATGTGTATCTTGCCTGTGTTGTAGAAAAGGGTGGCGATGAAGGTGCAGTTCTTGAAGAAGGTGTTACTGGTGGTGATGTCTTCAAAATAACACTCCTCAAACAGCGAGTCTTCAAACACCATGGACCTCATCTTCAGGTTCATAAATCTGCATGTGATTACAGACGGGGGAAGATAAAAACCAAGACACACAGGTGAGGAAAGGAGGGGAAAAAAATGAATATGCAAAGTCAGCTCTAAAATATTAAACCACCACACTAGTTTGGATTTTAACAACTCAAATCACAAGCTGAGTTCATGCTAAAAAAAGAAGGAAACATCTCAACAAGTCTGCAGAAATGACTCACTTGTCGTTAAAGTACTCTCCCTGGCGGTGGACCTGGTTTTCTAAGGTGAAGTTAAAGGTGACGTGCTCTACTTTCTCCTTGACGAAAACCTTGGTGCGTGAGGCGTACTCCTGTTTCTGCAGGTACTTGATCATGTCGGGGAACCACACTGTCAGACCGTAGTAGCTGGACAGAGAGGAGAGGCAGAGACAGTGAGACCAAGGCACATGAAAGCAGGACTGCTGTGTGCATGAACCAAATGTACAAGGATATAAATGTTTACATAAACTAAGAAAAACTAATATTTTAATAGATAGTGATGATATAAACAGGCTTTATTGATTAGAGGTCAGCAGTACTAAACATCCCTGTGCTTGAATCTCACCTGAAGGACATGGAGAACCACACAGCCATCATCATGTAGGTGGTGCGGCGGTACTCTGGAGAGAAAACGGTCTGGAAATTACTCCACACCTAAAGAAACACACAGACACATATAAAGAGAGGGAATAATAACTACACCGCACATTCAGATACAAAAGTAAACACACACCAGACTTCTCTGAAAACAAGTTGCAGCTACAACACATAAACACCGTCTCCCAGAATCCCATTCCAGTCACTGAGTAAACAACTCCTGTCAGTGAATCCACAAAGAGAGAGAAGAAGAAGAAGAAAACACAAATAAAACCCGAGCTCAGCCGGCTCATTCAGAGTTTCTCCAAACTTCTGACTGACATGTTTTTGTTTCATGATATTTGTCAATGCAGGTATGAATGACATGGAAGGATCTGGATCATCATCTTAAAAACCTCTGAGTTTAAGTTTAGGTGGGTTAAACCCAACCCATGCTTCACAGTTTTTGTCACTGAGTGTAGGATATGTCAAGAAGAAGAAAACAGGAAAATGAATCAAGCTGTAAATCTTGAAGTCACTCTACAGGAGTCCTCAACTGACTTTATGAAGCTGAGAATGAAGAGGATATAAAAGGTCTGTAAGGAAATTAACTGAGAGGCTTTTGTGAATTGGTCTGGTTAAGTTAGGTCAATATTTTGGGGGAAATTAGAAACCATTAAGACCATTCCCACTGAGCTGGAGTCAGGGGATAGTTAGTCTAGCTCTAGTTAGTCAGGCCTCGGGCTGGACTAAATCTGTTCACTAAAGTAAAAATAACCAAAGAGATGTTTTAGTTTTGTGCTGGAATCAGTTTGTTAGAGTCTGGAGTCTATGATTTTAAGTTTTATATGTGCTGTTTTTGTTGACTCTTGTTGTATAAGCAAAGCTTGGCTAATGGTGCATCTGCCAAAAAGAAAACTCTCAACAAGAAAACGAATTATCCATCTCAAAAGAAGTGATTTCTAACATTTTAATCATGTTTTTATCTGGATACAGAGAATTGAAACATACTTCGCCTTGTTTCTTTCATTCATCTGAGCAGTCAAAATTCACGATAATAGAAACTGTAGGGTCGGTCACCTGATGGAAGAGAGAAGTCAGCTTTATCCTCCATTTCTCATGCCAGGCGGCACCATCACCCAGGTTCACCAGTTCATCCAGCTGCTTCACTGTTTTGATTGTGGTCACCTGGAAACACCAAACAACAACCATCAGATATCTAATTTTTGATACTGCCTTTAACAACTGTATTGTTGTTTCTTTAACACAGGCTTTGGACTGATTTTTTTCTTGAATGTTTACTCAACAAAATATTCTGATATCAGCAAAATTATGCTAGAAAATGTAAAGAAAGCAAAGTGTGAGGCAGAATGAATGATGACAAATATACAGATATAAAAACTGATTCAAATTAAAGAAAAATATCAATTTATACTTGCATTTTACATCTACAGCATCTCTCAAAATTAATATATTATTCTCAAAATATTTGAGAAAACTAAATGACTCCTTTCCACCTAAAAGTGATCACCTTAATTACATTTCAACATTACCACTGTGATGACTTTTTAAAGTTTCATTCTTCATAAAATATTATTACTAACTGTATGGCTCGGGGCATTATGAGATTACGGTGGTTGAAAAAGGGAATCTGGATGAAATTATGATTATGCTAATTTATGCAGCAGAGAGCTGAGAACCTGCTGCACTTTATCAGCCTGCAGACAGAAACACATGCACTACAGCAGGAGCTTTTCTCCGGTCTGCAAACGGAGGATAAAAATCTGAGACGTGACTCACAGAGAAGACCCTCTCTGGGTAGCCCTTGGCCCTCATGTTGGTGTCATGGACCTGCTTCAGAATCATCCACGCCTCGTCGTGTTTCCCGTTCTGGAGGAGAAAAAATGAATTTGACATGTTTGATTTGATTTCTTGACAGATGTGAGCAAAGAGCAAAACTGTAACACAAGCTTGTTTTATTTACAACTTAAAATGTCACTTCAGTTTGACATCAACCCACCAAAGTAATAGGTCAAATTCTAGCACATGTAACTGACTCTAATAAAGTCAGTATTTGACATTTGTTTGACCTCTACCAGAGTGAAAGTGTCATGGGGTGATTTGACCTGATCTATGGAGGTGATAATTAAGAGAATCTTAAAAACAGACTTGTCATTATGAAGGTGGTAGAGTCTGAGAAGTCTTAGAAAGTCAAACAATACCAAAGTAAAGAAAGAAGAAAAACTGCAGTTCCTCCAGTGTCCACTTGAAGCAGCAGAGGCCTGTAATAAAGCCGATTATTGGAGTAATATTAACTACTTTTACAGCTCTGTTTCGCTCTGAATATCTTGTGTTTTTTGTCTATTTCTAGGTTGACAGAAAGTTAGCTTGAGATTTCAAAAGTTCGTGGCTGACGTCACTGGGACCGCGCCATACCTTATATGGTCAATGGCTCTAAATAAAAGTCTCAATCTTGTATTTTTTCACATATTTTCTACAAAGCAGTGACTATTTTAGCTACAGAAGCAGCATGTGGTTTGTATTCATCACCCTCTGAAACAGAGTGAAAACAAAATATGTGATAAATGTGTTTTCAGAGGCTGTTTTCTTTTCCATTAAACTTTTAGCCTTCGGGTTTATATAATGGGAAAGTGGACATGGTTGGAAAGTGGAAGGAGCGACGCTGTAAAGGGCCGAAGCTGCTAAATCAACATTTTGCTTCACTTTTTTCATTATGTAAAGTTTGTCTTTATCTCTGCAACCTAATTAAATACAATATACTGAAACATTTCTGTTTACCATTAAAGAATTATAAGTGGGTGCATAAAACTGTAATGAAACTTGACAGTTGAATGAGATGGAAAAACCATGCGTGATTACAACTCAAGAAATCTGCTCCTAATTGTGAGCATTGCTTTATTTGCCATTAAATTATAGCTTGCATAAAGTTAGTGGTAAATAAACAGCGAAAAAATAATAAAGGGATCAAAATCATCTTTAGCTGCAGAATATGTTTAATACTTTTACACAAACTGAGAGGTGGCAGAGATAAAATTTATAGCTTGAAAAATTTGTATCCTAAAAATTTGGTTTTTACCTCAAGTTTACTCTTTCCTGAGTTACTATTCTGCATATATTCTGCATATATTCTGTGTGTCTTACAGTTCCCTGCTGTTCAGCCTGCTCCAGGATGTATATATGCACGTATTTATTCACCTATTCAGTCTATTCTGAATAAATGTGGATGCAGCACTTAGTCAGCAGCACAGTGTCTGCCCATTAGTCAGCGCACAGGTCCTGTTTATGAATTCAGGGAGTCTAAATGTATTCTAATAACATTTCCACAAGGTCTGAGTGTGTAGAGAGCTGCCGAGCTGACCTCCAGGTAGAAGCGAGGGCTCTCAGGCATGGTGGTGAGGGCAGAGATGGCCGCCACGGCGGGGAAGGCACACACCAACACGAAGACACGCCAGCTGTGGAATTGGTAGGCAGAGCCCATCTGGAAACTCCAGCCTGGATGAGGAGAGGAGGGGAAGACACAAAACAGCAGCTAAGAGGCAGCTGCAAAATCTGAATTTAACAATAGATGATTGATTAGTGTGTTTTTCTCACCATAGTGTGGGATTATAGCCCAGGCCATTGCAGAGGCGTAGATGCCCCCAATCATCCAGAACATGCAGAGCCAGCTCAGATGCTCTCCTCGCTTCTCCTGGGCCAGGAACTCAGAATAATAGGAGAACACGATGGGGATGGAGCCGCCAATTCTGCGAGGTACAGAGAGAGGAAGACAATAAAACGTTAGTGCAATTAAAAGACAAACACAGGGTTGGTGAGTGAGATAACACAGGAGGATAAATACGGGTAAACAAAGGAGAGACGGTGACAATAGCGCTTTAAAAACAAAGTATAGAGAGAGAGAGGGAAGTTCCACGGTGTTGTAAAGATGTTTTCAATGAAAACAAGATAAAAAAAGGAAAAAACTACAAAAAAATGACCTCAAATAAAAAGCTGTATGAATCAGCAGGAAAACGCTGTGAGATCCAGGAGATCCAGCAGCTTTGTACTTGATTAAGTCGGAACATTAAAGTCTTTAAAGACGGCCATAAAAGGCCCAGACGGTTGCGATCGATAGCAGTTTCTTTACGGCCTCGCTCCATCACACCAGTTTACAACCCGATGGGAAGTGATTCTGGGAACAGATTCAAACTCTGAGCTCTGCCAGTTAAAATGGGGCAATGTTGTTAATATAATGACTTAATTTGCAAAAAGTTTAGAGTTCACCACACTGCTAATGGCTGTAACATCCGCACTGAGGAGTCCACTCTGCACTTTTCACAGGAATAAAAAGAGAGGGGCGAGTTTAGAGCTTTTAGTGATAGCTGAGTAAGTGCAGATAAAACTAAATCAACTTTATGCAGCATTAAACTAAGACAAGAAAGAGAAGAGAGGAACATTTAGACAAGATTACTCTGCCGTGTGATTGGTAAAATAAAAACGTATGACTGATGATCCCTGCTTCACACAGCATTGCTAAATTATGGCGTTTTACAGGCAAGACAAAAATACTGTAATTAACCTTTCAGTGAAATTGTTATCTATCAAGATTTGACTTGTTTACACATTTCAACCCTCATGTGACACTAAACTAACATCAGGAGTTCACCGTGTCCTGACGTGACACGATGCAACCGTTAGTTTAGACCAGAGTGTTGCCATGGTTACCAGCTCATTTCACTGTCTGTATCGCAGTGCCTCAGGTAGGTGTTCTGAGGGGAATATATCAATAATAATAACAATAATAACAACTTTATTTTTATAGAACTTTTAAAAACAGAGGTTTACAAAGTGCTTTGACAAATGGTCATAGAACAGAAAATGACGGCACGAGGAAATAAAAACAAAAAGCTCAGATAAAACAAGTCGTTAGAATTGAAGGCCGTTTTCATTTGGCATAAGGAACCCAGACAATACAAGAAGCCTGCAACATAAAATGAGACCATGGGGACCAAAATATAAACATAAAATATATAAGTATCTAAGTATAACAAAAGCTAAAAAGACAGTAAAGCCGAAATAAGAAAAGAGATAAAAGATTAAAGAAGGCATCACATAAAAGCAAGTCTGTAAAAGTGAGTTTTTAAGGTTGACTTAAAGAAGCGACTGTCTCTGCATGCCTTATCTCTTCTCCATCAACATGACAGAAGATTGTTTACGTCCAGATTGCTAATACAATCACACAGGCGACTAAATCTGAATCTTTGGATTTATCGAGATTAAAGAAAGTAGCTGGAAAATCTTTCAATGTTTAAATCGAGTCTGAATCAAGTTCTTTGCCTTTGAGGGCCGAATGCGTCAAAGCAGTGCAACAAAGGCTGGTCGACAAAGGTTGAATCATGGGTATCCTTCAGAGCCCCACTTTTCCTATGATTCTCTGTGCACTAATACAATAAAGCTGGTGATCATTAGCAAACTTGAAAATCAGGGAAAATACAAAATCTGTTTGTTTTTGAAGTGACTCGGGCTGTAAAGTCCTAATCGACTGGTCGACTTATTGGTCAATACATGATGAGTCGACCAAAATTCTGATGACTCGATTTTTTTCTGCCTCAATTTACAGTCTATGGTTAATTTCCTCAGGAGGAATGTACCAAGTGCTAATGGGGTTGTTTTCAGAGCACCCCGTTTCACAGGTAACAGCCTGTCTCAGAACACCCCCCTTTTATTCTTTTCGCCCAACCCACTGGAGACCGGCTGGAGACAGGAAGATTGAAGAGTGTCCATATTAATCAACATCCGGTGGTTTGCTGAATATAATATTTGTGTTTAATTGCATTCTTGTGGCGATATCAGTACAAGTTACCCCCGCTGCCCAATTGGTCGATTTTTGGTCAAACATGTTGGGGTTTTAGTCGACCAAGAACTTCTTTGGGTGATTACAGCCCTAGAGGTCACACCATTCTTCTTCTTTGTATGACCGTTAAAACATCCTCAACAGGACGTCATACATGTTGATATTTAGTGTGGCTAATGTCAAATGCGCTAACTTTGACCTACTGGGTGAAGGTCACGCTTCATATTCAGACTGAATGGCCGCCATGTTGCTGACATTTTGCCACTGCCACCAGCATTCAGCTACCGAGTCAGACAAAGCTTGAAGAAACCAGAGTGTAAGGCAGCCATGAGGCACTGGGGCCAATTTAGACCTAACTCCTTACAAGGACAGTTAGTTCAGGCTCATTGTGTGCAGTGTGCAGACTTGGGTTAATAAAATTACCTCCTTAACGGCTGGCAGACTGAACAGTTTAAAGGAAACAGGAACATTGAGAAGCTCTTAAAAACAGGCAAACATCCAGGAATCTGAGGGCGGAAGCATGACATTTTTATCTGTCCTCGAACATGTGGCGCCGCTCTGTCAAGTCCAGTGATAAACCGCGGCGGTCGTGACTGCTCCATTTCCAGGCCTGGCTGCTTTGTGCTCATGTGCGTGCGTGAGTATGTCTGACTCATCTGTGTCCTTACCCCACACCAGAGGCCAGGCGGCAGAAGAGGAAAGAGACGTAGCCCTGGACGAAGGAGGAGAAGAAGGCGAACACGCTGTTGATGGAGAGGGAGATGAGGAGGGTCTGCCGTCGGCCGATCCGATCAGCCAGGCCGCCCCAAACGAAGGCGCCGACCATCATCCCCAGGTACACGATCAGACCTGAAGGAGAGAGAAAGGAGGGGAGAGTTAGGCGGGGGAATGTGATGAGGAGGTATAATGAGGCCGGGAGGAGAGAGGACACGATAATGAGGTATTATTCATCCATGAACTCGTTGATATTACTTCCAGTAATCCACTCTTATTATATTTCAAATTCCCAGAATAATTCAATTCCCGGCTAATTGGGCCGGTATGTTGCGTTTCCTAAGTAGTTTACCTTAAAACTCAAAGCAGAGTCCTGTATATACCACATTACCACCTGGCAGATTTGCAGTTTGAGTAGCAGTGTGAAACAGAAATAAAGCATCTCCTCTTTTTTGCGGTAAAGTCCACGAATGACAAGCAGTAACCAGCATCACTGCAGCTGGTATGAGTGAGAGCTGCCCTCTTCACCCTCCTCGCCCTCCTGCTCCGGCTTTAGTGGATGTTGTGTTGAGTCTGTCCGCTTTGACAGATGCAGAGAGGGACACTAATGGCTCACCATTAAAGAAGATGAGTCCGCTAAGTGCCTAATTTGTTAAATGTCAAAATCAGTAAACATGGAAAGTGTCAGTCGCATTTATAATGTGCCAAAATTGAAAAAAAAAAAAGAGGACAGGAGACAGTATTCAACGGGGAGTAGAGAAGGATGCAGCACTGTGTAATAGAGCCGCTGCTGCAGAATTAACTTCCATTTAATGTTGAGAAATTTACAGGGTTTAGACCCCGTGTGAAAAGGACTTTGCTGTTTTTAAACCTGTCCTCATCTGGACTTCAGACTCCTGTTTCACCTTTATCCCCCTGTGCTGAAAACACCTTTTTGTCTCCAGACATCGGGACGTTACTAGAAGTCTTTGTCGAGGAGCGAAGAGGCCGCTCTCTGAATCTAACAGCACTGATGTCAGCCCAGCCGTTTGATCCGTGGTGCTAACATGACTCACAACTCATGAACTTATCCAAGCCTGCCTGACAGTCGGTGTCTCCAGCTTTTTCTCCCTCTACGGCACTGTTAATGCTCCCACACACACACACACAAATTCACACACACACACTTTGCTTCTTTTGCCTTATTGCCTTATTGACGTCCTGTCAGCAGCCTCCACGCTGCCTGAGTCCACAGTGGCACCGCTTATAGTGAGACCACCCTGAATAAGGAAGGAGAGGCTGGTACATATGTAGTTGTTATATCTGTATATAGATCTGTACAAAGCTCTCATGTTTGAGTCTATGCTTGATTTTTTAAACTAAAGCTATTAAAACAAAATCTCCATTGAACCCTAAAGATTTATCACATACTCAACTCTGAATAGATAATCAATACAGTTGTATTTTTCTACGGCGAAGATTTGCGTCTTAGTCGAGCATCAAGTCCAGTTTTCATCAATTTAACGGACCAATAACAGCTTACTGCCTCATTACCACAGGCAAATAAACAGATGATCAATAGGCAAACCAATCCAGACTCAAGCACCATGTGTTTTGTTATGGTGTGTGTTTTGTTTTGCTGATTATTAAGACCCACTCTGATGAAAATCATGTTCATAAAGCATTTTTCTGATGCTAGAGGACATATCGTGAGAAAACTAAGTATAAAACTGCATTTCTGAGTATTCCTTCATTTAAATTGCAGTGAATCTCTGGCAGGCCCTAACAGCAGGTTCAGGTACAGTGCAATTTCCTATGTCACAACTCCAAGCTCCGCCCCCATGCACCACTCTGCAGGCCAGACTCCGAGAAGTAGAGAGGGCGATCGCTGAACAAGCATGTGCTTTGGGTATTGCAATTCTCATGAGAAAGTTAATTATGATATTCACTTTCATTGTATCTCCAAAGACATTAGTGTCCGAAAGCCACTTTTGCTGCATTAGCAATGTTAGGCTACAAGTTAGCATGAAGAGGAGTGTGCAGAGGAGCACTTGCCAATGATCTACTGGAGCTCTGCAGAAGAAAAGCCCTTAAAAATAACACCAGTAACGTGATTTTGGCTAAAGACTTTATAATCACAATTTAAAGACCACTGATAACACTTTAAGTAGTAAAAAAATCGATCAGAGTGGGACTTAAATACTACACTGTGTAGTATTTAGTGACATTTAACAAAACATACAAAAAGACATTCATAAGCGCGTTTAAATTAGAATACAAAGATTGTATTGTTAGAATGAGCCTTTAGTATTTGTGTAAGGAGATGGTCCCTACCACCCTGTTTTTACAGTAGCCCAAAATGGACAAACAAGTCAAGTTCACATTCCTGTATTTGGTGAATAGTCACCTAAAATGTGCTGAATAGAGGAAAAGAGGAAGACAGTGATTTGGGTTGTTCATAAAAAACTTTGTATCAATAGTTAGTGGCAAAACTTCACAAAAGAGACTTGGACCTAGCATGTGTTATAGGAGCTTCTTGTCCTTAGAGGCAAACATCACTTCTGGATTTCGCCAATGAGAGGGGTGAGCGTTTCAATTGAAAACCTGACTGCCAGGTATTGCTTGATAATCCTATTTCTACACACTGTACCTTCGAAGAAACGATGACTTTCACGAGGTTCGAACCAGCGATCAAAATGCTTTGACCATGACGAGACTTAAACGACTGTCCTTCCAGGTTTCTACACACCCTTTCAGTTATAGTACTAATCCTACTGGGCTGAATGGACTGAAACGTCAATGAAAAAAAGAGACTAAATCAAATAAGTAAAGAGCTTTTAGTAGTGGTTAGAGGTGTCTTATCGTTATTTGAAGCAGATGATTGTGCTGCTGTACTATCTCCACTTCCCTCTGATTTAATTTAATGGCCACTAAACCACAGAGATGGCAGACTTTGTTGTTAGACGTACCACAGAGAAGTGCCTCATTATCCACGTCACAGCTTATTTCATTGTGATGACCAGCTTGCTTTACACTGATCATTAGCACCAAGAAGACTGGCCGCCACCACGAGCGGGCAAGCTGTTTCTACACACACAATGGTTGTCGAAAAACAAACGATTGTGTTTGCTGCCGATGACACAGAATCAGCCACTAAATGGTTTGAATTAGCAGGACAGGAAAGCAATTATGGGGTCAATCAGGCTGGAGAGCAAGAGCGGGAAACCACTAAAGATAAGGAAGCGTGATCCATCACAGTCTTAGGAAATAACCGCTGGGATTGTTTGGTTTGTGTTCATGATTTTAAGGACAGAGAAAGCGCTACAGATGGATATTTGTGCATGGGGATGAAATGAAAAGCGGTGTACCTTTGTTGTGGACAAACAGATACTCAAAGGCTTTGAAGGAAGTGTGTTTGCAGTGTGTACGAGTGTGAGTCATCCCCCGTTCCTCCTGTCTGTCTGTATTTCTCAGTAAACACTGCAGAGCTGAATAGAAGAAGGTGACTTTCACTCCCTCTCTGATCGATGGGAGGGAATTCTTTGTGCAAAGATGTCGGTGTGTTTCCATGATCCTGGGCATCCTGTGTGTGTGTGTGAACGCGTCTTGTCAACATCTCCATTTCCTCCTGTACTGTAAGAGTGTACTCTTAGTGTGGGTGGTCGGAGTGTGTTTTTATGCGTGTGTGTGTGTGTTTCAGAGCGGTGAGACAGCTGTGAGCCTCTCCTCCTGACAGAACAGCTCATAGCAGCAACAACGAGCCAGAGATGATTGCTGGGCTCTTAGTCGTCGCCGCATTGCAGCAGAGAGGCTGAAGATGAGGCAGACTGACTGACTGACTGACTGACTGACTGATGGATGGACGGACAGACACATAGAGAGGGGAACAGTGACCACCTCTTCCCTTTATGCTGCGGTGTGCTGACCTGTCAGCCTTTTCAGCACTGCCCTCTAACACTGGATCACTCTCTTTGGCTCTCTATCTCCCCCCATCGTCCTCATCAGCCAGCTCAGGTTTTCTAGTCTGTGGGTTAGGATACATCATCGTCTCTATTTTGGCTAAAATCAGTTTAATCTTAAATGATCTCATTTATCTGAGGGGCTGGTTGTTAATTAGAAGTTCTCATGAAAGTCGCAATAAATTATAGGACATGTATGGTATAGGGCTGTCCTGATAGGATATTGATATGGGATATTGGTCCGATATTGGCCAAAAAACAAATATTGGATTATATCGGCCTGCATCTTAAATCTCCAATATCAGCACTCCGATACAAGCAGTCCATTCCAGACTCCAATATCAGATGCATATCGGTATCCGCCGATACTGAAGGCTACCATATCGGTATCATATCAGACATAAAAAAGTCGTATAGGGACACCCCTAGTATGGTGTGTAGAGGAGGTATAAATATATCTAGTAACCCCTCTCTGTATGATAAAACCAAAGTGCTCTCCTATACAGCAGTTGCTCTTCGGCCATATTATGCTACAAGGGAGTTCAGTCATATCGTAATAATACTTGTATACATCCCACAGAAGGCAACGGCTGAAGTTCCATGTGATGTTCTCCATGAAACAGACTCAACATGGTGACAAACTGGTAAAAAAAAAAAAGCTGGCTCTGTGGTTGGAGAGATGTACACCGAGGAAGATGGAGGCTATTCTTAAAAAAACATGGATCACCCAACAGCGGTGGTGAACAACTCTTTTCTCTTTGCTGCAGGACGGAGAGAATCACACAGCCATCAGACTTTTTACCCCTTCTATAAATAGTAGATTAGATTCAAGACAAACAAATTTCACTTTGGGGATTAATAAAGTTCTCGTATTGTAACCATGCAGACTTTTCCTCCCAAGCCTCCTGACATAAGGTCTCCTTTAACACCCTTTAAAGTTGAGGTGCCAGTGCTAATTCATGCATGTTGCAGGTACACCGCGGAAATAAAATTTAAATCTCAGCAAAAATGCAGATAAAACTCTTGAGCACATGGTCAATTCAGCGATTTTCACCTAGAGCGAACATACTGCAGGTATCTTCCTATTTCTGACTTATCAGATCAGAAATAGAAAGTAGAAATTAAGTATTTTCTCGTCTATCAGACCACGAAAAAGACACCTTTATAAAACTGTCAGTATGAGCTCAATCTATGCACACATATTCACACACTGCTGTCTGTATCACCAGGAGTGATTTGGAGTTTAAACCCTCTACATCCCCAGAGGGGAAAGACCACTGACTATCACCAAACCAAAAATATATGATTAAATCGTAGACAAACAAAAATTGAAATGTAAAATTGTTGATATTCAGGTTACTCCAGTTTGGATCATCAGGCTGCCTAATGTAAGTCACTAAAACTCTGCTTACTCCTTTGTTTAACCAAAGGTACAGCTGTTCCCTCTTTATGGTCCTTCCATCTGAGTGAGACTCATGTATAATGTACCTTCCTGGTGGGCAAACTTCTACTTTTCTCCTGAAAAACTGCGTACACAATCGGCTGAATCTGTTTACATCTATTCTACATCTTCATCTACATTTATATCCCACAGAGACTTTTTCCCCTTCAGTAAAAGTCCCCGTGAGGCCGGGATGCAGATGCTGGTACATAAGCGCAGCAGGTAATGGTCTGGAACAGTCAATACGAGGAAGCTGACGGGGAGATGATGTTGTCTTGCTGCTCTAAAATCTATACTGCCTGGCTCAGTCGTCTTTATTGTGCTACAACACTAAGAAAACAGAGGCTTACCTATTCTGCTTTTTTTCACAACCCTTAAAGTCTTCATTTTTCTTCAGTTATTAAATCCCACTATCACACACATGCGTCGCTAAAACGCTTTCTGACATTTGATTTGCTTCTTTAACTTCTCTCAAGCTTCTGTCACTGTTGTACAACAACAAACAGTAAGATGAGAGATAAATACGAGGAAGAGTGCAGTTACAAGAAAGATGAGAACCTCAGAGAGGAAGCAGAGGGAGGGGAGGATGGAGTGTGAGTAAAGGAAAAAAAAGAGGAAGAGGAGGGAGGATGGTGGCCAGTCTGAGCTGTGACAGAGCTCCCAAAGGCTCCAGGGTACTGTGTGTTTGTGTGTGTATGAACATGGGAAGACAAAGTGTGTGTCACTGCAGGGATGTGTGTACATGTTGGCTGAGGAAGGGGGCAGGGCAGGGGGATCTATAAATAACCGGTTTTCCCTTTCTGCCAGAGAGGGTGAAGGGCTTTTTGAATGAGCTGGAGGAGGATGCAGTGCTTCATCATGAGATCAGGCCGGTTCACCATCACACTCCTCAGTGCTAACCACTGAAAGATAAAGAGTGAATAATATAAACCTATGATGGAAGGAGACGACTTGCTCTGTTTTGGAGATTTATGCGATTTACCTTCTTATCAGTGTTACTACCTGAGAAATGAAGGTATTTGGATACAGTTCAGATCTCTGATTTTCCTCAGGGGGACACAGACTAACATTTTCAGTACGTACTTTCCAGATCTAGGTCTCTGTTAATGGTTTCTGCAAAATGTCCAAGTTCTTTCTAAAAAGAAAACCCAAGAGGTGGATAAAATTAGAAACAGGCAGTTTGAATGATAATTACCTCCACAGACAGGCATAGACTCATAATTAATCTATTTTCAATCATCCACATCACTTTTCCTGCTAACTCAGAGATGTAACAGAAACATTTGCATTTAAAGAGATTGTCACATCACAGTTAAAATGAGTTATTGGTTTGCTCCAGTGTACCAGAGGTGTTTTGGTTTGGCGAACAAAAGCTGTGCCCTCCTGCCACTCTTAAGTGTACATAATCTGTACTTAGGGCTGGGCGATATGGCCTCAAATCAATATCACGATATATTGATCAGTTCACCTCGGTAACGATAAATGGATGATAACTACTCCACAGGCTGCTCACCCCCTCCCACATTAACTTCGTCTACTTCAGCCGCTACAACTTTCTCTCCGTCCTCCATCTCCTCACCTGTCTTTCCCTCTTTGTTACAGACTAGTTGGGGTGGAGTCACGTCTCTGACGTAGGACAGCGTCTTAAAGGAACATGAGACCATAGCCTACCTACACACATCCAAAACCAACTTTTATTTATTTATTTTTTTTTTTGACACAGAATATGTCGACATGGGCAAAATGACGTCGGTTATTGTCGTAAATTTCGGTAACTGTAAGTTTTTAGTTTATCGTTCAGCCCTACCTGTACAGTTTGATCAGTGTTGTCTGTGTACAAGTGTGTGTTTGAGATGCTGAAACTGGGCCAGTATATCCCAGTAAAATGGGAACTGTAAAACTGGATTTTGGTTCAAAACAGCTCGACTTCTCCATCATTTTTTACCTCTTACTGTGTTGGCAAATTGTGTAGTTACAGTGGGGCAGTGGAGCTTTAATACTAACGATGGCTCAGCTTTTTCTACTGTTATACCGAAAAAATGAGGGGAGGTGAAGTCAAGGAGACTTCAGTTTGTCATGAAACTGTCAAAAAACACTGAAACACAAGATTTTAACATTTTCAACAACCGTTTTCCAACTAACATAGTCAAACAATTTTTAAATTCCCTCTTTAAGATGATTTATTTCAGCTCTGCTTACCTCTGGTGTGCAGAATTAGTGATCACAGTATTGCTGAGCAAATTCAGCTGAAAATGTGCAAATGTTTTTTCACACAAATTAACAACATCAGTACCAATTTTTAATAACTGATCACACATTAATAAGAGGATACAGAGCCTTTCAAGTCACCACTTCATGTAAAAAATATTCAACTCAAACAATATTACCAACAGGGTGTATAAAATTAGACCATCTGCTGTCTTCTAGCGTGAATATTTTCTTTAGAGGCTAGCTGAATACTAATGTACACCAGCTTTATTCCCACTGACTCTAATTTTCATCTGAAATAATGTTTACCGAGATTTTGTCGAGGGAAACAGCTTATTATATCAGCGGGATGCAGCTTCTAACCTGGTTTGCCGAGTTTACTCTCCTGCTGGGATCTCCCACAGGAGACGGGGAAAAAACTAACGCTGGTAAGACTCAGAAAGTTCTTCTTTTCTGTCTTCTCTCTGTACCACCCGTCGCTCTCCGATACACAGTTTGTGATTCATGAGACACACAATTTTCTCTTGAGCCCTTTTCATGCATGCACCCCTGATGGTTTTTATAACATTTTAGGACAGGCTGTCCTGATTTTTTCCAAAGCTGCCTATTGATTCGTTCCTTTCAGAGGGAGATTAAGTCTCTTGGTGCAAAAAAATGCAGCAAAATTATGCATGAATCAATATGAACCAGCCTCCATATGCAAAGAAAGTTGCATGATATTGACATCAGCAATCCTTCTCATGAATTTGCCTTAAAGCCCCCCGACTTTTTACCTGTGGTCTCACTTTTCTTTTCACCTTAACCTCCTGAGGATTGCAGTAAGTGTCTGGCAGGGGAAAAAAAGTCAGATTTTGAAAATTTTCATGTATAGTATATATAAATTGTTCATGTGTCAAAAGGGTGTAACCTTCAAGAGCTTGTGTCCAATAGCTTCCCCAAGAAAAAGAGAGATTATGTTGGACTGATGCTGAATGCACTGAGCAAGAGTGCAGCTGAAACCTCCTGAAGACTAACAGATTGAGAAAGGCTAGAAATATATTAAAAATGATGTGCAGAGAGCTTTGAATGCTTTCCCATTTTCATCCTGTAGCAGCTGCACAGAAAGCTCGACAATTTGAAATGTACTTGACATGAAAAAAAAAGGGCTTATGCTTCTGCAGCACTTTTCCAGAAATATCCTCCCTGTGTGGGAGAACAAATTCATAAGTTCTTTTATGTCGTGGTAAATCCAGCTATGCATGTGGAGATACAACCTCTGCAGCTTTGCAACAAGGACAAATCAATGACAAGCACTCTGGGGTTCACTGCAGCCTCCTTTGAATGTGCCTCTTCTTCAAAGAGAAATACTGCAACACAATTTTCGTTCTCAGGTTTCTTTCGCTTCTTTAAAATCAGGCGCTGCTTAAAAATGCAATCAGTGTGAGTGTAAGAAAGGATTGGAAGTGACGCACGCCTTGTTAAAAAGCAAACATGTGTCTTCATGGTGGAATAAATGAGGGTTTCTACCTCCTCTTAATTTGTCTCAGGGTACGGTTCGATGCGCTCTTCTGCATGGGAGGTAATTTTCTTTCGAGACTCTCACACACATCCTGTACAATGAGAGGGTAAGGATTGGGTGGGGGTGGGGTTGAGGACGCTTGGAATCATGGGATGCAGAGCGGCATGAGCAGAGGAGGCTCTCTAGCATGAGTCAGGGGTGTTACATAACAGAAAGGGAAGAGGGGGGAGGGAATTAGGGACGACTGTGTCTCCCCCTGGTATAACACAACTCAGCCAGAGAGGGAGGAAGAGGTGGATGTGGATTGGACAGACTGAGGATGGAGTAACTGCGTTCTTTTAATGCAGAAAACGAAAATAAATTTAAACATTTTAGGCAAAATGGAGGCAAAGGGCGTTATCAGACCTTTTGTTAAAGTGGCGCTCTATTCAGGAGACAGTTGCTTGTGCTTTTTATGGTTATTGGAACAATATTCAGGGTTTCAATATAACTCGAACTGTAGACACAATCCCTAATTCTCTGAAGCCGAAATCAGTATTTGAGCGGTGTTTCCCCGACCGTTACTCTGGAGAGGAAGCTCGCCACCTGGAGTGACTCCCCACCCCCACCGCTCCAACAGAAACGTGCAAAGCATTTTATTTGTAGAATTTGTGTGATTCATGCTTTTACTTCAGCGGTGTGCGCATCAATGAGTTTTGCTGCACTGAGCAACGTTTACTCTACCCCCCCATCTTCATCCAAGGGCAGGGATCATTCATGCTTCACACGCAGATACAGCAAAAGCTCAATTTTCACTCCAACATGCATGTTAATGAGTCTGAGATCTGAGAATCTATCAAATAAAAGGTTTGATAGGCTGAGCTGAACGCAGTTCTCAGCTAAAATAGACAGTTTATCTACCTTGTATAAAGTATTTGCATCTTCCTATGCATTAGATACAAAATACAGTTATATTTTCAAAATAAAAGCCTGATCTGTGTTTCCCTGTTGTTTTCACAAGATAGTTTATTCTGAGAGAGTATCTTGGACATATAAAAAGTAAATTAGGTACTAGTGTAGAAAACTTACTTGGTATTAAAGTGAATTACGTTTACGCTTCTTTGACGATTTTCAAAATAAAAGCCTGATATGTTTTTTTCCTATTGTTTTTAGACACAATTTTATTCTGAAGGAGCATCCCTGATATTTAAAAGGTAAATAAAGTAACAGTGTAGAAAAACTTTCAGGCATATATTTACACCTCTTGGATGCTTTTCAAAATAAAAGCCTGATGTGTTTTTTTTTTCTTATTATTAATATTTTATTCTGAGGGAGTATCCCCGACATTTAAAAAGTAAATTAGGAAACAGTGTAGAAAACTTACTTGGCATTAAATGCAAATTACTTTACACTTCTTGGATGCTTTTCAAAATAAAAGCCAGTTCTCTTCTGTTTACTATTTTCCTAATCACTGCACTGTAGTCTCTCTCTCGCTCTCTCTCTCTCTCACACACACACGTGAGTAAACACATATTTTTTTTACACAGGCCAGTAATTGAACATGTCAGCGCTGCAATCTCTATCCTGTACATGGACTACTGGGACAATCACACAACCCAGTAACCAATTAAAGGCTTGACTGCCTGCCAAATGCACCAGAGTGAAATGCTGATACATATTTATATCATGTCACATATATGTATGTACATTCCCATCCTTTTCTATACAGCTAGGAAACTGCAGGTTAATTCCACTCAAAGATGGATTTAAAACCTGATGGGTTAAAAAAAGACTGTGATATCTGTCTATCAAACTAAGCTAAAGGAAGAACTGTGAACACATAAATCCCACACTAATGCAGCTCTCTGACAGTAGAGCTGAAAAAGAACATACTGTACTTCATGAGCAAAGGTTCAAAAAGAAAAATATATGTACTGTTTGTATAAATAAATTAAGTGGTTATATTATCTAAAAATATCCCATTGGAATGATAGTGGTTGGGGTGTAGTTGGGGTTGCATTGTGGCAGCTGTTCAGACTGTCATTCAACAATAACTTTCCAGTCAACATTTAACAGAGAATACATCTAATGTTCATCTAAACAGCTCAGACAATCAATAGTCAGGCCTTCACATCTGTAGGGAGACATCTATCAATGTGGATCAATAAGGCAGTGGGGCAGTTCAACAGTCCAAACCCTCTTAGTCCACTGGAAATGATGTAACTTAGTCTCTTATATGAGATTATGTGAGGTAAACAGACTTTTAATTTCCTATGATGGGATTTTGATATTTAAAAGACTCAATCTCCAAATCCATGGAAAGGTATTTAGTATGTTTCACCTTGACCTGTTGACACTGTGGCAAAAATGGGGAATGTGGGAATGTACTTAACATGTTCTCTACATAATTCTTCATAGTAAGGAGCTGTAACTTCACATATGGGCTGCTGGTGTTTGATTGACACCGATATCATGATTGTTAAAATTGATTATCATGTTTTTTATCAAACATAGCCACAATTAAATAGACTAAATAATTGGGACATATGGTATATTAATCATGCTCAGAATCCTTTTTACACTCTGACAGAGCTTCCGTCTTTCCCCGGGCATCTCCTGACAAGTCTAATACTGACAAAACACACATATTATTAGGGGTGGGAGAAAAAATTGATACAGCACAGTATTGTGATATTTGGTCTGGTGACATATCATATCGTCTCATTTACCAGGTAACAATTTTTTCAAAGTAATAAATACAAATAAAATTAATACAATATGAATCACATTATATGTTATATTGATAATGTTGTATCATGGCCCAAGAATCGTGATAATATCATATCGTGGGGCCACTAATGATTCCCACCCCCACATATTATTTATAGTTATACCCACAAATATGCTGCTAAACTAAAGAGGAGTCTGTCCCTTATTTATTGTTTCCTGCTGGACAGCCAATGACAGATGGCGAGAAAGGCTTGGACTATGATTGGAGGTCGACCATACGGATAGGAACTGATCATGTGGTGTTTGGACTTCACAGCATACAGAAACACAAACAGACACACAGCTCTCACTATAAAAAGGGAAAACATGGGGAGGACAAATCCAAAACCCTCTTTTTTCCTCTTTCACACAAACGCGCAGTCTAGTAAGAAATCGGCTGAACGAATCGAAGAACGTTGTGTTTGGATTGGCAGAGGGACTGATTAAAATTCTACTGCTGCTCACAGGCTGCACGGGCAGTTGAATGTTAAATAGCTGTAGTTCCTCCGCCAACAAGGCTGTAGAAAAGCAATTACTGAGGGATAAGCTGCAAAGGTAACTGCCGAGATAAGACGCAGATAAAATGTGAAGCACAGTGGCATAAACTCCCAAAGGAGGCAGTGAAATGAAATAAGCAGACGGAAAATGAAAGACAAAGGCTGAGTCAAAAGAAGACAGTCGCCCCACAGATACAGAAACTGAGTTTGTCCTGCCAAACACTTTATTGTGTAACCGCCCCGCCTGTTTGTTTTTTAGTGTTTTTACAGAGTTTTCTGCCGTGGTAAATTAGGGCTAACAAGACGGTTATCAGCCTCCCAAGAGGAAATCCTTCCTGGACAACACCCCCAGGCCGGCTCGCCATTAAAAGCCTCTCTGGTCCAGTCTCCCCCAGTTCCTCCTCATCTTTCCTCCATTTACCACTGCCTACTCTGGAGCTCATAAAAGGTACTTTCTGCAAACCCCAGGCGGCTCTGATTAAAAACGGAGCCTCTGTGTCTCTTTGAACATTAACTTTGGTCTTTTGGGTGATGAAATAATGTAACTTCTGTATCGCTCGTTCAGTGGGCATTAGGATTACTTGGTTAATTATTTCCTTAATCCATGCACAGGTCACTTGTTGGTCATTCATACTCTTGGATTAAATGAGGATGTATGAGTCTGTGTGATCTGTGTGAGCATTGAATCCTTGAAAACAGACATTTTTATTGAATACAGAATCCAAACATGAGGAGCCAGACTTTTGGTTTAGCAAGCGTTTTGTAGTCAGTTGCACCAGCTCAGTATAAATTGAGCCTTAGGGGACCAAGTCCACACTAAACTGCACCCTGAAACCACTTTTTGTTACTTAAAGTCCCACTCCGATCGTTTTTTTTACTACTTAAAGTGTTCTCAGTGGTCTTTAAATTGTAATTGTGAATTTTTTAGCCAAAATAGGGCTACCTGTGTCATTTTCAAGGACTTTTCTTCTGCAGAGCTCCAGCAGCTCATTAGCAATTCACCTCTGAGTCGTGGGCGGAGACAGCGCTGCTCAGCACACTCCTCTTCACGCTAGCTCTCGGCCTAACATTGCAATCCGCTCACGCACACGCTCGTTTCGCGATCATCCTCTCTATTTCTTCGAGTGTGGCCTGCATAGCGGGGCTCCAGGGGCTTGAATTGGTTACGTATGAAAACTCACTGTATCTGGACCAGCTTTGAGAGATTTAAAGTGATTTGAATGAAGAAATACTCAGAAAAGCAATTTCGCATTTAGTTTTCTCATGACATGTCCTGTAGCATCAGAAAAATGATTTTCATCGAAGTGGGTCTTTAAGTAGTGTCTTTGTTTGGTTCATCTTGAGAATCAGAGCATAACATCCAAACTAATCGAGTATTACTGCAGACATGTTCAGTCCACTGGCCAATCAGTGAGAGGCTCTTTTCTTTGTGGTGTTTATTTATGTGCTGAGTCATACCTCCTCCATTATTGTGCAGATGAAGTTGGAAACAAAAGTGAAAGAACAGACCAAAGTCATCAGGAAATTTGAGTCAATATAATCTATTTGCTGCCAACACAAAACAGCTGGTAAATCCTCCACCTCTCCCCATTATCCTACCTTTCAAATCAAACCACCACGTCTGACTAAGACATGAGCGGTTATGAATGTCTATGATGAAACGATCTCAGCTGGTGTAACCCCTAAACCAGTCGAAGAGTGTGGACTTCATCCTGAATCAGAAATTGGGATTCAACAGGCGTCTATTTTAAGTTGTGCACAGCTGATCTGAGCCAGAGGATTGTTTACATGACCACTTTTTGACATTCAAACTGGTGATACTGTGTCATCTGTCAACATGGGGTGTGATCAATTCCAATCTGGTGTTTACATGCTTGAGACAGCGATCATACCCTTCGCAGCAGGACATCATGGCAGCACGACTCATAAGGTAGACCGCCAACTTTAACATTATGGCAGAATGAAATTATAAAACAGATTAAGACTAATTCCTATTGTGTGGACTGGAAACTTTAAAAATCACCTTATTTCTGGTGGAAACTAACATAAATGAATCTCTGGACAGTTTTGCGCAGCCATGTTTCTTTAGTGATCTAAACTGATTAGAGGTCATCATGCAAACCCATTCACAGTGCAGGTTCTCAGTAGTCTATGTAGGCTGCTGTTGGCCTGATTGAGAAGTTTTGCAGGTCTATCATAAAGCTGTTTTTCACTCTTTTGTAGTCAGACTTTTGGAGGTAAAACATTCGACATAAGGTTCATGTTTGTTTCAGAGTTTAGCAGCAAACACAGACCTGCCGACTCCACCTGACTCCTCCTTGGTTTGTATTTAAAAAGCTGAAGGCTCATAAATCTTGCGCTCCTTTTGTTTGCAGTTCTTTGTGCAATAAACAGCAGTGTTCGCAGTACGACACTGGTCATGTGTGGCAACCCTGTCACCTGCTGATTAACTGGGTCATAAGATAGGCTGGATAAAGAGATTTATAACCGAAAAGCTGCCAAAACTATTGGAGCTCCCCCTACAGGCTGGCTGCAGCATACCTGTATTCTCCATGTAAACAGATGGGACATGGATCAAACTTTTAAAAGAGATTGCAAGCCGATTGCAAGTCGGGTGTTTTGGTTTAACTTCTGTACAGTCAGGGGATCTTACATAGTAATATTTTCATTGTACTCAAAAGCATTGGAAATCTTACCCAGCATGCCCTTGTTTGGCTCAGATAGACACATGTCCTTCTCTGCAAAGGGCAGCACGAAGCCGACCACAAAGATCTCCACGCCATCCGCCATCAACGCCAGCCCGAGGACAAAGTAGAGTGTCCACTGGAACTTCCCGTGGCCGCACTCCTGCAGGATGGTCTCGTACTGCTGGGCCAGCTCCTCCTGGTCTTTCCTCCGCTCGCCCTCATAGGCGGACAGATCTCTGAACTGCTGCGCCTGCGCCGCCGTCACCCCATCCATGCCTCCGGCTTTTCCCGATTCAGCCCTGGGGATGCCCTGGTACTCGCCTTCGTAGATCTCATCATCCTCATCATGTCCTTCAGTGGAGTCACTGTGGCCTTCCTCGTCATTGGCTCTGCTGTCATTGCGGTAATATCCGCCATCATTACCCGGCGCGCCGGCGTAGTCGTCATCATCATCCTCCTCCTCAAAGCGTTTGTAGGAGCGCTTGCTGTACTCGTCAGCCATTCTGTCCACGCCGCGCCCTACCTTTTTGCCAACCTGTTTCTTGGCCACTTTGGCGATGTCCTTCGCGCCACGAATGAAGTCTGAGCGGCCATCTCTGTATCGCCCGTCGTCCTCCATCTTGGAAATTGGGGTGGTGGTCGGTCGCTGCTAGGATGGGAGCTATCAGGATCGGCCCATGCACATGAGTGGGACAATTTCTGTTAGCTGGTGAATTCAGCACCGCGGACAGCTCCCTGCTCCTCTGCACTACTGCTGCTGCTGCTGCTGCGCTCTGGCCGGTGCGAGCTCAGACGCCAAATCCTGTGGAGACAGAAGAAGAAGAAGAGTTCGCCTGTTAGAACAATTCATCACCATGACAGCGTGTTGGGAGGAAACATCCATAGTAAGCACATTTTTAGGAGATCTACATCAGGGCCAATTTACTCCGAATTACAAAAGACTATTGCAGTCACAGCGACACTGCCTTTGGAACGACAGAGGACACTTATCTGGCTCAGCACTAATGGCCGAGAAAAAAGGACATGACAGCTTTAAGGGGCTGACATCTGAGTGTGGAAGCGCGGTGGCCTGTATTGACTGAACAGCAGTTATCTCATAGCTCTCTCCCCGACTCGGCACAAATCACAGCGTGGCATTTACAGTGGCACGCCGCAGAGACGACATATTATGGATCCTGCTGCGACACAGACATGTAATTAACAAGCAAGGCTGCAATGTGCTGCAGTATAGGTCAATGTCTGCAGAGGCTCCTGCTGAGGACTTTTATGGCCACAGTGAGTGAGCTCATGTTAAAACCTTTTATTATGAAGAAAATGTCTTCAGACTTATTTTATAGAGAAAACCACTGAGTGCGAATACAATAAACATCTTTTTAATGTCCATTATTCTCACTATTTAAGTCCATCATTTAACAACACCAATGTCTCATCTGTTTAAGACTGCACAGGAATGAGCCATCATAAATCAGTCGCTAAATCACCCTGCTCTTTTCCTCCACACTCAGTCAGTGTGACGCTGACCTCGTTTGTCTCACTAATGAGGGAGAAGAAGAGGACGATGAAGAGGAGGAGGAGGCCTGCTATTAAACTAACAAACTAAACAAACTCAGCAGGGGGATCATCGTTAACACGTGTGTTAGTGTGAGCTTTGACATGATCTGGGCGACTCCTGCTGGAGCTTTGATACAAACAGATCACATTCATTTTTTATATTTTAGGTGAGCGATCATCTTGTTATTAAAACTCCCTCAAAATTCAAGGAAAAACTTGTACGAAGAGAAACTTTCTGATGTTTTTTTACAGGGCTGGGCCATTCTAGCAATGACCATAAAAAATATCACATTTCCATTCTATAATTTTGACTCATTTTGTCTTCAGAACACCTGTTGGAGTTGCCAAATAAGATACTTAACCACAAGTTTGAGTGGCAGGTTATAAAGAAAACTAATGACATCAAACAAGTCTCAAATATTGCATAAAGTGAACAGCAGCAGATCCACTCTCCGATGTCAGACATACCAGATTGCACTTATCTACGCCCTAATCTTAAAGGAAATCCCTCATGTGGAGCTTCGTTCTGTAACGAGCTGCTCAGAAACGTCTCCATTACCTTCAGTTATGTTTGTTTGTTATTCTGCTTTGTGTGGGCTACGGCTGCAAGTCCATCACTCGTGCTTACATCATTTATCGTATTTATCATGAGATGGCAAACATTTACCATGGAGGATTTTTCTGACGATATATCATGAACGATAATTTATCGCCCATCCCTAGTTTTTCAAAGGTTTGGTAAGTTAAGTGCACAAGTAAAGGGAAGGATAATACTCTCATACTTTGCTGTTTTGGTTTGCACCAATTTTGCGCCCCCTATGGACAAAATAATGACTCAGATATTGCGTCCTGTATATTTGAAAGTAGAGGTTTAATTCTGCTGCATCTCTCAGTGTGAGTACTCGCCATGGTAACAGTAAAATGAGGCTGTATTTTCAGCCTGCTGGTCTGTCATCTCTCCCTTCACAGCAGTTTCAGGCATAAAAAAATATCTGTCTTCTTGCTGATGGTCTAATTTGCTTCAGAAGGTCATAAAGAGGCATCAGTAACTTTTTCAGTCTGTAGAATATCCTCACTGTGTCTTTAAGGTCGAGGTAAGATTAGTTTTTCCTGTTAAAGACTTTGTTTAGCAGACATTATTAGGAAAATAAAGACCATTAAAAACAACAAAAGTATTCACCCACACACAGGCGAAATAGATAAGAGAACTAAATGAAATCAAAGTCTAACAGACAACAAACAGCAAACAACAGACTGAGTCAGTCATTAAGAAAGTCATCAACAGCTGAGACAAATTAGTTTCTTTATCTCTTCGTTTCACATGCTGGCAGGCTGGATCTGTGGCCGGAAGAAGCAGCTTCAACTCTGTAAACACCATCAGCCGAGTGTCCTGTCTCTGTGCAGGTGTGAAGGATGAGGAAGTGTCACGCCTACAACTTTATTATCATTTCTGCAGATTGTTAGATTTGCATCAAGATGGGAAACAGGCTGAAAAATCAAAACTCTTCACTTCTACAAGTCAAGATTCATCCAGGTCATCTGGAAGCTCATCAGCACTTCCCATTTTCTGACTATCAACCATGTTTGAACACAGCAAGATTGAACATTTTTAAGTATTCAAGTATTGTTTTCCATTTACATGACGTCTGTACTGCATCTCTCTCAGGCACTTAGAGGAGGTAAGGTTTATTTTCTCTGTTCAAATGCAAATGCAGCAGTATGCAATTATGAGTCATTTTAAAGGCAGCAGAGCTTTATCATTCAAATGTAAACTGTACAAATTCACTTTATAGAAGCTTTTCTGTCATTAAGGTCCTCGACTCAGAAGCACTTAGAAAATTGGCTCAATTCAACTGTATAATTAGAATGCAGGTACTTTATACAAACATGCTGCTCGGACTAATCTGCTGAACACAATGTTTTTTTTTCTCCCCAACCCCTAAGTTTATCAAAATCAAGATATTAAAAAACAAAAAACAGAATTTTCTCATGACCAACACTGCACTGTCTGACATGAGTTTTTTATCACTCAATCCTGCTGTGCTAAAATATTGCAGACTCTGATTTATTAGTGCCAATACAACTCTGTCTGTTTACTGTTTTTCTGCAACGAGAGCAAACATGAACCCCTGCATGTTGGGGTGATGAGACCAAGCAGAGACGACGCCTCCCCAGAGAGAAAGAGAGACACCCTGGGTCTCTACTGCAGCCACAGCCCAGACTCTTTCCAGTAGTTTCTCAGAGTCTTTAGAAAGAGCAGCAGCAGCAGCAGCAGCAGCTCAGCGGGGGGCGAAGAGGAAATGTTAAGCCTGAGGGAGCTGGCAGTACCCAACAATACAACCAATAACACTGGGAAACAATGTACCGAGGACTATAGAGTCTCACAGAAAAAGAACATTATGTCCAACCTTGTCTGTCTGCGTGCAGCATTTCTTGTCTGTTCGAGTTAAAGCCACAAAGTAACCTCAGTTATAGCTGATTTTGAACGTGCTCCTAAATACTGAAACTGAAATAACACATTTTAATTGTTCCTTTTTTATTTCCCCTCTTCATAAAACAGAACTTTGTAATGACTGATGATGAGTCACAGAAACCCAGAACCCCTCACAACAAGGAAATGAGACTGCAGAGAGAATAAGGGTTTAAAGACATCACATTGGACCTTTAATTTCATGGATTTTAAAGTGAAATGAGGAGCACAGCACAGTGAAAAATACTCCTACGCCCCTCAATCCCCTGCCCACAGAATTACCCGCCTAGGGAGGGTGCAGCAGGAGCAACGCAGGCTAATATCCAATTTTTCTGAGTCATCCTCCCTGTTTGCTCTGGTCCAAACCTGCCAAATGTTGAACAGCAGCCCCTCCTCTCACTTATCCCCTCCCCGACTCTCTGCTTCAGCTGGAAACTCAGGAGATTAAGGTATTTATACAAATCCAATTCCTGCTTACTGTACAGTAAATAAATGCTGCGTGCAATTCCTAAATATAATAAAACACACGTTCTTATAATTCATATATGATGGTGTCATTATCTGACAACATTATCCTCGTTGTCTTGGTAAAAATAAACATCATCCTCTCTGAAGAAAGGCACGTGTCGGTATTTGCTACCAATTACTGAGCAGTTCGCGTGCTTTTCTCTGACCTCTGACACCGTCTCTCTGCAACACTCACACAAAAACCTAAATTGTATCGGAAGAGGCCAAGGGTGGGAGTGGTTCTGCATGCATATTTATGCAAATTACACCAGTCATTACAACACCGCAGGAGCAAATTCAAAATGGCTCGTCGAAGGTGGGAACAGTGCAGCAAAGGCTGTTTTTTCTTCCATGGGGCTGATGAATGACTGAAACTCATATGCAAAGGCAAGGACATGTTTTTTTTGTAATATGGGACCTTCAGGGGAAGAATAATAGCAACTACTGAGAAGAATTACCTCCACAGAATACATGCAGTTCACATCGCTCAGTGCAGGTAATTTCCCCTCTCCTCTCTACAGGAGCTGCATTTGTTCAGAGAGCTGTCAATCACAGCGCCTTACTTAATCCATTTTTAGCATCAATCAACGATCCAGAGTCAACTCAGGAAATGAACAGGAAATATGCTGCAGTTTGGACAATACAACAGTCCTTGTCTGGTGTTTATAGACTGGGATTATGACAGTATAGCTGAAATTGTAGCTCGACTGAACTGTGGATGTAACCGTGCCGAGTGTCTTCTGTGCACAGTTGGACCTCTGCAGATACAGACACAGCTGGAGGGTGAACCTCATCTGGATCTACGGATGGGAACCGAGAACCTGTTCTTGTTGAGAGCCGGTTCCAAATGGTTCAATCCATCGACATCATTTACATTTTATCTCTCGAGGGGGTGTCTAACTCGGTGTTACGGTGTGTTCGACTCTAAACTAATTTTACGCCGGAATATCCCTTTAATATGATTGCTATTGTTTATGCGCCTCCAGTCAACTTGTTGTACAGTGAAGATCTTGTTACAAAGTCGAAGATTTCAATACAGATTTCTACCAGTTTCCTGCTCTATCCACTCACCTATCCTTTCAGAATAAAAGCCCAAAAAGTTAACTTTAAGACAAAGGTGATTTGAATTATGATAATCTCTACTATCAGCATCTTTTCAGAACTAGACCCTCTTCAGGAAAACAATTCATTAAAAAGGCGCGGCTGCAACAAATCAACATCCTAATTTAGGAGTCAGATTCAATAAACTGATAAATGAGACAATATTACATACAAGATCATTTCATTAGTCCAGCAGGCCCTGACTTCTCAGTGTCACCCTTGTCTGTATTTACCGTTTGACTAGGAAGTGATCAGAAAACCGATCAATGAATCTATGAGCCATGTAATTTATACAGGACAGGATGATCGGAGGTGCTCAATTACACAGTAATAGAGGCAACAAACATGAAGACAAACCTCAGTGGCACCAGGATTATTGATAACACGGTTTATTAAAATGTTTCCAAACTATTTGTTAAATATTATTTCTGAAGCAGGAAGTCAGTTTTCTCGTTACAGCAGGAAAACAACAACAGCTGCTGCAGACAGAAAAAGGAGGGAGGGTATCAGACGGTGTGAAGCAGGAGGGAGGAAACCTCTGAAAGCTTCCTGTGCAGCCTCAGGGGCGATGAACAGACACCAACTGATGCCGAGCTAACATCACATGACCCACAGGTCCACTGGGACCGCTGAGTTTCTAAGAACGCGCTCGCTGAAAGCCAGCTGATACTGAAACCGGAGGAGACGGGGTTTCTCCTGTCTGTGCGTCAGGATTTCGACTGAGTAATGAAATAAATAGAGATGATAGAAACTAAATCTCCTTTAGTGTCTCTTTGATCAGATGATAAAGTGCAAAGACTGCAGACTCAGCATGACGCAACCAGATGTCAGAGGCTGAAAGCTGTACAAGCGTTTATATTCGTTTTATTTAGTTTGAACTGCCCCAAGACGAATTAGATTTTAGATCATTTCAAACCCTTACATCACTTTATGTTCAAACATACTGAAGCATTAGGATCTTTAATAAGACATGAGGCTTTTACACACTTCAGAGTTTTTCCTCAGGCAAGCTAAGAGTGCAAACACACTCACAATAACTAGACTTATCTGCCCAGTCTATGATGTTACAATTAAAGCAGTGCTATCATGCTAACATGAGCTTTGTAACAAGTGGCACATTAAAGCTTCTCAGAGTCAATAATATAAACTGAAACTTATGAAAATACCTTTTTATGATAGAAAAAAAGCAAACATGACTATTGAGAACAAGACTGGACATTTTAATACTGTCATTTTTTATGCCTGGAGCCGGAGTGAGAGGGTTAAGTGTCAGATGAGGAGTCGAAAATTAAATATTTGACAGTAAAAAGTCAGCAGGATGAGCTCTTTGTCAGAAGATATACACACAAATACTTCACAAACCAAATGTTTCTATAACAGGAGCTTTAAGTACAGCGAAGACTGATAAGACTCCATTATTCAGAAGGTATTTACTATGAACCAAATCCTGGAAAAATCAAACACTGGCCTGATCAAGACTAAACACCCTATAAGACATTTCTGAACCAAGTCTCACAGCACTCTGATTAGAAACACAAACATCCAGAACCACAAAGGTGAACCTCATGTTACCTCCAAATAGCATGTCAGGGATCACACTCCTGGGAGCATGACGACCTGAAACAGTCGGCTCTTTTCAGACGATCAAATGTGTGCGGGTACAAACTCTCACTGCCTGCATTCTTCTTCTTATTTGTCATTGGATGATTTCCCACCCAGTGCATGTCAATAAGACGTCTGCTTACAGTCTGTAGTAGGAAGCCAAACAACTAGATATCAGCTGTCCGAGCAAAAGCCAAACAAAACTTATGCTGTCATGACACAAACTGTTGACTTTTTACAACCTGCAGTCTGTTGACCCGTCGACATATTTCCCTTTTTTTCAAGATGAGACAGAGTGTATTGTCCTGATTAGAACAACGTGCCATGTGGATACAAGTGGGGCTAAATCTTGACTAAAACAATGCGAGAAAATGCGACTAAAATCAGCTACATTTTTCTATAATGTGACTTAAACTAGATTCTTGACAAACACTTCATCAAACTGTTTCCATATTTCTGTCATTGTCGCCTAAAACAAACTGTTCACAAACATCATCTTGTACGGTATGTTGGGTTGGGTCATTGTCTCTTACATCTGTATGAAGGAGGAAACTTCAGATGTTTCTCGACTGCAGTTTCTTGGAGATGAGAAACAGGAACTCTTCAGGCTCAAACTGCAGGAACAAGCAGCTGGGGATAAATCTTTGTACCTCCTCAGTGACTGGAACCTCGATGTGAGTGCCTTTAGGTCAGGTCTCGCTCGATTACTCCTTTACTTTACAGCTTTGTTGGAAAGGTTACTGTAAAAAATAAGCCTTTCCACTTCTGATTTTCAGTCTGAAAAAGTGGTCCAGGGAACAAAGTAAAAATGAATTTATAGGGATCAGCCAAACAAAAAAACCCAAACCGTTTATCTTACATCACTGTGAAAGATGTTTATCTATTTATGTCAACCAACCCAACCACTGTGACCACATGTGAAGCCTAACAGCCCCAACCTGATGAGACATGGACTCCACAAGTCCTCTAAAGGTGTGCTGTGGTATCAGGCACCTTATCAGAGAGCCAAGTCCTGCAAATTGCAAAGTGGACCTACATGAACCAACCTAGTCCAGAGCTGGATCTGTTGGAGACCCAGTCAACACTTTGAAGACGCCTTCTCCATTTGTTGTAGTCCAGTTCTGATTCTCATGTGACCCTTTGGAGTCCTGGACAAGCTATCTTTGTAGCGTCATACACACCTGGACATACTGTGTGTTTTGGTGCATTTCTACCAGGCACAGAATTTACTTGTTAGTAATCTGAGCTTTTTGTTACCCTTTTGTTAGAATCACCAGTCTTTCCTCCTTGGACCAGTTTTGATAGATCCTGACTGCTGCAGACCAGGACCACGTAAGAACCGCAGTTTTTGAGACACTCTGACCCAGTCATCCAAGCATCACAATTTGGCGCTGCTCTCTCTCATTTTCACACTTTCCGTTTTTCTGTTTCCAGCACATCAACCTTCAAAGAGGACAAAGAGTTCACTCGCCGCTGCAGAACATCTCCCAATCTCTGTCAGGTGAGGCAGTGACAAGGTAATCACATCACCTGTCAGGTCCTATTGTTGTGGCTGACTGCTGTATTGAAGTTCATGGGCATCCTCTGCTGCTCTTTTATCAACACTCTCTCACTCTGGAGAGAGCGGCGGCACGTCATGAGCGAACGCTGTGAAGACATTTGGTGTTTTTTCACAGCTTGAATCAGATCCTGTGGATTGATCATTTGAGTTTTCACTTTCAGAGTTTGTTAAAATATCACAACTATACAGCGAGAGGGTTTAGCCTAAAGGTGTCAGCGTGCAAATGTAACACAAGGTATGGAGTTAGATAAGGGCTGGTCGAGTCACGAGTTGTTTTGTTTGTTTTGTTTTGCCTTGACTCACATGTTCAGATTCTGTTCAGTCAGTCTGTTGCATGATCTGTCACTCAAAAGCAAAACAAAGCCTGTTGAATTTGCGTGATTAATGGTGGTGAAAGCATCAAAAATTTGCTCTCCCACATTTTTCTTTAAGTAAGATGACACGAAAATTGCAAAACAGACTCAAATACATGTTTTTGATGAAGCACCTAAAGACCCTTTTATTATTCACCAAAGTGTGTGTCAAACAAGAAAACCAATGGAATACCCAATTTAGGGCTGGGCGATATGGCCTCAAATCAATATCACAATATATTGAGCAGTTCACCTCGATAACTAGTCCCCAAGCTGCTCACCTCCTCCCACATTAACTTTGTCTACTCCAGCGGCTAAAACTTTCTCTCCGTCCTCCATCTCCTCACTTGTCTTCCCTCTTTGTTACAGACTGGATGGGGCGGAGTCACATCTCTGATGTAGGACAGCGTCTTAAAAAGGACATGAGACCATAGCCTACCTACACACATCCAAAACTAACTTTTATTTTTATTTTTAGATACCGAATATATCGACATGGGCAAAATGGCGTCCGTTATTGTCGTAAATTTCGGTTTCTGTAAATTTTGGGTTCATCCCCCAGCCCTAACCTTAAATATGGCTTTCCTCCCCAGTGCATGACAGTAAACTCATTGAAAACAAAAACCATTTTGCTCCTGTCCCAAGTTAATTAAAGTCGTCGATTGTATAAAATCTTCTAGAATAACAGTTCTCTATCATTACAGCCGAAATATTTAGAGCTCCCCCTGCTGGCTGGGCGAGGTACGGATCATAAAGTCCATCTCCTTCAGGAAATCATCATCAACAACCTTATTTAGGCCTCAAAAATCGTTTAAGTTTCCCTCATTTAATCAACGCCTCTTGAATTTTCTCTTAAATTTCTGTTTTTAATTTTCAAGAAGGACAATTTGACAAGTCAACATGCAGTTTTGTTTTTACAAGGTCAACATGCAGCCCTATCTTTGGATCTAAGACCGGAGTTTACTGAGGTCAAGAGTGCATGGATTGGCCAGGTTACGATGAGAGCGCCCTCTGCTGGGTCTTAAGCCTTAAGTTTCTTGCCGTATGATCCCCCAGAGTTTTGAATGATTTTTGCTGAGAAGTGGCATCCCTAGTCCGAGTTAATAGTGCCCCAAAACATAAATTAAAAATGTATTAATCTGGTCAGTTTTACATGATACTATGAAGTCAGTCACGGCTGAATAATGTATGCGAACTTGCCAGCGCAGGAATCACAGCCTCATGAATGAGTTACAACCTAACCCATTAGACCACCTCACTGAGCAGCATGACACGGTTTATTAATGAATGTTTTCACTGAAATCACAAACTGAGCAGCTCATCAGTTGCTTTAAGTTTCATCATATTCTGAAATACAGTACAAACACTTCTTACTGTCTAAAACCTGAGCTCACCTCCTCTGATCTATGTCCTGAAAGTAATCCCACCATTACGCACACATTACAGGCTGCGTCAGCCATGACGGTCGGGCTCGCTCGCTCCTCTCGGCTGCAGAAAATTGGATTTCATGGCTCGAAAACAAACTGCCAAAAGAGCGGCATGCAGCTCACTCCAGGCTTCAAATCCAACGTCCCTGGAGATATTTATGTTTGACACTACATATGACGCCACGGAGAGCGAGTGCATGTTCTGCTGCCGTCTACGGTTCGCTGAACATACAGCGCGGGCGGGATGCATTAAAGATGAGTTTAGTGGAGGGAAAGAGGATATGACCTTGTTTGCAGTTTTCATGAACAAATAAAAAAAAGATGGAGGACCAGACGGAGGAGCGGTGTGTTGGAATATTCATGGAAAGTTGGCTAGACACTGGAAATACTACAGAGAGCGAGAATTAACTTTGAACGACAACAGAAACAAAAATATTGAGTCAGTTTGTATCTTTGTCGGTTTTTATATTTACCCTGCAAACTCTGCAAACATTATTGTGACCCTTCCCTATAGACTGTATATACACAGATAAGTTTAGGTTCAATAAATGCTTGTGAATTGCTGTATTTGTGAAGGCAGTGGAGCCTCTGCAGAGTCTTAATAATGCTCCAATGGTGCTGTTTGAATCTGCCTATGAGTCCATGCCAAGGAGAGACCTCTGGTTTAGAGAAATGACAGCCGTACAGAAGTGCTAAAACTGCAGTTCCTTAAGTGTCCACTCGAGACTGGCTGCAAAGGTCAGGGAATCCCCATTGATCTGAAACTCAAAATTAGGTTAGGTCAGCATTTCCAATATGACAAACGCCGCCAATGGACTTCGGAACTCAACTACAAAAACCAATGAGTGACGTCACTGAGACTACATCTATGTTTTGAACCGCTTACAGTCCACACACTGGGATGAAAACACTCCTCAACCTGAAAGATATGTTAAAGTGTAACGTTGGAAGAGTATGAGTCTGAGGTGTGGTTATGACCTCCACTGTAGCAGTGTGCCTTTTACTTTGCCTCTTACTGTCAATATTGTTTGTAATTAAAAAATAAAGATCCATCTAATGAAGATTTAATACAAGGGCTGTGATCGATATTTTTAGTGATCAAAGTTTGGAAAGGTAAGTTAAACACACAGACTGTATATACTATGGACAACTTGGTTCCACCTTCCGCTAGTTTACAGATTTGAAGCCAAAAAGCTCTCGGTATTTCCGGGTTTTTTCTCCACTTCCTGAAACCAGTAGTATTGTACGCATTTGGCGAGAGAATTGCTGTGACGACACTCGGCTCAAACAGCGTATCCCCGGTTGAGCTACGCAATCTTCGTGCACCCATAGTCTGTATCAAGTGTCAATCATAAAAAACATGAACCCCCTAATAACTTTTAAAAATGAAGCTGTACAGAAAAAAGAGGACTTGAGCACAAACCAGTTTTACAGTAACTACATGTCAACATCGCAACCAATGGGGAGAAAAATTTATATTCTGTGTAATAAATTTCTATAGTTTGTCAACAGCTCCATAGGGATTGCTGGAGGAGGCGGGATTTATGACCTATACTGCAGCCCGTCACCAGAGGGTGCTGTTCTCACGGTGGCTTCACCCAGCGAGGAGGCAGACGGCGTCCATTCTATATATTCTATGAGTTAAACCCAAAGTGCTTCATACTGCAGCTGATGGTCACAGGTCCTGTCACCCCTTAGAAAATCCCTTCTGCTGGTCTCCTGGTCTGGTGCAGAGGCCGCCCATAAATCCTCATTTCAAGTCTCTGGACATCTAGACGATGGACAGCTGGAATGTTCTCACTCCTCTCGGCACAGAGACTAAATCACTTTCCTATTTCTCTCCGAGGAGTCAGGCGATTGGTCGGTTCTCTTCGGTCGCCATGGTCTCAACCTTTGTACTGGGACTCTCGAGGCCCATCTAAATGCAATGAGACAACCAATCACCATCCGATTAGCCCTTCACAAGCTGGAACAAGGGTGGCTGCTGGCTGACTCTCAGCCTATGAATAGCAAACACATACTGGTGTGCACGTGCAGGGTTACAGTGCAGCTGTGGCCACTTCATCACTGCAGTTCAATCAATCTGCATAATGACTCATGGGTATAAAGAAGAAATATATTCTGACTCTCTCTGTGTGCAACTGGATTTTAATGAAGACAAAAACCTCACTGGGATGGAAAGGAAATATAGGGTCTGTGCTCGCAGCATAAAGAGTTATAGTGAACAAAATGATTTTGCAAACTGCTCGAGCATCTCTAATGAAGTATAAACTAATAATATATTTAAACTCTGGAGGGGGATCGAGCGAAATTGTCTGTTGTCGCTCGGTGCTGATGAAAGACTTAATTATGTAATCTCATTTTCTTCCAGAGCGCGGAGCAGACACAAGAGGGAGGGGGGATGCAGCCTCACTCGCTCACACAGTCAAACGCTTGTGCAAGGCAGCAGCAGCAGCAGCGGGAGCGGCGGCGGTGACATATACGCTGGAGCTAATGAAGAATGTTGTCTGAGGCCGAGCTTCATCATTGTTTTACAGTTTGTCTGGGGAAGTAAAGACTGAAGGAAATCTGAAAAAAATCTATTTACAGTCTGTTCAAACATTTGAATAATTGTTGATATTAGCCTAGATGTATCAGGAGGTCTGATCAGGTCCATCTGGGACCATCTGTGGCATTAACGTCACAGAACTGGAGCAAATACACAGTTTCAGGGTTCCTACACTGTTGGAATTCCCATACTTTTCCATACTCTACTATTTGGAATTATTTTTGGAAATACCTACTTTTCTATTTAAAAAAAAAAACTACTTTAGAACTGTGGTAATAGTCTGGAAACATGAGTATTTTTCAATACTTTACATTTCATTTTCCATACTTTTTAAGACCTGGAAATTGATCATATTTATTTCCACACTTCTCTATACCTTCCTCACTTCACAGTCACATTCTTGAAAAAGTAAGAAACAATAGTGGAGTAAAGCTTTGATACCTTTAGTAGCTGAAGTACTTCACATTGTGGAGAAAAAAACTGAGCAAAAAGGTGAGAAAATATTCGATTCACACCGTCACATGATCATTTTAATAAAGTGTTGATCTTTCTGCTTAATAAAGCTAGGTGAGTGACTTGGTTTTAATTTCAATCACCAGTACTGCTCTCTATGGTCATAAACATATGTACAATGGCCCTGAGGAGCAAAACACAACACAATAAGAGAAAACACAAGACAATAAGAGAAAACACAACATATTAGAAAACACAAAACAATAAGAGGAAACGCAACACAAAATGAGAAAACATCGGCAAATCAAAACAACAAAAGAGAAAACAACACAAAGAGAAAACACAACAGCAAATCAGAAAAAACAATGACATTAACCATTATGTTTTCTCTTTTTGTGTTGTGTTTACTTATTGTTGTATTTTCTCTTTTTGTGTGGTTTTCTTATTTGTTGTGTTTTATTGTGTTGTGTTTTCTCTTTTTGTGTTTTGTTTTCTTCTTTGCTGTTGTGTTTTCTCTTTTGCTGTTCTGTTTTCTCTTTTGCTGTTCTGTTTTCTCTTTTGCTGTTCTGTTTTCTCTTTTGCTGTTCTGTTTTCTCTTTTTGTTGTTGTGTTTTTTTCTCTTTGTGTGTCGTGTCAGGGCCACTGTACATATGGTAGTTGGGACTGGATCACATTGTTCAGCCTGCCATATCTCACTTTTCTTTGTCTGTGTCTGAAAAGCTAAGGGACGGTGTAAGCATGACAACAGAAAGGCCGTAACAATCAAGTCCACGGTTATTCACACGAGTCATTGCCACAGCATATCAAGAAGAGCCGGGGTCGATTTTATACCTAGAAATCCAAATCCACCTCGACTTTAACGTCTATCACTGAGCTCAGAGCTACAGGTGGATAAAAAGCCGGTATGTTTGATCAGAAGTTATCCAGTCATAACTATCTTCTGCTGCGAGTTTATGTCTTTAGAAGAACGGCACATTGGGAGTTTGATATTTAATTAGGGGTGTAGAGAGTCTGCCCACAGTTCCACTATTTACCTTTCAGAGCAGCACTTTAGACATCCAGCTGCCACTGAAGGAGTTGTAACCACATTAGTCTGACTCTGACAAGGCTGTTCTTTCAGCACCACTGAATTACCTCCATTCATCAGTCTGTCTGATAGCCTTGAGCTTTTAACAATTACTCTTTGCTGCACTGTTAAAACCCAAACGTTAAGAGCAGCTGATAAAATGAGCTCCTCAAAATAGATTTTCCTCTTCGCGTCGGGCCTTGGCACTCGATGATAGGAGCGGGACTTTTTATTTAGTGAAGATACAAGAGCGATTTAGCAGCAGACAGCTGCTGGCAGGAGGCTGCTGAACTTCCAGAAGATGGATGAAGAGGAATAAACCACCCAACGGTTCATATACGGAGCTGAGATCATGGCCCTTAAACCCCCCAGCTCACTGACAACAGCCTCTGAATAAAACCAGCTTTGATGAAAGGATATTGAACTTCCTGCTTCATTTATTCACTTGAGAGAGTTACTGACCTTTCCTCTGCTTTGTTTTCCTTCACTGATGCCTGAGAAAGCCATTTAGCAAAGTGTACTTAGGCTCATTTTTTAAAAGGACTAAATACAATGCTACTGTTTACATCTGCTTGAGTAAGGGCCTGTGTCCACTAAAGGCATTCTTGTGGTGTCGCCATATTTGTCAACATCACATCTCCAATCACTGACCAATCAAAATCGAGAAATGTTGGGACGTTTGAGACCAACTTTACCAACCAAATAACCACTGTATGGAGGAGAAAGTTGCCTCTTGTTTTTTAAGGGCACATTTCCAGGTTTAAAGCTACTGCTTCAACACAAGTTTTTATCAACTGTGTTTGTCTTTTTGTTGTAGAACTTTATTAATTTGACCAAAAAACAAACATAAAGCATAAAGGGAAGTTTCAAACAAACTCAACTGCCACTACTAAGAGAAACGGAAGTGGGGTTAGATGAGTTTTGTTACCTAGCAATGGAAACAGGCCCTAACACTGATTTCAAGCATAAACAACATCACAATAAGATAGATAACGGCTCCGAAAGTGGGGTTTGAGACCTCTCAAGGTTCATGAGATATTAATGGAGTATCTTTTTGAAATATATGAATTGCATCGATTATCAACTGTTGTAAAACTATAAACAAATAATGTGGTAGAAACATATATAACGCCATTCCAAACCAAATATTTGGCTTTAAACTAGAATGAAACTTACTTCTGCGTCTAATTATCAAATATTATCTTTTTATATCTACTGTCTAAATATTTGGTTCACTTTATTTCTGTTCTAGCCTTCATTAAATCACTGTATCATTATATCATGACTATAAGCCTGTTTCTTCCTGTTGTGCTGATCTAATTTCTGTTTTTGGATTGGCCTGTTAGAGGCTTTGGGCAAAGTTTTACTACCTCAACTAACAGTGGGGTGGAGAACCCCAGTCTCAGGGACTGTTATTTTGGGGATCCTACGCTAAAGAGTTAGAGCGCCCCTGAGGTAGACTGAGAATGGTGTGAACAATCAAGGCAAAATATAGAAAATAAGAAGTTATATTTAGGGATGCACGATATTTATCGGACCGATAAAATATCGGCCGATTTGGGGGGAAATTACGTCATTTTTTATCGGTCCGATAGGTGCATTTTTCCGATAGAAAGATCCGATATATTAATGAAATTACGAGTAACGTTTGCAGGCGGAGTAGCCGCCCGTCCGAGACGCGCTGGTTACGTCATCTATCGCGCCTTACTCGCAGGTCCCAAGCCTGACCCCTGTCACTACCTGACAGATAATAAAATGTCTTCACCAGCACGGTCGTTCCTCTCAGTGGCAGAAGATGACAACAGCATTGCTATATGCAAAACCTGTTCAGCGAGGATTCCGAGAGGAGGAAAGAAGACGTCAAGTATTAACACAGCGAATCTGATAGCCCATCTGAAAAGTCGCCATCGCGGCGAAGCGGTATTAAAAGACTATGAGGCAGCCGCCGAAGCTGCTAGCGGTACTAAAGCTAAGACAACAACACTACGGAGGATCGATGTCCCCATTCAGCAGGCGTTTAAGAACTGCAAAAGTTTCTCAAGAGACAGCGAAAAGGCTAAAGCCATTAACGACAAAGTGATGGAGTTCATAGCGGTCGACGACCAGCCTTTTTCCGTCGTTGAGAACCCGGGTATAATAGCACACTTGGAGCCACGTTACACTCTCCCAAGCCGCCGCTTCTTCTCGGATGTGTGTTTTCCTGCACTCTATGATATTGTCGCCACATACATTCACAACCTGATCGACAAGAACGGACTACACGTGAGTTTTACCACAGACATATGGACGTCAGATGTTAGTCCGGTCAGCATGCTAATCCTAACGTCTCATAATAGCTCCTTTACAGTTTACAGTTCTGTTGAACAGTTCAGGGGATCAAATGAAGTTCTGCTTTTTGCTCTGTTATTGTTATTTATAGCTAATGACCACATTTGAAGAGCCAAAAACTTTTGTTTGTTGTTCTAGATAGGCCAGAGCAACAAAAATATCAGTTTTCAATCACTGCATCCTGCACAAACTGCAGATTTTATGAAGATTATAATAAATGTTAAAATATGAATTTATCGGTTATCGGTATCGGTATCGGCCATGAGAAGAAGAAAATTATCGGTTATCGGTATCGGTTGAAATTTTTCATATCGTGCATCACTAGTTATATTAAAGTTTAAACTGTATTTTAATTATTCTACTTGGCCACTTTGTGATTTTAAAAACAAGTCTATGTTACTGAAAACAAGAGCTGTGGTTCTTCTTTAGTAAAAACAGCTGCAGCAACAACCTCCAATGAGACATCATGGAGGTATGATGTATCGACTGAGCACATCTGAAACTTTCACAAGCTTTGCAACCACTGTAAATCCACAAAACACTCTCAAATTTATCATTACTTCTCCTTGAATTTGGCACAAATATGTAAAAATACTGGTAGAGATACCAAGCATTTGTCACTTGAAGGTAAAACATCCTCTGTACTGTCTCTGTGTTCTTCAGGTAGATTATTCCCATTTGGATTTCTCACATTTTGTTGAAGCTGCATCCAATTAACAGCCCTTCATTTTCCGCCAGCATGACTCATTTCTCTCTCCAAATATAACCCCAGCTTTCAGCACCATGCGGAGGAACACTTTGACACTTTAACACACAGCTTCATGCGTGCAAACTCGAACTCGTCGTCTGCAAATCTTCGGATTATTTCTCTGTTCAAACATTTGATCAAAACAACTTTAATGAACTCAACATTAAATCACTGTTTGTTGTCCATACTGAGGGAAAAGTTGTGATTATTGATATAATCATTAACTTACACTTTAAAATATTTCATCTGTGTCAATAATTTTACAAGTAATTCCCCTGATTGTGTGAACTGAACCTTTAAATCGACAGCAGACTCTTACATTTCATGTTTTTACGCCGTTACTGTACTGTAGATTTGTGCGGTCGCCCCAGTCTCATAGTCACTTTCATTCACACACTGAAATAAATCTCGATGCTCATTTGACGGCACAGACGCTGCAGTGACTGAGTGTGACCAGGATGAGCAGGAGTGTATGTGTGTGTGCATGAGAGAGAGAGAGAGAGAGAGAGAGAGTGATAGGGAGGAGGGGTGGTGATAGATGGGGATGATTCGGTCAGTGGTGAGTCCTCAGAGCTGCAGATGGCTGATAATGTCGTGCAGCGCTGCATTAATTTCACTTGACATCTCTGATTTCTCGTCATAATGCCCGAAGTGGATTTACTCCTCTGATAGTCCGTCCCTGAGGCTCAGATCAGTCCTGATCAAGAGGACCCTGATAAAAGGAGGCATGGGTGAAATGTAAAGGGTACACAATGTACTGAAACAAATCCTGCCTTTAGCTAGCATTTCTCGTGTCCATCCAACATACAAGCTGGCACTAAAGAATAAATCATGTTCCCAAACTAGATTTTCCCTCTAATGTCAAATTCAGATGGTTGACAGCAGGCCGGAGAACCAGCGTTTTCATGGCAACTACTCAGGATGATGCACTTCACTTTTAAAAGGCTACAGAATGAGGGAAGTGTCCAAAAACACTTCTTTTACATGGATAGAACATGAAATAAGAGGTATCACTTTGTCCACAGGGGGCGCCAAATTAGCACAAACCAAAACTTCCTCACAGCAGCTTTAACTGACCAGTTATTCAGGTGTCTATGGAGGAGTGGTGTTTTAACTGTTAACGTGTGCATCCCTATCATGAACACTAAGAAGCAGAACTATCTCTAAACTAGTTTGACCATATTCTGAATCCCCAAAAAGAGGACACGACTACAATGGGGCGGAGTCACAGAGTCGGGCGGAGTTTATTTTGAGAGTTTTTTGGGTTGGATCAAGTGTTTTTTACATGCTTCTAACTGAGCAAGTCCACACGACACAAACTTAAAACTTACATACAAAACCCTGGACATTTGAAGGATTTTTTTACTCTCCTGGACAAGGTCGGACAGGTCGGACAGCCCCCCAAAAAAGAGGACATGTCCAGGTAAAAGAGGACGTATGGTCACCCTATCTAAATCATGTGGCAGCCTCCATGGAGGAAGAATTAAGCTGATGCAGAAGTCACAAAAAGTGTAGTACCTGGAGCGACCACTTGAGGCAGGCCTTGAAAGGGAGTCGGTCCTTATTTAGTTCAATAATAGAATGCCAAATTCAAACACAGGAAGATAATAAAAAAAAAAAAACAAGAAAATTGGTTTCACTTTTGTAAATGTCCCCCTTTTTATATAAATTATCCATTGACTCATATCGTGTCTTAAAGCAAACAAACTCCCATTAATAATTCGGTCCGGTCAAATAAAGTTGGTACTCCGATCTGTCACATTTGTTATTTTCTTCAGTATGTTATTTGGATGTTTTATCTATAATTCACAAACTGAAAAGGCAATTAAAAGTCTGTCCTCCTTTTCCTATTTAACCGTCTACTTACGTTTGTTCGTCTTAGAGGGTGTTTGGTTTGGTGTTCATTTTCTTTGTGATCTTTTGAGCGTTTCAACTTCACTGGAAAACAACAGAAAATACGCCAATCTTTTATAAACCATTGTTCCTCACCGCCCACTAAGATGCAAATGAGAACTCTTGAGATCACGAGAATAAAAACCGACTTTATATTCATGCTGGTTTCTCTGAAAAACTACCAATAACTGAGGTGGAGAGTCCTCCCTGCTCTCTGCAGTGAATCCGGACCATTGCGTTTTGGGTCGGGTCAGTGCAAACAGCCCCCATCCTCTCTCCGTTTGAAGATTACCCCCCACAAGACTCAGTCAACAAACACCTACGCTCACAATGAAGCTCTCTGTGAGTTCAGACCAAAGCGAGAGATCACATCCAGCCGTACGGTCATTTCAGATCTGCTCATCCAGGAGGAAAATAGAAGCGAGGCAGCTGTCCGTATAAATACACGTAACATCAGCTATAGGGGCAGTAACATACTGCTGACGGAGGAGCTGCCATGCACTGTGAGCTTCACTGCTCAATGTATATGCAAGTCAGACACCATTTAAAAGGTATTTTAACTGCATTCAACCTTTAAAATGGTTTGTTTAGAAAGACTCAGAGTTCATGTAGTGCCTAAACAAGCCAAGCAACAGCTTCCTGTGGCAACTCTGTATTTCAATTCATCGATCTGCAGTCCTTGGCCGTCCTCATACATCACTTTTCTATCAACTACTCTGGTCTGAGCTGCCTGGGGAGTCCTGCTGAGTGCGGGCGAGAGATCCATCCATTATTCATGTCTTGTTTTCTGGCCACAAGGACGGAGGTGCAGGAGTTGACTCGTCCCTCAGCGGTGATGTATAGGTGCAATAAAAAAAATAAAACTCCTGTCCTGTCACTGCAGCCTCGGTCCGACTCCTGCTTGTCTCCACCGACCACAGGGCGACATCTGCACGGAGCCGCTCGGGAAGTGACAGTTTCACTCAGCTGCAGCGTGTTCCCGCTCGGCTCCAGGCCCGTACAGAGCAGCAGCCTGAGAGGAGGGGGTGATGATTGGTTGTTAGGCGCACTGGGTTGTTGCTCCTCCCTGGATGCAGAGTCCCCCGTTGGGAGAATCTGCAGTCTAACATGAGTCACGTAGTTGTTTCCCTGTTTGGGGCTGTGGGTGTGCACCGTCACCCTGGTGGCATCCAGGGGGCTAAGCAACACCATGTCAAACACGGTGACGTCAGCTCTCTGCATCCATTTTGGCTTTGCTTGCTGCAAAATGGACCGAAGAGGAGTCAGACTGAGGGCAGCTGAGAGGTGCAGTTCAGAGCAGCATGTGAGGGGAACAGTGTGGTGCACAAAACAGCAGCTCAAACAGCTCACATTAGTGTAATCTCAGTGAGTTAACTGCATTAGCGTTCACCACCTGTGAAACAAGTGAGATCAGCAGTCATTGTTCATTTAACCAACTGGTGTGTTTGAAAACTGGCACATTCACTCAAATCTGGGGGAAAAAACAGAAACCAGATTAAGTTTATCATTTTAATGTGAAGAATTAACCATCACTGGAACAACAATTTGACTTAGAGGACGGAGACTGAACATATAAGTCTGCATTTAGCTGCCTACTTCACACAGGACTCCTCTCTTCTTTAACTTTCTGAATGTCATCCTACAAGCTGGATATGAAAAATGTTGAAAACGGTTTTGTTTTGCATCGTCAGAGCTCGCCACTTTACGTGCAAATGTTCATCTAAACAAACTTCCTGTTTGTTCTTTGCACAGATAATGTCGCAGAATCCTGTGAATTTCTTCAATATAAATGCAAAACCTAGCTCTGGCCCCTAAATAGCATTGGTTTGTTTTTCTAAAATGCTGTTACGAAGTGAGAGAATGTGGTCACCATATTGGAAATGCTGTCTCGATCTAACTTTCAATCAAAACAGATGAGGTGAAGCCAAAGCAGGTCCTCAGCCTGGTGACAAATAGACTAGTCACACCCCTAGTTAAGCAAATTTCAGTATAACCCTCAGCCTGAAATAATCACAACAGATCAGAAATTACACCTGTGCTGCTTAAGAGATACAGAAATTAGTCACACAGACTAAACTAGGCTATAAACATGAAGTTTTTGCTGCAAAATTTGGCTTTTTAACACGGGCCTTAAAGGCGTGGTTGACGGTTGAACAGATAAGTAATTATTAGCGGTGGAGAAAGCTCTGCCAGGATTTGGGCCTGAAAACAGACGCAGAGACAGCAGAGTTTCTGCTGAACAGGTAGTTTTTATCGCCTTTTATCGTGGCTCATGTTACATAAATAACTCTTATTAGTCGGTAGCTGTCCAGGCAGCTGCAGACGGCGCTCGCTAGCAGAGCTGGCATTTACTGCCGCTAGTCCCGAGCAATCCGACATGGTGAATCCTATTTGAGCTAGCATAGGATCTTCTGCCGGCCGGGTTATCATGGAGCACAGAGGGGAGAGGTCTGTGTGTGGGGGGGGTGGGACACTTTTTTCAAATCTGCCTCAACGGCTCAGTTTTTTTCAGCTACTTCTCAGATTATCAACCATGGCTTTAACAAGGATGCTCTGTCTTTCAGAGCCAGCCTCTAGTGGACACTCAAGGAACTGCATTTTTTCTGCATTGGCTTCAACTGTCAACACTAGATTTCCTCCTTTGGTTAAAGGTCACTAAGACAGGCAGAATCAGTGGTTTGACAGCTGTAGGTAATTGACACCCATCAATTCTGAATCGTGTATTTTATCATCGTGAACAACAATCGAGAACACACACTTTGTTTTGTGACGTCAGTGATGTTGACCAGTAAAGACAGCGACATTATGAAGTTGGTGTGGTGGGACTGAAATCTGAGAAAAGAGGAAACGTTTGTTGAGCGCTGGCGATAACTTTCCTGCTTGTATGATGTGTTGTCAAAGGACAGACAGGAAAAGAGAAATATTGGCGAAAACCACATAATTAACCACTCGGCGAGCAACAGCCATTAGCGTTTCTGACATCGTCATGTTAGTTGTAAAGACTGCTCTGTAGGTCAAGTCATGGTATGATAGTTTGGCTCGGTTCTTGCCTAATCTAACACAGTGACGTCAAAAACCTACCGAACCTGAACTAATTTAACCGTGTTGAATAAATGTGTTCGCACCTTGGCGAGCCTCTCCTACTTCTCCTCTGCAGCTCCCCTCTGTCCATGAACAATGAGCACATTGCCGTTTTTCACGGTTTGTGAATTAAATTGTTGGCCTTGTAGTTTTGCTCCTGTTTCACCATGCATCAAAGTCTGTGTGTGTTTCTGCAGGAGCTGCAGGGTGTGTTCTCATTACAGCATCGAGATCAAACCACCAACACCAGTTTTTGGAGGGAGAGGAGAACAAACAAAGAGACGCTTTATTTTATTTTACGAGGACCGTCATCTCTTATTATCTCACTGACTCTTCTTTGTGATTGGATGTCTTTGTAGGAATATTGAAGACAATCGGCTCAGGTGTTACACATATTAATGAATTATCTCTGAAGGTGCCAAATGTTTTTGTTTTTTTAGCTCTGATAATAGACAGAGCTGGAGGCAGGAATGCTATTGGCTTATTCTTGCTAAATCTTGGACAGGAGGTGGTTGGCTACATGCAGAAAAAAAAGCCAAATAATTAATTTGTATGTGTCCTTTTATTTAAGTGTAAAACTAATTGGAAAAGTGGGGATTACTGCCAGTTAATTGGTGCTTCCTGTCTTCATACTAGACCAGCTCCCTTCTGGTTGAGCTCCATGTTGTCTAAATATATAAACCCTCATGTCTGAGACACTCAGCAAGAAAACAAAAAGATGTCTCCCAAAATTTTACACCTTTTTTAAAATTTCCAATAAGCTGATTTGGTCATTTCAGGAAAAAGTCGCTAAGCTTTGTTTGAAATATCCTTGAAAATCTATTAATCTTGAAAGTCTAACATTGGTCCATTGCGACCAGACTCTCTTTAAGTCTATTAACCAGTTTTTTTTTAGGTATTTGTGTAAGTATGTGTGTTAAGGCGACACTGACAGTGACATTGCTCTATCAAGTTTGTTTGCTTGCTCTTTCATTTTAGACTAACGTAGGTTGACCATATTCTGAATCCCCAAAAAGAGGACATCACTATGCAGGGTCAGGGTCACAGAGTCACGGAGTCACAGGTAGTTAGTTTTCCCAAGTTTTTCGGGTCACATTGAGTGTTTTTACACCCTAACTAATGGTAAAATGTTATCACCCTCAGTGGTCTGAGCCAAAGTCACTGGTTGGTTTAACAAATTATCAATACTCTTAGTATCATACGCTAGTAATATTTGTCATCTTTCTGGTCATTGACCCTCCATCAGTCATGACAGCAATCCTAATCCTTTCCTCGACTACTACTTGGATGTAAACAAGCACAGACAGATGACAGATGACGCTTCAGGTGAGATTTGGCTGTATTTTGATGAAAGTTGTTTGTAGGTTGTGTTAAACTTTACAGCCACTCGACAACAACCATGTGAAACTCACTAATGTAGGCATGTAGACGTTACCTGCAAGAAGGATTGAAGCGATGGTGGTGCTAGCTCTGCTAACGTTAGCCTCAGTCAACACTGAGCCACATACCGATTTAACATTGTTCGCCTGCAGACTTTGTGATCAATAAATAATACTCAAATTTCTTATTTATCGACAGAGGACAGTGGAGAGTGGATAGTGCAGGAAACAGGGGAAAGAGTGAGGAACGACATATAGGAGAGGGGAAACATGGGCTCAAATTAACGACGCCCGCATATGTGGGATTCACCTCCACTGTTAGACCATCAGCGCCTCTAATTTTCTCAATTTGGACCGTTTTCTAGACAAGGGATTGAGTCACTTCAATACATCCTAACTTGCGTTACATCTTGGGATGTTAAAGATTAAAGAAATCATCATCCTATCATTATCCATTTGATTGTAACACTCCCAAAAAGTACTTCTTTAACTTCCTGTACAGTTAGGAGACAGATAAACTCGGCCCTAATGGATTCACATTTGCATGCACTTCTTAATAACAGCAGCAGACAGCAGCTTCACACCTCCTCTGCCGTAAAAGAAACACTGTCAGCTGTTAATGGAGAGTTATGTGTTTGACACTGATCACAGCTTCGACCCACCCATCTGGAGACGACAGAGAGGACCATCGATTTCCTCTCTGTCTCACAGTAAATCTTTAGCTGAGGGGAGGGATTCAACAGGAGCAGCAGCCGGAGACAGATCAGTCAAGATGCAATAAAAATGACCCGGCGTGTCTTTGAGCCACTGATCTAAATTTTAATAACTCGCTCATCGCTGGTCTTGACAAGGCTAAGGTGAGGAAGACGAGGTGGATAGGACAGCCACGCTCTACTGCTCCAAAGCCCCTTTTTTTTAAGGTGTTATGCTAATATATCGGACGCCGTTGCTCCCAGCTGCAGGGAGGGCGAGTTGTAACTTGTGACGGGGCTAATCTCTGCGGACAGACCGGAGCGCGGCCTGATCAGGAGGGTAGCAGGCAGAAAATGAGAACACCAAACAGAGCTGCTCCCTCTGCTCCTCTCGCCTCCTGTGTGTTGGAGGAGCTGCTTCTCAACATGATCGTTAGCTTCACCTGCAGCACGGATGCAGAGTCACTCTGCTGATGTGTTGAGGGACGCCGAGTGAGGCCTGAGGGCTGAGACACATTTTAACCAAACAATTCAACACGTTATTGATTCTCTTCTAGTTTAACCACAGGATACACTATTGATTATTCCGCGTATTATTCTGCGCTCATTCACAAACATTATGACCTTAGGATGACTCGGAGACGGCGCCATTAATTCCCACGGCAAGCAGATGTGTTCAGGTAGTTTGTTTCATTCGCCTGAGAGTCTGGAGGCAAAAGGAAATCCGGTTTACAAGCACTGAAGCAACAAATATCCACATTTGATAGCTGGAATCTGCACATTTTGGGATTTCTGAAGGAGAATGACTCAGAATAAATCCACTTGTTTGAGCCGTTTACTATATTTTCTTTGTGTTTGTGTTTGGTGATCTATTTCAGTTGTATTTGCCCTGGTGCCACACCAGGTGGCTTGAAGTCCTGAGTTTGGTTTGCTATAAATAGAAGAAGACGTAATTATTGGCAGGTGTGTTAGTAGCTAGAGGAGCAAACAGTTTTTTTGACCATCATCATCTTCATCATTTACATCATCTTCATCGATATCTTTATCATCCTGTCGTCACCGTTTGTTGGAATTTGCGTTGTCGTATTTTTGCATTTGGTTTCTTTTACAAAAGAAGAATAAAAGGTCAAAGTGACGTGGACTAACTGTTTCATTTACACGTGGGAAACAATCGGCACAGAAGATGCGTCAACTGTACACCTGGCTATCTTACACCTCAGTGACTCTTTGGATAATTTCGACAGGTGAAATTAAGTAACAACCACTTATCTGCTTCTCATTTTCTCACCTAATATTTTTGAGTCTTTGCAGTTTCATTTTGTCTTTTCCCATCTTAGAAAATCTTGTTGCACCTCTGCGCAGGTGGAGAAAATGCCACTTGTACTGATAAGAGCCCTGTTTGTGTGTAAAGCATCAGCTCTACCAGGAGTCATGTTGAAATGATTTGCACTTTTTTTGAAGGTCTGGTGCTCCGCTACCCCAGCTGGCTCGGGCCTTTTCGGGCCTGGTAATTAAGAGGAAACACCCACCATCTGCTCATCTGAAGGCTTCAGTGAAGCACAACACGGCAGGTATGGCAACCAAATTGACGGGTGGATTGAAGAGAAAGATTGCAAACACTGAGGTAATCAGAAAAGTCAAAAAAGGGGGATTATCTGGTGTCAGAGGGATCACAATAACAACTCAAGGTTTGCAAACAGGACTCTTCTGGCTGCTGTAAATGAAAGCGGTTCTGGATGTCACCACTGCGGTCTGACACAGGCGGATAAAGAGTCTGGAGGTCCTTCAAACTCTAAATCATGTTCGTTAGTATCTTGTAGGTTTATATCAGTCGCTGCTCCCGTCACCGCCACCGTTCATGTGGGCTGGGTGCATAAATAGCTCAGAAACTGCCTGAGCTGCATCATGGCTGCCACAGGGACAAGACAGTCACACATGCAAAGTTTAAAACGCATCAACCAAAAACAAAAAAACAGAACAGATCATGAATAAACGCCATCTCAACATTTTCACAGCTTATTCCTCCAACTCCACCTCTCTTCCAAAAGGATCCAGAGGAAAGACACTCATCATTTAAAATATCATTTCTCTTTGGGCAAAGTCATCGAAGCTCCACTAACAGAAACCACCGCAAAGCAACACCACAGAGGAGAGCAAGGGGGGAAAACTGCTCATCACTCTTTCTCCATCACACTCTCCCCGCTGGGTTTCTACAAGGTCATTTTGGCGCACGACGCAGGACAGGATACCCAGCTGCACTCACAGTTTGCAGCTCTTTCTTATATTGCACTGATTATATTCAACACAAAACAGCAGGATAACTTCAAATAATCTGAATTTAAGTGGGTTTAAAGCTGCAATATGAATTAACCACCGTGTGCTACAGAGGAAAGGCGGAAATGGGGGGCAAGGACATCGGTGCCAAAATCCATCACCAATCTGGAATCGAAGAACTGGATCGATGTTTGGAAGCCGGACATATGTGCAGTTTAATGACATTTAAACACAACTTTAACAACCTCCTGTCTTTCCTTCCTTCCTTCCTTTCCTCCTTCCTCTTCTGGATCCTCTGCGCTTTGATAAAGATGTCTCTTAACGCGCAAAACCTGAACCCAACCAGAACAAGAACGACGCGCAAAATCCGCCAAAATCCGCACGAACGAATGTTAAAATCTGTTACCACGCCACATTTCCAACAAATTGACAACATTTCTTCCTCAAAGGTCGACTTGTCTCCTGCTTCCCCTCGGGTGCAGGTTTAGGGGTCATCGCGTTGCGCAGCAGAGGCCTATTAACTCCATTTTAGTGCTAATAAATGTCGAGCTGAGTGAGACACCGGGCATGCAGATCTTACCCTTCTCCCTCTCTTGGACGCAGCAGCTAAATCGACAGCAGCTGAGGGAAATTGGCTGAATTGACGCGCTGAAAGGCAGATTAGTGTGAAATTGCGCGTCCACAGAGGGTCACTCATTTTCTTACCTTAGAGGTGAGGCGATCGGCGCGTTTTCGGGGGACCGGAATTGGGATTATTATTTTTTTTTTTCGTGCAGGGAGTCACCCCGGGCACCTGAAGCAAAAGGGTCCTGTGTGTCCCTGTGATGTACACTGACGTAGAAGCAGAGAGCTGCACCCTCCCTCCTTCCCTCCTCCGCCCCTTTCACTTACTACACAACATCCCTCTTGGATGGAGACACCGCCCCCTCCTCCTTCTCTGCTCTCACCCCTCCTCCAGCAGACACCATTCCTCTCACTGAGGAGGGGGGGTTTGAGAGATTAGATGAAAAAAGTAAAAGCGAAAGAATTAACTCGTTTCCCTCTACTTGATTTAATAAACTGTGTGTCTTTAATCACTCTTTCTGAGGAGAGATGTCCTCACCAGGTGCGTAAGAAGCGCGCTCCAGGCTCAGGGTCTCAGACTGTGATTTGCTCCATATGCGCCCAATGGTTGGTGCAACGAACTATGTGCAAGACGAGCCTCTCCCTGCACGTGCTGTGGCTCGTGCCGGTAATTGGCCATGTTAGAATAAAAAAAAACTTACAAGGATGCCCCTGGTGGAAAAAAACTGAAATCCTATTAAGGATACAAATATCACTGCAGTGTGACAGCCATGATCACCAATTAGGAGAACATTTTTAAACACACGTGATACACTAACAAACCCTAAAAATTAACCCTGAGAATTTTTGGGACCCTTTTTTACACATTTTTTCATGTATGAGTGTTCATTTTATATATCTGATATATTTATATGTGGCAGTCTGCACATGTAAGAGGATGCATGAGATCCACATGATTAATAATTTTTTCAGTTTTTTGACCAAAACTTTCTTGTATTGCAGCAAATTGAAAGAATTTTGGGCAGGAAATTATTTTTACCTACATTTTGAAAATATGGTTTAAAAAATTTCAAAAGGTCAATGTGGACAAATTTACACTTGTACTGTTGTGGCAGTTTTCAGTACCCGGATTCGAACCCAGGACCTTCTTGCTGTGAGGCGACAGTGCTAACCACACTGTGCCGCCCATTGGTTATCTTTCAGCATTGAAAATTCCAACGACACCCTTATTTTTGTGTGTTCTGGATCACAGTATCCGGAATTTTGTCTGGATCAGGATCAACCTTTGACACCTCATAAAACTCATTGAGATCCTTTTGTGTCATTTTTTACTAAAGACAAAATTTGCCCTATCTTGCAATGATAAAGAATCCTTCAAAAATTTCCTGGATCCAGAAGACGATCCGGATCACCACCAAAATGTAATGGGATCCTCCCGGGGCTGAGACGCACCTCTGGTGAAAATTTCAGGTTAATCCGTCTGTAACTTTCTCTGTAAAGTTGTTCACAAACAAACCAACGTTACTGAAAACATAACCTCCTTGGTGGAGGTAATAAAAACCTCTACAAACCTTGCGGCAGTGCCAAGGTAGGAGAGACCCCTTTTTAGTAGTAGTAGTAGTTAAAATGCCAAACAGACCAAACACTAAAAATAATAAATAAAAAGTAATAGTCTAGATATGATGACCTGAACTGGAGCCAAACACGAAGCCTCGGGTCATTTCTTGTGGTAAATTAGTTCTCCCTTCTCTGATTGGTCAGAAATGTCATGACCTCATCCATTCAGCCTCTGCGCCTTTCAGTCTCCGGGTCAGGTCCTCCGTGGTGATGCTGCAGCTGTCCTCAGATCGTCACCAGGATCAGACGAGCTCTTTCATCTCCCCTCAGGCTTTCAGCTGCTTTTGTCTGTTTGGGTCATCTATTGATCGACCGGACTCACAGGCTGCTATCTGCATACAGCACGCCTCCATCCATCTGTCTGACTGTAATGACTGATTAAACAGAGGGGCTGACACAGTGATAATGTGACACAGTTCGGGTCATAGCGAGTGTAACAGCTCTGTCTTTTAGTGCTGTGTGAAGAGTTTACCTCACTCGACCTTTTGAAAGTGTAATCGGTCGAGGATCTGGTTGTGGAGGTTCTGGAGGTAATAGGTTGTCGCTATGCTGTGTGGGGCAGATATACTCCTACTTTGAACTCTGCTGCTGGAAAAGAAAGAAAAAAAGCTCAATACCATTCAGGTGAACACCACGCTTGTTTCCTGGATAACAGATTACCTGACCTGCAGGCCAGAGGACCCACAGGGTGGTCAGGTGGACATTAACAAGACGAGTGGGCTGATTGTGCTCCTCTCCAAGAATTACCTCCTCTGACTCCTTTATCGATCTGAGCGGAGGAAAGGAGAAGGAGGGTTGTTGAGATGGTTTACACCTACAGAAACCTTTAGTGCACGTCGCCAAAGTGAGACCGGGTCCTCTAGAGCTGGTTCTGAGTTCTGCAGGGACTCAAACGTGACAGCCATCATGGTTTCAAGACAGACAGAGATAAAATGTCTTTTACTGGGAATCATTAAATGGATGTTGTATTTCTTTTTAAATGCAGTGAGGGGTCAAAGGTCACAGGCATTCAGAAGCTCTGATCTGAACTGAATCCTGAAATCTTCAGCTGTGTGTCAGTTCAGGAGGTCGGAGTCACAGGTTTTCTCCCACCAAGCGCTGAATGAATTCGGTGATTTGATGAACGAATCTTTTGAACGAATCTTTTTAGTGAACGGATTCTAGTGATTCAGTACATCTGAAAGAACTGCTGTGCCCATCACTAGAGCAGTCCTCAGTCTTTTGTTGACCCTGAACCAACTTTTTAGGAACGTGTTGTAGCATCAAACTCAAAATAAGTGAATATTTGCACAAAAAACAATGAAGTTTCACAAATCACAACATCCCAACTTTGTGATCTGACAGACTTTGCAGGTTCTGAAGTATCAGGTGATCTCTAGACTGGACTGACAAAACAGGATTTCAGCATGAGTAAGTCTGCCTCTTCTTCACCATGTCAGAGAAAAGAGAGAAAGGAGGACAGAGATGAAGAGGAGGAGTCTATAAGCAGCACCTCTCCCTCCTCAGAAACCTGTTGTAATCCGTCAGAGCAGATAAACACAGCTGTACGGTTTCCCTGCAGCAGCCGGCAGCTGGCCTGACTGAAGCCCCGACGCCCCAGATCATCATCCGAACAGCAGAGTCCGTCTGCAGAAACACTCGACAGCAGCACTGTTTGGGTTTATCTGCAGCTGCTCACTCTGATTGTTTTCTCTAATTGTGTCCTCTCTACCTGCAATAAAAGAGCAAGGTCATACCGGAGTGGCACACAATAACATTTACAAACAGGATCACATTTCCTGGATGCAGCCAATTAAATGATTCACCTTTACCGGCTCTTATCTGCTGTTGTAAATGAGGCAGGAGGCAGACAGACAGCTGTGTGTTTAACTGCATGAACACGGCTCGATTAGCACGGTCTAGATGTCTGACCTGGTGTCTTTTTTTGTGTGTGTGTCCAAAAGAAAGAAAGGTATATCACTGATAGTCTGCTTCTTTATATTAACTGCAAGTCTTACAAAAACAGGGGTCACACACTAAAATTTGGATATATCAGTTCTTTGAGTAAAGTTAGAGTGAGGTGACAGGAGACTCTAGTGAGTAGAATAAAAACTTGGTTATGAACAACAAAACTCTACAGCCCCTTTAATGCGAAGTCCAGTTTCTGCTGTCGTCACAAAGGAGAGAAATAAAGTTGATTTTCTTTAGAGAAAAAAAGAGAAACACAAATTATTTGTCTCTTTCTAAATATGAAGATTAAGGCCGGTTACATGTCGCCCTCTGGTGTTTGATTGAGGTACTGCCTAAACTTCCATCAAGTTTAAAACTGCTATAAGAAATGTTTATTTAATTGATTGTGATTACTAATGTTATACAAAATATTATATTATATTATATTAATCCATAATTTTGCATGAAGTAAAACATGTTTTTCATGAATTACTTTGGTACTTGATGAAATCTATAATTTTTTTTTTTTTTTTAAGTTTTTGTGTTTTATAAAATATTTTCATGACTATGCAGTGTTTGTATGGTTGATGTTTACAGCCATCATACATGTAGCCTACAAATCTTATTAAGGGTAGGTAATACAGAAATAGCCTAACATAAAATGACTTAATAATATAATTAAAAAGGTCAAAACTAACTCATTTACATGCCAAAAAAGTTCATTTAAATATAAAATGTTTCGATATCTTTGGTAATAAAAATAAAAAATAATACCACACAATTCAAAGTAAGGAAATAATAATAATAATAATAATAATAATAATAATAATTATAATTATAATCATAATTATAATAATAATACACTTTATGTATAAGCGCCTTTCTGGACACTCAAGGACACTTTACAGAGTGGAGAAAATAAAATAAAATAAAGCAGAATATATATATGTATAAACAAAATAAATAAAACTATGACAAGGTAAAATTATAAGTAGTGTGCTAATCTGAACAGGTGGGTTTTGAGTCATACAAATAAACATAAATAAACCCTCCTAGTTTGGGGTAATTCCTATTGTTTACATTGTCTGCTTCTAAAAGGTCCGGCTTCACCATTGCATATCTATATAGATATGTGGTTTGGGTTATACATCAAAAATAGGTCAAACAATTTATCTATAATATTTTTATTTTCAAACTATTAATTATACACAGAGTCCACAACAATGACACAAAAAAGCTCAATGACTGTCTGTGAATAATTTTGCATAACTTGCCCTAAAAGGAAGTTATGTAGTTTTAAAAAGGAGAAATGACTCTGCTTAAATCACACCTAAACAGCCTTTTAGAAGAAATCCACCCTCCTCCACCTTCACAGGATCTAAATCTGGAGGTGTAGGTGAGATTGTTGAATTAATTTCACGGTTCTGACGCTTGTTGCTGCGACACAAACCCTTTTTCTAATGACCCTCATGAGTATTTGATGTCATCCCAGCGTCCTGCTCCACTTTCAGCTCATTGGTGAGTTTCAGTCAGACGTGTGTGTGTGTAAGTGAGGCAGCTCAGCAGCGACGCCCTGTGGACACACGGTGTAACTACACTGTGACTGCTGTGACTGCTGCTGCTGCTGCGGAGAAACACGACGGAGAGGAAACATCGAAACGTCCTGAAACACGACACGACACGAGAGACGAGCTGCGTTCACGAGCCTTCACATGCCAGAGGATGAGGAGGAGGATGAAGATGAAGATGGTGGTTCATCCTTTCCTCTCGCATATTTAATAACGTGGCGTGGGAGGGGGGTGGTGCAGGTTTTTTTGGTGTGCGTGTTTTTGTGTGTGTGTGTGTTTTGTCCTGAATTGAAAAGACAACAGAGAGCCGAGCAGCGGTCAGTCGTGGTTCCTCAAATATGAGGCAGGTCCGAGAGCAGGTCTCTGAAATCTGGATTCTAAAATGAGAGGAACCGGCATGGACCTGCTGTGGAGGATCCTCGCAGCCCTCAGCTTCGACTGCTTCAAAGATTCATCGTCGACAAGGTGAGTGAGGCTCCAATAGAACCCCAATTTCATCACCTTAAAGCAGCTGAAGCCTCTTTTAGTTCCTCTTTTAGCACAAACAATCAAGTTCTCCAATTTTAAAAGCATTTTCCCGCCTAATTTTCAGTCTTAATTACTTAAAATATACACAACAAATTATCACAACCTACACTGTGAAACGCCTAATTGTGATTTAAGTCTGTATATGTGGGTCCAGTGAGGGAAATACAGAAATAAAGACACCTTCTCCTCTCTGTTGTTATGACAACAGGTTTCCTGACTCACTGTTTGCTCTCACTTCACGCAGCTTTTCCTCCCTCAAGTCCATTTTGTGTCACAAACCTGTGAATCTAAAATTTTCAGTCAAAATTGAAGGATTTCCTCACACTTTAAACGTCTCTGTGGTTTCATAAATTAGCATAATTCTCATGTCTGATCAGCTCCAGCGTTACAGGTGCCTCCATTAATAAAGCAACAGCCCTGGTCCCTCATGGTCCAGGTTACAAATCTGAACCCTCAGTCTCCATTTTAAGTCAGCAGTTAAAGCGATGAAGCAATCCCATGAGCTCCACCCTCCAGGAACTCACCTTAAATCTTGTTTTACCTGTTTATTTTTATTCACTGGAACAGATCTGATCACAAACAACAGAAATGTGTACAAAGTGCAACAGAAAATCCGTCACTCTTTTTTTCACGGCTGTATTCTTACCCTCAAACAGAAACATAACTGGCTTATTTGACCATTTCTTTAACTGCAATAATCGTTTGTCAACCCAGACGGCAAAAAGTGGACATTTGACATTCTCGCAATGTCTCTGGCACTGAATCAACAAAACGATAAGACAAGAAAACAAAAGACGGATGAGTCAGAGATGAAAATAATCATTAGTTTCGGTCGCATTTTGGCTCTTCTGCTTCTCTTTTGTAACAATATGATTCAGAGTTCAAATGATTCACAAAAAATCAACAAATTCAGACAAATTGTGCAAAATTTCACCGTCATTTTGAGTCAAATCAATCTGCAGACACTGAGTTCAGTTAACCCTACAGCATAATAAGACTGATATGTTATGTGTGGAATCAGAGCACCTTAAGTTGCCTGCCTGAACTAGCTCCAAGGCTTCACCCCATCTACTTACTTAGTTCCCTCATGGTTTAAAAAGTCTTTCAGAGGCTTTTAGACCCAAAACTGCTTTTTGACAGAGTGACCAAATCAAATCTGCGTGGTATGATAAGACCTGAGAGTGCAGATTTTCTGGTTCCCAGGCTCTGCGCTCAGTTCTTATCAGCTGATTTATGGACCCGGTCACTTCAGGACGAGTACTTTCATGATGGATTGGTTTATTCAGAGGGAAAAAAAGGCTTTAAACACCAATCAAACTCTCAATGAGCCAACGAGGAGCTCTTAAAATAGCTTTAGTCCCAAAGTTAAACATCTTTTATTCACAGTGATGTGAGACATAAAAAGGACGAGATTAAGTCTTGTTTGAAAACTGTCAAATCACATGACTTATTCTCTGTAAAAATAGATCTCCCACTCACATGTTTAGTTCTCCTCAGGTCTCCCACTAAGCAGAGCTCCAGTCATGGCGGCAGCCTGGAGAGCAGCTCCCTGACCGGCTCTCTGTCTCTGGGCCCTGACCTTCCTCACTGTCAGTGCTGCATCTCCTACGAGGCCCGGCTGAAGCGCCTCTCCTGCGGGCACCTCTACTGCGACCCCTGCTGCGACCAGATCGTCAACCTGGCGTTCGAGGACATCGAGGGCCTGTCCGACTACCCCTGCCCCATGTGCAAGTCCATCCGTCAGCTCGGAGGCCTCCCCCCGTCGTCCTCCGGGTACTTCTACGGGCCCGACGGCATCCTGCAGCAGCAGCAGTTCACGGGGAAGGAGCACGGGAGTCGATGGGGCTGAAGCTGGAGCTCGTCCTTCAGAGAGACTTTTGTTTTTTTTGTTTTTTTTTTAGTTTGGATGCGCCGCCACTGCCATGACAGCTACATGACGACACGGACTGCAACTGCATTACTCTGTCTGTGAGCTGTTATCAGATGAAACTCGTCAGAATGCATGACAAAACACTGATCGGTCTGAAGTGCCAAATGGTTGAAAACATGTCCTGCTGATGATGATATCAAAACGGTCTCCATGTCGGTCTAAACTGAGCTGTTGGGTTTGGCGAGTACGCCGAGGAGCTGCAGTGTTGGAGCTGCAAAGAAGAATTGTAGCAGCAGTGAACTACAAACAGAGTGTAACTTCAGGCAAAGCCAGAAGATGTCAGCTGTGTTTTCTCACCTGGTAAATGAATGAATGCTGTATTGAAAATAAAGCAGTTTCACGCTCAAAATCAGTGTTTTTAGGATTCTCTTTAAGAATGTAAGAGGGGCTGAGAGCTGAGCTGCTGCAGCTCATTTTTAAGTTCAGATTTTTAGAGCGTATTGAGGCATATCGTGCATCATGTCCTCACAGTATGGACTCAGCAATTCGAAGTATAATGTGTTTTTTTTATAAATCTGGTATCAGAGGGGAACTCAGTATCAGCCAGTACTCAGATCCTGGTATCAGAAGCAGAAAAGAAGTTGCACGCTACGATGAAAATGTGGGAGAGAGAAGTTGTTGTAAAATATACTGATTTAGAAAATCACTGCATTCGTATTTTTAACAGCATGCAGGTTTTCTAACATCGAAATTAAAGCATTTCATGCGACTGAATATGAAGTTTGAGAGCTTTAACTGTGCGGTCAATATTTTGTATTTGAAGCGTTTCCTTGTTCAGCGCCTACATTTGTACCTTTTCTTGTGAAAGCATCGAGCATTTTGCACATGATTCTTGGATTGTTTTACTCTAACTGTACATATCATGCAGGACGGCTGGATTTGAATTGTACTGTACAGTGCCATGCTACTTTTTAAGTGTCCCAGATCATATGTACATATTTATTTTGTTAGAAAATAAAGTTTGTGAGCTGTGTTTGAGAGGAATTAGTCATGTCCATGATTCGGATAATAACACTTGTTTTTTTATTGAGCAGGATCAAAACATGCTGATACAAAAAAAAAATATGTACATCTGGCAAATGAAGCAATGATCGTACCAAAAACATTAAATAATACAAGCATACAGAGTGACAGGTGCAGAGGATGATCAAATTAGGGTTTTGTTTTTCGTTGTAACAGGACAAAGATGATGAAGCTCTCATATCGATGTGCCTTGATATTGACGTAATGAATATTTACAACGATGAATAATTCATAGTGCTATCAAGTGAGGTACCTTTGGACATAAGAGAAGGTCTGCATCAGTTTATCCCTCCGACTAAAAAAAGGAGGAAAACGCAGAAGCAAAACGGTGCAGTTTCATCCGTGTGCAGGAAAGATGCCAGTTCATCCACTTGACACCCACATCATGCCAACGACAACCTGTTTGGATTTAAAGGCGCAGCAGCAGCAGCAGATTTTTTTTTTTTCCCTTTGTGTTTCAAATACAGTCAGACACTTCCAAGTCCTTGACCTAAATGCTGGCAGCATACTAACACAGCACCAGCGGGGAGAAAAAGAGAGAGAGATTAAAAGGAAAAGAAAAAATCAGCTTCCCTTCACAAGGTACGGCAATAAAAAGGCAGAATAGTTATCCATCTTTTAATTCCATCATAAATAATACGGAGGATTCATGAAATAATACTAAATTTGGTCAAACGTTTCAGAAATCACATTTATCTACATGTATGACATCAAATACTGACCAGTAACGATCAGAGATACTTGGAATAAAGAGGAAAGCTTAGATAAGATGATAATACTGAAGCCCTGAAATCATGATCCAGACCCACACAGGCGAACACTCTGAACTGAAGGGAATCCGGGCCTCTCGCCGCTCCCATCATGCATGAGAGTGCAGAGATATGAGAGCAGTACCAAAATAGCTCTCATGCCCTAAATTCCAAAATAAAGCCACTGGTCACAGAGCCGAGGTTCAAAAATGACGCTTTCCACAAAGGATCATTTTCACCACATTATTCTCTTTTTCCTCCATTTGAAGCTCGGATACAAAAACAACAGAGTCCATGTTTGTTTGTTTGTTTGTTTTTTGCAGATAAGCATGACATAATAAATACGTGAAGAGCTGGTAGGTAAGAGAAAGTCCTCTTGAGATATGCAGCCTGATGAACACGGAGGTCAGGGCAGATATGTTTCCGTGTTTTTCCTGCCGTGTTTTCTGTCAAAGTGCTCTTCAGAATCGCTTCATCGCTCCACTATCTTCATCCTGCTCTTGATAAGAAGCTAAAAAGAGGAGCACAAGCCTTCCTTACATCTTAAAGGGTGACGTGCTGTTTCTAAAAGGAGTCTACTGCATTATAAGACACTCTGAGTGTCAGTTGTTTACATTATTAAGCATCTACAGCCCTTTATGTTGTTGAGTATTTCATTAGCGGTAAATTGAATACTGTGATTTCTTTCTTTACAAATATACAAAACAGTTGTCACATTTTTATTACAGTACGGACGATAAGTTTTCGAGTCGAGAACTCTTGCACTAATTTCTTTACTCTGTCGCGTTTCCCTTAAAGTTTCTCATCGCCTTGTAGTCAGTCGTGTCGTTCGATCACACTGTGCAGGCAGGTGGTGTTTTAGTACCCGGGTTAAAGGGTGGAGCGGTCTGGATCGGAACAGTTCAGAGGAGCAGCCGACCTCAGGAAGAGACGGAGGACCCGCTGTTCTTAGGCAGCTTGGCGTTGTTGGGTGTCGGGTAATAACGCTGGTCAGGCCGGGCCTCTGCGACTGAAGTGTGCCCGAACAGGAAGGTGTGTTTGTTACTCGATGGAGGAGCTGAGGAGGGCGGAGTGCCCCTGGAGGTGTGGTGGTTGGTGGAGGTAATAGGGGGCGCCGATCTGGGCATGGTGGCGCTCTGAGGCCTCTGTGCTGGGAAGAGGAAGGTGCCGTTGTTGGTGTTTTGGTTCAGGTTGGTGTCGGTTCTCCGCGGGTCTCTTATCTTGGTGGTTGGGTTTGAATCCCGGCCTGTGGAGACTTCTGCGATTTTGTCTTTGAGCTGCTGCACCTCCCGGGCGAGTCGCTCGACAGGGTGGAGGTGGTTTGCAGAGATTGGATGGGAGAATGCCTTGAAGGGGAGAAACGTGGTCAAATCTCAGCCTGACAGGTATTCACTATAAAAACTGAGCATGTGTCCAGCTAAAGTTCAAAGTTATTATGAGAGAAAAGGGATTTTTGGAGGGTTGCTTCATGGTTGGAAACTGTTGTGGAAAAGGCAGAGGATGTATTCCAATCTCTCAACACTAACCTGAGTCAGTGTTTTGCTTTTTCCTCTGCAGTTTATCTAAAATAGACAAACTGCATCCACCCACACAGGCCTCCACTATTCTCACCGTCACCATGGGGACACTGCAGACACACTGCTGAAGAGTGTTTCACATTTATACTGAGAGACATCATCAGCGCTCAGACAGCTCTGATTACAGCAGCGTCTTACTGTGTGAGGACGCAACATGGAAAAGTGATGAGCCTGAATGTGGAAAATCTGTGGAGAACTACCGGAAGCGTGGGGGACCAAAATTAAGTCAAGCGTTTGTTGAGGATGTCGCCCACATGATCCTGTGACACATCAGAACGTAGACACAGCAAATGATGACCAGGGCGGCCCGTCTGACGCATCAGTTTATCAAAATAAAGGTGCTGATTTATGTCTGCCCTCAAATCTGTCCTTTTAGTTTTACTACTTCAAATGTGAAATGATTTCACTTTTCGCCATCCTTAAAGGGATATTCTGGCATAAAATCAACTTCACCAAAACACAGAGTTAGACACCCCCTCGAGAGATGAATGTTGCCGACCGCTTGTTGAATGTTGCAGCATCTAACTTCATCAACAGTACATACAGGGTCCCAGAAAAAGTACTAGCCACCAAACATCTTTTTAACTTTGACTCATTTTTTTAGCAAAGAGACTAAACACAACTCACCTACTCTCTTCCTGCAGCCGCTTGTTTGTAGTGAGACCTCGGGCCAGTCCATAACGGACTACAGCGGGGTGACGCAGCTCAAGGAAGAACAGGAAGCTCCTCAGACCGCTGTGTATTGCTATCTTGCGGTCATTACTTAAGTTGGTATAACTAGAGAACCAAGCGGTCGGCAACATTCATCTCTCGAGGGGATGTCTAACTCGGTGTTACTGTGTGTTTGACCCTAAATTAATTTTACACCGGAATATCCCTTTAAGGCTGAGGTAGAAACTCACTGATTCTGCTGAGGTCATGGCAAACACTAGTGACTAATGGGGCAAAATAAACAGTTTAAATAGTCCACGTCTGATAGATTTTTTTGTGTTTATGGTTCATAACTTCACTTTATAATCTTTGATTTAGTTTTAGATCAAAAACATAAATCAGAACAAATCCTCTCATTCTTTTTCTGCTTCTCAAACGGTCACATACAGAACAAGATATCAGAAAAATGACATCTTGGAGCTCGACTAACAAAAGGGCGTGGTCCACATTCCTCTTGTAGAGATTACTCTGTTTATTTTATTTGTACTGTTATCTGAAAACTGTTGTATAATCTTTAAACATACCTGTGCATGGAGCGCCCCTCGGAGGTAGCACTCCCTCCACAGTCCCATGCAGGGCCCTATGAGTTGAGGCAGTAGGGGCTCATATGGGTCAAGTGGTCCTTGAGGTCCAGAGGTGGAAGTGAAACCTTGAGGAATGTCAGTAAGAGCCCAAGCTTTCAGCAGCCTCTCCAGACCGGGGACGTTCTCAGAGGACGCTGCCCTCCGGTGGCTTTTCTTGTAGACGCCTGAGCTGCCGCTGCTGCGCCAGGGAAGCAGGTTAGCGGGGCAGGAGAAGGTTCCTCGAGAGAGGAGGAAGACTGAGCCGGGGATGGTGTCGGTGAGCTGAAGGGAAAAAGTGATAGAAAAAGTTGCTGACAATCAAATCCAGTAAAAGCAATACTCCTTTGCTCAAGGAACAAAATGTTAAAAGCGATCATAACCTTTCAAAACCAAATAAAAACGGTGGCTTGCAGGAACTTGCACTCTTTCTCTCTGCTACGACAGATGAAACAAAATAAAATAAAATAAAAACCCATAAACAGTAAAAGCTCAACTTAAAAGCCAGCAAACTCTTAAAATGCAGTCTCGAAAGTTGTTTAAAACCGGTTAAAATGGGTTAAAAAGTTGGTCACATGAGAGAGAAGTGGCCGGGTGTCATACGACGCAGACGCATGCGCATGCGCAAGTCACAGAAGCCTGGAAAGGAACCCTGAATACTGGAGTTTACACTGAAGTAACAAGCTGAAGTCTTCTTCTGCACAGGAAGCCATTAAGTGTAACGAGCACTGACTGATGGTGTCTTTTTCAACACTAATTGATTCAATTGATTATGTTCCCTTCGTCATTTCTCTGCACTTCTCTCACCACAGATGGGAATTAAATCACTACAGTGAGCAACAAGACAACATAATGAACAACAGCCCACATGGAGTCCATTTAGATTGGATGCTAATTTTATCATCACCAGTAGAGGGCGCAGTGGCCTGATGCACACACGCTAAGTAATGAAAGCAGCTTCAGCAGGACTAAACAAAATCTGTAAATGTGCTCTATGTTTCCTGATTCCTAATTTTCAAAATGACACTGAAAAAATATTGAATAAAAAACGGTGTTGCTTTGAACAGTGCAAACCAAAAGAACTCTGTTTAAGGCATGATGACCTTATTGGAATAACACTATATTTAGTATTTAGGTGTATGCAGTACAAAAACTAAGGGGGGAACGGGGCCTTCTCCGCTGCTGCCCCCACCCTCTGGAATTCACTCCCCAAACCCAACCGAGACTAAAAACACACCTTTTTAAATTGGCTTTTAACCTGTGAATCTGTTCTTTTGTCTTTTCATATTGTGTCTTTTTTAACCTTCTATGATGTTGGTCTTATTATTCAAAATTTTCTGTATTTTAAATTGTGGGTTTTTTTGTAAAGCGTCTTTGAGCACCTGTAAAAGCATGTAATAAATAAAATTTATTTGATAATTATTAAAAAACTCAAAAGATTTTAAACTAAAAAAAAAAAAACCTCTGCTGCCATCATCACTGTTACATTTTCATCTGTCTTTTGTGTCAAAGGAAACAGACTCCAGTCAGCTGTGATGTCCTACAAAACTGTCAAAGAACCTTAAACTCAGTATAACAAGACATCACCTGCTCCTCTGTACCACTGACCATAACCCTCTCACTCTCTGTGCTTCACTCATTCATAGTTATCTTCAGTTTCAGAGGCTAATGAGTGTAAACAGCCTCTGTGTTTATTTGCATATGGAGCTTTACGGTGAGATTCCATCACCTCTGATTACTGCAGAGGCATTAGGAGACACACGATTCAGCCAGGTGTGAACAGCTGTGCTTACAGCTGCCCACTTCTGAAAGGAGCAGCTGGTCAACACGGTGTTAATACCTCGGTATTTACCCCCCCACCTCCAGCCAACTGCTTCTCTGAGTTAATATTGATAAGCAGTAGAGAAACCATCCTTTAAGCTCCACACTTGCCTTCTTCCCTCCCTGATTGTTCTGAGGGTAACTTCTTCATTACTGTACTCTTCACTTATACTGAGCTCATCTTACTGAGAACAGCTCCAGACGTCATACAAGCAAAATGGTGCAGCAAGAGCGTAACAACAATCTAACATCATAATAATTTTGTACAAGTGAGGTGACTTTTTTTTATGACACACATTTGAAACATAGCAACAATAATTCAATAAAGTCAACGTGTCTTAAGATGCAGAGTTTTAAATTCAGAGTCTCTTGCATGACCACTAGAGGGTGTGTTGTATCACTGGAGAGCGAACAGCCTCACTCACCCTGTGTGTGTCTGGGTTGGTGTTGAGGTTGCCGTTGAGCAGCGGTTGCAGTGGAGGGATTGGGGGGATGGGTTGGGTGAAACGGTCTTGTTTGGACTTGCTGTACTGCAGGGCCCAGTCCCAGACTGGGGGGAGAGGGGGGTCAGATGGATCGGAGGAAGAGTCCGGATGAAGCATGTCTCTCCAGCCGTTGACAGGTGTGTAGGACTGACCGAGATGCTGTGAAGAGCAGATCACAGCAAAGGTACTCTGTTGTAAATCTACTACGTTTATGTAAATCTACTACTTATGATGTGATAATGCATTATCTTATTCTAATCAAACATCTCCCTGGACAGCAATTAGCCCCCCTCAAAGTCCTGTAATGAGGCATGAGATGCCAAATCCCTCTCAGGTGAGCATTACCTGGGAGCGTTTGCATCTCTCTCGCTGGCAGTTGGCCAGGAAGCTGGAGAAGAGTGGCAGGTGGATGCTGTCGTGCAAAGCCAACAGGAAGTCGTCTGTCAGCTGGAAGCGAGAGGGGTACTGGGACAGCAGCTGCCAAACACAGTCCAGGAAGAGCAGGAAGACTGGAGCCTGGAGGGGGGAAGTGAGTGAGTAAGCAAACATGCTATTTCTGTTACAGGTGCGCTTTAAAAGCAATGCTATAAAATAAAACAATTGAAGGCTGAACACGGGGAAATACAACATGATACCTTTGCAAGTGGCTTCTAAACCTTTTTTCTCAGAATTAACAGATCTGAATGTCTGCAGTTTGTCCTCTCACCTCCTCCTTGTCGTTATCCCTGTGGTAGTTGATCCGGCTGTAGAAGCGGTGGCCGGCCATGATCCACTCCTTCTGCACCAGACTCTGGAAACCATGCTGGGTTCGACAGTGGGGGTCGCACATCACCTGCACCAAGCTGGAGATCACACAGCTCATGTCCCTGTCGTCGGCCTCTGTGGAGTCGAGTCAAGAGGAGAACATGTTAAAACCGCAAACACACACTTTGACGATCAAACATAAACTACAGGTCTCTGTTTATTATGTCTTTGGCAAGTTTTATGTGTACATTATAAACATACATGAATTGCATAAGTTGTGTACGCCATTATGAAATGTTTGATTCAACCATGTTACAATTCTGCTCTCGAGGCTAAGATGCTTTTCAGTTTTAGGGCGACACAGCCCATTACTTTACAACCTCTATTTAATCCTGCTTTTATTCATGCCGAGGGCTCATTTTCTGCTCAACTGCAGAGACAGCGAGACAGACTGATAAAAAAAACATTAGTTAGACAGACCTGCAGATTAGAATTAAGCTGACAAAGATAAAGATTCGGTGCCAGACACAACAAGAGGAGGAAGAGGGAGCGGCACACTGAGAGAGAGTTTTTGTGTCATTTCTGCAGTGGGGTATTTGTGCTGATCCGACCGGTGACAGATCTGCTGCAACCGAGGAGACTTCGAGCCGGTCTGATATATGATCCTCTTAGCTAAACAGGCATGTTGTTAGTCACTTACAGCTGCAGAGTAGCAGAGAAAGTCAAACACCAGCAGTCAGTAGTAAACATCCTGAGCTGAACTCGGTCATTGTTTGACTGATGCCGTGTTGGGTCTGTCTGTGTGTTTATGAATTCACCGCAGGCAGCCAGACGTGATGATAACAGGTCAATAACTGCCTACTGTCTGTAAAATCAGACATGACATGTCATTTTTATCACTTTGAATCATTCCTTTATTCTAACTTCTTCTTAGATGACTATTAATGTCATCGGTTTGTAGCCTAAACTATAATTACTCCAGGAGTCAAAACAATAACAACACAGTTCATCGGGTCATTTTAACTCAGAGTTCTGATTCATCAGTTTTCAGCTCCTTAAAGGGAAACTTCAGGAAACAATGCTGACTCTGTTCCAGTTTGAAAACTTTCAAGTTAGGAGGTTCAGAGAAAAACACTTTGACTAAAAGCTAATACTTATAAGTTACTTGAAAGCTAAAACTTGTACTGTACTCACTTCTAGCAGCTTTATCAGCCTGATGAATTTTGTCATATAAAAATCTAAAGTTGTGGACGTAGCCTGAGGTCACCTTCATTTCATGTTTGGGTTCACCTGGCCTGTCCTCCTGTGTTATCCACCACCTGATACAACCCTCTGCCAGGTGGTGATCAGTGACACCTCGACTTCACAACAAACAACAGTCAAGCAGCTCCGTTTTTCCACACAGTCACACTGAATGACTCTTAACACTCTGACAGGAGCTCATGAGTGTCCCCGAACCTCATTTGTAAATTCAGTAAACTTCAAAAAGGAAAATCTTGAAGTTTAATGCAGGAACTACGTCATGTTCTTCTGTTCTTCAGACTTGTTTGTTCTACTTAAATTTTAAACGACTGCTTTTAACTCAGGATGAACTTTTGTTGCCTGTATTTGTTGGTCTGCAGATACAGAACCTCATGTCTGCCACAGTTCTGTGAGCAATACATGATTCAGTGTAAGAATGTTTCAGACCACACAAGTGATATTTGCTCTATATATGACTCTAAAATTGATCTCTATTGATTAATCTTTCATAATACTTTCTTGTTTTCCATGTCCTCTTAAAGGGAGCTTATCTATCCGATCAAACACAACAGCTGCAGCACGCTGTGGACACGTCTTTGAAGCATGCTGCTCAGTGGCTTATTGACATGCTGCATGTAGACTCAGTGGAGTGTGCTTGTCGCTGGTACATGGCTACTGCAGGGTAAGCCCTAGTGCGGGTTTAATGAGAGGGAGGAGCCATGAATAATGAATGTATTGAATAATATAAGCCGAGGTCTGTGTCACATGACTCACCTTGCAGTGCCACAGTCAGGTGACCGCCGCGGAGCAGGCAGGCTACCTCTGAAGCTTTCCTCAAACAGGACCTGTCGATAGAGGAGGGTTGAGTAAACCTCATCAGATTCCCTTTAGTTATCTAATCCATTACAGGTTTTATATTTGCTGTTTTACTTATAATTTTTTTCTTTTTACTTTGATAAAAGCATGAGGCTTGATTTCAAAAGCTCACAATAAGAGGCTTCACATTTAAAACCTAAGTCTCCAGATATCTTCCCTCATGCAAACTTCCAAAGTCCTGAGTTGATATTATAGATCTCAGCCTTGAAATTCCTCAGCAAGTTCAAGAGCACAGGTCTAAACAAGCATCAAAAGCCGTATCACAGACAGGCCAATCAGAGCCGTTACCTTGTGTAGTCTAGCCAGTGGGTGCTTTCCAGGGTAGATAACCATTTGTCATCAGGCACCGACACAGACGTGGAGATATCTAGAAGTCAAAGCAGAAAACAACACATCATGTTCAGACTTTCATGTCACCAAAAGAGATCAAAGAGTCTTTGGTTATCAGCTGAAATGTAGGTCAGGAGTGAGACACAGTTGCAGACAAAACTATGAGGTGTGAACAGACCTGAAGAACACCAGCTTTAACAATGCTTATCAGAAATCACTGAAGCTAATATCAATTAAAAATGAGAGTTCTGCACAGGTCTTTATTTATTGTTTGCTACTAAATATTCAATATGGAGATTGTCTGTGAGGTAGGGCTGAGCGATATGGCCTCAAATCATTATCACGATATATTGAGCAGTTCACCTTGTTAACGATAAATGGACGATAACTACTCCACAAGCTGCTCACCCCCTCCCACATTAACTTTGTCTAACTTAAGCCGCTACAACTTTTGAACCGTCCTCCATCTCCATTTTTTTGACACCTAATATACCGATATGGGCAAAATGACGTTGGTTATTGTCATAAATTTCTGTATCGGTAAATATTTGGTTTATCGCCCAGCCCTACTTTGAGGCCTTTCAAAGTTTCATTTACGTCAGCTGTACGCACTCTATCAAAGTCAACATAATAATGACAAAATGTCATTTTTCCAATTTAAAATCTAACCTGAAAACTAATAAATCAAACAGCTCACATTCAAATATATTCATTCAAAAACTTCATACTGCAGATTTTTCTTTAAGCATTCACATCTTAAATGGGATTCTTGATGGAAATTCCATACATGCTAAAAGGGATTAGTTTTTTCAAACAATCCTCAGAGTCTGTCTGTGTTGTATGTCTGATTGTTCTCCCAATCCAAAAGCCACAGATGCTCAGCCGACCGAATTCATGTGAAAGGCTGTTTTTAACACGAGTATCCTCTGAGCTGTGAGGTTCTCACCCACAAAAGATAAAAAGCAGAGCCAACAAATGTGTGAGCTGTGATAATCGGTGACCTTTACACATTGTTGGTGTGCAGGAGCGAGTGAGAGACAGAGTCGGTGTGAGAAAGGTCAGCATTTCAGTTCCAGGGCTGACGGTTGTAGACAACCATGAGTCGTTCAGTCGTCTCTGTTTACTTAACCGTGGAATGTGCTGTGTGTGCCGACATGACAAAAACAGTAATAAAGGCTTTCTGACAAAGCCTGTTTTTTTGTGCTCATGACTCAAAATAACCCTACAAAAAAGGAGATTATATGTTTGTTAAAATTCACATCGAATTTGATTTTTGGAGAATATTCAAAGACCCTCAAAGGTTCAAACAAACCCTCTGTGTTTTGTTTTTGCTCAAGGGGGTAGATAAATAGTCAAGGGGGAACACTGTGAAATGTAAGTGCTTCTGTAAACCTTTATTTAACAAAATGAAAGCAAATGAAAAATGAATTAATGACAATTAAAGAAGTGAAATCAACACAGATTTTTGTGCAAAAGTCATTGACTGCTTGTTGGTTTGCAGAGCATTTTAAAGTCACAAGTCTGAGGTGATCTTATCCTTGATTTACATAGATTAAAAGTAACCGTGTTCAGATAAAATAAGAGCTGGAGTTGGGTTAATATATATCATATATTTACTCAAAAAAAAAGAAAACATTTCGGCTGCTTCTTTTTTTTTTAATTCTCTACAACCCATTTGTGCCGTGTGCTGGTTCATATTGGTTCGTTTGTTGTGGATGTATGAAGTCTTTCTCCTACCTCCCAAACAGAGAGCCCTGAGGCGGCTGTGTGCCAGCTGGATATCTGCAGGCGAAGGCAGCTCCTCTCCCAGCTCCACCACCACACACAAGGAAGACTGGCATCCAAACAGGATCATCTCCAGGTTTCTACAATCAGCAGGAGCACAGTTGTCAACATATTCTCTCAAGATTGATCACTCTGGAAGTTATCTTGTCACAAAACTTCCCTTTGCTGCAAATTTTTAAATGCTGCACAAACCTGCATCACAAATTTAAACTAATCTTAATCAGATTTTTTCAGTAGCCAAACCATCAATTCTTTTTCTTTAATACAAAAACCACTGCCTGTCATAATAACTTCAAGCTGCTTTTACACTGAATACTCAAGCTCCTTTGGCGACAAATCAAGCTGCAGTTGCAGTGTAGTGTAGGCTAATATTTGGTTTATGTGGTTTATTTGGTTTCATATGTCCTGAATATCTCTCAAACACAACAAAACAACTTTTCTGTAACACTGTTTCACTACAGAGCCTGTCTCTTCTTTGTTACTTAGTGGAAACAGACCTCCTAAAATATAGCAATATGTTTTTATCTGAACCAGATTTTGGATCTGCTTTAAAGAGATTTCAATGATGGCTCTTCTTGTCAAATGTGAGCTGTGATTTTCCTTTTGGTATTTACAGTCAAAACCACCGCTGACAGTGACGCTTAAGCATCTTCAAACATATTTACAGACACTGAAAGACGTACGCAATAAAAAAAAAAACCCTCACACACCTGATATCATCTTTCTCATGGTAGATGTTGTTCTGGAAACTGGCCATTCGCAGCAGATCGCTGCCTCGGGGGTGTCGCCAGCTCCAGCGCTGCGGCACAAAACACAGTTTCATCCTCTGTAATAACACGTTCACGGCGATAATATCCCCCCAAGGCCCTCACCACATCTGTGCTCATCTTGTAATTTGTGTCACAGGAATGATAATAAAAAGGAGAAACATATCTTTAAAGATGACTGCAACAAAAATATCTTTCTATTATAGCACATAATACACTCTTGGGAGTAGCAAGGGCTCATTTTGGGAATACATATATAAATATATGTACTTTTGTTCTGAAACTCAGCACTTTTGATGTTATTGGCTGTACTAAATCTTTTAGAGTTTCAGCTCAGTCGATTGGTCTCATACAAATAAACCAGTATTAAAATGGTTCCTAACAGTGCACTCACAGGGATGCGTCCTTCGTTGAAGTGGGCGAAGCTTTTCTTGAGTTCAGTGTCTAAAACCTTCTGTGGAACCACGATGAACCGAGGCAGGCTGAGAAAAGACAGATGAGATACTTGGTTTCGTTGACAGAAAATAAACAGTGAGGATGAGATTTTGGTGTTCAGAGCACCGACTTTGGAGACTCCTCTTGAACTCATGAACTTTTTTCTTTATTGTGAATTTTTGCATGGCCTGTTGTTCCCAAATTTATTCATGCTTTGCATAAACTTCCTTTATCCAGGAGTTTTCTTACATTCACCTCACTCCACTGTTGCATTTCATCTTTCTTCTCTTTTTACATTATAAGTTTTCAGTAAACGTGTGGAGAGAGTACCAAAGAAACCTGAAAATTCTCCAAAGACACAAACAGACACAAGGAGGCGTCGGCTTTAATTCACCCGTAGAGCGAGTTTACCTGGTGGACATCTCAAAGCGATCGTTAACCGAGCTGACCCTCCAGCCCGTGGCCCCGCACCTCTCCAGCTCTTGTTCCCAGTCTGGGACGGACTCGTACCAGTTCATGTGGGCATTCCGCGGACGGTTGCTAAGAAACTGCTTCATTTCTGGGGGAGGAGAAGTGACAGAAAACACTGTGAATGAATGAGAACTTTTTGTTGAAACGAGGCTGTAAATATGTCGTGTCAGAGTGCAGATTTTGCTCCGATGTTCTGAGCAGAAACACGGCTAATGATGCTTAAAGCCTTTAAATGGAGGGATCAGGGGTGACCATTCAGGAAATAAAACAGTGGGTCATTGGAAATAAGTAACAGCACAATAATATGTATCATTAAGTGGAGCTGATTTACAGCTGAAATGAGCTTTGCTAATAAATGAAAACCATTTACTAGATAAGGATTTTCCATTTTGGTTTTTAAGAAAGCTGCGAGCAGAAAATATTTCAGGTTGCAAACTAATCATAGAGCAAAACCAGCTATTCAAAAGATCTGCTTTCTGTTTTTCAAACATTTTACAGCCCAAATGATTGACTGATTGATATGTGGAATAATCTGCAGCTCACACTGAGGAAAAGATGAAGTGCAACACCCTCAGACAGAATTAAAGATGGTTGTACACTGAAATATTCAGCAAGCAGACGCAGCCGAGTGTGAGGTGCCTTTTCATAAACTCTTAGACTCAGTTCCTCTTTCCTTCGACACCTAATCGTTGGTGTGAAATCGCAGAGGAGTGAAGACGTCAAACATTCAAAACCATCAACATTCAAAATGATTCAGAAATACTGAATGACCTTTAGCGGCAGCAAGAATCAAATCCGAGGGTGTTTTCAAGTCCTGCATTCGGCAGCACTGACCACACACCACCAGACACACTTGACCCGTGGGGCAGAGTTGAACTGGAGGTCATCTAGAGATTTGTTCCAGAGGGGGCCCTGCATTATTTATCCGACAGCTGACAGTCACTCACAGCCCGGTCAGCCTAGCGTAGCTTTAACATAGCATAATGTACTGTAAAAGCCGGCTCGTATTTCTCTATAAGGTCTGACTGAACAGCCAATCGTTCGATCGTAACCAAGCGTACAAGCACAGTGAGATGTTAAAGGGTTTCCAGGGTCTGGTTCTTCCTCTCAGCACTTAATTATGTTTAATTACGGAGCCGGAATGTTTCATAAATTGAACTTTTAAATCACTGTCAAAACCAGACCTTAAAATTTGAGTCTCCTCGGCCTCAAAACCACCGGAGAGAGATTTCCCCACATCTGGTCATGGTTCCAGTTTTTCATTTTTCATTGTGTCATCATGGCGGGGAATGTTTCCAAATTTGCTAACCGAGGAGGATGTGAGCTTTTTAAAGTCATTACAGTTTCCATTTATGTTTCCTGTTTAATATTCTCTACCGTTTCAAGAATTTGTAACGTCAGTGTGATGATAAGACTGAAAATAGAAAGAAACAGAAACGAAAATAGATGAAACGGAATTAAAGTCGGGAGTAAACGACAAACACTGATTCTCCCTGGAGCTTGGGAGAATATTAAAAACCCAAATGGAGAGCAGATTGGACGGAGGCACACCGGGAGAGACATTTTCAGGCTGCAGAAAACAAGAACATCACAGAGCTAACACGTTCACACTGCGCTTCTGATCCATGTGGGCTTTTGATTCTCACTTTCACTGAGCTGTTATATCGTGAATATTCAACACAGTTTGACATGCACAGGAAGAAAAGAAAGAGTGAAAGGATTACTGATGAAAACTTATGATCATAAAGTCAGAAATGTTTCTATACCACTAATATTCAGAGCAAAGGCATGTCCAAAACACTCTAATTCAACTCCTTAGCTATATTCTTTGGTCTAGGTTCACACTAGCAGGGTGCACAGTGCAGTAATGGATGCCGACCTCACAGAATTATTCATATTAGTCAGGCAGGGAGAGCAGCAGCAAAGACCCACAGAGTACAGAACAGAGCAGGTTACATAAGACATGAGTAAAATCTGACACAGTGTGAAAACAGGAAGCTGAAGTGGAGGCGGTTGCACAGTGGTTTGTAAAGGAAGCTGTGAGTGTGGACACGCTGCATCAGTTTATATATGTCCATGTTGACATTTGCCCGCTTGATGCACTGAAGGCATCCGCTGAGCTGTCAGCTGATAAGAATGGACCTCAAGATCACCTGATGTACCGAGGGCAGAGGTTCACCTCTTCGCCTGCTGTAATTAATGCTGTGCTCAGCGTTAATGATCCGCTGTGTTAAAAAGCACAAAGAGTAATGCAAGAGCACAACGTGATAAGCTCTAAAGAAGAGACGTAAATCTATGTGAAGGGGTCCAATCGAGTAAAGAGAGAACAGCCCTTTGAGTATCTCTCTGTATTCTCCAGTACCCATGTGGCTGTATATACAGTAGATAGACAAGCTGATGAGGATCTGTATCAGCGCCAGGAAAGGAATTAAGCTGTATACATTAAGGGCGCATACATTATCTACTCACCTACGCTCCCCAGAGCAGCGTTCTGGAAAGATAACACTGACCCAGGTTTGAGAGGCTGGTAGGTCTTGGCGATGGTGTAGGTTATCTGAGGAGGGAAACCACAGCAAGTCCATCAACATGACAAAGGTCATCAGCTTTCAACATTAATGCACAGCAGAGTCATTGATCTGTGGTCTGTGTTAGGATCAGTCTCTGAAATAAATGATAATCACTCTGATGGTAACCAGAGACTTGAATCGGAGCCAAAAACACAAACACACACTGAAATGTGCAGCAGCATGTACCCAAAGCACATATCTCTTGAAAGGAAAAAAAGTATAAAAACATTAGAGAAAGACAAACACTCACCTCTAGGACTTGTGGGTCTGGAGTGAGGCGGTCAAACAGGAAGCAGATGACTCGCATGTCCCTGCAGTAAAGCACCAGCTCCTCGGGGGTGAACTTCAGCGAGGAGTTAGGCGTGACCAGCTTGGTTCTGTTCGGGCCCACTGGAACAGAAGAAGGGAAAGAGGTTCCATTAAAGATTAAACAGAGATACAGGTCATGAGCCAAAGAGCCCAGAGTATAGATTACATGTATACTTACAGACTAGCAGTGTATAGGTTAGATCTACTGTATAAGGGCTGTCATAGCGCACAGCATGGACTACCTCACCATTAAACATTTTAATTCATCTGTTTCAACGTGTGTGTACAATCATTTTAACTTAAAGAGAGACCTGTTACCAGTAGGATGACACAAACTGACATCAGAATGTGACCCTAAGTAGAAACAAGCTGTTTTGATAACTAGGAAAACATGTGCGGGTGTCACACCAACATCTGTATTATGGAACTTTATAAACATTGTACATTACAACATTATATGTAAGTATTAGAATATAGATAAGCATGAAAGGTCCCCTTAAATGTCTCATGTGGGTGTTAAAAGTAACTTTAAAATTGTTTTTAATCCTTTGACTTTTGTGAGATTTGATCACCTCCCACACAACATAAATCATCTTCAGTTTAAACTTTCATAGATATTGTGTTAAAAAAACAACCAAACCAGTTCTTTACCACCATATACTGTATGGACAACTTGGTTCCGCCTCCCACCATTATACGGATTTGAAGCCAAAAAGCTCTCGGTATTTCTGCGATTTTTCTTTATTTCCTAAAACCAATATTGCGCAGTAGCGTTGTTCGGATTCGGCAGGAGAGTCACCGAGAGTCGCTGTGATGACGCTTGGCTCAAACAGCGTATTGACTTGAGCACAAACCAGTCTCACAGTAACTACATGTCAACATCACAACCAGTGGGGAGAAAAATTCATGTTCTGTGTAATTAATTTATACAGTTTGTCCACAGCTCCATAAGCTTTGCTGGCTGAGGCAGGATTTGTGACCTGTACTGCAGCCCATCAATAGAGGGTGCTGTTCTCGGAGTGGCTTCACCCAGAGAGGAGGCAGACGGCGTCCATTCTATATACAGTCTATGATTACAGATGACAGGCTCTGATATAATTGACTAAAATCTCGGTCAGAACTTGAGCTGTGGATTTTCAAGAGATTCACTTTTTGCCCTCCTGTTGTTTTTCAACTAAGTGGCTTCTTGAGTGTTTGCTGTGATATTAAAACTGTTACCATGGCAACTATCTGTGCTGCCAGATCAATCACAACAGGAAATTTACAAATTACAGCTAGAAACCCTTTAAGATCTCTATCAATCTGAATTTCACCAGAGACCTTAATTTTCTATGCAAGTTAATGGCTTTCATCTACATCATTAGTAATACAAAGTTTATTGAATATCATAACAAACAAAAAAAAAACATGTCATACTGTGTGACTAGTCTGTAATTATACCCAGCCAGGGAGGGTTGCATCAAAGTAACACTTGCCCATAAATCTTCAGAGTGAAATTAATTTGAAAAACTTAATTGAAAACATTTGTTGAGTTTTACTGTTGGCAGTCAGTTTTACTTACCAACCACAACTTTCTCGATGGACGCCAAAGCCACATCATGATCTCCGAGGAGCACTGGGTCTGCATTGTCCTGCATTATTGATGTTGTGAAAGAAGAAACTGATTTTTGCTCTTGTCATGTCAGTATTGTACTTTGACATGCTCTTTACACAGAAAATTAAGCAATCCTTTATGATATGACTAAAAAAGCTACAGGGAGGGACTCACATCAGGTTTGGGACTGTCCTGGGGCACGAAAGCCACTCTGAAGTGGGTACAGAAGAGAGTCCCAGACACCCAACCTCTTCCTTCCCTCGCAGTCAACTTCTTCCTCACCATCACGGCTCTTTGAAGGACGCACTCCCCTGGTGAGGACAAAAGAAAAGGAATGTATGTTATGTAGTTTTTGTTTTGTCCTATACATGGTCTTACTGAGGGTGTTTGTTGGGCTGCTAATAAGGATACATAACAGGAAGTGTACAGACAGAATCAGCAGAAAGGAAGCTCACATAGAGTAGACAACAAGAAGTGGGTTTCACATTTATCTTCAACAAGTTGTTGCTTTTTGCTTCACATTGTCGGACAACAAACAGTTTAATTTTTCATACTCTGTGCAGGTCAAAGATCCCCTTCCCCTCGCTCAAACAATTAAAGTAGCATAAAAAGCCTGGATAAAGAGGTAAAATACAGCATCTATCAACATTGTAAAAACACTATATTACATAAAATAAACAGTATATGAGGGGTAATGCTTCATGCAGCTGTTAGCAATGAATTACAGATAATAGAGAGGCCTAAACCAGAGCCTGATGGTTATCGAGATGGTGGATATTTTACAGTAAGTACAAATGCACTAAAATAACAATATCAGATGGTAAATGTGGTTTATTTAGCTGTAATTTTTTGCCAAACTTATCATAGAATCTTTTTTTATTTAATCATGGATGACTTTTATTTTCATAAAATAACATTTCACTCTCAGAGCTCCCCCTGAGGACAAACAGATTGTCTCTATTTGCAACATGCAGTGAAGTGCAGATCTTTCTAGATTTTTTTAAATGTCATTTGCAAGGACAGAACCCAAACCCAAGATGAAATATCCAGCAGTTTTGATCATTTTGCATGTATATAAATTCATACTTTATGTACTTTAATTCAGAAAAGACAGTAAAAAGAATCCTCATCACAGGTTTAGAGGACGAGACAACTAGAGTCTGAAATTCCAGGACTGAAAACAAACTCCTACAAATAAACTTAGATCTTCACAAACACTCTGATCAGGGCAAAAAAAAGCAAATACTTTCCCCAAAACACACAGCAGTGAGACAGCACATTTAAAACAGACTACAAAGACTTTGCCAGCTCGACTGTGGGTTTCCATGGCAACAGGATAATGTAGATGTGGAGAAAATGGCCTTTTTGTCCACAACAAGAGGAAGGTTTGCCAAACACATGGCACGCAAATGTTTTTACATTCACTCAAAATATCATGAGGAGAAGAGGAGAAATCCTGCCGGTTCCTCGAAAATGGAAAAAAAAAAAAAATACTCAAGAGGAAACAGAAATTCTTTTCCTGGGGGAAGCCGGTCCAACAGGAAAACTGAAAATAAGAGCAGAGTCTCTGCAGAATAATCTCAGCCTAATGAATGTTTTGGAGGGTACCACAGCACAAACAGGAAACAGTCATTTTTCTCACATGTAGCACTTATTTACACTGTGTGAAAGACAGAGGGGAAGAAGAGGCTTTGATTCTAACACTATCATTTTCTGAGTTTGAATGTTCAGGCGTACTCTATGATTACGTTTACAGCGCCCAGATCCAAACATTAAAAAGCCTCTGCCTGCAGGATTTATCAACATGAGCTCGCAGAGATTTCAGATGCTTCGCAGAGTGAACACAAGTGAACCCTTGTGGAGAGCTTGTCTTTCAGAGGACAATCTGTGGCTCTGCGTGCCATGTCTGAATGTCTCCCCAGGGTGCAACAGGAACGAAAACATTCCTGTAGGCCTGCTGATTGGAGAGCTGGGAGGTTCAAGGGGAACAGGCAGGGAACCAGAGGCTTCTGGGACTGTTTTCACTCTTTTCAGAGCTGGAATTGAAGAAGAAGTTTGTGGTAGCAGGTGATTCAGCCCAGCATGAGTCAGCAGAACAGGAGAAGGTGTTTACGAGACAGTTGTCCTTTAATCAAATAAAATCTTTTATGTTCTTCCTGGAGCCAGTCAGACACAGCACAACTCGCAGAGTCATGTGGAACTTATCTTCCACTCTTTAGATTACAAAGTAAATCATTTTTCCCATTAGAGTCTTTCTTCTAGTATTCTGAACATTTTTCAGGGTCTGACACAGGCCTTTTTCAGAGTGTTGGCTCTATTGCAGCTCTAACAAACAACAAAACAATAGAAGCAACAAATCACCCTATTTACACAACAGGCTTTCTTTTCTACTTTATGTCAAGGGTGGGGAGTTAAAAAGCTTTTCTTTGTGTTTAACTTCTGCTGTCCTGAATTGAAAAACTATTCAAAAAACAAGAAAATCCATAAATTGTTATCATTACTACTTCATTGATTATTGGCAGAGCGAATCACAACTGTTTGACATTAAAATGATCAACCTTTCTGATAGTATCATGCAGCTCTACCAAACTGCTATTCTATCAAATATGTCAACATGAAATATCTCCATTGTCCTTGTTAGTGTCCACTGTTCCTTGTAAAGTGTTTTCTTCTCAATCAGAAAACTGTGAAAATTTGACTTTTAATGAACTCCATTTGAAAGGTTAAACACAGCTCATTATAGTAAAGGTTTGGTTGAAACATTGATTGATCGAGGAGTGGGCCTGAGAGATTTGGTAAAAAAAATGATCACAAGATATTTAGTCATATCGTCCGATCTCGATCATTATCACGATTTTTTTTTTAAACTGCCAGTTTTAAAGTATCTGTACAAAAAACTAAAGAAACTAGAGATTAGTTCAACATTCTATTAACATACCAAGTAAATAACAAAGCAAATTAAATAAGATACACTTCGAAAAATATAAAAAGCATTTTAATTCAACAAGTACAACAAAAGTAGATAAATACTAAATAATACAGTGAACTAGTTTACAGTCCTGAGTGTTTTTGCAGGTATGCAAGAGACGACATAAACAAATCACCCCCTCAGGGATAATAAATCAGATACTTTAATTGAGATCGGACGATATGACAAAATATATCGTGATCATTTTTTTTTGCCAAACCGCCCAGGCCTACCCTGAACCCGACTAGCAAAAGGTATTTTTCCATTTGACATAGATATGCTTCATACAGTACAGACTAAACTCCAGTGTTTACCGACATTTTTTATCTCTATTTGAGGTCTCATTCAAACATACATTGGCTGTACAGCTATTATTTGAATTATGTAAAAACCCTTGAACATAAATGATCATATTTCAACACTGACAGAGGGTTAGATTCAAAGTTAGAGGAAGTTGTCCGACAAGCACAAAGTCTTAAAAAAAAACTTATTTTGCGTGTCATCTACTCTGTTGAGGATAAATACAGCATCATTTTCCTCCCCTCTTTAGTGCTTCAGCTGCCTCTGTTGATGTTGTGGTCACTGGCTGGGGTTTAAAGAGAGAGCGACCTGAAGGATCAGCCTGAGAAAAGTCTGCTGAGAAAGATCTGAACCACATGCTCTCAGCCCGGCTTCTATTTGTTTTCGGCAACATTTGTTCCTCGTTTTCAGCTGTGCTGCATGCAGAGAGAGAGGTCCCTGCCCTCCTCAACCCGCTGAGGGGATGAGCAAATACCAAGGGTGGGTTACTTTGGGTTAAATGTGGGGCTAGGGTTGTACAGACAGACAAGCAGCTGATAAAGATATTTCTTTTACCAACGACTATCAGAAAAGTCACTCATGGTTTGGGACTTCTCTATAACACTGCTCTGTCGTGCAGAAAACCAAAACCTTCATGTGATACAACTACCATTAATAGGAAGAGCAGTTTGGAAATGACTAATGTGTTAAGTCAGCTTCACACATACGACAATGAAACAAAACAAGTCAAACTTTTTTCAACCTCAAAAGTGTCTGAAAAGCTGCTCTGTCAAAACTAAGTTACCCTTTCACTGCTGGAAACTACAATCATTTCATTCACTATAATTGTAACACATCTTTTTTGTTCAGAACACATGTAACATATATAAAAAGCCAAATTAATACTTTACAATATCAGGCTGGAAACCCAATTCTACAAATGTCAATTCTCAGGTCTCTTGTCCATCAATCAGTAAGAGCACAGCTGATGGACAGGCCTTTAATCCCACAGTAACGTTAGACTGTGGTGAAAAAATGGATTGTGAAGTTGCTCCACGGGGGTCCTGGCCTCTTGGCATTGTGTGTGAATGGACAGTACTCCCTTATCCTCTCACTGCAGCATTGAAAAGGTACATGATCTACCTATGGCTGTCTGAGCTGTCCTGACCTGTTTGCCCTCCTGCAGGCCGGCTCGGTTTCTGCGGTCCTGTGTCGCGGTGTCACATGAGAACGCAGCGGACGCTCAGAGCCGCACGTTAACTACTGAGTGAAGGGGACGACTTCTGCAAACATATTTCTGATTCTGACTTTTGATTCGTTCTTCACTGGTCAGAGGATCTTCCTTGTTTGAGGTGGAAAAACCTCCGTCAACCTTTCCTGTAACAACAGCCAGACTGTGCTGTAGTGATATGAGATCGAACAATGCGCCTCATCTGCAGTGCTGACAAATGACCCATCCTTTCTCAAAGACTGTAAGAGAGAGAAACAGAAAGAGAGAGTCTGCAGGTGCAATGTGAGCCCTTTCACTCAGTGCAGTAATGCTTGCAGCTCCTTTGTACCTGAAAGTGAACTTGTTCTCACAAATTGTCTCAACACTTGCTCCACACAGTGTAAACAAAGCAAGAGGATCACTTTCACTTTCTAAAATCTGTTCCAAAACATGTCCGACGTGGAACAAATTCTGCATTTAGAGACAACTACGAAGAGATTTTAGCTCATGAGGAGCTAAAATGGGTGCACAGGAAAAAAGGATAAGGTTGATTCTAAAAACCTGAAATTTCTTCCAAGACACATCTGTCTTTTTTTTCTCTCTTAATATAAAACAGGTTTTCATGGACAGCTGTGTTTCTAATCTGCCTGGAATGGAGCTGCAGAAAGAGAGGAAAGAGAAAGGAGCAGTGAGGCTGGGTCGGGGATGAAGAGGAGGCTGAAAGCCAGCAGGGGGAAAAATGTGAACTAAAGACAGTCGACATTTTACAGTGACATGTTAGGAGCTAAAAATAGGATATTTGTGTGTGTGTTTGTGTGTGTGAGTGTGTGTAAATGTGCTTGTTGTCAAAGACGAACAGAGTCTGGAAAGTATTTGATAAAAACACACTGCTGGAAAACAAATTAGACTGACTAAGTGAATAAGATGGAGGAAGGAAGTGTGTGTGTTTCTCAAAAGCATGTGTGCACTCTCTAATGTGTGTGTTTGTGTACGGTTCTGATGGCAGGTCAATGGATGGAAACACTATTCTTTCTCAAACAAAGGCTAACTGATCTATTACTGCAGCTTTATTACCAGACTGAACTGAGGGTGGGATGTTTTCCTCAAAAACACACAAACAGACTCATTTACATTCGCTCTGCTCTGATGAAGCTGTGAGTAACTGCTGATATGCAGCGCTCCAGCTTAGCCCGTCTCAGAGGAAGACTTCTTAATCTGCTGCTACTCTAATAAAAAGCTTCTGCAGGGTGCTGCTGACTCAAAGATATGTGCAGGGCCAGGTTAGGTAAATAAATCAGACTACTGCTGCAGCAGCAGCAGAGACTTTCTGTGGCCCTTCATCATCCTGCAAATGATCACTTGGGTTGACAGAGTTGAAAAGACTGACTTACTCTTCTCAGCAGGAGGGTTTTGCCATTTGAGGGACACACCCTGAGAAGGATTTAAATGTATTTAATGTTGACATGACCTCCTGCAGTTCTTTATAAAATTCCAGACTTGGTTGAAACATATTTTTTCTCTGCACTCTTATGAAGGGTGCATTTAGTCAGAACAAGACTTTGTAAATAGCTTAATCAAAGGGCACAAGCTGTGAACAAACAGAAAATGGCCAGTGACTGATAGAATAATCAGGGCTTGACACTAACTTGTGTGTCAAGCTCATGTGCTCCTAAGATGAAAAAGAAAGGAGCACACAAAGAACTTTAGGGGCACAAAGAAAATTGATCAAATAATATGTGTCTTATTGGTCGACATAAGTAGTATTATTTGAAATTAATTTTAAGTCTTTTGGTCACATGACATGGAAGCTATTGAAAGAAAACAGCCTTTTCTGAGAACATCAACTCGTAATTTATTGACGGTCCCTTATTCAACACCTGACGTTAACAGCGAGGACGCCGCGTAGATTTAACCGCGCTGCTGTTGCCGTTCCTGTTTATAGAGAGTGAGAAGACACCAGTAGATCCTCAGTGAACGTCCATCGAGTATCCAACCTAAAACTAACTTCACCGCTGTATTTACATGAAAAATATTTGTTGCCTCAGCTGATTTTTTTATGCGCATGTGTGACCCTAAATATATTTTACAATTTACATACATATATTTTAGTTGCAAATGCGAGTGAAACGGTCTCACTGTCGAGCCCTGATAATATAGCTTAGTTATCTCAGGTACTCAGTTAATAAAAAAAAGGTCATGTACTTGAGTGGTTGTGCTGCTGCAAACAAAAGTCTAATTCTGCTGTGGCTTTCAGCCCACATGTTGCAAACTATCATAATAAGCTTTGCCACACCTAAATTAGTCACATACTGTATGACAGAAACGGTGATGAAGAGACACGTGAGAGCATTTCATGATGGAGTGTGAAAGTTTAATTCTTAGCCACAGAAATGTTTGAGTTTTCCGGTCCTGCTCTGTATGTTTGGTGTAACTTTTCAGCAGCGGTTGTTTTTCCATCTCTAAAGTAGAGCACCTGCTTGCTGTGACATTCCTATTCCAGGTGTGTCTATGAGTACAATCTGGGAATTTCAAACCACAGAGAACAATGAATGCAGCAGCGGTTCTCTGCCTCTGTGTTATTCAGTGTTGACATTTTCAATCTGATCTCTCTCGCACCAGCGCTGCAGTTTTTAACTCACGTTAATACTGTGAGGTGTTAAATTTGTCATGTCTTTACACGCTGTGGCTGTGATGTTAAGCAGCAACCTGTTTATTGCTAGAGTGGCTTTATTTATTTGCTGGGATTATGAAATGGGAAGTTGTGTGCACAGTGTGCTTTGTTCAAGTAATTTAGTCAGGAAAGCATCACTGCCAGGCAACAACACGGACAAAAAAAGACTCATCATAACCGAGCAAGGAACTGAAACAGGAAATACAAAGGCTCAATATGAGGCGAAAAATTCAAGAGCAGCAGAAATATCCGATTTTTCTACTGACATGACAAGAAATGTTGAAAAACTAATTTATACTGAAACTACAGTAGTTAGCTTACCACCCATTAAAAAATACACTTCCATGTTCTCCACTAGTGCATCTAGAGCTGGGCAATAAAACAATAATGATATATATCAAAAATTAATTTCCCTCAATATCAATATAAAACATCGTCAATATCCTTTTCGGTAGTCTGCATTCTGTCATGTTTTGGTAGACTATACTAACAGCCAATGAAAAGGGGAGTTGCTCCAGGTCCGCGCCACGCTGAACCAATGATGTGCTGAATTAGAACCAAGTAGCAAATAACTGCGTAGTAGCAGGCTGCAGTTACACGCAACCATAGCACTTTAACACGTGAAGCCGACAGCACTGAAAGCCGACCATTGTCTACTCTCTATAGCACAACACCTTTCAACAAAACGTCTAAGAGACACAATTTTTTTATATCATGATATATACTGATATCAACTGATATGGAAAAAATATATCGTGATAAACTTTTTCCCATATCGCTCAGCCCTAAGTGCATCCCATTATCAGACCCCTATTAGCTTGTAAGAGCATAATCCTACCTGGTAGGCAGCGCAGCCCAAATACGTCTCGACTCCTCGCGTTGACCCCGCTCTGACTCAGCATCCTCTCCTGGAAGAAAAGCAGAGAAGACATGAGCATCCTTTATTTCTATTTTCAAGCAACACTCATGTTTCGCTTTGGCATTTTGGGAATCACTTGATTTTTGGTCAAGAGTTAAAAAAGAAACTAAGAATTTATGACTGACTGTAAAGTGAGAGTCACTTAAAGAATATTTTTTCACTCTCACAGACGTGCTATTATGTTTTATGACGCATTGTATACAAACATCCGCAGCCACATCCTCAGTCAGCTGCATTTTTTTGGCGTAACATTCTGGCCTTGGCCTGAATGTCCCGGTCAGCCGAATCACCGCTGAATATAACCACATTTAATTCATTCTTTACACTCATATTTTGGGATGCATCTTTGCTGTTTTCAACACAGAGCAGCTGGTATGCTCATGCAGATCAAGAGTTCCAGGCTAAAATAGATACCAGAGCTTCCAGGCCACCAGCTACATCAAATGAGCGTGCTCGTCCCAGAAGAACAACAGATTCTGCAGCTGCAACCCAGAGACACAAAGAATGCGTGCAACAAACGGAGCAGTTTTCTCAAGATACTCGCCCGAGTTGGAGGTTAAGGCGAGGCTACCAATCCACAATAATCCCTTTAGACAATAGAGGAGTGTTGAGCTTTCCGTCTTTCTTTTTTACAGTTCACCAATTAAGCACTTCAACCAAAATGTCAACCAGAGAGAAGGAGAGGGATGATAAAAACAGAAGTGCTCATTTAAAAGGAATAGATGTTTATTTGCAGACTTTTAGAACGGTTTAATGAAGACACAGACTAAACAGAATTGACTTGTAAACACATGGACGGACCCTTATGTCACTGTTTGTCTTGTTGATTAGATGTGAGTTACGGCTCTGCCTGCTTCTCTCTTCACAGTCCGCCTCGTCTCAGTGGAGTCATTTTCAAAGACAAAGGGGGGAAAGGGCCAACCGCACGCTCCCCATGATTCTGATTTTCCATTTTGCTGTTTGTTCCTGACTTCGTCTATAATAGTTATGAAGTCTCACGTTGTTGAGTCTGTTCTGCGAGCGGAGTCCAACTCCACAGAGCCACAGAGGTTTCTATAATAAGACTGTGAGCTTACAAGCACATATGCTTCCACTTAACTTTGCTGCTAACCCCCCTTTGTGAAGACCATTTACATTTATCGGCTTGAAATCCCATATTACGCCAAGGCCTGCAACGTGAGAGTATATTTTGGTTATACAGGTGGTGGACCAGCTTTATGGTAGAACAGAAATAGAGTTCAACATCCAAGGAAACGAAATGTTATGAATATAACTTCTGTTCCCTGAAGGAGAGGAACGAGGTACAACACATATAGTATGGGATATCACGCCCCTGCGTGACCTGACTGAAGACACCTTTATTCACGCCTTTAAGGCAGATGATCTGTGGTGACGTCTGGGAGGCTCCGCCTGCACATATATACGTGTAACACCACAGTCATCCTTCAGTTCGATAGCCGCTCTTCACCGAGCTCTGCCGCGCAGCGGGGCAACCCAGTGTTGTACCTCGTTCCTCTCCTTCAGGGAACAGAAGTTATATTCATAACATTTCGTTCCCTTTCAGTCGATTCACTCGGTACAACACATATAGTATGGGACATATATACACGCCCCGCAGAGCAGCCACCAAACCGAAGTCAAACCTCCAAAACTTTTAGTGCATTGTAGACCCAGCAGAAAGGACAGCGTGAGCCACCGAAGGTGCTGTCACATCCAAACGGTAAAACCGAACAAAAGTGTGTGGTGATGACCAACTGGCTGCAGTGCAGATATCACTCACAGAAACCCCTTTAAACAAGGCCCAAGAGGCCGCCATTCCTCTGGTTGAATGTGCCTTCACACCTTGGGGCAACGGGAGACCCCTGCTGCCGTATGCTAAGGAGATAGCCTCCACAATCCAGTGGGAAAGCCGCTGCTTAGACAGCGCCTTGCCCTTGGCTGGATTAGCAAAACAGACAAACAACTGGTCACATAAACGCACACTCTGAGTGCGGTCTATGTAAGTGCGTAGTGCACGCACAGGGCACAAGGAATGCAACCTCCTCTGCTCCTCAGATGCAAATGGAGGGGGGCAGAAGCTCAGCAGTTCAAAACTCATAGAGCTATAGGCTGTGGGGATAATCTTAGGTAAATACGCCGCGTTTGGACGCAATGTAGCCTTAGATCCATCCGGAGTGAACTGGGTACAAGAGGGATGCACAGACAAAGCATGAAGGTCGCCCACTCGCTTTGCAGACGTCAAAGCAAGTAGCAGTGCAGTCTTGTATGAAAGAAATTTCATGTCTGCTGACTCAATAGGCTCAAATGGGGGTCCACCAAGAGCCTCAAGCACCAACCCTAAATCCCATGAGGGAACACTGGGTTTAAGAACAGGTCTTAGCCTGCGGACTCCCTTTAGGAAGCGCATAGCAAGAGGGTGAGCGCCTGGCGTCACACCATCAAAGCCAACATGGCATGCAGATATAGCCGCCAAATAGACCTTAATTGTTGAGAAAGAGAGACCCTTATCCAGCAGGTCCTGAAGGAATGTTAAAACATCCACAATAGAACTCTGAAATGGGAGTACATTTCGGTCCTGACACCACTGCTCAAACGCCCGCCATTTATAGGCATATAGGCCCCTAGTAGATGATGCCCTTGCACTCTGGATTGTTGCCACCACATTTGGGGGCAGACCCTGAGCCATTAAGTTGGACCTTTCAACAGGTAAGCATGTAGTTTCCACAGTTCTGGGCGCGGGTGAATCACCTCTCCTCCCGCCTGGGAGAGGAGGTCCCTGCAAAAAGGGAGCTGCCAGGGCCTCGCTACCAGCAGACTGATTATCTCTGCGTACCACGACTTCGCCGGCCAGCGAGGAGCCACCAGGATCAGGGAGAGCCCCTGCTGGCGCACCCTCTCCAGAATGGGCAGAATCATTTCCACTGGGGGAAAAGCATATAGCAGCGTGTTGGGCCATGGGTGAGCTAGCGCATCCATCCCCAGGGGAGCATTGCAGTCTGTTATGGAAAAGAACAGGGGGCAATGAGTATTTGCTCTGGAGGCAAAAAGATCTACTTCTGCCTTGCCGAAGCGGTCCCATATCTGAGCCACCACTAGTGGGTGCAATCTCCACTCTCTCACAAGAGGACCCCCCTGGAGAGAAGGTCTGGTCCAAGGTTTAAGTGACCCGGAATATGTGTGGCTCTGAGGGACAGAAAATGAACACTGCACCATAGCAACAGATAGTGAGACAGTTTTAACAGGGGAAGAGAGCGTGTCCCTCCCTGCTTGTTTATGTAAGAAACCACGGTTGTGTTGTCCGTCCTGATCAGAACATGATGGCCTGTCAGAACGGGACGAAAGTGCTTCAGAGCTAAAAGGGTAGCTAGTAGCTCCAGGTAATTGATGTGGAGTTTGCATTGTGCTGGCGTCCACACACCTCTCACTGCTGCGCCCTCGCACAGAGCCCCCCAACCCCTCAGGGATGCGTCTGTGGACACCACCTTGCGAAAAGACACCCTCCCTATCGGAGATCCCTGTTGTAGAAAACCGGGTTCTCTCCACGGGAGAAGAGCCGACATGCAAGACTGAGTTATCGTCAGCCTCCTCTGGAGGTGACGCTGCGCGCACAGCCGGTGAGACTGAGTCCAGCGTTGAAACGCTCTCATTTTTAACAGTCCGAGCGGCACTACAGCGATCATAGATGCCATCATGCCTGTCAGCTGTAAAATCGTCCGGAAACACAGTTTGCGTCCCAACTGAAATTGTGCAAGGCAGCGGTGAAACGCAGCCACCCTGCGTTCTGACAGACGTGCTCGGCTTGAAACGGAGCATATTTCCAGCCCGAGAAATGATACCTGTTGACTCGGAGTCAGTGAACTTTTCTGTAAATTTACTGAAAAGCCCAGTGTTTGGATGTGCGATAGGGTCAATGACAGCTGAGCCGCTGCTCGCTCTCTGGAGCTCGCGATTAGCACCCAATCGTCCAGATAGGCTAAGATGCGAACACCTTTCTCCCGTAGCGGAGCTAATGCCGCCTCGACACATTTGGTGAATGTTCGGGGGGCGAGTGATAAGCCGAACGGCAGCACCAGGTATTCGTAGGCTATGCCCTCGAATGCAAACCTTAGAAACTGCCTGTGGTCCGGATGAATTGCTACGTGAAAGTAAGCATCTGTCAGATCGATAGTTGTAAACCAATCTCCCGGTCTGATCGCGCCCAGTAGCTGTCTGAGTGTTAGCATCTTGAACCTGTAGGTTCGTAGGTATTTGTTTAACACTCGCAAGTCTAGGATAGGACGGAGCCCTCCTCCTTTTTCGGAACAACGAAATAGCGGCTGTACCAACCTTTGTTCGTTTCCGAAGCGGGAACAACTCGTATCGCCCTCTTGTTCAACAAGTTGTTTATTTCTTCCCTCAGCACTGCTGCTGCTTCCTCTGCTACAACTGTGTGTATTACAGAGTGAAAGCGAGGCGGCCGGACCCTGAACTGTAAGCGGTAGCCGATGGCAACAGTTCTCTCTACCCACGGTGAGACTGCGCATGCGCGCCACCGAGAGAGACGAACAGTCAGTCGACTGACCTCCAGTACTGTGGGGGAGGGGTTGTCGCCCCCTAGCGTGCCGGCTGGGAACGGCAACACTTTCTCGCCCAGACTTGATTGATTCATGATGTTTTGAGAACAAAACGAAACCTTTATTTGATTCAAAGAACGTACATTTGTGACATTCACACAGTGAACAACAGGCGCCATTATTGGGGCATGTGTATGTGAGGGGGGTTGTGCTTGGGAGACTGTGTTAAGGGAGTGCAGCGCCTCTCGGGACCGGACCCCTGAACGAACTTTAAACGCGGCCTCTTTGGCGGCAGAAAATGAAGGGCGGCAGTGTCTCCGTGCTGCTGGCCCTCTCGAGTCGATCCCGAAGCTAGGATGACTGCTGCTTCTTCTTCCTGGGCGCCGAGTCCCTCCGGAAGCTCGGTGGCGGACCCTTGTTCCAAGCCGAAGGGCGTGGGTTCTGACCGGGTACATATCGCTTCACCGGCTGGGGCCCCAAGCTGGCGGGCGCTGCAGTCCTCTTAGGGGGAGGCGCTGGTGCCGGTTTGTGCGGATAACCCTGTTGTTTGGGCCTCGCATCACGCCTGGGGATGATGCTTCTCAAAGCTTCGGTTTGTTTTTTCCTCAGCTCAAACTTAGCTTGAATGTCGTCGAGGGACTGCCCAAACAAACCGCTGGCCGACACAGGCTCGTCCAGATAAACCGCTCTGTCCCTCTCCGGAACGTCGGAGAGAGTCAGCCACAGGTGCCTCTGCGCCACCACCGTGGAAGCCATGCCTCTACCGAGAGACAGCGCTGCACAGCGGGACACACGGAGGATGTAATCTGTGGCGACCCTAGCTTCATTGAGGAGAGGAGTAAGCGGACTGTCAGGAGGCATACGCGAGCCGAGTTCTGCCAGACACATAGCTTGATATGTCTGAAGCATAGTGACGGAGCTCAGTGCACGAGCCGTATTTGCCTGTGTCCTGTAAATTTTATCCAGCTGTGACGCTGAAAATCTACAGTGCTTGGATGGGAGCGTGATGGGGCCACCGACACCGTGATTCTGGGCCGGGGCCAGATAAGCTGCCAGGGACGCCTCCATAGGCGGAGGGTTCACCAATCCAGCTTTTTCAGCTCCATCTAGATCCAGAAACTGTCCACAACCGGGCACTGTGGCGCGGGTGGACAGCGGCTTGTTCCATGTCGAGGTTAGTTCCGCGACAAAATCCGGGTACATGGGCAAACTGTTCTTAACAGTCGTCGGTTCGGGTGGGAGAAAAAACCCTGTGAACCGCGACGGTTTTTGAGCTGGAGGAGGAGAGGGCCATTCTACCTCCAGTTTCTCAGCTGCACGGCGGTACAGTGAGAGGAAGGATGTGTCGTCCAGATCAACCGGCGCAGCAGCGGCGGCATACTGACCTGAAGACAACGGCTCCAGCTCATCTTCCGAAAAACCCTGCACGTCCAGGCCGATGTCCAGCACGTCATCGTCCTCCTGGTAACAAGCTAGCCCGGATAGCGGCTGGCCAGCGCCCTCGGAGGGGCCCGGCTCAAACCCAGCTGACCCGTCAGCACACTCCACATGGTCTGCCCAGCTTCCAACTGAGCCTTCGACCAGAAAGTCCTCACCACCGGACTCGGACGAAGCCGGGTCTCTGGACTCGGAAAGGAGGGGGTCGTGCAGCGCAACAGCGGTTTTTCCAAGAATTTTCTCCACAAACTTGACCCGCCTTCCCAGGGTTGAGCTCCGAAGCCGGTGACAGGACTCACACGACTCGGGCTCAGTCAACGCCCTCCTGGCGTGGACAATCCCCAGGCAAACGGGACAAGCCTCGTGAAGATCCTTCTCGTGAAGGGAGAAGCCGCACCCCTGAGGACAGGGGCGAACAGAAGACTTCGCCTTCACCTTCATGGGCTTAGAGCTCATAACGAGACTCAAAAGCTGAACGAAATTAGCGCTCCGCGGGTAGCCGTAGGCTAACACCAACAGGGGCAGTTGAGCTAAAGTCGATCAAGCAGTAGCCAGAGACAAGACCAGGCTAATTTAGCAGCAGCTAGTTAGCCCGACTCGGTGTAGGTGTTCTCAGCGAGGTGAAGAGCGTAAGAACTGAAGGATGACTGTGGTGTTACACGTATATATGTGCAGGCGGAGCCTCCCAGACGTCACCACAGATCATCTGCCTTAAAGGCGTGAATAAAGGTGTCTTCAGTCAGGTCACGCAGGGGCGTGATATCCCATACTATATGTGTTGTACCGAGTGAATCGACTGAAAGGGAACTCTAAAATGTAGAGCCTCAAACGTCTCTCTCAGCACTTCTAGCCCACAGTGAAACTATTAAAGACCGTTTCATTTAAGGAACTCAGCTTTATCACTTAACGCTGGTATTTCTAAGACTCAGCAAGGATGTGTGAACAATAACAATGAAACTACTGAGTTGCCAATGTTATGCTAGCAATTTTGCAGTGTGGTGCGTTCTGTGTTAGCAGCCGGCCCATGAAAACCTGAGACTCTAAGCCTGTGGCCCTCCATAAAAAAAAGACAGGGAACATTGAACAAAGAAGACCTTTGCTCTTTGAGAAAGGGAGTTTAGTCACACCGATTCACAGCAGCTTGTTTTTCCTTGCATGTGAAAGCATCTGGCTGTTTCTTTAACAAAACGCCACGGATTCTGCAGTCTGCTCCAGATCCTGGGAATAAAGTTGTAAACATTTGGTTCAAACTTTCTGATGTAGTGGCAGAAAGCATAATGCTGAAAACACATTTCACAAATTAAGGATGCACAATAATGCCAGTATCCTATTTACTGTTTTTAAGCTTATTGTGGTCTAAAAAAAAACCAACTACTAATCAAAAAATATAATTAGCCCATAGAAGCTGGCATTTCCCACCGCACTGAAAGCTGCTAAAGCTGCTGATGAATGAAGTTGCTGCTGAGGTCAGTGTGTCACCTAATCCTGCATGAGTATCTGCAAAAATTGACATATCTGGAAATACTGTTAATTAACTTTTGGAACTTTTATTTGCTGATAACACACCTGCCAACATTTATAGTCTACCGGGCAGTTTAGGGGTTAAAAAATTAATAGCTACGATATGCCTTGAACTTATTTAGTCCACTAATATAAGTGTTAAAGTCCTCATATGTTTTACATGCTCTCTCGTATGAGGCTCTCTAAACATCTGTGCGTGAAATACAGCACTCTTTTATCTGAGGCTGCCCTGAACGCATCACTCCAAGAAGGTTAAAGACTATCAACATAAATAATATCTTGCACTTGTTTCCTTGTCATTAAAGTGTTCATTTTGCAACAAATACTGTTTAAGTATAGTTTGCAGCTTAAACTGACCTGAATCATCCCAAATTGTAAAGTCAAAGTGTTAATCCAGTGTCTGTGAGGCTCAGCAGAAAGACAGGACAATCTTTGGTTGTCTGGAAACTTTGGACAAATATAGTGATCCGATTCATGAATGAACGTGGACCATCAAACTACGGGAGATTCCCAGGAGAAATGACAATATCGGGAGATATTAGGTCTGAAATATGGGAGAGTCCTGGGAAAAACGGGAGTGTTGGCAGGTATGGCTGATACCAATATCACGATGATAAACTAGTGCATTCCCAGATCAAATCTTCTCTAACTGTGAAATAACCCTTTACTTACACATTTTTAATTCAAATAAGCAACAACAGTTTGTAAGGATTTACCTAAAAGTACAAATTCTCACATTCATTAAAATAGGGTCGGCCTGTAACACAAATAAAACTAAGTCTGGTTCATGGATTAATTAATGTGAGCCTTAATTACAGACCCATTTGCACATTTGCTTGGGTGCAACATCTCACTATAAAATGTTCTCATCCTGCTCCAGCTTCTGCAGTAAAACTACAGGAATATTTTATAGGATGTGGCGTGCAAAATGAAAACCAATTTCAAAAGTCTGAAAGCTTCGTGTTGGCAAAAACTGCTGGGGTTTTTTGATGATAAGGCAGTTCACTAAAAATTTTACAACCTATTGTTTCAGGCCTGCCAGGACATTGTTCATATTTTTCCTGAAAGGCTTTAAAACGTCTCATGCCTTTGCTCCGTCTCTCCATCAACACCCACAAAAAAACCCACAGCTGAATTCCTTATTCCCTTTAAGAACATCAGAGGCTGCTCAGATCCAGTTTGGTTCCTCTTATCTGTAAGTGCTGTTGTGTCTTAGATCTGTCCTCTTAAGGTTGTGAGGACTGACAAAAAGTAGGCTTCAGGGTGTCGGGAGGCTGGTCAACTCAATAACGCTGCAATATACGAGGTGAAGAGCCCCTGGCATTCAGCTGAAGACTAAGTTACATATATGAGGTGATAGGAGAGGAGTGACCTTGCAGATTCAATTTGTTCATGCAGTAAAAGTGAAGGAGCAGCAGCTTATAAAATCAAAGTCTAGAAGCGTCAAAGATAAGACAAACGGTTCAGCTCTCCCTGAATCCTGCATCACTCAGAAACGCCATTCCCATGCCGTTCCTCACAAATGCCAGCTTTCAGCAGACATTTTTCATTTGCGTTGTGGCTTTGGCATCCCCCCCTCTTCCACTTTCATTGCCTCTTCCCCCCTTGCTCTGCCTCTCTGCCCCACTTTTGCCCTACTCTGCTCCCCCCTCTACTTCATCCTCAGGGACAGCGGCCAAGGCTTGTTGCAGTTTCCATTGCTCATGGCTTCCTTTGCTACTGCAGCCAGACTTCTGCAGTAAGCGTGCCTGTTTCTGGCTCTGGAACGCGTTTCTCTTTTCTTAAACAACGGACAAACCTCGCAAGGGAAGAGAGCGAATGGATATTTTGGAGGGACAATGAAGAAAAAAAACATTCCCGATCTACAAACGTGAAATCTTATAATAGTTATTATGGACAATTTAAGGTCTGTTATGAGAGTACTTCTTGCCAGACGCTCCCCTTTTGGCCTGTAAAATACACATTAGCTTTCAGCCACTGCACTGTAAGGGTCACAACCAGTTCGTTTGTATTGTGCTTATTCATTTCCTCACATGAATGGGAACAGTCCTATGGCATTGTGAACTGGCTTAGGAGGAGGAAAATAACGCCATGAGGTCGTTCTAAATACAGCTCACTCTGAACTTTGTTTTTTTTTTTAAACTCCATTCACAATAACATTATTTTTATCTACAAAAATCTGTAACCCTTTCTTTTACGGTACACTTATTACCAGCCAATTAACAGGTAATTACCTAGTAACAACATGAAATTATCTGGTAATTACATGATAACTACTAAGTCAATACTGTCTAGCTATCAGGTAGGTAACCTTCCATCATCATACAAATTTAAAGCTGAATTGCTCTGGTATTTTCAGGATTTTCTCCACTTCCAGGATCCACCTCTTGCGCAGAAGCATTGTACGCATTCGGGGGGTGAGCCGCTGTGATAATGCTCGGCTCAAACAGCGTATCGCTACGCAATCTTCACACACCCATATGCTGTATCAAGTGTCAATCATAGAAAATAAGAACCCCAAATAGCTTTTGAAAATGGAGCTGCACAGAAAAAAGAAAAAAAAGAAAAACTAGACAGTATTGATTTAGTAGTTAACTTGTAATTACCAGATAATTTCATGTTGTTACTAGGTAATTACCTGTTAATTACCTGGTAATAAGTGTACTGTAAAAGAAAGCGTTACCCAAAAATCGATCAAAATGGCCTGAGAACTCTTTTCCCATCACTTTGCCTGCCTTTGAAAATTCTTGTCCTTCCTTTTAAACAGACCTGCTGTAATCTGTATTTCCTTTTACTGGAACAGAAGAGCTGAAATGAAATATACTGATGCACTGACAGCAAAACCCCCCAAGGGCAAAGCCAAAGGGTAAAAACCTGCCTTGAATATAATGAGCAGCCCACAGTAGAATGAAAGAATGAAAAGAAAAACAAACTGCTTTTTCTGGTATATAGAGAAACATGACTTAGCCAAGGTTGCATTTTTGCTTTTTATATGTGGGGGAAGAGACAGAAACAGATTCCGACGTATAAAATAATGAATTAATCTTTCATGAGCTGGGAATTCAGATGGTAAATATTTAATGGGAGAAGTTCTGCATCACACTGTAGTAGAGATCCCGCTTTTAACCCCGTTTCTCTGCGAAAGCCTGCAGCAATTAGAACCTCTCTCCCTACTACAATATTGTATCTGAAACCTAAAGTAATATTTACAGCAGCGCCTGTTTTCTCATCAGTCCTTCATTACCACACCATCAATTCAGACGTCTAGATGCACAACACGATTACTGGCTCTCTTAATAGTATCCCTGCTGCTGAATGATTTGCATGTGATTGTCTCATCACATATTTGCATCCACTTTATTCCTTCCTCTTATCGCTTCGATTGCCGAGCGCTGACAGAAAGCTAAACAGATGTTTGATGACTCAGCGTAGGATCAGGCCTGCAGAATAAATCCCTGTTTGTTTTTTTTTCATCTTCATTGCGGCATGAACATGTGCCAAAAACACACAGAGAAATACTGTAGGAAACATATGGACCTGTCTTTCAAAGCATTTGGTGAATCAGATAGAGCCGCAGCTAGCCCGTCAGCTGTTTAGTCTGTTTGGTTTAAATGTAGGTTAGAGAGCGAGGTTAGCGTAGCAAGTATGATAACAAGGAGAGGATGAATAAAACGGTGGTTAATGAAGACCTCGGGGGATACAAGAGCAGCTCTCCTCCTTTTGTGGATTCTGATAATTGTAGATATAAGGAGGACAAAGCAAGTAGACATGACAAGACGACTTTGTAACGCTCTCAATATCTGTTCGCATTTTACGCATCATGGTATCGTCACAGTTCTGACGTGTCTATAAGGAACACTGCAGGTTTCCCTCTTACTCTGTAAGTCTGCCTTAAACCTGGGGTGCTCAAATCTGATCCAAGTATCAGATATCAGACAAATACTGACATTTCACACCCGTACTTCCTCTGCTTAATGTGGCATGTGTAGATAAATAAAATGTAGCAACAAAACAGTCTAAAGCTCCACCCACACAGTCAGACTTTCATATTTCAATCACCTCATCTTCAAACCCTTCCTCTAAACACTTCATCTTTTTCTCTCTTTCATCTCTTCTTCTTTTGCTGCTTGTGCCACTTAAGAGTTGAGCAAACTCTCAACTTATATCACTATTAAACCATAAGAACTTAAGTTAAAAGCAAACTGAAAACGTACCTGTTTAGTCTTGCTTTAAACCAAATTTTATATCATTGACTTTGTTGAAGTGTTTCAGCATTTATCTCTTTCTAGTTTCAATGACAGGATCGTCTTTTATTGAGCTTTTTTGGTGCTTTAGTATCTTTTACTGTTGTTTTTAATTCATTTTATTTATTATTTCTAAAATTTCATTCTATGTTACTTTGTTTTTAGATTTTAACCTCATCCTCCAGTGTTTCCTTATCTTGAGTTGTAAAATGGCGTTTCCTCAATGCGTACATTCCTGTTTCCACATAATCAAGCACTTTTAAAGTTTATGCATTTTAATACTGTTTCTGTCGCATTTAGATCGTGGGGTGGGAATGAGGGGTTGGGCTGGGGTAGATCTGTGTATTCTTCATTACTTTTATACCTGGGTTGGAGTAGATTTGGGTATTCTTTGTTACTTTTATTCCTTTTTCTGTGTAAAGCACTTTTTTCTACGTGGTCGTGTATGAAACGTGCTATATTAATAAAGACTGATTGATTGATCAATTGCATTTGGATTGAAAATAACATGAATCCAGATTTTTTTTAATGGCATATTAAGAGTGTACAGGAGAAATGTAAAAAGATGGTACAGTTTGGACCAAAGGGTTGGTCTGTCTCGAGTATAAAACAAACTGATAGAGTACCAGTCAGAGCAGCTCACTGGTCTGCTCCTATAACCTACATTCACATGTCAGACACTGACTGATTTGACAACTAGCTGTCATCAGTCACTATCCTGCCTGTCAAAGGAGTCCTGACATATCTAATTCTTCTTCCACAGGGAAGGAGGGTTGCCTTGTGGTTAGACAGATCACCCTGTGACTCAAGATCACATGTCTGACTCCTACAACAGGCGGTGTGTCCACCAACAACAGCGTTTCTTCCTCTTAGTCTCTGGGGAACACTTACATCTCTAAACCCCCTTACATTCTCGCTAATAGTACATCATTGCAGATAAAAGTGTCAGCTAAACGGCTTAAGTGGAAATCTACTGCTGGACATGGAACATTTCCAGTAGCTCCGAGTGTAATCGTCTCCTGCGTGAAATGTTATTTTGACAGTCCACTCCACTACGACAGCTCGGGTCCCTGGAGTGAGACTATCAGAGCCATTCCACACCCACAGAGCAGACAAACGGCTCCAAAACGAAGGCCTTTCACACATGTGAACAGTGGCGCTGCTGGTTAATTATCACTCAATGTCAGATCAATACACCCTCTGAGGCAACCATAAATCTGCACTGGACTGAAGAGGAGCCCATTGTTGTCTCTGTTTAAGCAGCAGAAGCCTCAGCAGCTCAAGTGCTGGCAGTGAATGTGACGTCTGGGTCCTATGGGAGCGGGTGTGGGGGACTGTACTGCTTTGGCCCACCCCTATCAGGCTTGGATCTACAGTCCCTCTGAATAGAGCTCAGATGAAACCTCCTCTGGCATTTTTTGCTTCTGTGGAGCTTTGTGCTGTGTGCCTTTCATGCTGACTGCTTCAAAGCTGGCTGGGAGATGCAGATAGAGTGAACTCCAGGGGATAGGCGCAGCCAAAATAAGCCCGAGTAAGACTGAGTAAGAAGCGAGCTGAAGCATCCTTATGTAGCTTGTTCTGCTCTTGTTTTCGTGATATCCCTTGGGCGACATTTTTCAGAAAAAAATGTCAAACAGTTCCTGGTTTAAGCTCTTTGATTTTGAGGATTTGCTGCTTTTCATAATTTAATGTGACTGTAAATTACATCTCTTTAGATTTGGAGCAACTGATCATACTAAAAATCAACTCGAAGATGACTTTTTCAGACATTTGTGAAAAACAACTTACAAAATGCTTCTACAATTGTAGAGTTGTTTGATGCAGATATGCAAAATATTTTAGATTACACAAAAATCTGATTCAGTATAGACTCTTGGTTAATGCTACACTACTGTAATTGCCTCCCTGAGAAAATCAACTTGTTACTTGTTGCTACACGGTGTCTACACAGCAAGTTACATCATTTTGCAACAAGAGGCAATTCAAATCTTCCCTGCTGAGGTTTTATTATAGCTGCCACCTGCAACTGCTGCTTTAGAGCAGCAATGTGGAACTGATTGCAGGTAATCACTATGCAGCAACAACAGCAAACAACATCTGTGCCGTGCTTGCAAAGGTACGGCAAATCAGAGCAAAACTGAATAAAAGGACAAAAGCAGTAAACATTAAAAATGCCTTATTTTGGTGCTCCCTCTGTTACAAGTTGGGATTCCTTTAGTTTTCATTGTGCACAAGATTCTTCACGGGAACAAAATAATTAGAGAAGGTCTCCCCTTTCACCAAAACATTCAGTCAGAGCTATTAAATCTGATGAAAACAAGGGTTATAACTTCTAAGTATTCTCAAGACTCATCTTTGTAAATGTCAACAATCAGTTTTCCCTATTACAAGCTACAGGACATAAAGAGGTGCACAAATCTTTTAACAGCCTTAATATCTACTTACGGAGCAGATTTACACAAATAATCTCTGTAAACATAAAGAGCGAGGCTCCAACGACTCTGGATTTGCAGCAACAAGAGAAGTGAAACATTACAGATTCACAAGTTCCATTTTTTGCTCACTCGTTCTCACTCACTGAGAAAAACAAGCATGATTATTAAAAGCATGAGTGTTAGTCGGTAGCACAACTGAGTAACAATCAGTTCAGGAGCAGAAAACACTCTTAGGAGGCACCGGTGTTGCTGGTATGCAGAGACACAGGTGTGCCAGCTTCAACCTCTCTGCATTTACTTTCACTCGTCCTTGAGCGCTGAATCCAGAAGTCCCGTTAAAAGTTCTCATCCTATGTCTTAACGTCCATGTCGTCAGAGGCAGGAGCGGTCATCTACGGCTCCACAAATAGAAGAGCCATTGTGGGGACGTGGTGCGAGGCTGCATTCCTCAGCTGAGTGCAACACCTTCAGCCGGTAGGTTCGGATTAGATCATGCTTTAAACTTAAAACACCAAAAGCACTCGCTGTTAACCCCTACCTGACAGAAAATCTAAAGGAAACTGTGTCAGATTTATTATTTTTTACAATCACTTACTTAATACCCGACTGTAAACATCCATAGTTGTAAGAGCCAAAATATATTTGTTGAAAGTTTTATTTCTGAAGGTACGTCACATCCGGGATCGTCACTGAGGGGTGTGGTTTTGGGATGTTTGGCAGGTTATTTAAATCACACAGGTGTAGTCAGACAACGGGTTTGGCAAGCACTGTTAATATTCTGTTGACTGTTTCTGACCGTTTCTCATTATTTTTCACTCATTCATCCTGTTTTAACCTCATTTCATCATATCACCTTTTCAGTTGAAGGCAAAAGTATTGGACCCGGATCGGCGTGTTTTCTTTCGCTACAATAGTGAGAGCATTCAGCTGATGAGTTCTGATAGAAAGTACAACTAATCAATTTGTCAATATATGGTAAAACAATGGCTAATGTTGGTAGAGCTAATACCACCAGCCTTTGGTCCTCTTTACAGGTTAGCATCTACACACCTGTGAAGATAACACATTGCTGCAGTTAAGCTGTCATGTTTAGGGTTCAAACACAACTTTATCTTCATTTTCTAGATCCAAATACTGCCCTCTGTCATCTCCACTTGTTTACATCCTGGTAGCTGAACATCAGAGCATTGTGGCATACCATTTAGCCAAACTCCTGCCCTAGCAAGAGGTGGATGGCTTTGTTACCGCTCAAAGACAACAAATAACCAGCATTTCAGGTCTATAGTGATGAAAGCATTACTCATTTATTTACCCACTAATTATGGCGCCGACTTGCAAAGGTGAGAACGATTAATTTTTCAGGTGACTAACACGCACATCCCTACTGTTGTGTTTTACCTGAGCCCAGACTAACAGTCACATCCATAAAGGTTGACTGGTCTGCAGCTTTATCAATATGATTACACTGGTCTTGAACAGTCAAAATCCAGATCAGGATGACAAAAACCAGCACTGGAGTATCTCCAAAATAATTATTCTCAACAGCTCTCGTGTCATACATTTTTCAGCCACACTAGCATGAGTAAATTCCATGATTAAAGACGTGTATATTTATCAGAGCGAGCAAACTGCAAAGCCATCTGGTAAAAGATGAGCCCAGCGTTGGATTCAGCCTTCCAGAGCAGTCTCAACACATGCTCATGGAAGTGAAACCCACAAGAGTGTGTGGGTGGCCTGTGCATATAATCTGCACAGCCTACTCCATCACATCACCATATCTTAGGCTCAGCCACATTCCCCACTCGGACACATCAGATTCCTTTAGTGTGGGGGGTTGTGATGATTTCTGTGCGTCCCTTTCAAAGGTAATCAAATTCAAAAACCCCTCTACCTCCCAAATGCTGTCTCCATGGTGACAGCCAGATGTTGTGCAGAGAACATCACCCCCACTCCACATGCAAGCCTTGCCTGAGGGCAGAGTAAAGAGGCATCTGTTACCGTTTTCCCCTGCGGCTGCTGAAAATAACCAGGGGGAGACAAAAAGCCAGGCAATACAAAGATGGAGCCAGGAAGAAAGAAACCAGCACACTACAGATATTCATACAGTGTGTGTACATGTTTCTTTGTGCTGTCTATCAAACTAATGACTCTTTCAAACCTCTGAGGCGCCCCTTAACTGGGACAGTATCTTCTGATCATCGAAATACCACAGCACAATGATTTCACATTCAGCTTTTCACAGATGCATCGTAAACCTTTGGCAAAAAAGTGCAGCTGAAACGAGTTACAACTGTTCCGTACAAACAGTTCTCTGGAGATGATGATCGTGTGCTCTACTTCTCTTTGTGTGTGATCCCATAAGAGGTGAACCTCCTGCCATGAGAGGTAATTAAGATGCACCACCACTTCCCCGGCCTTTAATAAGGCATGCAGCCAAAGACAGTGACATTATGTACCCTACTCTTACAGTAATTATGCATTTCCCAAAGGGGAAAGAGCAGTCCTGCGAAGCCTGTACAGCTGCCATCCTGAGTTATGAACAGAAATAACATCTACACACTATGGAGGAATCTGAGGAGTGACCCTAGGTTTATATTAATCCCAGCAGGCTGCAGGCTACCTGTGTGTACAGTACATTTATAGCTCTGCACAGTGAATGATGACCACTGTTTCCTGCATAGTGTCATCCCCTGCTCCCTGCCCTGCCTGCTGTTTTATCATATTAAGAGTTCTGGTGAGACAAAATCTGCTTAACTCTAATTCTTAAAAAAAAAAGAAAGAAATGAAATGTAAAGTTATGCAGCCTGAATTAGGCATTTAAATGCTAATTCTGCCTACAACGGCCAGTCTGAAAGTAGAGAATGAAAGCATGGTGAGTCAAATGACCAATCTGAGACACTAGCAAAGGCTGCAATTAAGAATTAAACGTGGAAATATTTAGTGCAAAAAACAAGACGTGGATAAATTAAAAAACAGAAAGTCGTTATACTTATACGTGGTTTTAAATGCAGTAATGAAAGCCCATTCTCTTACAATAAAGCGACACTGAGGCGGATTAAACAAGTTCACTCAGCAGAGCTAACTAGTTAGTTAGCGCCGGTTAGCTAACTTAACGTCCCGCGAGCCCAACAAGGTTTAAACCCTCACTTACCTTGATATCTGGGAGCATTTGTCTCACTTTGAACGTTGTTTTGGATCCTGTCAACATTTTTTTTCGACGGCTAAACTGAACTTTAAGAGAGAGAACAAAAATAAGAGCTAAATTAAGTCGAATAAATTAAAGAAAATCGCTTTATTAAGAGCTAACGGTGGTTAATTCAGTGTCTCTCCGCTGTCCATGTCTCAGCCGTTAGAAGGAGGAAAAGGTCCGGAGTCCAGTAACGGTTGTAGCCTGTATCACCGGGTGCTGCTGCTGCTGCTGCTTCAGCTGAGACGTTCAAGGTACAAACTATTTTCGCTCTTTTCATCGCTATTCGCACTGACAGCATCCGTGTCTCGACCACATACACACAAATAAAAAGAAACCGAGTGCACACCCTGCTGAAGCCTCACACCAGTCACTGGACTATTTTGTAACTGGTGTTAGTCACTAACGGAGAGATGTGTTCACCGTTACTGCTGCTTTCCTACCCATTGCGCTCTGTTTGTTTATTCCTTCGCCATAGTGAAACACACACTGGTGAAAAAGAGGGAAAAAAAACCTAAGTGCAGCAGAGGAGCTTCTTAAAGGGCCAGTACACCTAAACCATGAGAATGTGGTTAACCCAGAGAGAGAGGAGTCCCGAACTCACAATGAAAGTTTCATTTAACCCATTGGTACGGTGGCCGAGAGCCGCCACTGCTGCAAAGAAAAAAGAGTGCACACAAAAAAAGTCACTGCTTCATATTAAAAAAAGAATGCAAAAAAAGAACAATGCCACTGCTTCAAATAAGAAAGAAAGTGAAAAAAAGAAGCCGCAACGGAAGTTTCTGCTGTTAAAACGGAAACCAAAGCCCCCTGCAAACAACAACAAAAAAACAGCGCAGATTAAAATAAATAGATAAGCGAATAAAACACAACAGAAGTTAACAACCCAAAAAAGGTGGTAATGCAAAAAATGAAAACAGTTACTGTGAAAATAAAAGGGTGCAAATATTAAAGAATGCAAAAAAAATGCCACTGCTTTAAATAAGAAAGAAAGCGAAAATAAAAAGAAGTCACAACGGAAGTTACTGATGCAAAAAAAGAAAAAAGAAACCAAAGCCCGCTGCAAATAAAAAAAGGAAACGTGCAGATAAAAATAAATAGACAAAAAATAAAACACAAATGAAGTTTTAAAAAAAAGTGGCGATGCAAAAAAAACAAAAAAGTCTCTTAATGCGAAAATAAAAGGATGCAAATAAAAAAAAGCCACAATGGCAGTGAGCTCGAATGATGCTGGAGTAGAGTTAGCTTCAGTTTAACTTTATAGCGACTCAGGCTTTTGTGGCTTTTTTTCATTTGCATCCTTTTATTTTCGCAGTAAGTGACTTTTTTTGTGTTGTTAACTTCTGTTGTTGCTTTTTTATCCGCCCATTTCTATCTTTATTTGCAGCGGTCTTTGGTATCTTTTTTTTGCATCTGTAACTTCCTTTGTGACTACTTTTTCTTTTGCATTCTTTCTTCATATGCAGCAGTGGCGGTTCTCGGCCACCATACATTAGAAACTGTTAACAGACGTAGGTGATACAAAGACTTCAGTTTTCCCTGCTTTCACCAAACCTTGAACTCACTCCCTAACTCTAACACAGACATTTGTATGTTTAACTCATTGAGCTTCATCACAGTGTTACTGTATTACTGTCTTGCACATCAGTGTGACCATAAAGCTGTTTTCATATTAGAGTTTTCTTCGCTGTAAGGGCATCACAGAGACACTCCATTCTCTTCACTAAAGGGACCCTTGATTAAACTTAATGAAGTTTTCTGCAGTCAAGGGCATCCTGAAGGGCAATTACATGTTTTATTCATTACAGGTGCATCACAGAAGGCACTTTTGCGGCTTATCTCTCACACGAGAGCACCGTAACAGTCCCTCTCAGTATGAATGAACACATATAATACAAAACTAAATGGAATACACAACAAACCATTACAAACACTGTATGTCATGCTGCAAAGAGACAACTCATGGATATAAAGTGTGTTATGGTGGTCCTTCTAATTGACGCAATTTAATCATGTGAAGTTATATAAGTAATAATTTAACACCACAGCACAAATTAAGTATGGCTTTCTGTATCGCATCATATTAAAAGAGTTCATCATCTGTAGATTTCATTGCACCTTTATCCACAGTCACTTTAAGTGTGATATTTGCAAAATAAGGTAAATATTTCTCATAAAAATGTGGCAAGAACATAACATATTAAAGCTCCTGTGAGGATTTTTTTGTTTATGAAACAGACTGAAATGAACAGTGATGTGTCTCTATGATGTACAAAAACTAAAGAAACCTTTGATGACATGATTGACAATTTCTGTATTTTAGTTTTTATTAATGTGAGGGGGTAGGTACGCTGAAAGAACGGGCTTTGGGACTTTTTTCATGGCAAATTTTAACAGTGAGTGATGCACTTCTCAGTAAAAAGTCAACAGGAGGTTTTTTTTTAATAATTTAGACCATTTTCACAAGACTGAGACAAAACCAGCCACAATGTAAGGCTTTACCACTTTGTCCACAGGGGGCGCCAAAATCAACACAGATAGAAAGTTCCTTACTGGAGCTTTAAGTTAAATGTTTCTGTAAGGATTTTTTTTTAACTATATGAAACTTTTGAGATTCATTTTTATGCTTTTCATGATACACAAAAGCAAATAAGAATTATCAACCACAAGAATGAATTTTTAGCGCTTCAAACTGGAGAGAGGGGATAGGCTGGAGAAACAGTCTTGTTTTTATAATTTCACCATGGATCATACATCTGACTTTCAAAAGTCAGCAGACGAGATGTTTGAGTCAAAAGTCACACTTCTGCATGTCGAGGACAAGAACAGCAAAGACTGCTTTTGTCTTCAGGGCGCATCAAAATTGACGTTACAAAAAGTTCCCTACAGGAGCTTTAATTTAAATGACCTAAAAACAGTTTGTATTTATATACCATCCCATTCAATTTGTCTCTCAACCTCTTCTTTGTCTTTTATTTATTTTCCCCATTTCTTTCTTTTCTCTTTAAAGTGGTTCCATACAAAGTGGATTTTGTTCTCCACAACCTCTTTTGTACTTGAGGACAACTTGTTGTCTGAATGTTCTGGCTTTGTGTTCAAGCGGCTCGTTGTAAAGAGGTTTATATGGAAACAGTAGCTGAGTCAGTGAGCCAATGTCAATAAAACCGTCCAACTCTTGACTTTCTAGTCTTTCAAGCCTGCCCTTTCAGACAAAATAATCCCATTTAATAAGCATCTACAGCCACTTTTTGGTCAGCAGTACCTTTTTCTGATCCTGCAGCAGGTCTGTGTTGGGACTCCCTCCTCTCTTCTCTCATGGAACAAACCACCAATAACTCTCCTTCAGACGAATACAGGAAGCCGACTTCAGAGAAAATTCCTCAGCGACGAGAAAAGGGAAAGTTTGTATAATCCTGAGCGTCAGTGTGTCCTGCTGAACAGGTGGGGAGACGCTGTCCCGGTGAACTATAATAGAGAGAGGTCTGGATTTTTTACCACATGGGAAACTGTTCAATATTACATAAGGGTCTCCAGTTTCTCTGATACATAAAACAGTCCCAGACACAGGACCTTGCATCATCTGAGCTGGAGTTATTCAACAATGTATAATGCAGCAAGGTGAGGGTAATGCACAATGACACAGATAAAGTACTCACAAACAGATGACAGAGCCAAGGTCTGAAGTTTGTCTTTATCTCTTATGTTCGTGTTTATTCTGTGCAAGTATTTTATGTCTCTGCAGCTCCACCTTAATAAAAATGCTTACTTTACACAAGAGGTTGAGCTAAAGTTAAAAGCTACAGCAGATACAAAAAGTCTACACACTGCTGTTCAAATTCCAGGTTTTCATGATGTAAGAAAATTAAATCAAGATAAATAATTTCCCAACTTTTTCCACCTTTAATGTGACCTACAACCTGTACAATGCAATTGAAAAACAAACTGAAACCTTTAAGGGGGGAAATAAAAAATAGAAAAGTTAAAAAAACCTGGTTGCATAAATATGCACACCCTTAAACTAATACTTTGTCGCAGCACCTTTGGCTTTTATTACAGCACTCACTCTTTTGGGTAGGAGTCAATCAGCGTGGCTCATCTTGATGTGGAAATATTTGCCCACTCTTCTTTGCAAAACTGCTCCAAATCTGATAGATTGCGAGGGCATCTGCTATGCACAGCCCTCTTCAGATCACCCCACAAATGTTCGATGGGATTCAGGTCTGGGCTCTGGCTGGGCCATTCCAAAGTCTCAATCTTATTCTTTTGTTGATTTAGATGTGTGCTCTGGGTTATTGTTGTGCTGAAAGATGAAGTTCCTCTTCATCTTCAGCTTTCTAACAGAAGGCCGAAGGTTTTGTGCCAACACTGACTGGTATTTGTAACTGTTCATAATTCTAGTTCCAGCTGAAGAAAAACAGCCCCAAAGCATGATGCTGCCACGACCATGCTTCACTGTGGGTATGGTGTTCTTTTGGTGATGAGCAGTGTTGATTTTGCACCAAATATACCTTTAGCAATGATGCCCAAAAAGTTAAACTTTGGTTTCATCAGACCGTAACACATTTTCCCACATGCGTTTCGGAGATTTCAGATGTCTTTTTGCTAAATTAAGCCGGGCTCTGATGTTTTTCTTTGTAAGATAAGGCTTCCTTCTTGTAACCCAGTAGTACATGGACCTAATTTAAAAGTCCACAATAAACATGTTATGTTACGCACTCTTTGCATGCAATTTAATCCTGACTGTACAATCTTATAGAAGTTAATCATGTCAGTGAGTAAGTAATGTAATGCATAAGTCATAAAAACTAAGTAATGAATGAAATACACAGAAAAGAAAGCGAACACAGCGTTTTTGAAATACAATGAGAATTTATTCAAACGGTGCAAAAAAATTAATAATTATAATAATAATAACCTAACATAAAATCTGATGTTCTTTCTATCCAGATTGCACTGTCACACAGCCTTAGGGCTCTCCTCTCCGAAACAAAACAAAAGCAAAACATTAAAACAATTAAAAAAAAATTAAAACAGATCGAAATACCAGGACGAGAGAGATCAAGTTAAAATAATGCACAAATTTGGTAAAATGGATCGCCATTTACATGCAACAGTTCCAGTCCCATGCAACTCAAAAGTTTTCCATGTTAATGTCACTGATGATGAATCTTCTGCTCACACAGAAAATACAGTGTTGTACAATATATATATATAAAAATAGATCGGGTCAGTTGTGTCGCAAAAACTAATTCTGAGCCGGTTCTCCTCCGGTTTGGAGGAAACGAGCTGGGTCGACAAGAACATCACTGTCATGTTTTAGCATAGCACGGTTTGGTGGCTGTAGAAAAAAGTAAACAAAATCTTACAAATCAATAAAAGCAACAAACAATTCAAATCCAGACTGCTAGACAATTAGCCTTGTGAGAAAGAACATCCTAAAATGTCGCAACTAAACATTCCACAAGGAAACCTATTAAAAAATCTCACTATAAATATAAATTCTCAAATGGTATCTTGTTAGGTCAGCATTGAGGAAATTAGTTTGCAACAAGAGACCCACGAGGCCCGTCTGGGAGTCGCCTTCCACGGCCAAAATATCACACCAAATCTACCTCAAATCTAGGCTCTGACAAGCTTTTTCATCCACACCTGTTTCAGTATCCAACAACATACATTCTTACCCTTTAAAAACACTGAAAAACTTTGGGCTTACAAAAATAACTCGAACATATTTATACAACCTCTCATTGTTTTTTTCTTTTAAATACAAAAAAGTGTTTGTAGCCTGTAACGTCTGATGTTTTTTTTAGGTTTCTGAGGCATCCGTTTCATCCTATAACATGAAATTAAAAATGGGTTTTTGGGCTAATATTACTTTGGAGGGCAGGAGAGAGAGTTTGCACACATACTCAACACCTTTAAATAACAGGCGTCACCGTCCCTGCGGTCAGGGAACGCCTCACAGGTCTCCTCTGGTTTAAAATGCAAGTGCATGGACACAAACGCAGCAAATGTTCTCTGTAGGGGGGGAAATAGCATGGTTTAGCGTCAGTAAAACTTTAGTGTTACTTTAAACACACAGTAATAAGGCTTCAAACTTCCATAACCTGCCTTTCAAACACAGAAAATAATGTAATATAGCGTAAAATAGTGTTTAAACACCACCTCTGGAGAGAATCCTCAAATATTTGGGTTAATTTCTGTTTGTAGTTTGAGCGTAGGTCACAAAGAAAAGCCCCAGACACCGAGTTATAAGGAAAAACAAATCAAGGGCGCCCTCAGCTGGGCAAGGCAGTGAATTGCATACTAAATTGTGCTTTTCTTGATTTAATTCAGAGCAGGTTAGAGTGGAGCGACCTCAGCTTTTTAAAAAGGGAGGAAATAATAATTAATCAGATGTTAGAAATCAAAAAAGCCTAAAAATTCAAATTTAAATAAGGAAGACTCAAACAGGACATCAGTTTGAATATTAAGGTTGACATATTTAACTGAAAAAATAGCTTCCACACTGATATTCAACAATATCGTCAGATTTCGGGGCAGTAGTAGCAGAAACTGCAGGCGATGGAGCAGCAGTGAAAACGGGGTGTTTTCGCCCCGCACAGCTTAAAGACAGGACTGTGATGCCGCCAGGACAAACGCTGAAAAGGCAACTAGGAAACTGAGTAAGATGGTGACGCCGGCACCAAAATGCTGCAGCACTACAGTAACTGAATCCTTTGAGAGAAACCCTCCTGACCTGTGGCCCTGATTTCCCATGAACAGAGGTGGCAGTGTCTGCAGAGGTGGACAGAGGACAACAGTCAGGCCACTTCACAAACAGTAAAAAGGTTTGTTACCACGGACTTCAGGAAAGTGCTTGAATTTGTGCAAAAAGAGGAAACGTAACTGGATTTCAGGATGAACGCCAGAAATCTAGAAACTGCCTTCAGTAGAGCTTTAGGGTTTTTGTAGTGAGTGGATGGACATCAGGACGTCCTTTTAGTGAAAACACTGTTAATGCTTAGAGATCGCCTTTTTCTGTGACAAACCATAACAAACGGTTCACATTTCTCAAACATCAGAGCACAGAGGGCTTCTTATCTCAGGACACACAGTTTCCTGAACTCGTAACTTGGTATGAAACCTGTCATTTCATTATGAATGTGATTGTGTTGTGTGCACACAGAATCGAGAGACAATATTCCTCAAATGCAGAAAACAACACTCTTACAGAACAAGTCTGTGACGACCAATCAGTGACACCGCAGCACTCCAGCAGAGATCATTTTAATAAATCAATAAATTAGTTGGTAACTTTTTAATTTCTCTAAAATTTATTTACTCATTTATTTATTTTTTGATCGTTTTAAAGGTGCAGCTCAACAAATCAGAATACTGTAAAAACGTTAAACCTTCTGTGAGGGACTTTAAGTTTGTCTTGTAGTGTCTCCTCTACTGAAACAGTCTTTGCTCATCTTGTCCTCTACATGCCTGAGTCGTATCCTCTGACAATATTCTCATCATTCTGACGCTTTTGACACTTAAATTGATCATTTACTGTGAGTTTTTCTTCAGTCACTTCGCTAACACTCTACCTTTCGTACCAGTTTGATACATAAAAGAAATTACAGGATCAAATTTGTCACTCTTGTCGAAGGTCTTGTTTACTTTTGTGTCTTTAAAAATGCATAAATATGAATTTCAGTGTATCCCGTTAACATAAAAACTCACCACAGAAGCTTTAAGCATGTAGAGGATCAAATATGTAAAAACTGATTTGACACAAACCAAAAGTTTCTCACAGGAGCTTTAAGTAATTTCTTTTTTTGGTGGTGAAAATAATCGAATTGAAACCATTTGAGCTTCGATCACTCTGTATCCAATAACTAAGAGTTGTTGACAGAACAAACTTTGATCAACCGACATTCCTGCAGCTTTAATTTCCTAAATGCAAACCTCAAACATCTCGCATTTGTCTCCAAAATCTGTGCGACACTGACTTTACACGGTGGTGTTCTGCGGGGCGCAGTTAAAAAGCCTTCTGCTGTTAGAAACACGGGAGGATCTGTGAGGGAGAAACATTTCCACCAACGTGTGAAATACTCTGAATCGGGCTCTGAGCGTTTCTTACCAGAGACACAAAACATGTCCACGTTATCTTTGTTCTGCGACATCTGATCAATACTGTGTGAGCGAATGCATTTAGACGGACATCTTTAGGATTTTAAGTTAGACGTGTTTTAAGTCAATATTTATGTTCACTGACAGTGCGGGGCTGTTGCCTCGATGCATGAACATCTCTGGGTTTGCATTCTGTAAAATTAGCACCACAGCAGCCCGCAGAAAGCTATTTCATTAGCATTGCACGCTAGTTTCGATTTGCATTATGCAAATGGTGTCAGACGAAAAAGCAATTTGATGAGGATTATTTCTGCAGTTTCCCGAGGTACATATGACGCAAGCATGGAGTAACAGTAGTGTAAAATCTGTATAACACTGAAATCACCCTCCACAGACGTGACTTCCAAACACTCAGACATCCCTCAGCTGACCGATCCGACTTCATCACAGAGCAAAAATGGAGCCCAGACGCTCGTGTCGTTCCTGTTTGTGCTTGCATCGCGGTGTATGAAGTCGTGTGAGTCTGACTTAGTGAGTATGTGTGCGTGTGAATGTATCTGATGTGTGCGGATGGGTGTTTTTGTATGGTGCCTGCCGTTTACATTCTCTCCACTAGGAGGAGACAGTAGCAAGGCGTTAGACTGATAAAGGAGGGGAGCCTGCAGCTCACACACACACACACACACACACACACAAATAAACACACACACACACACACACACTCATACGTAACGCCTGCATAAGAGCCACAGCAAAATGTAACAGAAGTGCAGTTAGTTTACTCTATGGTCTATCACGTGACCCCCGCAGTCAAACCCCCGTGTCGACTGGTCGCCACTTTCTCTGCTCCTACAGGGAGTGTCACGGCTAAAAAAGAGGGAGGGAGCTGGTTGTGGCTTTCTCGTGCCCGTGCTCAGGCTGATCCACGCCAGCTGTTACTTTTTTTTTACTGACAAAGGCCACTCATCAAATTCAAGCCGTAGCAGGGTCCGTTCAGAACCTGTGGATGGCCGGTTCTGTCTCCCTCTTTTTCAGCTCTTCTCTGTAGCAGTAAGAGCAGTAGTTGCCCGTCTCGGGGTGTCCGTAGTAGGTGCAGCTGGGTGTCCGACAGCGGCTGGACTGCAGGTTGGCCAGACCGCCGGCGCTGCCCAGAGAGTAGTGTCTGACAGGGGGCTGCCCGCTCCGAGAGTCCAGGTTGGAGCGCACGTCCCGGAAGCCGTTTGTGTAACTCCCGGCAGCGTGTTCAGACCCGGGGTAGTCTGGCGGGTCGAACTCGGGGGGATACGAGGGCGCGAGGCGAGTGGGACTCAAGGAGGAGGGGCCTTGTGAGTTATTATACTGGGGGTGTGGGGGACCCTGTGCTGTGGGGCAGTGTCGGGGAAGTGTGGCGTAAGAGGGGAGGCCGGGGTAAGAGGTTGCGGGGGATCCGCCGGCGAGCTGGCGCCGGGTATCCATGTAGCCATGCATGTGAAGGTGCTGGGTGAGGGGCTGGACAGCGGGAGGCTGGTCTATGAAGGAGGGCCGGGGGATGGGGACGACACCAGGATACATGGAGGTGGTCAGAGGAGAGGCTTTGAGCTGGTTAAAGGTAGGGGAGGCGGTCTCTGACAGATCCTCTTTCACTTCGTAAGCTCGATACGTCAGCTCCGGACCGCCGACGGTCTCCTTCTTGGGTATCTGGATCCCGTTGGTGATGTTCTTCCTCTCCAGATCCCGCCGCTGTTGTTCCTGCTCAGCCCTGAAGCGGTCCTCTGCGTCTGTGAGGTAGCGCTGGATCATCTCCTCCTGGAAGGGCTGCCGGTTGCTGGTGGTGAGAAGGCTGGCGAAGATGAACTTCCTCTCACCCTGCATGGCGGCCCGCAGGATTCCCAGGCTCACTTTGACGTCGGCGCTGTACTTATAGGTTTCGCTCTCGGTGCTGCTCCCCCCGCTGCTGCTCATACTGCTCCCCGTCCCGTTCAGACGCTCGCTACCTGAGGAGGGGGAGCCTTTGCCAGAGTCCTCGGAGGCGTGGGCTGAAGGCGAGCCGTCTTTGCTGCCCTTCCTCCCCCTAAACGAGCTCTTCTTCTTCTCCCCGCCCTCCTGCTTGACACCTCCAGCTCCAGCGTTCTTTCCCGTCATCAGTCCGCCCACGTTTTTCTTCAGCTTGCTGCCCAGACTCTTGCCAAAGCTGCCGAGCTTGTTGGCCACGGAGTCTGCCCTCTTCTTGTCTTTGTCCTTGTCCTTTTCCTTCTTGGTTTTGTCCTTCCCCGCCGTTCCTGTCGCCGAGCCGTTGCTGGAGGAACTGGACGAGGAAGAGGAGCTGTTTTTGGCCAAAGAGCTGCCGCCGTTGACTGTTGATCCTGCGGTCGTGTCTCCGTTTCCGTTCGAGCTGCTGCTGACTGACTCCTTGTCTGACTCTCCTGAGTCTGGAGGCGTGCGGGCGTCCTCTCCTGCTGATGCTGTGGGAGACTCGGGCTGGGCCAGGGGGGCTTGCTGCGAGGACACGAAACACAAACACAAGTTAGCGGAAAAACCTGAACATATCACAACTTAAGAATATACGTATAAACATAATAATTCTGGCTAAGTCCCCCAAAAAATTGATTTCAAAGATCTATGTTTCACTACTTTATTTTGACTCTTCAAGCTATGACTCTTTGAAGCTGCTATGGGAACGTGACCTGGAGGTGATGTTTAATTCTGTTGACTGGAACAAGATCTGTAGTGGGGTTTTCCCTAAATGTACCTCGATCTCTATACATGAACAGAACTTTAAATTTTTCTTTAGAACCTATTACACACCCGTTCGCCTCCAGAAAATGTTCCCTGGCACTTCTAATCTTTGTTATAAATGTAAAATACATAAAGGGACATTTATTCACTTGTTTTGGTCATGTGACCATATCCAGACTTTTTGGAAGGGGGTACACTCTGTAATCCAGGAGGTCACTGGTAAAAAATTTCTGCTGACCTCTTCTTTCTGTCTCCTTAGTCATTATTCCCCACACAATCTTTTTGACGCAGATACCAAATCTTTGTTGATAATCCTTTTATTTTTGGCTAAAAAATGTATTTTGCTGAGATGGTCAACTTCCCGGGTCCCTACTGTCGACATGTGGATAACACAGATCTCTGCACTTATTCCTCTCGAGAAGTTGACTCACGACCTTAACCATAAATCGGACAAGTTTTGGAGGATCTGGGAACCATTTAATTCCTTTTTACAGAAATTATAACTCATCATATGTCCCTGGAAGAGGAAGGCTGACTATTTTTTTATTTGCCTGTCTCCTGTCATCTTGCTGACTTTGTATGTGTATATATTTGTGTATGCATGGATGGATTTATAGCGATATATATTGCAGTGCTCGCATTAGTTTGGGGTGGGACTTTTTGTTTTGTTTTTGTTTGTTTTGTTTTGTTTTTGTGTATGTTCTGTTGTTAGTCTTGTTTTTCTAATGTTTGTACTCTAAAATCTGAAAAACCAATAAAAAGAGTATTAAAAAAAAAAAGAATATACGTATAAACTCAAAACTGCATTCGGCCTAAATTTAAAAGTACAAACACGCAGAGAAGACCCGTGCCCCTCAAGTACAGGGGGGAGGATCAGAACAAGATACAGAGGATGTGAAGAGGGTGAGTCATAGAGCTGCTTTTCGCAGACCAGCGCCGAAAAAAACAAATGACTCAGATTCCAACCGCTTTTCATATCAAACAGTTTAAGGAAGCTGCTAATCTAAGAGCGCTTTTTTTGGAAAGGACACGACCCACATGATGACGCAGTGTTCTGATCTCGAACAGGAGGCCGTCACAGACTAAACCACCTTCCAGCGGTGATGACCATCACACTGATATCCTCTGGCGGCACAGCCCGACCAAACAATGCCCTCCAATTATGTTTAAACACAGGGATTCCTGCGTTTCCGCCCGTCCCTGTTAAAGTTAACCCGTGAACTTGTCACTGCCAGCTCCCTGATGTTAGCATGTAGCGCACAAGGGAAGCTTTGTCGCCGTGTTCGCATGGCGTGACTTTACAACCTGAATGGCCCAGTGTAGTTTGTTTTCGAAACATGCTTAGTGGACAGCTGGTGAGACGGGAGAGGAATAAATATTGTCTTTGTTTCGAACGGGAGCAGGAAATCGACGACGACAAGCAGCTTTGACACTCAAAGTCGAGCGTGACTAGTTTGTGTGTATTTTTCCTGTTAAATAGTTTGTGTTTACTAAAACGCTCTTACCTCGCAGGGCAGGGGCAGCCAGGTGACCGTCATGTAGCTGTGCAACATCTGGAGCTTGGCCTCCAACGAGAGAGCCACACTGAGAGGAAGCAAAGAGAGAGAGAGATGAAAGTTAAAGCTCTGCGAGGAGACGCTGTCGTTTAACGTCGTACTTAAGGGGGTGTAATGTGCTATTTTTGTGGATGTAGGTTTGGTACATCATGGATTTATTTGTGTGCGAGACTGAAAATGCAGCGCTCTCTGACAAATGATCTAATGAATGTAAGTGAGACAGAGTGTGGGAGTCTTTCTGCAACTTTGGAGCAAACCTCCCTTCTCCTGAGTGCCTGTCCCGTGATAGAGATGTGTAAAGTGAGAAAGAGCGCATACAAGAGAGACGCAGCAGAGGTTTATTACATTATAGATAAAACAAGCTGTTCCTCCTAGAGATTATAGGTGTGGAGATCTCATTTCACATCTGCAGTAGACTGAAGAGTACTGGCTCACTCTCAATAAAACTTCAGTACCATTGAAACTTTCTTTGAGTCGGAGACACTCGGGCAGCCTGGTCATCTCTGGATTGATCATTTCCTGCATTGTGGAAAAACAACCGAGGGCTTAGCCAACACCCCAGCCTGCACTAACACGACTTGTGAATGATGGACTTTAACCTTTCTTAAGCCATTTTCCGGCACTGATTTGCTGTGTTTTGACATTTGAAACGACCTGAAATGAACTGAAAAAGATTAACCTTGATGAACTGTTTTTGAGTTATTGTTTGTGGACGGCTGGGTTTTGAGATTCAAGGGGGATTTCTTCGATTTTGTGTTTCCTTTTTCTTATGAAACAGTAACACATATAAAAGCTGAGTTTACTCTCTTTGGTCTATTTTGGGTTCTAGGTGAGTTTTCTTGTACAGTGCCCAGCATAAGTCAGTACACCCCTTATTAAAAGTAATGTATTAATTACTATCTAGATGAGAAAAAGTACAATTTCCAAAGTTTTGACAAAGCTTAAGTTTAACATGACATTATATTTACCATAAGATGAAAATAAGGCTGATATGGTAACTGAAATTTAGCTTTGCTCCCAGAACTTTAATTAGGGTGTATTTATTTTTGCACCTTAATTTCATACTGAAAAAAATGTTTTGTTGATTTTGAAAGGAAACTAAAGCTTTTTTAACAACTCTGAAAGGGTGTATTCATTTATGCTGAGCACTGTACATTAGGAGGTCTATGGTTTTTCATCATGCAAATATTTGATTTTTATTGTTTTCTCATTTCTTTCTATTTGTCTATTTCTTTTAGCTCTCATGTCTATCTCTGTAAAAAGCGCTATATTAGTAAAGTTTATTATGCAACTTTATTGTTCATTATTTACGACAGAGTATTAGGGACCCATTGAGAAAATTTGTTTTAAGACTCCGAGATTAAAGTAATACATTTACGAGAATAAAATCATTACTTACCAGAATAAAGTCGTAATAAAATTATTATTTACGAGAACAAAGTCATTATGAAAATATTACTTACGAGAATAAAGTCCTTCTTTTTTAACCTGTTGTTGAAATGAGAACCATGGAGCATTTCGTGAAAATGAGCTTCAATATCAGGTTCTCAAACAAGGAGACACTTTTGGCACATCAGCACCACATTATCACAAGTAATATATTGATTTTATTACCACTTTATTCTCGTAAATTGACAACTTTAATCTCAAAGTCTAATTTTTTTTTCATAATGTGGCCCTAATACTCTGTCGTAATTATTATTTATTATTGTTTTTGATATATTTTTACATGCTTTTCTAGTAGATAATAGTTGTCTAAGATTTATACTAACCTTACAAACAAATGAGAAGTAGAATGGTGTTTGCCTTGCTGCTCTGCACTTGATCAATCTAATTAATTCAAAGGTTCTTAAGCTTGAAAAAAGGACAGTTTCCTGCAGTAACATGGCTGGATATAAAAGGATACTCTTAGCAGTGGGAGTGTTTGAGAAGTAAAGGTTCGGATGTGTTCACCACACTGAGAGAGAGACTGGATGAGGAGGTCATCCAGCTACTCCACAACAATGTTCCTGAGTGTAATACTGGAAGGAATTTGAGTGTTTCATCATCTACAGAACAAAATATCATTAAGAGATTAAGTCAATCTGGAGAAATCTGTGAAAATGGAGTAACGCCGAGAACTGATACTGGACGGATGTGATCTCCAGGTCCTCAGGCGGCACAGAGAGTTTTAATATCCAATTTGTTTTCATCGCAATAGTTTCAATTAAATCCAGTATTTTAATGATGTAAAGGACATCAACTTCTATCAACAACAACTCTTTTTGAATTGGGATTGTATTTGATCCCACCTGCATCTTTAACATTTACCTGGAGAAGAGGTGAAGAAACGTCAGTAACACTTTCTTTTACGGTACACTTATTACCAGGTAATTAACAGGTAATTACCTAGTAACAACATGAAATTATCTGGTAATTACATGATAACTACTAAGTCAATACTGTCTAGCTACCAGGTAGGTAACGTTCCATCATCATACAAATTTGAAGCCGAATTGCTCTGATATTTCCTGGATTTTCTCAGCTTCCTGGAACCACCACTTGTGCAGTAGCGTTGTACGCATTCGGCGGGTGAGTCGCTGTGATAATGCTCGGCTCAAACAGCGTATCGCTACGCAATCTTCGCACGCCCATAGGCTGTATCAAGTGTCAATCATAGAAAACAAGAACCCCAAATAGCTTCTGAAAATGGAGCTGCACAGAAAAAAGAAAAAAAGAAAAACTAGACAGTATTGACTTAGTCGTTATCATGTAATTACCAGATAATTTCATGCTGTTACCTGTTAATTACCTGGTAATAAGCGTATCGTAAAATAAAGGGTTACTGAAATATCTTTATTTTTCCTCTTTATGGCAGATCCTGAAGTTTAGAAAACTCTCTATGCAACACTGGTTCCTTCTTTTTTATGCAGGCTGATATTAAGTCGCTCTCTTTTCACGCAGTACAAAGCCGAAAGCATCACGCTTCTGTTATTACTCTTGCTCCGTAGCAGCCTTTCAGCTGAATGAACATCATCTCCACAGCCACTCGTGTAATTTCCTCTCCGTCAGGCTTTCTCATCTGAAGCAGAAATCCTCCGTGTCGTCAGCTGACGTAGATACGGGGACAGCTATTGTTGGTTTCTCTATTTTGGCGCTCCTTCCTCTGTTCCATTCATAGAAAGTATTTAGAGCTAATCTCATTGTAAGTGGAACTGAGTGTCGCTAATCTGAGTTCAGGGATCAATCCCCGCACACTGACACTCTTTTCTGAAGGTTCAGCTGTCCCACAGAGAGTACGCACGCAAGAGGACATGTGCTACTCTCATTTGTGTCTGTTCAGGTTGTGACCCACAGAAGAAGCCGTTGGTAAAAGGCACCTTGTGAAGAAGACGTCTGACATGACAAAGACGACTGAATGTAAGAGTGTTGGGGCTGTTTTTAGCAACAGGCCGTACCTCGCCAGCATCACGTTGTCTGTGTCATCCTTGCCCCACTCCCAATCCTTCCCCGGGTCCACGGCGAAGTGCAGCGGCAGCATTTTGTGCTCTGAGTCAGTGAGAGGGATCACAACTGCTGGTGGAGAAGAAGAAGAAGAGGATAAAACGCTTTAATAAAAAAGCACGCTGGAATGTCAGCAGACGGAAATACTTCACAGCGCAATCAATTCTTTCACTTTCTATTTTCACGTTTGGCCCAATCTGCCCGACCAATATTGTGTTTGGACGGCTTCATTTGATAATTTTAGACTGGTTCACGTCTGAGTGTCTGGACTTTGTCTGGGAATCAAGGGTAAACTTCTATTCTCCCCATAAACCACAGTCTAGGCTCAAAGATTCAGTGTTTCATAAAAATCTATAACTAGAAAATATGACCCAGAATGTGTGTTTGAACACATAAAATGATATAAAAGTGTAATTTTAAACAATTTAATCCACTTTCACTCACAACAGATCTTCAAAACTCGGGCTTGACATGAAAAACTTTGCAAAACTATCATTCAGAGTTGATCTCAAAGCCACTCAGGAACCAAAAGTCCATTATTTTATTTTTAAAGTCAACATTATAACAAGACTGACCATCCAGGAGAAGACACAAAGCTGTAAATCAAGACAGCAGGTTTGTTTTTAACTCCCAGAAACCTCTTCTCTAACCTCTGCGAATACATTATTTAAGGTCTTTTATTCCTGCAACAACTGATTTCTCGTCTGATTAATGTGCTGTGATTTACGGCCCTAAAATGTTAACTGCCCACCAGGAGGCTGCTGGAAAGACAAATCAATACCCGCATGATAATAAAGATGAATGATGCCGAGCATTACCTTGCTCTTTGGAGCTGTCCTTCTGCTCCATGGAGACCAGGGCGGAAAAGTGCGCCTGGTCGTACGCCAGGACCAGAGGCGAGCGATGGCACTTGGCAGCTGGCACTTCCAGTGGTAGGTAGATGCCTCCGAATGGGATGGGAGCGAAGGCTGAGGAAGGGTAACAAGAACATTAAACATCTGAAAAGCGCAGCCTGCAGCAAAGAAACCAGGTCATAAAGTGCTCTGAGAGAGCGAGGAGGAAATAAAAAGAAGCTTTTACTTTGTCTGGGTGCATGAATCAAACCTTTCCTCTTTCCTTTCCCTCATTATGAATGCTCTCTCACATCATCATCATCATTGATTGAATTAACGCCATTAGCCTCAGGTGTCTTACCGAGTGAATTAACAGGATTTAGCCTCCTGATCTGAAGGGAAATGCCGGTGTCAATATATCTTCAACATCTTTGTCTTATTTGTTAGTTTCAGTTTTTGCAGTATCACGTTTGGATGGATGTTTGCCATCCATTTGCTGTGTATGAATATGTCTGAGTGTATTTGTGCATCAATGTTTGAGGATAAAAATGGCCGAATGTCTGACGAACAACACAGGATCCCGTCAGAGATAAAACAATGACGGTTCAGCCTCACAGACATCTGCAGAGCCTCATGATTAACAAGTTGCTATCATGGCGTCCTGGAAAAGATCCTGCATATCAAAGAGTCACTTTGATGAGTCGGTTGTCCATCTTGTCTGTGAGTTCATTTCTTTAAAAGCCTTTTCTCTGGAGTCCAAATTCTGGATCCCAATCATTCTTAAAGTCAATGTTAATTACAAATGCGCCAACCAAGCTGACTCTAGCGGATGCGCTCATATTTAACCCTTCCTGCTCCTCTTCAGAGCCTCTCACACAAATCTTTGACGGACATTTTGTACAGAAAGGACGCTCAATCTTGGAGGAGCTTAAATTCCCACATAAAAATAATGTCTCTTCTCATAAATGACCATCATAATCCCTTGTAAACAATTTTACTGGCACTTTTTAAAGTCTTTAATGACGATGTTTGTTGTTTGCCACTGCGATGCACCACATTACTGTACACTGTGTGCTTTTAACCGCTTTTGTATCACAAACTGCAAATTCAAAGTCCCTGGGAGGCCGATAAAGCTCTCTGAACTCTGAAGACTCTCCTTATAGTCAGCTCTGGCTTCATAAAGCAATGATGGCCACAGTAAAACAACCAAAACTTATGTCTCCAAAACAAACTATAAATCTGTTGATATATTATGAAATAAAAGGCAAACAGCTCCTACAACCTTGCAGGCTTTGAGGAGTGCTTTAATTCTCGCAGGAGGAGTGCTGTCGGCTTCTTGTTGTAGGAACAAATTATGTGTTTATGCTCATTTGTTATATGTGACAAAATTGGGTCAGCCTGCGTTTGGCAGTGTATCAGTGTTTGTTTTAATCAGCTTAAGATACCAGGTGGGTGGTTATTATATCATCAGGATAGATCACACAAATCATCAATCACTGAGGAGGACTTCATCAAAACTGTTTTCTTTCAGATTCTTCCCTGATTGTTTCAAAGTGTGTCAGACGAAGTGCAAATTCTGCACCTGATGAGGATAAAAAGAGAGAAACTAATGATGTATGATAACGTCTAATTGCTGAGTTAAGCTCTGTAGCTTATTTCATTTTTTTATTGTTGATTAAACCAACCTTTTATTACTTGTGTTTTGTTAGAGGAGTTTATTATAGATCTCATATTGTAAGTGAAGCTCTGTTATTCTTTATCGATCCCTGTAGGAAGATTTATTTGATGCATTTAACTCATCAAAGCAAAAGGAGCCGAGTACAACCACTCAGCTGTGCTGCTTTAACATCATGTTGGTGCTATTCACGTCGGTAAAATACCCTTTAATTGTTTGTTGTCAGAGGATTTACGATAAAATTTGATACAACATAACTAGGAAGTTATTAAAGGGATATTCAGGCATAAATTTAACTTATGGTCAAACACACCTTAACACCGAGTTAGACATCCCCTTGAGAGATGAATGATGCCGACTGTTTGCTTCTCTAGTTATACCAACTTTATTAACGACCACACGATAGCAATACACAGTGGTCTGAGGAGCCATCAACAAACCTCAACCAAAACGCCACTCTATAGCCACAAATAATACTCAGAACAGCACCTAACTTCATCAACAGAACATATAGAGTCCCAGCCATAGTAGTAGACACCAAACATCTTTTTAACTTTGTCTGGTTTCTTTAGCAAAGAGACTAAACACAACTCACCTACTCTCTTCCAGCAGCTGCTTGTTTGTAGGGGAGCCCTGACGAGTCGATCACTGAGTGCAGCGGAGTTTCACAGCTCAAGGAAGAACATTTATAGTTATTACTTCATGGAAATACAATCAGCGTTTTTGTGTCCTGGTCTGATTGCATCTCCATGAAGTAATAATCATAAATTTTCCGCTGCACTCCGTGATCGACTCGTCAGGGCTCCCCCACAAACAAGCGGCTGCTGGAGGACAGTAGGTGAGTTGTGTTTAGTCTCTTTGCTAAAGAAATCAGGCAAAGTTAAAAAGATGTTTGGTGTCTAGTACTATGGCTGGGACCCTATATGTACTGTTGACAAAGTTAGGTGCTGTTCTGAGCATTATTTGTGGTGTTTTGGTTAAAGTTTGTTTATGGCTTCTCAGACCGCTGTGTATTGCTATTGTGCGGTCATTCATAAAGTTGGTATAACTAGAGAAGCAAGCAGTCAGCAACATTCATCTATCGAGATGGTGTCTAACTCGATGTTATGGTGTGTTTGACTCTATCTTAATATAATGCCGGAATATCCCTTTAAGTTTGATACAACATAACTTGTTAGTTATTAAGGCTTTTTGTGGTTATTTATTAGGGAATTTGTCCTTTATTAGACGGGACAGATCAGAGCCTGATACAAATTGGTAACCAGAGTTTCTGCAACAGCCAGAGTACAAACCCAGAGCTCAGCCACTGTTTCACCACTTTATGTATCATGACATTGAGTGCCAGACAGGTGCTTCTGTTCACAAAGTGTAAAGTCATTATCACAGAGAGAAACATGAGGCCTCTGGGAGACATTTACCCTCTCCTCCAGAGTCCCTCAGCATGGTGTCAGCCACCACCACGATAGGCCGTCTGAGGACATGAGCCAGAACGAAGACGTGAAACTCCTCCAGACTCTCGTAAACCGGCTCATCTGAGGACTCCGCCCTGAAGACGACAACAGAGACACAATTGTTTATAGTGTTGCCAAACCAGAGATAATCAAAGCTTCCCGATAACTATAAATGTTTATTTGTCTTATTAATAGAACCTTTAATTATGAGTTGATGACATTTTCAAGTATCAAAGAAGTTTACTGGAAAAAAAAGGATTAATTTGGTTTTACACTCCGAAAAATTGGATCCACATTAAAAGTTTAGTGTGTTTTTTTATGTTGGTATTTTTAACACATAGAACTTCGTCTTGCTATGATAAATAGCAGATTGACTGAGCCACTCGGTGCTGATTGTGAGCTCAGTTGTTTGTTCATGAATAAAAACATGAGTGTGACTGAGTGCGTGCCGGGCTAACAGGCCCTGCATTGTCCCGGTCAGACCTTACCCGTTGGTGCCGTTGGTGCTGTAGTGTATTCTGGGCTCACTGGAGGCCAGCTTCAACAGTTCATTCCACTCTTTCTGCCACTCCTCCTCCGTGTACACCAGACCGGACTGAGGAGGAGAGGAAGAACACACACACACACACGTTTGCCATTTAGAAAGGGAGTGTCAAATGTCACAAAAGCATGTACTGGCATTACGGCAGCGTACCACAAGGTTATGCTGACAATTGAGGACAGAAACTTAAGCAGAGTCTTGCCCTGTAGTTCACACAACAGCAACAGAATCCTGAGCAATATCATGTTTCAACCACCAGAAAAAAAAAACATCCATCAACAAGTTTCCTTCCTTAAAATCACCGCCTGAGTTCACCTGTCGCATATTCACACATGAAAAACCTCCAAATGCTGCAGTCATCTGCTGCTGTTAGCGTCAGTGCAGCTTCACTAGAGCAAACCGGGTTCAAGAGATTCACTTGAGGACACCTCTGTTGTAGCTGTTGAAGAATGAGCGAACAGTGGGCAGTCATTCGTGTGGCATGTCCTCTGTGGGTGTCAGCGCGCCGTCTGAAAACCTCTTTGGAGAACATACTGGCTCGCTTTCACAGGGAGAAAAGCCTTCATGCTGTGCAAAAATAAAAAAGGCCTCTGAAGATGCTCTTCACGCTTGGAACGAAAGTGCAAAGCAAACACGACTCCGAATCTATCTTTCGGAGCTTCTGATAAACACGGTATCAGTAGTAGGTGTAGATATCAGCACTTAGAGATAATACAGCTTAGCAGCGGGGGGGAATGATGAAGTGATCTGACAACCGCCGTTTGTACTCGGTGCAGAGTCAAGCACTCCAGTGATAAAACGGGAGATTAAATCTTTTAAAGCCAATCCAACACCTGATAAGTGCAAGAATGTGTGAAAGTGAACTAGCATGACCCTTCAGCAACAACAAACCTGCTGGCAAAAGGGAAGGAAAAGCAGTGTAAACAACCGTCAAATGCAGTGTCAACTTTTAGATTCACTGTCATTACAGCAGGTGCAGCACCTTCAGCCAACACCACACGGTCCATTTATTAGGCACACCCTGTTTTGGTTGGTTTTTGTTGGTTGAATGTCATGATTTATTTGAAGTTGTGTTTCTGTTTCACTCCTTTGTTTGTTCAGCACTTTTCATCTGAGTGTTTTAAAGTGCAATACAATTACTGTACAGCTTTACTGACAGTGGAGTGGAGGCCACACAACTGTTCTGCACTTAAAGGGATATTCTGGCGTTGATTTAAGTTGGGTCAAACACACCGCAACACCAAGGTAGACACCCCTTCAAGGGATGAATGTTGCTATACCAACTTTACAAACGACCACACGATAGCAATACACAGTGGTCTATGTCTCTACAAGCAAACCTCACCTAAAAAGCCACACATAACCACAAATAATGCTCAGAACAGCACCTAGCGGAGTTTCGCAGCCCAAGGAAGAACATTTATGATCATTACTTCATGGAAATGCAATCAGACCGAGACGCTAAGGCAGAAGAACTACCACATCTGCAGCGGAAAATGATTAATATGACGATTATTACTTCAAGGGAATAATCTGCTGCACTCCGTGATCGACTTGTCAGGGCTCCTCCCACAAACAAGCGGCTGCTGGAGGAGGGTGGGTGAGTTGTCTTAAGTCTCTTTGCTAAAGAAATCAGGCAAAGCTAAAAAGATATTTGGTGGCTAGTACTATGGCTGGGACTCTATATGTCCTGTTGATGAAGTTAGGTGCTGCTCTGAGCATTATTGGTGGCGTTTTGGTTGAGGTTTGTTTATGGCTCCTCAGACCGCTGTGTATTGCTATCGTGCGGTCGTTACTAAAGTTGGTATAACGAGAGAAGTGAGCAGTCGACATCATTCATCTCTCGCGGGGCTGTCCAACTCAGTGTTATGGTGTGTTTGACCGTAGTTTAATTTTACGCCGTAATATTCCTTTAACTTGACTTTTTTATTGCTCATTCTGGTCATTCAGTGTTTAATCCTTAAAGCAGAAGCATCAGTAGTGACAACCTCTTCACACACATCAAAACAAATCAATCTGCGGAAAGGAGGTCAGCATATTTCATCTCAGCCTGTTGACACTGTGGCATAAACATTCTTTTCATTAGCGCTCTGAACTTGTTTCCTCTCTCAGTCTGGTCTTGAGTGTCTGTAACTAATGAAATTTACTGGATATAGATGAGAGCAGCTTGAGGAGCTACTGAGACTCTTCCAAGTCTGATCGAGTCAAGTGGGGTAAGATCCTGCCCTGCAATTCAGGCAACAACGACAACAAAGCTGGTGAGCCTGTAAGTTGCAGATTGCTGCAAAGTAACTAAAAGCATTCTCACATTACAAAATTACACACGATTGCCAAAGCATGACTGATTCTCCCTTTTCTACCGCTGTTTAATCACACTCAAATCTGTTCACAGTCTGACAAATCATACTCAAAGATGCTTCCTCTGACTGAACATCAGAAAAATTAAAGACGGCGTCTTTGGCAGAGCTGTTCTTTTTAAGTGCAGAGATGAGCTCAAAGATTGAGTCTGAAGTAACCAAATGTGTTCTGGCATTTTAGTCCCCGTTTCAGCGTCATAAAGAAGTATCTGGAAAAACAAAAAAGTGCACACTAATAGCCTGTTTGATTTGACATTTAAAATGTTTCGCTGCAGCTGTGCAAGCAGCTGCAGACAGCCGTAAAGTGTCTGATAGAAGAAGCATAAAAAGCCTTTACTCGCCCATTATCTTTCTATTATTTTTCCTACTGCTAACGCTTGCAGCCGTCTGTAGGTGCAGCAGTAACACTTTGATCACAGCGTCATCACAGAGTTAGAGAAAAGTGCAGCTTCTAGAACTGACCTCTTTGTTCTGCTGGGTCTGCTGCCACCTCCACCTGCGCTTCAGAGCCTCTCTCTCCAAGCCGTGGTCCATCAGCGCGTACAGGGACTTCCGCAGCATCAGGTCCCGGTCATGAAAACCCCACATACCTGGATTCAATGACAAAACCTCAATAAGACCGTGTGCATGAAGTAAAATAGAGCAGCGTTTGTTTCAGGGTTTTCTTTGTCTGTCCTCGCTGTGATTGCACGTTTAAAAATAAGATTCATGTTGTTGAGACCAGAAATAAAAGTTACGAACTAACGCCAGAGCTATTTTTGTCTTAAACATATGAGTGTCTCTAGAAAGCTCAGATTAAACACACAAGTACTACATTCATACCCACTATCCAGCAGTGATGCACTGTGGGGGCTCGAACAAAGCCTGCACATTAGTAAGAGTGTTATTAATTTCCTGGGTTATGGCTCCACAGTGGGCAGCTAAGGCTAAATGAATGTGCTCTCTAACACTGTAAAATGCAATTAGTGTTTGAACTAACAAAGAAGCTCTGTTAATGAATGTTAATGGAGTGTGAACCTGCACCGTGTCAGGGGCGCCAATAAAAAAAAATATGTGCGATACTCACCGAGCGAGGCCGCGTGTAACAGACAGTTCCCGTCTCCGCTGGTTGCCAGGGGCAGCAGACTCTGACAGTTTGAAACCACTTTTGTCCACCAGTTCAGTCGCCCTGTGGGAGAACGAGGAAAATATCACCTGTTTGCAGCACAGAAATGTCACAGTATTTAATCCTGAAGTATTTTGGATTTAGGAAAAAAGATTGTGTAGCTTTTTTTATTTACAGTCACACAAAATCATAAAATAAACAAACTTTATGTGCTGTTATCTTTCCCAAACAGCCCTCGGCACATATGTGATGATAATCTTTATATTTTTTATTATTACGGGTTGGTTTTCCTTTCCTATTTAACTCGACCAGCTTTATTATTACTTCTTTATACAGAACAGCATAAAAAATCAACACATTTCTGGCATCACTGGCATCACTTTTTAATGAGAAACTTGTTGGTGGCATGAATTCATTATTAATTACTGTGAACATTTAAGCTCCTAAAGATCTATTTCAAAATCTAATTTCAGTCCAGATTGGTTTAAACTCGTTCCTAATCGGACTTTATCACATCTGTTTCTTCTTGAATAGTTTCTTTATTACATTTGCAATCGTATTATAAAAGGATTGCTGATGTATATGAAGAGTGCTTTATTTGATGTTTAATTAATACGTCATGTAATCAGATCTCAGGAGAATATTAGCTCTCATTCTCAGGGGAATTTACTCAATTACATTAAGGTAATACGAGATTGTGATTTCAATGTACAAAAGCCTTCTCACGTGTGGTAGAGCTGCAAGATATGACTTTATTAAAATCCAGGATGGATGGAAAAGCACGCAAGCTTTAAGGGCGGCTGCAGACTTTAACGTCAAGACTCTAAAGACCGTTTTAGGATCCGAAAGAGAGAAACTGAGACTATTTCACACTGCATAACAAACCGATACAGATGTAGCACATTTAATAAATATATCCTCCAACTAAACATTAATTCCCTTTACTTTTTTAACTATGTTTTTGTCTTTTTCTCCTTTCATCTACTATTCAGTTAATAAGAAGCTTACTTTATGAGCTGCTGAAAATGCAGAATATGTCACATGAACACGCAAATTAAAAATCATATCATGCCATCCAGACAATAAAGTATCTGACACGTCCAATGTAAGATTTAAAATTTCCTTAACTAGTTTCACTCTTTATGACTTTTCAAGGATCAGCAGGAACCCTGATAGAAGCGGTTTAGTTCTTCATTACTCAGTGAACAAGAACAATGACGACCAGGACCCTAAAAGCTCCACTGTTTAAACAAATTCAACCAAAATCATTTAAAATCCTGTTTAACTTCATCATCTTATTTCCAAAAGTCCTCTGAAAACTTTATAAAAATCCAAGCAATGGTAACTTTGCATTTGATTTGTTTTTGGCTGTGAAGTGATGCCGTATTATATTCCAGTTTCTCGCACCTGCGTGCTCCAGAGCCACCATCATGGACTGCTCTATCAAGTCCCTCTCAATGAATCCGCGGAAGTCGTCTCTGTACACGGTGAGGTCTGGTAGTTGGAAAGTGCAGAGGGGCGTGTCCAGAAGCGGCTCGCTGCTGCTTCCTCCCGTGCTCGAGACATGAGAGCGGGCCAGGGACACGATGGTTGAACTGGCGTGGGAAATTCCCCTTGACAGACGCTTTTCTGTTGCTGCTACAGAAAAGAAAGGATGAAAATAAAACATTTAATGTTAATAAACTTTAAAAGGTTCCTCATGTACATATGCGCTATTATTGATAATGATTTAGAGCTTAGTAAGTATTTAACGCCCGTTATAAACCCAGCAATCAAATTTAACTAGTGTACTAACCAGGTAATTGGTGTTACATAACATTAAACAGGTGTCTTGCTGGTGTCCTCACCTTGCACCACCTCATCTTGGCGTTGAAGAACCGGTCGTCCTACCCTGGCCATCTCCTTTTCTGGGGGTTGATAGTTCCTCTCCTCTGTGAATGAATACGTCAGGTTCCCAGCATGCACCTGTCGCAGCTGCTCAAAGTCACTAAGGGCAGCAGTGAAGTCCCAGTTCTTGCCTGCACATACCAATACACACACAGACGCACACACACCCACAGAGGGAAAGGGAGAAAATCTGTCAACAAGTCCAGCGTGACAACCTGAATCCTGTTTCTGAGTCAAGTAAATGACACATCCTTAATGAGTTTAAATATTTACCACGGGACAGGGCGACCAAAGGCTGTCTTATCTTATGTAAAGGCCACTGGCACATTTCTTCACTTGGGCAAATATCAGGATTTAGAGCACGTCTCGGCTCGCTGGCTCGCTGCTCTTCGCTGCATTGCATTACATTTTTAACCCATATTCTTATCTGCAACTTGTGTTGCTGCTAGGCAACAGGAGCCCTGTTGACTCCAGCTATACCTTCCTTCTGTTAGTGTATAAAAGCCTAATTAACTGCTACAAGCCAGAAGCGCTGCTGTCTCACAGCAGTCAATTTGACCGGGGCTCGAACATCCAGCTGCTGACTTCACCCCACACCCTCCAGATTTTCTACGCTTAGATATTAAAATTATAAAACCAACAAAGACTGAATCAGGGGTGGAATTCAGAGGATCTCATTGTAACTACAAAGAAAGAAGGGACTAGACAAAAGTCAAAGTTCAAGCATGATATGATCACCATCACTTCCACTTTTAACTCTGAGTTTGGATAATTTAGAGGTTTTTTTTGTAGGACAGGCACTGGGAAGTGTGTCAATCAATTCAAATTACTCACTTTGTTTGGACCCACTGTGTCATCCCAAAAGGACTTTTCTGTTTATGTAAATTTGGATCTAAAAGCATTTCTGACCCCCAACTTTATTAGTATAGGGAACATGAACAATAGTTAATATGAAGCATGAAGTTAATTTCAATTTGTTTCCTTTCAGCAGAGCACAATCAAAACATGACTACTGACTACTCTACAATACAGTATCATACTACATAGAAATGTTTAGTGGTATAGCATCTTGCCTAACCAGATCATGAAGCAGTTGATGATTAGATTAAAGGATTATAATACTATTACAAAAGACACCATATATAATATCATATCAAACTATATTAACAGAATATGATATAATATAATTAGAGACTATACAACTTAAACCGATATGATGCGATACAATATGATACGATACAATATGATACGATATAATACGACACAAACCGATATGGTATAATACGATACAATATGACACAAACTGATATGATACGATACAACACAAACCTATTCGATACAATACAATAAGATATGATATGATTCACTACGACACGAACCAATACAATATGAAACGATAGGATACAATACGACACAAACTGACACGACATGATACTATGTATACCATCATCTGTAGTACCATACCAGATCTTACAATAAACACCTAACAATACAATATGATGATTTCTTTAGTACATCTCCATGCAGTACCATATCTGACAGTCCAATATGACGTGATACTAAAAATATTATCTGATATGATTGAACACGATATGACACAAACGGATTAAAACTGATATGATACCAACTGATCATTAGACATGATCACAAACACCAACATTCAATACTCTAAAAACAGGACGGAGAGGAGAACAGCACCATTTCATAATATGTCATTCAACATGATGCCAACAGAGTATGATATGATCGAGTACTTCGAGATACATCAAAAAATGTCAACATACAAAACCATATGATATTATACTCTTCAACAGACCTTGTCGTACCAGTATAGGAATTTGTTAGAGGCTCACAGACTGGTGCTGAGTACATTTAGCTGCCTTGAGTAAAATATCCCAGTTTTTTCTTTCCTTAAAAAGAGAAGAACTCCAAACTTCAGAAAAGTTAAAAAAACTTAAAAGGTTCAAACGTTTCTGAACTGCTTTGATAAATTGCTTCACCTGGCTCCTGTTCGCTGGTCTGAAATGGCTCCAACAAAATCCATGCGAGGTAAATGCACCTGATCAAAGTCCACCTTCTTAAAGTGCTTGTTTTTTCCCTCCCTGAGAGTCCAAGTCTGTTATTGTAAGTGTCTGACACATTACACAACTCTCTGGAAAAGATCCCCGCAGTACAGGCACGGACCTTTTTGTTAAAGAGTAAGGTCCTGTTTGTTTAACCAAAAATAAAGGTCTCACTCAAGGAGAAGTCACGCTATATAATCTTACAAAACATGAGCTGTTCCCCAGAGACAATGGTGGTAATGTTGGAGGGAGGGGTTGTGTTGTGTGAAGTACAGAGAGCTTGGCTTTGTGTTTTGTGCAGTTGGTGACTTTGATCGGGCGGTTTTATCAGAGAATTACACTTTGGTCCTTCTAGCCTATGTTGCAACCCTCAGCTAAGATGATTTCCTGGAAAATTTTACAAGCTTTTTGTGGAGTTGAGTCATTAAGACCCAAAACTATGTAAAAACAGAGCCCAGGTGTAATAATAGTGTGACTATCCTTGAGGGGAATTGTAAAAATTTGACATATTTGTACAAAAATACATCATAAATCTTTGGACGTTACCCTGCAACTCACCCTCGAGCAGATCTCTGGCCAATCCTGGTTCGGCTCCAGTGGAACGGACAAAGTCGGACAGGACTGCGTCCATATCCACGGTCATGTGATCATGAATTCACACGTTTGCGGGTTGTATCCTGGCAGAAAAAAAAAAGAAAAAGAAAAAGAAAGAAAAAGAAAAAAGAAAAAAGAAAAACAAACCCAAACCCGGCTATCCCTGACAGGACAGCGAGGGAGGGGGTGAGGCAGGAGCGGTCCTCTGTCTTGTCTTACTCTAGCAGCCACACCTGAAAGAGAACACACACACAGAGAAAAACAATGGACAATGTTAGAGCTTTAATGCTAATGGACATAATATAACTTGACACCTTTGGAGTCACTGTCCCACCCAAGACAACAGCTGTGACACACAATGTGAACAGGTGTGACCGAGTGTTTGCTCAATTTGGATAAAAACCTATAAAGTCATGTGAGGACACATGAAGACTGCTGTTAGGTGTCTTATTTCAGTCCTTTAATTTAACACAGAACTATACAGAATCACTATCAAGTCCAAATGTAATTTAAATCAGGAACAACTTGTTGCATTTGTAATTAGACGAGTTTTGAAGATCAACATTTAAACCACATGTCAGCAAGAGACAATCTTAAAGCTCCTGATAGGACTGGGCGATACGGCCTTAAATCAATATCATGATATATTGAGCAGTTCAGTGATAATGATAAATGGACGATAACTACTCCACAAGCTGCTCAGCCCCTCCCACATTAACTTTGTCTACTTCAGCCGCTACAACTTTCTCTCTGTCCTCCATCTCCTCACCTGTCTTTCCTTCTTTGTTACGGACTGGATGGGGTGGAGTCATGTCTCTGATGTAAGACAGCGTCTTAAAGGGACATGAGACTAGGGCTGAAACGATTACTCGAGTAACTCGAGTAACTCGATTAATAAAATTCCTCGAGGCAAATTATATGCCTCGAGGAATCGTTTAAATCCGGAACCATGTGCAGCGCACGGTGTTTGACACGGACGGTTATTTCTGTTGCACAGCAGCATGCTCTTTCCGCTCCCGCGCGTTTCATAGACATAATAAAAGGGTAGACCCCGCTGGGGGTGCTGCGCAGCGAGAAATGCGGCCGCCATCTTGGTCAGGTCAAGCTTCCCATACGCTCCGGTCAATCATATTCATTCATTCAGCGATGCCGGAGCACTGTGCGGCGTATTCCTGTGCCAACAGGCGGACAGCAGAGAACAGGGCTCAAGAAATAACTTTTCACAGTTATGATTAAACGTTTTTTAAACATTACACTTGACTGTAGAGTCATTTGTAGGCCAAAGAGGAAGACTATCGGTCAACTCCAAAAAGGAAACAGCATTTGCGAACAGCTAGCTTATTCACAATAATAGCAACTTTGGTCGATTATCAACAGATTTGCATTAGATTGAAAAACTTTTGTTAAAGAGAGGTTCTAAGACACGTTAAGAAATAAAATAGAAAGAAAAAGGAAGAAAGTGAGCTCTGTTTTATTATCTGTTTTATTAAAGATTTCTTTGTGGTGATCTCCTGTTTCATTTTGAAGATTTCCTAAGGACAAAAACTTGAGGAAGAAGTGGGAGATTGCTGTTAGAGGGAGAAATTCGCAGCAAGTGATTCCTCTGTGCTGTGTAGCCAACAAGCAAATTGATATGTAGTTTAGATGCTGTCCTGTCATGCTGTTCTTGTGTTTAAATCTTTTTGATATGTAGGCTATATATTTGTGTGTATTTTCCAGTTATTAAAATAGTGCTTCTATATGACATTATTTGTGTGTGTCTACAAATGGATAAATAAAATTAAACTATATAAAAAATTATAATCAAATCAATATATATTGAATTGACCTGTTAATACCGCCAGTTATTAATAATTATTGAGACATAGCAGGAACCTAGCTCTAAACCTAAATATATCCTTGATTAATTGTTATACTATAATACAGCCACTGCTGCCATGTTCTAAAATATCATTTTATTCATTCTGAGTATTTGAAAACGCCAAAAAAAAATATGGCCTCTATCATGCCTCTTTGAATGGCGTTTGCAGAGAAGAAAATTACGTAGTATTGAGCGAACTATGATTCATTAATGCGCTCAGACTTCATTCCGCCGGTTAAACAGCGGTGCAGAGTGAGGCGGATGACCGGACCAAGATGGCGGCCGCATTTCTCGACATCACCCATTCGTGGTAGCGGCCGATGCGGGGTCTATCTTTTATTATGTCTATGGCGCGTTTGGTTCAATCATGGAGGGAAACGAGGACAGACAGAGAGAGGAAGAAAGAGATGACACGCAGAGGAAACGGCAGAAAGTGTCTAAAGTGTGGGACCATTACACACTGAAAAGGAAAGAAAACGCCGTGCAGTGCGTTCACTGTAAGGCGGAGTTGGCGTTTCACAACAGCACGTCGTCAATGCTGCAGCACCTTAAAAGAAAACACCCGGTCCATGCATTAAGTCCGCTCTGAGGCAAACGTGATTCAATGCAAAGTATTACAGTGAGAGCAAAACATTTCTTATCCGATTACTCGATTAATCGACAGATTAATCGATAGAGTACTCGATTACTAAAATAATCGATAGCTGCAGCCCTACATGAGACCATAGCCTACCTACACACATCCAAAACTAACTTATATTCTGACATGCGCAAAATGACGTCGTTATTGTCGTAAATTTCAGAATCGGTAAATATTTGATTTATAGCCCAGCCCTAGCTCCTGAGAGGAGTTTATTGACTCTTATGAAGTTGACTGAAATTAATCAGGAAGCCTCTTTGAGCTTTTCTCGCTCTATTGACCCAACCAGTCATGTCCCACAAGAATCCATCTGCACTGAATTCTTCCAGTTATGCTCCTCTCCGATCAAAATAACCACATCTCTTGAGCAACCGCCACATGGAAGAACACTGCAGCAACAACAACAACAACAACAACACACACATGCCTGATGCAGCTGAAAGGAAGATGGTAACAGAGCGAAGAGATCTGTTTGAAATCCAAGAGCTTAAACTACATGAAAATGGAGTGTTGACAAGAGCAAGCTTGAAAATGTCAAATAAAACACCTGAAAAAAAATAGATTAAATTGGGTTTTGTTTCTAAAATCACTTATTTCGTATTAAGATAGAAACTATGTGTACTTTGAGGAGAGAAAAGTAGTTAAACCTTCAGAAAACTTAAAAGTCTAACTTGTTTAAGTTGTGAGATATAACAAACAGTGTTTCTTTAAGAGAGGCTCCTTAAGTCAATTACACAGTTTTACTCCTGAAGTTACAGCAGGACCTGCGCAGGATGAGCTCCTAAATCAATACAGAGACATTATCAGGTCCAAGAAAAGAGAAAGTCAGCATCAATGGGCTGTTGACACAAAGATTGCAAAGGGCGATCGATGAAACCAAACAAAAGGGGTGACGTAAAGGAGCCCTGGCTTAAAAGATGCATGTTAGGAGCCAAGCTGGAGCTTTTATTTTACGATAAAAAAATATTCTGATAGTTCATACACCTGTTCAGCGGGGCTCTGAACCACATTCACACATTTGCTATGTTTGATCTGTACCAGTTTTTCTTCTTCAATTCTCTGCTGAGTTTGTGAAATATGTAAAAAAGGTTTCAAAACCTCTAAAACAACAACGGGAGAATCATCAATGCAAGTCTTAAAGATCAAAAACTCAACATTTTCAGACTCTGGGACAGAACGACGAATGAAAAGCCTGTCAGATATTTCAGTTGTTAGAAAATATGGCTTCACTCGAGAGCTGCGGCATAATTTTAGTGACACAGTGTCAACTCTCTGAATAACTGTATAACATTTAAATGTAAAGTTTGTATCCGGGCGTAACATTTTCTAGTGAATTAAAACGTTGATTTATTTACTCAGGCTGCACAAAAAGTAGCTGCATGATGTAGAAAAAGAAATGTTTAACGCTCTGATCTCATACATATTATGCGTTTTATTTATATAATGCCCAGTATGCGTAAAAAAAAAAGAAAATCAGTTTATTGTCTTGCTTGCAGTTTGATCAACATTTTTAACCCTCTGCCCTGCAACCTGCATCAAGATGGATAATGCATTGTGAGATTCATGCCAATACAGAGACAAAGCAGAGTCAATAAAAGCCTCTAACAGATACATCAACACTGCTGTATGTCTGTTTGTCACTACATTATGATGGGAAACCTTTTCACTGAACATATACAACAGAAAATAATGCCTAAGAACATTTGTGAATTGTGCAGCTGCTCCCACTCCATAACAGTACAGTAAGTTCACATGAAATTAAGTGTTAGGTATTCTTAAATGAAGCTACTGACGTGCACTTCTATCGACACATCGAATTGCACCCACCTCTATTATCTTATGCAAAGTTTGAAAAAGCCTCAAACTTCAATAGGAACTCTATATTCTCAATACAGTCTTTTTGTCAAAATTGGTCATCAGTGTAGAAAATGAATTACAGATTTCTGTTTTTAGTCCCTGCATGAAATTTTGCACATTATTTCAACCAACCAATCACATCAGTTTTGCAGAGCTGAGCTGGAAACTATTATTTGTTTCTTATGCACCAACATTAACAGCTTTTATTCTTTTACTGTCTGTATTTTCTTTCACTGTTTTTCATTTTATTATTCTATCGTTATCTATTTCTTTACTTTTTTTATTTATCATATGTACATCGCTTCAATTGACTGCTGTCTTCTTAAAGGTGCTTTATAAATAAACCTGACTTGACTAATGGCTTGAATACTGCATTGTTCTATGGAAACATAATTACACAAGACCTTTGCAAAGTGGTTTAACTGCCCAGTCATTATGTGCGTTGAAGTTCACAAACTGCCTCATCCAGTTTAGACTGACTGTTTTATTATATCTACCTACAGTCATCTATTCCCATCCGTCCCATGGCTCATCCACCACCCAGTGTTCCTGCTTCAGCTCTGACTCAGTCAACTCTTTTCCACTGCGCCTGATGAGTCACGAGTTTACTCTTCTTACACCTCTCCACCGTGCTCTCGCCTCACGCTCTCCTTACCTCCCTCAGTTCCTCCATCATTATTACAGTAAGAGCCACACAGGCAGGCAGGGAGGCAGGGGAGGGAGGGACAAGACTTCAGCATAAAAAGACCTTTCTCAGCCGGTAGAGGATTTCTAGAGCCCTCTCTGTGAAAGTCAGGCATTCAGCAACTCATGCGGACTCTCTGTTCAGTTTTGATTTTCAGAGGTATTGATCACAAACGCAGCAAGTACAAGATGTGAGGCTGAGATTGGATCATTATTATTAAAAAAACATGAGGAATCACAGTCAGAGGTTTTAGTAAGACCTTTTGCATCAAAGTTTACTAAGGCCTGTGTTGGACAGTGTGTTGCTAAAGGTACAAGTGAGAAAATGCAGTACAAGCCGAGCCAGGAAGTGAGTTTGTTATCAGACTCAAAACACATGTTCATCCCCTCTGACTGAGAGAAGGCAGAGAGAGGTTGAGACGACTTTATTTAAGAAAGACAATGAGAGAAAACCCCTGAATCTTAAACTGTTCTTTTCCCATGAATTTCATGACTCTGCCTGCCAAACCTGTTCGACTATTCATGCAGTTGCTCTTCCTCTATATGCGCACTAACATCACGCAGCCAAAGGCATCTCTCCAGAAAGTCTTTTTAGCACTGAGGAAAAATGGCCCAGAGGTTAGCGAGCAAAAACAGGAAATAATATTTGAAAAAATCCAGCACCTGGCTCCTGCTTTAAAGTTCCAGGTAAAAAGTATCATTAGCATTCAGCTTTAAAGGGAGGACCATAGTGTACCATATCTACTAGGCACATTTTGTCATGTTTGATTACACGCTGGAGTACATCTGCTTTTAGTTTTTTATGCTGCAGGAAACGTTGAGCCGGGGTATGTTTTTGTTTCTAACCGACCAGCATTTGTTCTTTTTTATTTTGACTGGAATTAACCGACTTAGACCAGTGCAGTGCAGACGTTTATGTTCGATGAATGCATAAGAAGTCAAGCAGCAGCCAGCCTCACCTCTAAACCAGTCATCTCTTTTCTTTATAATATATATCAGGAGCATGTATCATACTGATGCTCAAATAACAATGTGCGTGTCAAAACTTTGCATTTTCCAGCATAACAATTGGTAATCTGTGCAAGGCCAGGACTCAATAAGATGATGTATCACGTTGCAACAACTCTAAACTTAGGGCTGGGCGATAAATCTAAAATTTACAGATACCAAAATTTACCATAATAACTAGAGCCCACCTGATATGGATTTTTTGGGGCCGATACAGATTATTAGGGGGGGTGAATCCGATAACCGATTAATCGGACGATTTTAAATTTTTTTTATTAAGTTTAAAATTTTGTTAATTAAAGTAATATATCTACATATTTATTATTATTTATTTTTTTAACAAATGGCTGCTTTTGAGCCTTTTGAGTCAAAACTTTTAAGACAGAGGTGTAAGAAGTTTTTAAAATCTTCCACTCAGTCTGTGCATTTGACAGGAGGTATGCACTACAGGACCTCTCTCTCTCTATCTCACTTCGATTATCTGCAGACAGAGACAGAGCGGACAGAGAGTGGCAAGAGATCATCAAAATCATTGATTATAAATGGAGATCTTATTTTAGTCACTGATATATTAACCAAAAGTTACTAAGCTGCCAAAAACATACTTGGGCGGCCCGCTCAGGTGGTATAACCGTCTCGGTCAATATGCGCCATCTGCTGTCATAACCCTGAATCTGATGCTGGGCACAGGTCGTTTACTGTCTGGCTTTGGAAATATTGAGAGTTGTGTCCCTGATAACTTTCATAAACCGAAGAAATCGCAAGTGAAAGAACAGATGAAAGAGTTTGAAACCGCAGGATTATCTCGATGTGGAGTAAAAACATCAGAGGAAAATCACATGAGAGTGTCAGTGTAAGCAGAGGGCTGTGTTATGTCGTCTCTGCTGAGGTAGTGGGACTGTTACTGACTAAAAAAAGAGACAGACTGATTACTGCAGAAGACAAAATGCTCCAGGCAAATGCAAGTATTGAGAAAAGGTAGAAAATCTGAACAAGTCTGGTTTCCTGGCGGAGAGAGGACCAATAACACAACCAACGTACAGAGGTTACAGTCCTCATGCTTTCAGCCTTCCTTTCCAATAAAGACAAAAAGTCACAAAAAGTTGAAAGGGGCGCCGTTGGCCCAGCAGGGGGGCGTCACAGGCGTAGCTGTCGAACTGTAGGCCTCATGTATAGAGGTTAGAGACCCTGCAGCCTTGGTCATAAAATCGATTGCTGATCCGGGCATGATTTGTCATTCCGCCTCTCTCTCGCCACATTTCCTGTCTCTCCAGCCGCCCTGTCAATAAAGGCAAAAAGCCCCCAAATAATCTTTAAAAACCAACGCAAGACCAAAAGGACCATAACACTGATCGAACACGGAGATTGAATGTGTGAGAAAATTCTGTCTTTTGGTTTCACAGTTAAAATCTTGAAGGTAAGGTGCAAACTCGCAGGCATGAATTTGTGAATCGATCCTTAAATGATCGAGTTAAACCCAAGAGACTGATGTGACACAGAAGCCTTCCTCATATATAAGAGGTATAAAGAGATTTCATAGTAAGCCTTGAGTTCTGTCAAGTCAGAGCTGTGTCCTCTAAAAATAAATACTAAAAGAAAATGTCAAATTTATGTGAGAGTCTCGACTTTGATTTGTTTTTAATAACCTGGAGGCTTAATCCTGCAATATAAACACTACAATCATGTTTGTTCACTTGATATCATCTCATAAAAGTTAATTTGTTGGTTTAGTCATTCGGAGAAACACCGTTTGATGTGTTTGTTAAAATACTGGCACATCAGCTGACAACACTGATAGGCAGAGAAAGATCAACATGAGCAGGGCGATAAAAGTGAAGGGCTGAGGACAGAAAGTACCAAAGAGCAACAAAAGGCCGGCTGTTGTCACTCTGGGACTGTAACATCAGCCATTCCTGTGAACCCGCTCTGATGCATTGGATGTACTATCACATGGGCTGCCAGCACAAAACGCTTACGAAACACTTATTAGCAAGAAAAAGCCTGTATCATGGTACATGCTGTCCCTCAGGGCATCTGGTGTTAAAACATGATATATAAAAAAATCAATTTTCCCAAAGGGCTTCAAACGGAGCGCAGTAAAATATTCGTGCCATTTATAATCTCTTCTCTATGGATCCATGAGATAAGATCAGCCTACATGAAGCAACTGCTCCTAAAGAAGGTTTTCACAGCACTCTGCCACCTCCCTCCCTAATTCTTCAATTTTTACCCAGAATTCAAACTCAACCAGGCCCCAACAGCAGCTGCCACAAAAATTACAACATAGCAACCAAGTTTTATCCCTGCTCTGCAAAAGCAAAAGCACGCTGATGAAATGTTACAAACCCTAAAAAAAAATCTGATTTCCTTGGGCTAGCATTAGCAAAGGCTACCGCTCAGGCTTAAAATCTGCTTTAGCAGCAAAACAGCAGGTCAGGGAGGCGAACCACAACACCAACTGGACTATGCAACTTCCTCTTTTGCTTTTTTATTATGACAAAAAGCAGTTTATGGGTTTTTAACATCGACAGTAAATAGAACGGATGCTGTCTGCTGTCGCGAGAACAGCACCCTCTGGTGACGGGTTGCAGTATAGATCATAAATCCCGCCTCCTCCAGCAATCCCTATGGAGCTGTAGACAAACTTTAGAAATTTATTACACAAATTTTACATTTTTTATCCTCCCTGGTTGTGATGTTGACATGTAGTTACTGTCAGACTGGTTTGTGCTCAACTCCTCTTTTTTCTGTACAGCTCAGTTTTTAAAAGTTATCAGGGGGTTCATGTTTGCTATGATTGACACCTGATACAGCCTATGGGCGTATGAAGATTGCGTAGCTCAACCAGGGGTTACGCTGTTTGAGCCGAGACTCATCACAGCAACTCTCTGCGACTTTCTCGCCAAATGTGTACAACGCTTCCATGCAATGTTGGTTTCAATGAAGTGAAGAAAAAAAACGTAAATACCGAGAGCTTTTTGGCTTCAAATCCGTATACTGGCGGAAGGCTGAGCTAAGTTGTTCATACAGTCTATGGTTTTTAGGTAAAAACAAAAAGTTTGTGAATCCAGTTTCTTCATTCATAAAAACTAAGAATGCACGATACTTCTCGAGCCGATAAAATATCGGCCGATTTGGAACAAAGTTTTTTTATTGCTCCGATAGTTAAATTAAGACCAGCCTTTTACTGTTGTTGAGAACGTTAACATATCGGTTTCTGTATCAGTATCAGTTGAAATTTTTTTATAAAAAGTTGGGTCAAATTCTGATCAAGTTATTTTGATTGATTATATCAAAGCTAAGAGTTTTGCGTGATTAAGTATAATTAGGGACATGGCTGATTTCACTGACAGGTGGATGTATTGTAAAGCCTTATGCATAATTTGGGGTGCAGCTGTTTGCTAGACACCTGTCTGTAGCCTCAAATCCACCTCTGGAGGCCAAAAATGTTTAGAGTTTAACAGGAAGTTAGACAGAGTCATCATTTTTGTAAAGGCGCCATTTTTGTGCTTCAAACGCTCTTTCAGGAATCAGTGGGTGGTGTCTCTACATCCCTGTTTAATACAGCCTGTTCAATGACTATGACTATAAAATCATATAAATTCTGTTTATAACATCAGAATCCTTTAAGTTTCATTTATAGAAGCCAGGTTGTCAACCTAAATTTTAAATAAATGTATACAAGGAAGCCCCTGTGTGAATTAGTGGCTAACATGAACAGCATTACTGCCAACATGGGGCAGTCCGTGATTTGTGCTGTGGATGGCTGAGCTTTTGTCTGGCAGGAGGGCTTACGTAACGGGAGCTGCTGACAACACGTGGGTGCTGAGCTGCGAGCCGGGAGAACGGCCTGGATCACTGAGGGAGACAGAGAGGTCACCACAGCCCACTGCGTCAGCCCTCGGTGGGCCGGCAGGGTCAATTTACTGCTGGACACAAGTTTGTTTTGCTCCTCTTTAGATCCTTAATGAAGGGGATGTTGGGGGGGCTTTCACATTTACTCCGCACAATCACACCGGGGGGACACGGCAGAGCACATCCTCTGTCATCTACCGCTGACAAATAAGCAGCTGATCTGCCGGAGTTTGAAGACATCCTTTTCGACTAAATGTGACAAGTGTAAAACTTAAAACTGCAGCTACTTCCTGCAGATGCAAGAAGGAAGATGAGGGAATGAAAAAAGAAACGTGTAAAAAGCCTCTGGCCAAATGGTGAAACAGCTATGTAACCAAGCAGTAATACACAAACAAGACATTTTTAGATATGCTCCACACAAAAAGCTCGTCTGGTTCCAGACATCTGAATCACTCTGCACATGTCTGATTTTACTTTTAGAGGAAAATAAATGTCAATCCAACAGCTTGCTGATTGGATACTTAACAGCCACAGGATAAAAGAAAAAAACGATGATGAATTAATACTTATTTTAGCTTCTGCAGCGCTTTAATTTTCCTGTTTTTTAGAGCGCAACTGAAAGACTATATTGTTGTCATTTTTATCTTTGAAGCAACAAAACCCAAACAGGATCTAAAAGCATTAGTACAATGAGTCCTTATCAGCCTGGGTTGTGAGGCTATTACCTACTGCTCAAAGCAAACCTAGATAAGGAAGACAGGGAGTCTTTTTGTCCTAAAACAGAGAGAGAGACGAAAATGTTTGACACATTCAGGACCAACAGAGGGACGCGCCCTCTGCCTCCTGCGTGCAAAAGATGCTGGTGCTCTAAATGCTGCGTCATGCTCACTGTGTAGGTCAGTCAATACAGCATGACCTAAAAACTGGGAACAGAGAGGACTATATTTTCTGTTATGATGGACCGGAAACGTAGTTACTTACCATTTATAGAAAAACATTAAGTTTTAAAAGTTATGACATTGGTGAACGGCAAAGTGGTTTGTCGACAGGGCAAATATCGACGGATACTGAAGCTCAAACAACAGACGGGTACACCCATACATGCTCTCTCTGTATCTTCGAACCAGTCGCTATTTGTGTCTTCTTCCTGCAGTTTGGTGGTGAGCCGGGTATTTACAGCTTTTTGTTGCAGCCAAACAACAAAGAGAGCAGCTTTTTTTTTTATCCTGAAACAAACAGGAAGGTTGCAGGTCGTAAGGTCGAGAGCTGCTACAGAGCATCACAAAGCTGAAAGGAGCTGCAGATGCAGGTGAAATATGCAGTCTTTGTACACCGCAGGGTCTTTAAAGGTTCATCCCTTCCAGAAAATCCTCTCATTGTCATTTGATTTATCATCACCATAAATGTTCAAAGCAAAGAAATAAGAGGGTGTGTTTTTGTTGCTGCTGAGTCTTTCCAAAAGTTGTTGTCATCTTGCAAAACATACAAATATTTCTGGGACCCATCTTTAAAGGGATATTCCAGTGAAAAATTAATTTAGGGTCAAACACACCGTAACACCAAATAAGACTCCCCCTCGAGAGTTAAATGTTGCCGACTGCTTGCTTCTCTGGTTATACCAACTTCAGTAACGACCACACGATAGCAATACACAGCGGTCTGAGGAGCCATCAACAAACCTCAACCAAAACGCCACTCTATAGCCACAAATAATGCTCAGAACAGCACCTAACTTCATCAACAGGACATATAAGGTCACAGCCATAGTACTAGCCACCAAACATCTTTTAAGCTTTGCCTGATTTCTTTGACAAAGAGACTAAACTAGGGATGTCCTGATACGATATTGATATCAGATATTGGTCCAATATCAGTAAAAAATGAATGTCGGATTATATCAGCCTCTATCTAAAATCTCCTAAGTGAAAAATTGTATCGGGACACCAATAGACTAAACACAACTCACCTACTCTCCTCCAGCAGCTGCTTGTTTGTGGGGGAGCCCTGACGAGTCGATCACCGAGTGCAGCAGATCATTTCCATGAAGTAATAATCATTATATTAATAAAGTCGCACTGCATAAACAGTAGTCCATCGGCCTTGGCGTCTCGATCTGATCGCATTTCCATGAAGTAATAATCATAAATGTTCTTCCTTGAGCTGTGAAACTCTGCTATAGAGTGGCGTTTTGGTTGAGGTTTGAATATGAAGATGTAGACTGCTGTGTATTGCTATCGTGCAGTCATTTCAAAAGTTGGTATAACTAGAGAAGCAAGCAGCAACATTTATTTCTCAAGGACGTGTCTAACTCAGTGTTACAATGTGGTTGACCCTAACTTAATTTCATGCCTGAATATCCCTTTAACTCTGAGGCAAAGATAACTATTTTCTTACTTAGTATGCATCTGGATTGGGTTTAATTTTTTCTCCAAAACCGCTCGGAAACCCACTGCATTACGAAAGATTACTCAACATTTTGAAACTGTGTTTCACTGGGACTCTTGAGTGTGAGAAACAGAAGGAACTCAAGTATTTGTTTTCGAGTGTCACTGAAAATACCGCTCTGACATTATCAATATGAATAATCTAGAAACAGAGTCTGAGGCAAAAACATGGGCGAATCTGTGCATTACAGCAAACACTCCGCTCTTTTCCATCCACACACTGACACAAAAATGATTTCTGAACTTGGATCAGGTCATGTACTGTAATGTGTCTATCACTCGTGTTTGTTTGAAAGAAGCCGAGGTGAAAGAACAACACAACTCCACTTAACCTAAATCGACTCTCCACAATGAGCTCAGCCTGAGAAATATTTTATCATCACCACAGTTTATGTTCAACAGAGGAGGACCTCTGAGTAGTCCTGTTTCCCTTTAAAGGTCAAGACTTGATGAATGACCACGTCTTTAAATCTGTCAGTTCTATTTTGGTTCAATCACATAAACCTTTCCTGTGATCTCAGCGAGAGTAACACACCCTCTCAGCCGTGCAAAACAATATGAGTAATGAGATAAAGGGCATAAAGTAAGCAAACAGGGGAGGGGAGTGCAGCAGCAGGAGCGGTGAGTGTGGTCCAACGCTCCATGTGTCTGTTATGACAAATCAAAACAGTCAAGCCAAAGAGGACTGGCAGCTTCAGCTATATGAGTTTCATATTTTGCCATATCAGAGTCAAATGAGTGACGTAAACCTGAAGAGACTGGGCTTATTCTTGAAACAAGTTGGTCTGTCACATATCAGGATGGACGCTGTTGAAGGTTTGCCAACATGCAGCGATTTCAAACTCATTTTGGCAGTTATGCAAGCATCTACCAATGCCGATATAAGCACTCTGTTTTCATTGTATCAAACACTAAACTGCAGATATTGAAAATTTACCTTTCAATCTATTACCTACCAGCGATGTAACAGTAACCGGTGTCATGGTAAATCATAATAAAAGTGTTGCTGATAAAGATTACAGTTTTCATTTAAAAAAACGTGGATCAGTTGTGAGATCGCCGACAATAACTCGCTAATGCTAATACTTGGCATGCCACTGTAACAAAAAAACTCATTCTTAAGGTGTGACAGTTTTCAATTAGCCATGGTGGTGTGCCACGATCAATTGCATGTGGGGGAAACCCTGTGTTAATCATCCCAGCTTCATCAAAGTCTCCTGAAGTAGCGGCGCAGGCGCGCTGTGGAGCCTACAATTTGCGTTTAAAAAGGGGACAGAAGCAAGGAAGGAGGAGACAACAGCGCTGAAGACATCCATCAGCCCTCTAAAGAGGACAAAGTCTAAAGTATGGGCATATTTTGGGTTTTGTAGGAATGTCAAGGGAACGCTTAGTTGAAGACAGTATTCCTGTTTTGATATGATGAAACGATGAATAGAAGGCATTGTTTAGCGCTAGTTAAAAGCATCAAAAATATCATAATCAATGCCTTTGAATATATTTTTTTAAAAATAACAGCGATAAAACCAGAAACCATGATTATTCTGGTCGCAATAACCGTGAGGTAGAATTTTCATACATCCCTAATACCTACATGATACTGATATATTGTAGCATCTCTGATTACACGGTTTTCCAACAAAATAGCAACGTCAAGTTTTGTTTCTTGATCATAAAATATCTGATCCTTAATGCACAGTCTGCCTAACTTGAATTAATCCTCACTGATGAATATAAAAACTAACATACAGGCACACAGTACATACGGGTTGCTCAGGTTTTTAGGTATGAAGGGTTTTAAATCATTTCATTGATAAAAGAATATGTAGGTCCAATGTATCAGTGATCAAAACCCTTAAAGATTCTTGTAATAAGTCTTAGGTTGGCTTTCTATTATGATTCAAATCAACACTTCAGCCCTTCCCTTCATCACTGACTTCACTTAACCTCTTAGCCTAGACAGTACAGATTCTAGGGATGTGACGCATCTGCACAATCCAACAAATGACAAAACAATAAACAACATACCAACACAAGCACTGCAGGATCATTTGTACTGCAGGATTTACGCCAGCGTGATCTCTATGATTGATGCACTTAATTCTCCATCAATCATGTGTTGACCGACATGTGAGAAGTAACTAAATGCTCTGAATGTCTGAGAGAGGCGCAGCTGATGTCCCTGAAACCACAGACGTGTATAAAGTCTCGTAGGAGCTAAAATAGCAGACACTTCCTTGTGAATTCCTTTTTGCAGTGAGTCAATGGTCTGTTCTCAAAATGCTGCAGAAACAGGGCTGGGTCTGCTGCGAACAATCAATCACAGTAAACACCTCGCTGCTGAGGAAAACCAGAAGCGGAAGACAAACAAAGGTGTGGTGACTGAGATGGCTGTCCTTCAGCTGTCTTTATCTGTGGAGTGCTGTAATCTGGTTACTGACTGAGCCCAGTCAGCCTACACTCACTCATTACATAACAGGAGAGCTACAGCTGGGAAGGAGGCAGAGCGCTGCCTGGCTGAGGAAGGAATGGAGGAAAAAGCACAGCCTTCGCACTGTTCTTCCCAAGTTTCTCTCAGCTGATCGGGGACATACAATAGAACTGCTGGGTATGCACTGAAAACAATACACCCTTCTTGTTATGCAATGCAGGGCTGCAGTCCCTCTTGATTTAAAGATGCAAAGGGTTAAAAAAGAAAGGGCCTAGCTGTGAGACACTCACAAGAATATGCACAACCAAGCATATCGGTGCTGGGCATAGCTATAATTCTTAAAGGCTGAGGAACGCGTTGTGGTTGTTTGGCTGAGAACACAGCTTTGATAGAAGACACTTACGCAATAAAAAACTGCTCTGCAGAAGATACCTCGGCCAATTTTGTCATTTTCTGCAACATCAGTTGTCTTCAAGGGCAACTGTCTGCATCATATGGACAGTGTAACGTCGGCACATTCATTTCAAAGGGCTTGCATAATGCTAAAGGATATGATAAGCACTGCACTGTAAACCCCTGTGGGCTTATAGAGGGCCGATGCAGCAGGGGGGTCTCTGCAGCGAAATGAACCAATTACATGTCTCTCTTCTCAAAGTCAAAATGAATTAACTTATAAAAAACTTTTTCTTTTTTTTTTTTCTACCAGGTTTGGCTCCATGACAAAAATATGATCATAAATGAATCAATATCAATGTTGTCTCTGTTTAAGATTTCATTATGCTGCCAGATTGGAAAGAATCCCAGAGTGACCTGATGAAGACGGCTGGTTCATTAGCTAAATTGTAGCGTGTACGTGTCTCATTTAGCACGCGCGGCTGACAGCCAACCTTAAGAGAATTCCAATTAGTGAATGGCTGAATAATTGCGTTTCAAGTTGTCGATCTTTTTGGTGGGACTGGATGTGACGTGCTGCGAGCTGAGCTGCTGTTTACATAAGCTTCTCTTTGAATAAACTGCCCTTTCAATGATAACTGGAGAGAGCACTAATACAAGTGTAAAAAGGTCAAATACAGTCGCTCTTCGGCTTTTTGTAACAGGTACAGGAAGCTAGGAGGGGCTGGGGGAAAGGTTAAGATTCCCTCAAAAGTAACACCAGATATATAAATGCAGTAACACACTATGGATGTTTACATGGACTTGAGTAATCCCAGTTATGAGCATTATCCTTGTTTTATAAATGATTTGATTTGATGTTATCCCAGTTTCTGATCGTATTTGTACAGGTGGCATTGATATTTACCTCTTACAACACAAACTCTTCACCTCTGACAAAATGAGACCACTGTGGTTCATTGTGAACTTAGCACAAGTTAAAAACCAACATCGTAGTGCTGATAGGGCATATCCACCTCATTTCCGGGAACAGGAGAAACATAAAATATAAAAATATGAAGCACTACCCCAAACTCTGCCTAATGTCAGCCTGTCACTGCTACAGCACAGAACAACAGAGTCCTGCAGTCTGTGCGACACAGACTTGAATAGGTCAGCATTTTGATCCTCTCTCCTGACTAAACTTTAAACTGCACTCTATTCTTTCATTACCAAAAGACAAAACTCATTTTCTTGCTCATATCGCAGCAAGCATGTATGTTTTGCTGATGCGTCACTTCGTTCAGGCTGCACCTGCGCAGGTAGTCAGCAGCTGTCATAAACCAGGGAATGGCATCTAGATGTCACTGTAAACTATTTTCTTTCAGAGTTTCTTTGTGCAGCACAATCACTTTTATCAACATCAAGATACAGGCATATCAGAATTTCTAAACTCACAGAATTCTATTTAGATACGCAAATGCTACAAAAAAAAAAAACAAAAAAAAAAAAAACAGGACTTGGGTGGAAATGTGCGCTATGTTATCAAGTTTTGAGTCATAAATCCGACACTTTTCGGCAGGCATAGCATTAGCAAGGCTGCAAGCTGAGCTGCTGCTAATATTAGTTAGTGTTTAAAGAAACAGACCTAAACAGTAACAACACATATAAAAGAGGTTTAAAGACAAAAATCATCATCTGGCCATACAACAAACAGAAAGTTAGGAGGGGCTGGGAGCTGAGCTGCTGCTAATATTGGTTATTGTTCAAAGAAACAGACCTAAATGGTAACATCACATAAAGAGGTAAAAAGACAAAAAATCATCTTCTCTGGTTATACGACAAACAGAAAGTTAGGAGGGGCTGGGAGCTGAACTGCTACTGTGTTTGGCTTATTTTGGAGTCAGGGTTCCTTTACTATTGTTCATTAAGTTTTACCTAAAGCTGAACTGTTTACAGAAGTAAACCACTCATGACAACTGAATAAAGATGGTACGGAAAAAAAAGGCTGACTCTCAGTGAGAGTATGAGTCCGGAGGGGAGGCTGCTGCCTGAGCTGCAACCAAGTTTCATGTAATTTATGTAATTTTGTCTATTTTTATCATCATTTTCTGTATCTTTAAAGGGAAATCGTTTGCTGTGGTGCATTTGTTGGCCCAAGTTCCACCTCTCCTCTCAAGTGTAGGCATCCACTTTAACAAGTACTTCACTTGCAGGAAAAAAAAAAAAAACCTGCACTCCAGCCAGTTAATGTTCATCATACAAGAGGCAGACTAATACCTTTAAGAGAGAGGGAGGACAAGAGGTACAACATTTAAGATTCTGTCATCGCACTGCAAACCATTGTTTCCTGTTCATTCTGCAAACTGCTGCTTCACTAATCCTCCCCCCTCAACGGAGCAGCTGTGCTCAACCAGTAATGAGGGAGGAGACCAATGTTTTTAGATCTCATTGGTTCACATCTCAGAAATCAATACAGTAAATTAGAGTGTGACCATTTCCCCGGACAAAAGGAAATATACCAGTAAGCCGGTCGTCGGAGTAAAATCAATAAGATCCTCTAAGCTGCAGCGAAATAGAACATCCAAAGAGCTGTAGTTGACATGTGAATTATTGGAAGTAGTGGACCGTTTCAAGTCCATTAGCTAGAAAAACGCTTCTTCATGTAAATCCAAGAAAGCTTTTGTTTGTAGAGGGGGCCGCAGTGGGCTGCCTATCTCCTCTCCAAATAAGGGCGTTAATTATTCCAGCGAGTCATCCTACACTGTAAGATGTGTCACGCTTACAGTGTGAATCAAAACGATGGAAATTAATAATCAAACGGTTGATCAGACACTTGACAAGATGCCAGAACTTCCCTCAGCGAATTCTTTCTTTCCTGTAATACGAAGAGTCTAACGGACGGCATTTTTGCAGAGTGAAACATGCAGCACGCACATTCCAGCCCAGATGAAGGTTTTGACCACCAGCTGTGGGCGTCTGTGTGTGTAATGGGTAAGACAACACCAGTGTGAATGCACACGCAGCTGATGTCAGAGATTCCACACCGCTCCTGCCCTCTCAGAGGCCGTTACCACTCGAGCTGGTCTGGTCCAAAAAGCTGTCCAGTCATCACACAAAAATTTGCCAAGTCTGGCCTCCCTCCCCTGGACCTCTCCTATCTCACTTGCTGGCTCAGAAACATCCCGCCCTGATCCATGTGAACTCAGCAACCAGCTCCTTTTTTTTTGTAGCATAGAAGCTGGAGGCGAAAAAGGTGAGAAAAACAAGATCTATTTACAGATGATGAATTTGAGCTCAAGTTTATTGTTTGGTGTGTACAGAGCGACAATGAGCGAAGCAAAGGCTGCAGCAGCTTTGAACTCAAAGAGAAAAGCTCCACAAAGGTTATCTGATCTACAAAAGTCGAGTTTACAGACATTCCCAGTAGTTTTGGTTTTACTCAGGACCCGGTTCTAACACAAACAGAGAATCACCACCTCATTTCTGAGTTGTTGAGAGTTGGAGCAACCTCCTGTTTCAGATAGTCTAAAAATAATCTGCTCTCCTAATTACAGTTTAAACATAGAAACTCTGCACACTGCAGAGGCTCAAAAACATTCAATCATCTGCTGTTTAAACACTGTCAGGAACAAAGCACACCCTGAAGATGTCCCTGACCTCATCTTCATCAAACCTACGGTATGCCTGTGACATTACCTGCTCCCTCGAACCTTGACATCAGGGAAGCACACACCCTATCTAGGCCTGATTTATCACAATAATATTCCTGAGGTTAAACACACACATAAAAAAGAATAAGAGCAGTTTATTTACAGACAGGGCGAGTTCATATGAGACTTAAATGATGTGAACACATCTTCATGAGTGATGTCTATTTAGGCGACAAAGTGTAAATATGACTTAGGAAATGGAGCATGGCATCAGACAAAACATGACCTAGTCCCTGGAAAGCACCCGAGAGCTCAACAATGGTTACCTTAAGTCCTGTGTCGACATTCATAGAGCCTCAGATAACTATATATCATTATTGTTTAAAGTAGGCAGAAGCTTTAATGATGTATCTGAATATCTTACACTATTAGACATTTTTATCATCTAAATCTGGTATGCCATAAACCAAAAACCAACTCTTACAAATGGAAAAGAAGATTAATTGGCATTGAAATTCATCACTCGCTGCAGCCCAACAAGCGTTTTACAGAAGCAAGTCCATGCCAGCTGAAACGGGCAGTATTAAGTTCTGACCACGAGTGTTTATACACTGTTTGGAAGCTGATGTCATGGTGCAGCAGTGCATGGAGCAGAGATCTCAGAGTTCACCGAGTTCTCTTTAGTACCGCACAGCAAGTCATCACCTGCAACACAAACCTTCTTTTCAGAGGAAAACCATGTTCAGAGTTTCATTTTACGGCCGAGGGTTTCTTACAGCGCCACATAACTTTTTCATTTAGTCACTATTAAGACTACCCACACTCTTTCCTTTGAGTCTCATGGACACAGCTATAGCGGCATTCAAACTAGGGCCCGACCGATATGGATTTTTGGGAGGAAAAATCCAATTACCGATTGATTGGCCGATTTTTAGAATTTTTTATGAAGTTATAAAAAATCTATACATACTGTAGATATACTGTAGGTTACTGCTCTTCACGCCAACGGGAAGACAGACTGATCAAACTCTGAACAGAAAAACCTTCAACTACCCCCCTGCCGACAATGATCGGTGCCTCCACGTCTTAACTCACGTTACTCATTTCCGGTCCGGTCTCATCTGGAGACATGCAGCTGCCTCAGTAAGAGAAGTAGCTCGATCACGTAATGTGTACTGTTGTTTATTCTACCGTTACTGACACGGCTAACAGTGTAGCAAGGCGTGATCGAGACCAGCACAGTGGGGAACATTGTGAAGTGGGTTGAACTGAAACTTGTTGATTTATTGTGTTTTTCACAAGCTGGTTTATTTACCGTTGAGGCGGACCACTCTCCCCCGTGTGTCCCTGAGCTGCCTGCTTCAGATCTGTGAGGTAGTCCGTGGATGAAGATTGTCATGAGGTCACTGCGCCATCTACAGGATAAGTCGGGGAACTTTTCAAATGGCGGAACATTTTCGAAGTGAAACCGAATCTTATTCTCCGCATTTTATTTCTGAAAATATCAGCGAAAATCGGCGAGTTTCGGCCGATTACGATTAGTCTCAAATGGGCTAAAATTGGCCGAATTAATTGTCTCGCCGATAAATCAGTCGGGCCATAGTGTCAATGCAAACAGCTGGACTTTTTAAACTTCCTTTTCTTCCCCTAGAAAAAGTTATGCAAGAAATCAGAATGAATATGTGAGTCAATGTGAGAATGCAGCAAATATATTCAGGAAAATTCAACAGGAGTAAGCGGGCGATAATGATGAGGTTTATATCATGCAACTGGTGCCATCTTTGAAGCTGCTTTGTACTTTTCTCTGCTCCCCAGCACGCCGTAAAACTGTCCAAGTTATCATTAAGTATAAATCAGTTTTATACTACAAGACTGATTCGTCCACCTTCTTGTTGTTCTATGTTGTCAACATTACACTGTGACAACTCCAGCGTCCCATCAATGTCCTGTTTTGCCTACTTAGACCCCAGCTCTGCTCCTGTCCCCACATGGAAAAGTTCCTGCTGTGAAAGACGTGTGTAAATAACAACATTTTTGAGGAGAGCTGTCCTTGAGTGTTCTAGAAGTTTTCAGGATTACTAATGTGGAATATGACTCATGAGCCAGCTTGTAATAACAAAGACGGATATTACACATCGTACATTACTTTGGGTTTTTGCTCAAAACTTCTTATAAACAATTTTAAAAAATCTGCTTTACCACCAAAAAGTTGTGGACACACTCTGTCCAGCTTAATGAATCTGTATTCTTTCCTTTTGACATTTTATCAAGAATATGCTTTCTTGATTCAGGATATAACTGTAGTCTATGATCCTCCTCGTGTTGTGAGTCTCTGCTTTATTTCCTTCCTCTGTGCTGTGATGGTTTAAGGGAATCTATTAAAGCAGGCCTCAGAGGTTCCCAGTCTCTGCCAGGGGGCATGTCACTGCAGTCAGGCCCAGTAATCACCAGTCAAGGAGTGCTAATTAACAGCCGCATGAAGCAGACTACTGTGGGCAGGGCTATAGGGGACCATAAGTGGCATTTCCACATTCCACACACAGAGACCACATTACATGGCGCTCAGTGTGAGCGTGGTAGACACCTGAAACAGCAGAAAATGTAATGAGGGTATTTGATCCTCACAGCGAGAGAGGGAAGTAGGAGCTAATCTGCTATCAATGCGTTTCTGTTTGAGATGTGCACAAAAGGGAAGCCATAACAAGACACTGAGCCACAGAGCGTCCACTGCAGAGTGTTGTTTACCTCTGAAACTCAGCAGCACAGAGGAGGAAAGATAAACTGCCTCACATGGAGGACAGTATGCTTTAGGTTTTTCAGTATTCCAGAAAGCTGCCAACCTAAACTCCAGACTCTGTGGGTGAGAAGTCCTCTTTCAGCCATGGCCTCTGCATTGATTTTTTTTTACCTTTGTGAAGAGATTCAAGCCTCTGCATCCATCTGAACACGGCCCACCTATCTATTTACAAAGAGTGAGGGAATGTTCAGATGAATGACAAATATGTGGCTGTAAACAAAATAAGGGAAGCACAGCAGTTATACTGACAGGTCTCATTAGGAAACATCTCCAAAACAAAATTTGATAAGGGGAGATGTTTGTACAATTTAGATGTTAACATTAAACATCCCAGAGTGTTTCCAAAATCCCAGTCCAACACTCTTAGGTGTTCTCATTTTCTGTCAAAGAGGAGTCGAATAAGGCAGAATCATGGGCTGCTTGACTACCTCAAAAAACCCCATTCACAATTTGTCTGATTGAAATAACTCGAGATTACGAAACGTGATTACTGACTGAGTTGGAAACATACACCACATGCATTTAATGAACTAAAACACTCCTTTAACTCTTAAAAATTAAGAACACTACATATTTCATATACATGACCAATGTTTCTCCTCATGCTCACCCTGTCCCTCTGCTTTACTAACACACTCCCTCCTCCCTGCTCTTTTCCCTGGCTTTCTTTTCTCCACCTGTTGCTACCTGCAACTTCTTTGCGCTCTTCAGCTTTGTTGCACATCAATCCGCGCTCCTCATGATGACATAATTTAGCTTGCTGGTCAAACCCTGGTCATGGCTTAGTCCCCTGCTCATTCTCAATTAAGTTGAAGAGAGAGCTGGATGGGGGGCGGGGAGGAAGCACATGCTTTGCTGTGAAGGACAGAGGAGTGGGCCTCCACGTAGGACAAAGTGAGTGCAACCCAGTTAATGTTTAATCTCTTTAATACTGTTTTTACAATCATGGGAAGCCAGAACTGAAACTGAAATTTGATTAATTGCTGAGCCTTATCAGAGTCTGAAAATGTTCAGTCTACTTCGTTTATTGAATAGTCAAAAACTCCAATTTACCTCCAGCTCTTCACAAGATCTCAGTTTAGTTTTAAAAAGCCTCTCTGTTCAAGTTTGCTGTTTGTACAATGCAGCTTTCTTGGTCAAAAAATAACTGCGAGCACCTGCAACTGATCCCATGAAACCAAAACAAAGTAAGGCAACTACTTTTGAAAACACTGCAGAAAAAGAAACAGTCAAGCTCAGTAGGTAAAAAGACAAAAACAGTGTAGTTCTTAGAAATACTTGCGGATTATGCAGCACACTCCTGAAATAACAGAGTCTCTGGTTTGACACTGATGCCAAAACAGCCTTTTGTTCTACGGAGAAACAATGTGCTTATTATTACATAATTCACATTCATCAAGCAGGCGTGATGACTAAGACCTTCATTTGCATTTTAACCCCTTAAAGAAAAGCATTTATTTAACCTTTTACTAGAACCTTTCCTCCAGAGTTTATTTGGTCTGTCTCACTCTGATAGAAAAAATGAATCTGTCACTGACAGAAAAAAGTGGATCAAAACTGTCAAAATGATTTTACTTTGAGAGACAAAATGTCTTGTATCTCCCATGCTGCAGGACAGGAAGACTTCAAATGTTCAAGACCTCTCCGCGCTAAATCAGCCTGAATGTGAAACCAACCAAGTCCTGCTGGATCTAAAGCCAGTGGCTACAGAAGCACCCGCCTCTGCGGGTGGGCGGGCGGGCAGCACTAATGCTCATGTGAATCCCCACGTGCTACAGGCCAGTCCCTGTACACAGCAGGGCGGCTTCACGTCACTCCCTGTGTGATGTCATCATGGGTGACAGGCTCTTCATCAGGGCAGCGTGTGGGATTACTCCGTCCGTCCTGGATCAACAGGGCAGGGCAAGAGGGAAGGACTGATGACTTCAGTCCTCACAGGAAACTACACTCCCGTTTGCAGGTTAGAGGGGCGTCTTAAGCTCATTATTCACCTGCTGCAAAGCCTTTTAGAGAGTACAGCCACCTTAGCAAGAGTTCGGCTAGAGCTGCTAAATTTGTCAGCTAGCAGCCACATTAACCGGTGCGAGTACAAGCCATTCCAGCACTACTCCTGAACGTTTATCATCTTAGACTCGTACATTCAGATCCCTCTCCGATGGAAACACATGCTCTCAAATGAACTGATCACAGAATTAGAACATATGGGATTAGAGGAACCGGAGAGATTTGACCAACAGCAATATGTGCGATACTTCTTTGGATCTAACAAAGATCCAAAGAGGACAACCAGATCATACAGAATAAAATACAGCAATCTGTCATATGATATCACTTCATTGCATTTTATGACTAGGAATAACAAAAAAGATTAATGAATTACTCCCAATTTCCACCGCATCCAGAACGGTTACGAAAAGACTGTATCCACCGGCTTCTTTTGGTTCCGCTGCGAATCACCGGAATCTACAGCTGATCGCAAGAGTTCTGTTTTTTCCGGACGCCGGAGCATGCCGGATAAACTCAGCACAGATTAACCTGCGCTGGAAAGGAAGTCGGGCACAGACACAAAATAAAACGTCTGGCTTCTTTTCAAAATAAAACACTCTGTGTTTTAGGTGGATTGTTTTTTTACGTCATGCAAATAGTCAGGGACGAACAAGTGAAAGACAGCATTTCATCCCAGTGACACCATGGATGAGGAGATGCTAATTCTAGAAGTCTAGAAGTAGATTTCCTCCTCTGAAAGGACACAAGCTACTGCTTATATGGTTAGCCTACGTGGCTGTCTTTATAGAGACAACTTGTTATCGCACAATTGCATGTGAATCCGCAGGTTCTTGAGAGTTCTCGCGATAAACGCTGTCCATAATCTGCAACTGAATTCGCCTCACCAATGGATTCGGTAGGAATTGGTGGACGGCAAAAATCTCTGCTGTTCCAGATGCGGTGGAAATTCAGGGTTAGACTTTGTGTGAGAGATTTCTGGATAAAATCTGGGTCCAAAACAAGACTGAGAGCAAATCAAAAGTAAAGGGAACATCATGCAAGTGAGGGTGCAAAATTGACTTGTGAACCACCTAAATATATTGTGAAAACTTTATCATTTACAGCAACTTCATAAACTACCACGAGTCCTTACGCTAGGGAGTTAACCGAGTCAAGCGTCCAACTACACTGTTACAGTATCTGAGCAGTGCTCTTTTTGTTTCCCTGTAATAATCAATGGCAGAAGGAGAAACAGTCTTGGAGGAGGAGAACGCAGCAGCTTATTATTCACAGCTCAAAAACCCTCAAAATAATGATGTGATTCACATTATTTAAAAACTGTGTTATTTCTACATTATCATAAATCATTGTGATACTATTTCGAGACACTCCTATAACAGGTGCGGTGAATATAAACCACAAAATGATTTCAACATCGGGGGGAAAGTCATCACGCTCGTGACACAAAGCCAATAACTGACAGATAGCGCTGAGGATGAAGCAACAGCAGCAGCAGTGTTGACGACAGACACAGAAGATAATGGTATGAAACCTGCAGCTATCAGCCTTTGGAGCTGTGTTTTCTAGAGGTATTCAGTAAAATCAAAGTCCTTAGATAAGAGAGTTTGAGTTTTATTTGCTTAAATGATAGATGGGGTAAGAAAAAGTTGAGGTTTTTGCTTGTGTCGTTAAGTATAGTGATTATCATTTCCACACCCTGCACTGGATGTGGACGAGGGAAAGGAAATGTAACCGATACAGCGAGCTCTCATTACCATAGCCTCCTCTGTGGGAGTGGCATCTCATACTGTACGGCGCTGTAGCTGCCCCTAGTTGGTATCATAAGGCTATCTTTCATCATGCAAGCGTTCCCACCTACTTTACTGTCCTTATTTAATAACTGCTGTGTGAGCGATCTAAATATAACCCATGGAAATGTAGGTAGGTCTTCTGTCCACAGTATAGCATTCACAGAGAAGTCGTAGCTGCTGGCAACCAGGTAGATGTCCGCCAGGTCTCTCCACCCTGACACAAAGAGCCCAGGATGCTGGCTGACTAGCTGCTGTGTCACAAGACTGGCAGGCAACCAGCCATGTCTGTGAGGGTGGGGCCTGAGGAGTTTTATAGGCCACTGTCTGGACGCAGAGGCCTCTCGGAGACAGGCCACTTATTGATCCCCATCTCACAGTGGCAGTATGGGAACGCAGGTAGTTTTCTCTCCTGTGAGTTTTCAACGTTAGAGATAAGAGCGAGGACGCCTGGCTGAGCAGATGTGAGATTCATGAAATGTCTTTATCTTAAAAAATGATGAAAGCTGTCCTAAAAGAAGCAGGTGCGAGGTTCAGCTCTTCTGCTTTACCGCCTGGAAAATTGTGTGGAACGTGAACACTTGACACAAAAGTCATGTGAGTGTCCCACTAACCTGAAGAAGCACTCATCTACTTACTTATTAATCTGACTGTGTTGGAGAGATCCTATGGGAAAACCTCCGCGGCCAAATGGGCCAGGCGCTGACACTGACACTGGATCCTTCATACACACACACACACCGACTCACACACTAACACACAGTGAGCAGCTGTTTGGGGGAGCCCAGCGAGAGAGTCGAATTTAAATTTTCATACCCTCTGCAATGCTGAAGCAGCACTGCAACCCTGTGAAACACTACATTACTTATTGCAGTCAAAACAGCCTGAGCCGTCTCGTACGGTCCACATTAAAGCCGCTGTGAACCCAAATCCACAAAAGCCTTCTGACTATGTAATCTGGGGTTTCATGTACATAATCATAAGAGTTTGAAACGTATTAGAAAAGAGTTTCAATCAAGATTTAGAGTGATTTCATTTAAGACCTTTCTTTAAATGGGTTTGAAAGGGGTCATGTCATGCTTGGGTATCTATTAAGGGATATTCCAGCGTAGAATTAATGTAGGGTCAAACACACCATAACACAGAGTTAGAAACCCCGTCGAGAGATGAATGTTGCTGACTGCTTGCTTCTCTAGTTATACCAACTTTAGTAACGACCGTACGATAGCAATACACAGCGGTCTGAGGAGCAATAAACAAACCTCAACCAAAACGCCACAAATAATGCTCAGAACAGCACCTAACTTCATCAACAGTACATATAGGGTCCCAGCCATAGCACTCGCCATCAAACATCTTTTTAACTTTGCCTGATTTCTTTAGCAAAGAGACTAAACACAACTCACCTACTCTCTTCCAGCAGCTGTTTGTTTGTAGGGAGACCCCGGGCCAGTACGTTACGGACTACAGCGGGGTGACGCAGCTCAAGGAAGATCATTGCCGTCGTTACTAAAGCTGGTGTAACTAGAGAAGCAAGCGGCCGGCAACACTCATCTCTCGAGGGGGTGTCTAACTTGGTGTTTCCGCGTGTTTGACCCTAAATTAATTTTGCGCTGGAATATCCCTTTAAGACCTTTCTTTAAGTGGGTTTGAAAGGGGTCATGTCATGCTTGGGTATCTATTAAGGTGACAACACAGATAAGCCCTCAAACCAACATTGAGAAATCTGGTACTTTTACACCCACGATGAAGTGTCAACTGAGGTTATGAACTTTGGCAGCAAATGTTAAGCCCGCTCAGGGGGTTTAGTTTCATCACAATAAGGCACTTGCATTTCTACACAGCAGTAATTCAGTCTTTCGTTCACAGCTTTGAGAACAACAAAGTGCCGACTACGGCGTGTACAGCAAACTCACCATTCACTGACCGATCTGTGTACATGTTTTGACAACTGGTTATAGATCAGACTTCCTCCTCAGACATCTCAAACTTACTGAGTGTCATGTATGGAGCCAGGGAGCTGTCAATCAATGTGATCCCCCACACCCACAAGGTCTCATGAAGGGTCTTAACAGGAAAATAAGCTGTTTCAGTGCTAGCTTTGGTACTGATAAAGAGTCTTTTCTTTCACAGAGATTTTAATGAAACTGAACTATGATATCATTCATAAGCGTGACTATCTGAAGACGAATTTCCAGGTGCTTTAAAGTCATGTAAATAGTTGTTCAGGACAAACTCTTTGAGGGGAGTTTCCCACCAGAAAGACAAATAAAAGAGCTGTTTGCCTGGTAAAAATATAAAGTAGACTCATACTGGTTAATTGCTGCTCTACCCTCCATTGCGTAACCTTATGACTTTGCTATGTGTCACACAGCTAGAACAGTGTGTCAATAATCCCATCGCCAAGTCTAACAACTTTGTAATTTTAAGATGACAGTTCTCTAACCATCCCCCTTTTTCTACTGCTGTAGCAAGCGTCTGCACTTCACTGATCATCTAAGATAACAGTAAAAATATTTCTCCATTCTCATCACCCGTGCAATCTCCTTTGTATCACTTTCAAACAAGGCTACTGTGAAATGCTTACCGCAGCCTATTTGAATACAGCCGGAGATCCCTGTGGGATAAGCTGCAGATTGCAAGCGGCACATTTTCGTGTGGATCAACAGAAATCAAATGGTTCAAAGAAAATCCAATTGCTATAACTCTGGGAAACAACAGCTTTAAAAATACTCTGCCTTGTTCGGTGCCACTGGAGGCAGGTTGTGAGTGGATTTATTTACCCGCTGTTTTGTGCACTGACTGATAGAGCCATTCAAGCGTGTACAAACCAGCCCTTATTGTGTAAGTGCTGACAAAAGTAGCTAAACTGTGTCTTTGGTGCGTTACAGGGTGAATTAAAAACACCTCACGATATGTTCTCTTTTAACAAGCTGACAGTTTGGAATCTGAATTGCATTATAAGAGAGGATGCTACACCTCTCTTCAAATACTTGCCTGAGGTGCTCAGTGTGCAGCTGTACGCATCAATATGTTCCTTGAAGTGTTGAGGCCTTGCATAATAAAGCCCAGCAGACAGGGTAACCTCCCAAAAAGGGTGCATCAGGGTGGTATGAAAACTGTTTTCATCTTTGAGCTACAGTGCAAGGTGAGTCCCAAATCTGATAGGCAACTACAATGAATTCCTGGTGCAGTGATACGTAGAAAAGGCATGGCTGAATACCTGCACTGTGGCAGGTGGAATAGAAGAACCGGCCAAGCATTTTTATTAGCATCAAGCTGGAAGTTCTCACTATCAATAGGTGTGTCACGATACATCAGTATGGATGAATAAATCATTTAAATGATCAAGGGTAAAAAGTGAAAGTATAAATCAATGTCAACATCTTTGAGATAAGACTTGAGTGTGAAATTCTCACGGCACAATGTCATTACTTCCATCAAAACACCAGGAAGCGCATTACTTGGAGAGTTTTCCTTCAGGTTTAACTTTGTAACAGGGAGATTTCGGTACGCACAAAGTCAAATTAGATTATATTGATAAGCAGATATAAATTCAAGTTGATGTTATGGTTTCATAGAGGTCACACGCTGAATAAAACTATATATAGTGCAGCAAACCTTGTGCCATCAGCAAATGTCAAATAAATGTTTAGAGAATCAATAAATGACTGTGAAGCCCATTATTATAGGAAGCTCATCATGCGTCAGTCTAGATGTCTCGATGTACTGGAAGGAATCAGTACAGGTGTGGATGTTGTTTCCTTAAACCCAACACCTACCTGTCTGGAATTTCATCAGACTAGTATAGTGAGGTTTCTACTTTTAGGTTACAGCTTCTCACAACATAAACAGTCCCAGTAGGCCAAGTGCAAAGTATAAAGCTCTTGTACCTCTGCCCCACTTTTCACGTTGACTGCATGTCCTGGTGTCCAAGCAAACAAAAGAACCCACAAACACAAGAACCTGAATAATTCAAGGCAAAGTGTAAGGCAACACTCTCTCATGAGGTGATGCTGAGAATGATGACAAATAACCTCAAGCCTAGGGCTGGGTGTTAAAACGATAATGATGTATATCGAAAATTAATTTCCCTCGATATCCATATAAAACATGGTCAATATGCTTTTCAATAGTCGGCATTCTGCCATGTTTTGGTAGACTATACGAATAACCAATGAAAAGGGGAGTTGCTCCGGGTACGCTTCGTGCTAAACCAATCATGTGCTGAATTAGAACCAAGTAGCAAACAACTGCGTAGTAGCAGGCTGTAGCAACACGCAACCATAGCACTTTAACAGGTGAAGCCGACAGCACTGTTGGTGAGAAAAAAAGAGAATGAGTGCTACCCCCGGCAGAAATGCAGATGGAAGGTTCAACAGATGAAGACATCGTTGACAACACTGGCATGAAAACATTGGCGTGTGGAGGTGTTTTGGTATTTTGAGGTCGGACATGAAGCAGAGTAATGTGCACTGTAAATAATGTCGAGTACATGTTCTTGCAAAGTTGGGGAATACCTCAAATTTTTGTCGCCGTCTGAAGCAGCGCCACACCGCAGAGCACGCGCAATGCAAAAGGTTACAAACCCAGAGTGGAGCACGGAGCCCATGGCGCCTGTGCAGCCAACCATTTAGTCTGCTTTTTTGAGTGCAACACCTCACGACTAAATGTCAAAAAGACGGGAAATGCAGTGTGAAAGCTATGGACCAAACACAGGACCAAATGTACATAATGACACTATACGCAGTGCATACGCAGGGCATCTTGGGTAGAGGAAGCATGGCGTCCCTTGTTGCTATGGCAACAAGTGACCGTTGATATTAGCAGTTGCTAGCTAGCTTAGCGCAATTGTCTGAACAACAATAACCCATAAATTCACAATTTGGCATATCTAAACAAAATGAAATCACAACTACCAGCAGTCACAGTCCTTAAACCCTGAGCTCATATGTTGTCACATGTTAGATCGTCAAAGTTAGAAAACTAACAGGATCAATCCCTGACAAGCTACGATAGCTTTATAGGAACAGTTGCGCTCACTAACGTTGTAGCATTCCGTAAATAATGTGACGAAGCACGATACAAGACGGCTAGTCCACCCCTGTTTGTAATCCGCGAGGTTACATACCCCTCATACTTTGTCCAATCGACGAGCGCTCCTTTAAACCACGTGATGCTGCTCGGAAAGTTCAGTGCGCTTTAGAAATCACAGCGTGAAAGCAGAACCGAAACAAGTGATAAATGCAACAATGTTGCGACTTTCAGCTCCCCAATCGAACCGAGTCCGTTTGGTCAGGTGTGAAAGCGATCAAACAGGGAACATCTAAGATTGACAAGCGATGTTTTAATATCCTGATGTAACGATATATGTGATAAACATTTTCCTATATCGCCCAGCCCTACTCCAGCCTAGTTTAAGAGGACTCACAAACGCAGGAACACTGAACCTAATGACCACCAGCAGCAGCAGCAGCAACTCAGGGGAGTAGTCACATAAAGCTGACAGCAGGATGGGGAGAAATGCCTGACACCCACACTGTCTAGTTCGCTCCTGTTGGTTAGCTGATTGAACACGTTTCTTAGTGAAATACATGTGAATGTGTGTAAACAGTGAGCAGTTCTCCCTCTAAGCTGCTGCTGTAAGTAAACGTTACATCACACCAGCACCTGAAACACAAACGGATCGGATAATCTGGATCGTGACTGCCAGTGGAATATCAAACCTGAAGGAATATTTAATCTAGATCTGACAGGAAACTTATCCAGCATTCAGTCCAAGTTTGATCTGCAGTATTTAAAGTGTCCATCTCCAGCTGACAGCTCATATAACAAATGTATGTGCAGCTGCCTCATCTAACCACCAACCTGCACTGAAATCTACATTAATGTTAAATATTTCTCGTACGGATTGCTTGTCCTAAACCTTCATTCTGCCCCGGTTTTCACTGCTACGACTTTTCTATAAAACATAATATCCACGAACAATACACATGCTTACATAAACGCATTTGATGGGGTTCATGAGACGTTTACACTCAACCCTCTAACTTTCTCTCTACGTTGTACGCTATTTTTTCACCCGTTCACAAGCTGATATGCATGTGCAATGATACTCTTTGTGAATTAGTTTAACTCATTTGTGAATAAGTGAAGGGAAGCGTAACGTTTGGCTAGCAAGTGGCTACTTCAAGCTTGGCTAATCAGCGGCTAACATAAGCTAACGCTAGTAGCTAGAGTATCCCTTTACTGCTTACCTTGAACGGCCTCGCAGATGTTTTTCTCATCGTCCCATGCAGTTTTCCAGCATGTATTAACTTGTGAATATCATGTATGTTCCAAAGACCAACAATTCCTAACTTTTTAGCATCTTCACGGGTGGAACTAGGCGTAAAATCCCAAACCGGACCACCACCGACAAAGTAATTTCTCCACCACTTACAACAACAACGTCAACCGAAGAGTTGAGACCGCCCCCATAGATAAACACCCAATCAGAGCGAGGATTCGATTTGATTGACGTGTAGAAGAACCAATGGCCGTCCTCGAGATCCTTGACTGATGCTCTCCGTTAGAGTAAACACCAAATGAGAACAACAGAGTAGAAGGCATTCGTTTGCCAATTGGCTGGAGAAAGACGAGGGGCAAGGGGGTTTAGTTCAAGCAACCTATGAGTGTGTCACTGAATCCAGAGTGACAGGTGCTTTAGTGTGGACAGAATAGCCTGGGCGGCTTCACTGCCCGGGTGAGGTCATCTAGGATGATGTAAACCCTCAGTCATTAGTAATGACAAATAAAGAAAGAAGACACACCAGGCCGTCAAGTGAACTTTTAAAAACTTTAATGTTTCCCCAAGTGATATAAAACAAAACACTCCAGTACAATAAAATGCATGCTACGCTGAACAAACTGGAAAAAAAACAATTCAGGAATCATGAAAACAATAGAAGTGTACTTCCTACGAGTTTAAGTCCACAGTACAAACTTAAACAGACAAAACTTTACTGATATCTTATGAAGAATTGTAAAGCAACAACAGTTTACTCTACACTTTACAAAATCAAAAAAGGCCAAATTTTCTCACTTGTTTTCTAAATCTTGTGAGAGCGATTCTTTATCTCAATAACTGAGGCGAAGTTTCGCTCATAATGAGGCTGAAAAATCAGCTTCTTTTGGAGAAAAGACAGAATTACGAACAGCCTGTCAAATCGACAGACAACACTTCTATCCGCTAACAGCTGCAGAACTCAACGCCGCCTCCTGTCTGGACTTCTGCTGCGTCTCCGTCCGCCAGTCCTACAGGGGGGGAAAGTCACATTTAACAAGGTGTTTTGATTGATTGATTGATTGATTGAAGTTTATTTCGAATATGCAATACCAAAAACACAGAAACATAAAACATAGAAACAGATATTCGAAAAGGAGGGAGAAGGTGAATAACTTATGAACTCCCACCCCTTCCCTTTAAATAAGAAGTACTAGGGGTGCGTAAAAAAATCGATTCACACAAGAATCGCAATTCTAATTTACTACGATTCAGAATGTATTTAAAATGTCCCAAAATCGATTTTAAAAGATTAGATATCCGCTGCCTGTCTGCCTCCATTTCGGAACTACGCTGGACGTCCTGACGTCATCACACAGCCCGTTGTGGAACGCACACATGCACAGAAGGCACCAAAACAAAGAGGGAAATACAATGATGGAGGAAAAGGAGATCCAGCCGGCCCCGTCTTCCCTAAAACCTAAAGTTTGGCGTCATTTTGGATTTTACCGAATGCCCGGACAAACTGAGCTGGACATGACGCACGCAGTGTGCCGACATTGTAAAACTAGAATCAAGCATTTCTGCAACACGACAAATGCGCGGGCTCATATTACGAGGCATCACCCGGAGGTGAGAGACAAGGAGCAGACTCAGCCGCCAGCTGCAGACCAACGCACGCTGCAGAGCTTCACGAAGCTCTCCGTCAGCTCCGAGGGGGCAAAAAAAAATAACCCCGTCTATGGTCTGCTTCATTGCCAAAGACCTACGACCTTATAGTGTGATGGAGAACGAGGGGGTTTATCTGCTCCAAAGATCGGAATCAAATCGTGAGACAGTAAAAGACTCCCCCTGATAATTATGATAAGTATGTTCATGATGCGTGCACGTGTTACGTTACATTATAAGTACGTGTTTAAGTTCTGTTATTCTTTATTTTGTGAAACGTTAATTATAAATTGAAACAGTTCAGTCAAATGTATGCAAATGTCCACAATATTACACAGCACTCTCACCTCCTCTTGTTCTTTGGGGGTCCTCTGACGAATCCCCAGTCCACGCTGATCGGTTGGCCCATCAAGTCCTGACCGTTAAGCCCCTCCATGGCTGCCTGGGCTTCCTTGTACGTCTCATACTCCACCAGAGCGTAACCCTACGAATCATCATAAGAACATCTTGCGTGAGTGTTTGCACATTTAGTAGCATTTAAAATTTAGTTTTCAACAATACTAGACTTGATTGAATAAACATTTTCTTTTTTAAATTTTTAAAAACCACGTGATTTAAGTCTAAGTCAGAGTTAAAGTAGTTCCAGGCAAAGCTACTTTGTGTCTTCATTCATATTTAAAACCACACTGCCACCGTGTGGACAAAAGGCAAAATGAACACATCTCATTTCGGTGGCCATACAAACAATCAATTCTCAACCTTGTTCAACACGGTTTCATTAAAACATAAAACAGGAAATCTCAGGTTTTTTTTTTTCATATTTATATACAAGTGGATTCGAATTTCTCAGTCCCATCATTAATATTTTCACATCCAGACCATCATGTTGAACTGGTTTAACTGTTTGACTATTTTGTATTGTGTTTGAGTGCTTTTTTATTTTTCCCTTTCCATATTTTGGATGTACATACAGTATCTCATTTTTATTTTGTAGTTTGCTATAGTTTGTTTCCTCCCTCCTATATTTATTTTCATTACATAATTGCTTCCATTGTTACATAACAGTTATTTGTGTGGACCTGAGGAAGAGAAGCTGCCAACTCTGGGTGGTAAGTGATAATGATTTCTAAATGGGCTGAAATAAGGTAATAGAGAAAGTGCAATAATTGTGGTGTGACAAAAAGCTATTTTTTGAATGAGGATTGTCATGATTTGAACACCTTACACTTCGACAGGCCCGTGAAAATCCTGACACAAGCATCTCGCTCACCACACTTTAGTGGACTTCACAGGCTCTTCATAGGTATCTTAATTGCATTTTCATCCAAGTCTAACATGAGATTATGATATTGTTGAATCCTTATAAAGCAGTAGATGCTGTGTTGAGTAGAACCAGGGCGGATTTTTAATTTTCTGTTTGAGTAAACGTTGTTCACTTCAGGCTTTAACAACCTTCAGACAGTCCAAAGCATTAAAAGGATTTAAAAAAAACTCACTTGTATGGCATTTTGTTCTTGTTTTGAACTCCGAAAAGGGCTTTTTGGTTTCATTATTCATGATATTAGAAGTTAAATGTGCAACTAATGTGTCAAAAACAATCTCAAGGCACTTAGGCCCGGTCCAAACAGCCCAATTAAAAACTGAAAGCTTGATCTGTTTGTACATGCAGCTGCAAAACTGACCGCAACGCTGAACAAGTTTACATGTTCGCAAATTTCTTTTAACTTTTATGAAATCTCCAAACACTATTTCAAGACCTGTAGTGAACTTACTGAATCAGTCGAGTACAGAACATGATGAACCTAATCTGACTGATTTCACAGCACTGTGCATGTTTGTACTTGCAGCGCTGATGCTGAAATATTTGGCTCCGCTGTACAAGAAACCTTTTTTTTCTTTTGAAAAGTGCAATTTCATATCTGAAGCATTTCTGACTGCAGTTCTAATCAGCCAAACATGCATGTACAGGTTTACATTCATTCACTGTGTTCGACTGATGTGTACTTTTGATGCCCGGTTAGATAGGACATGAGAAAGTTTAATAAGGAAGCTCTTAGTTTGAGAAAGTGACAAAGCCCCTAAAGGTCTGCGGACGTGGGAGAAAATTCAGGCTGATCCTGAGAAACTTCACGGTATCAACCTAATTTTCTCCCTTCGTGTCTCTTGGGTGTCCCATAGAAAATGTCCTAGATATCATGTGCGATGAAAAGAAATCGCTATTTCTGGTGCGAAGGGCACAAACACGGTTTACGGCTATTCGTCTCACCTTGAGGTAACCTGTCCTGCGGTCGAGGTTAAGATGAAGGTTTTTGATTTCCCCAAACTCTGAAAACTTGTCATGGATGTCTTCCTCTGTGGCCTCCTCATGAACACCCGTCACAAACAGAATCCAACCCTCCACAGCTGCACAAAAGGACAAAGACAACAAAAACATCTAAAATAAATATATATTGAAACCAAGTAGCACTTTTTACTGAGCAAACTAGCAAGCCAGGCAGAGTCATGAATGCTTTAGCTTCTTTCGTTCAAGTTTTGCAAATCTGACTAATATCTCTAAAAAACTTTCTTAGCCCCCATTTAAGTCATTTGTGTAAAATGGCTCGATATCAAATAACTCAACAAAAAAATCCATAATGGCAAGTACAGTATGCAAGAAATACGAGGATATCTGAATGCTGTGCAAAGTGATGTAACAATTTCTCTGCATACTGTCTGCTCAGAACTCATTACTTTCTGTGTATGGCACTTTTTTCCTTACTGAAAACTGACAAAAAAAAACAGCACTGAGCCCCCACATGTAGCCGTAATCTGCACAGGTTAGAGAGATGTCTGGAAGTACCATATCTATTCTGGAGAGATGTTAATATTCAAACTAGTTTACAGCTTTGTTGAGAAATGAGTTGGAAAACCGATGCCAGCCTTATTATAGTTTGAGCGGCAGCACTTACATCTTTGAGGGCCTGGTTCATCTCCATCCTGTTCAACAGTATCATAGTCCTCTTTGATTCTGGACCTGGCTCCTTCCTCTGGAAAAAAAAGAAACATCACAGGACATATAAACAACTGTTAGTCATCTTAAAAAAAGTTTTAATAGTGATTTGATGAACTTAGATTTGATCAGAGTGGAAACTGACCTGATCCGAAGCCTCGTCCTTTTCTCTTCTTGGCTTTCTCTTTTAACTTGTGGATGCTCTCTGGGGAGGGAAAGTTCAGAATGTTAAAAGTGATTTCTTGTTGTATCAACAGGGTGAGTCAAGTTCGAATATGTGTGTATGCTGTGGATACATCCACCACTGTTTTAAAGCTTCAACCAAAATACAGAGGTCAAACTCCTCAACTACAAACTCCTTTTTTATTATAGTAGACTCAGCTCTATCTGTTCTCTATGGTATATTAAGTTATCTGACTGCTGTGTGATGTACATTAAGTTTTGGCTTCTTTGATAGACGGCTGTATTTAACCCATAACAGCTGTTTATTCTCATCAACCGACTTCCTGATGACAACAGCCAGTTGGAGTCACTTTTAAATAGCCTTTTAGATGTAACAGCCTGGATGTCACAGAATTTTTTGCAGCTCAACCAGGACAAAACAGAGGTTTTAATATTGGTTCAAAGGCTCAGAGAGAGAAACTGACCCCCAAACTCCACAAAATAGGACTTAACCCCAGCCAAGAAGCACGAAATCTCGGGATGGTCTTTGATGCTGATTTTAATTTTAAAACTCATGTTAGGAGGGTCACTAAAACAGCCTTTTACCATCTAAAAATTATTGCAAAAGTCAATAGTTTCTCTCTCTGAGCCAGACAGAGAGACTAATGCACGCTTTTATAACCAGCAGGCTTGACTACTGTAATGCTCTCCTCTCTGGTCTACCCAAAAGCAAAATAAACCAGAGACAGCTGATCCCAAACTCTGCTGCTAGAGTTTTGACTAGGACCAGGGGAGGAGCTCATATTACACCCATTTTAAAGTCTTTGCACTTGCTGCCTGTTAGTTTTCGCATTGATTTTAAAATTCTTTGACTAGTTTATAAAGCTCTACATGACCTGGCACCAGAATACCTCACAAAGATGATTTTAATTTATGAACCAGGGCGGCCTCTCAGTCTTCTCTTTTAGTCGTTCCACAGAGCAGAACAAAAAGATTTGGTGATGCTTCTTTTAGCTGCGACGCTCCAAAACTGTGGAACAAACTTCCAGAGGGTTTGAGACAAGCTGCAAATATAGAAATCTTTAAAAGTAACATAAAAACTCGATTTAGCCTGGCTTTCATGTAAAGCTTTATTGTTTTAATTACTATTATAATTTATTTATTTTTTAGTATCACTTTTTACCTTCTTTCATTAATAAATTCAAGTTTATATTTTGTTGTCTGTTTTAGTCTATTTTAATAACTTATTTCTTTTGTCCTGATGTAAAGCACTTTGAGCTGCAATTTCATTTGTATGAACAGTGCTATATGAATAAACTTTGATTGATTGATTGATTTAACCCTTTGAGTAAACCATACTCATCATATCTGATCGATTGATTGAAGTTTATTTCGAATACGCAAACCAAAAATATAAAAACCAAGAAGGTAAGGCTTTAAACATAGAAATACATATTCGAAAAGGAGTAAGAAGAATAGCTTATGAACTCCTTCCATCCCCAACCCTTGAATAATAAGTACCCACACCATGCTTCTTTGCAACTTAGATGTACCTGATTATTATAGATAGATAAAGTCCACGTAATACAGCATACAAATAAAATCAACAAAACAAAATAAAACAAGAAAGAAACAAAAAACAAAAGAAACAAGAACCTCATAACACTCAGTGCTACCTAACACCTTCCTCATCCCCGTACCTCTTAAAGATGGTGTCTTTATTCCTCATTTTAAAATGTGTAAACATTTTTGAACATTGATTTAACTCCATAGAAAACCTGTTTCATAATCTCAACCCACTTAAACACAAAAACCCTTCCTATTAATCCGAATTAAAGTCGGATCAAAGTCAATTTTCCCCCTTAAACTGTAACTTCCCTCACGCATACTGAATAATTTCTGAGTATTGAAATGAAATGCACCGTCTAAATAATGTTTCTCGAAAGATTTAAAGCTAAAATTCATAGTTTAAATGCATAAAAGTGTGAGATTTAAGTTCTGTTTACTCAGTTTGGCTGAACAAACAGTAGCTGGGAAACTTAGCGTGTTAGCAACAGTGAATTAGCATGCTAACAGTGGACTCATTCATACCACATATAATAATGAACACAGCACTACTTCAGCTTAGAAACACAGTTAACATAGAAAAGATATACCCAAAGCTAAAAGTGTTAAAAGTTAGCTCGAATAACTTTACAGAAATCTCATAAAGTCTGTTTGAATTAACCACTTACGCTTTATTAGCACTTCTCAGGCCTGCTAACCACGCAGTCACCGTCAGCTACATTTACACACACGGACGTTTGTACGATACGTTAAGCCTCCATTTTTACACACTGCTTAAACTCAAGAATAAAAGAGCATTTGGTCATAAAATCAACTTATAGTGATATTACCATCGCCATCCTCGTCCATAGGAAAGTCCTCGCCACCCGCTTCGTGAAGGTCCAACACGTCCGCCATGATGTCTGTCTGTGCGTGCTTGCGGGCGTCAGACGTAAAGTGCGTACGTTACGCAACAAGCGCAAGTGCTCAAGCGGGTGTTGCTAGGATACGTAAAATCACAAGTATGTAATACAAGTATTCGGGTTAGGACGCGTAAATGAAATAATAATTACCGAATAATAAACACTAACACTTTCTTAAAACAATATTATATCAAAAAAGCTACAAAGATATTTCTATTTATTTATTTTTAAAAGTGGGAACAGTATATATTGATGAACATTTACATGTAAATATGTGGGATTACAGCCAAATGGCTAATTTCCATCCCCAGTCCCATTGGTAGGTTGATGTTAAACATAAAAGCAATAATGTTAAAAGTACAAACAACATGACTAAGACAGTAAAATAATGCACTGACAATATACACATAATATACATAAACACATGCACAGACCAAAAACTAAGTGACCAATAGTAAGGGGACCAAAAAGATTATTGTAAAGACACATGTCAGAATCAGAATCAGAAATACTTTTATAATCCTCAGGGGGACATTGCTTTTTGTTACAGTAACTCCAGTGCAAATAAAGTAGAAAGAGGAGATAGATAATAGCTAAAATGAGTAAAAAGAGAGAGAGATAATCAAAATATAAATATGTATACAGTTTTACAATATACAAGTATGTACACTATATACAACACAAAATGGTAAAATAAGGTGTTTCAGGTGTGCGAAAAGAGTCTTAATAACGATTGTTCTGTTGATATATGACTATAAGTGTTCACCAAAGTGAAAGCATGTAGGAGAAATGTCCTTTTGTCTGCTTGTTTGGGCATACAGAGCTCTTGAATTGCCAAAGGAGAATAAAAGGAGGATAAGCAATCCATTATTTTCACTTTTTGAAAGAAATCTTGGAACTTTAAACATAACTTGGGAAAACCCATGGTGCAAACTAACTGTAATTCGGCTTCTCCTACAGCGGCAATATAGCTTGGAAGCTTGGGAAAATGTAGGACATCACCGAACAAAGTTTCATTTTGTTTTCTTACATATTCAGTAAAATATTGTGCATTCTTTTAAATTTTTTTGACACAGCAATCCAACCTAAATATTCACCACTGGAGCAACCTTACACTGCGGTGTGCACCTCAGTTCTGCTGAATTTGTGCACACTTTTGCACTAAAAAACTGACCACTAGATATCTTGGCCATCCATGATTTGTTCACAACACCATCACTTTGCATGGGGTAATTCACTACCTTAAGATAAGCAATATTATGTTGAAGTAATTCACATGAACAGCAGAGGGCTCTCACACATCCACACAGAGCCTGTAGTCCAATATAGTGAAGCTGCATGTTGTAGTTGCTCAGGCTGACAGAAGGGCTGTCATTTGATCACCATCTGGTGGTGAGTTTGGATCAAATGACAGATGAAACTGACAAAACACAGTCTGGACTGAGCTGGAAATGCCCCACGGGAGAATTAATATTTTACTTTTATCTAACTTTTATTGCACCAGGGATATTCTCATTAAGTTACTACAAAAGCTTTAGAGGGAAGAGGTGGGAATTAAGAGCAGAATGTTAAACACAAAATGAGCAGCAGGGCAGGCTTTTGAATCATGCAGCAATTAGATCTTAACCACATTTTGCAGACATTATAATATAGTAGAAGAGTTCAGGCGCTAAACCCACCTGCCTGCAACTACCTAATGTCACCAAACTTGAAGTGAGATGGGTTTGTTTCCAACAGATTGTTTCATTGTGTAATCACTGGCATGAAACATTTATATATTCTAATAATGCAAGTAAATGAGAGACAGTTTAACATGTTTTGTGTTTCCTGATGATGAAACAGGGAAGAAGCAGAACATCATGAAATGTTGAAATATTGAAAGCAGCTACAAACAGAGAAGTTAGATGGAAAAGACACTTCAGCAAAGTCAAAAATCTGCATTTTCAGCACAAACAGTCTCTGCTGTTTTTCTCATTTCTGGCTGTTTGGTATTTTGACAGCTTCACTTGAGCTAAAGTCCAAGATATAATCTCAGTGGTTAGTGGTTTGTCAGTTTGACAGTTAGTAGAAATGGAAGTAATTTACTTTTATAAATAGTCACTTTCTCCCTGATAGTGCCGCACCTCAGCTGCATAAATCATGTCATTGGAGAAATGGTCTGAGTTGTTGTACTCTTTAGTGTGAGAAGGGATCTTTAGCACTGTACATGACATGACTTTTAATAACCTTGTAAACTCACAGTCAAACTACAGGTGAGGAGCTGAAATACACAATAAGGGAAGTATAGAAGTAGAAGTAGGAAAGAAAAAAACTATTACGCAATGATTTCACAGTGCCAACTCTTCCTGACCAAGTAATTTCTGATTATTGGCTCATCAGAAACAGAACTGAAGCAAACAAGGGTTATAAAGGCTGCTGCACATCAGGAGTTTCAGGGATCTGGAAACTTTCATTTCATCATCTGACTCCAGGTAAATATTTATGCATTAGATCATCTAATTATATCTGTTTTAGCAACAAATTAAACCCTTTTGTGCTGTTGTGTACTTTCTGACTTTGCGTTATAGAAATTAAAGCAGTTGCTTGATTAGAAAAACAGACATACATCCTGAAGAAATGTTCCTCTGTGACACAGGCTGGCCTCAGGATACCTTTGGCAGGCGTTTAAATTTCAAGCAGAGTTTTCCAGTTCATTCTTGTTTTCAGAATTGAATGAAAAAACTCTTCACTCAATTCTATTTCCACTGAAGTGAAGTAAAAAAGACACAAAAACCTGTTGTCAAAAACTCTCTTTGACTTGCTTTACTTTTGACTCTGTCCTCTCTGTCTCAGCCAGAACAATGAAACACACTGTGGTATTTCTTCTGCTGCCCCTCCTGGGAATATGCTTGGCTTACACTTACCGTAAGTATAATGTGCTGATATCTGTATTCATCTGCATCAGCATAAGTTGCATTTTGAGTTCTTTTAGCCCCAAAATTCTTGACTGTACTGCAATAATTATGCATAATTTAAAGCATACAAAATGTAAACTGTGTTTCACTTGAAAATAAGTTATCTTCAAACACAGCACTTATTTGAGTCATTCTTTGTCACCATCTCTAAAAGCTTTCTTTTTCTGGTTAAGGATTGCTTTTATGTCACTTGTGATTCAGGGTCTGTTGTTGGGGAAACAGCGAACAGTCTGTGGGTATAACGGTGTCTCTACAGAAGTTAAGATATTCAGTAAAGCAGTCAACCTGTTTGCCTATTTTTGAGTGGTTACAGGGTTTAAAGGCTTGCAGTAGACAGCATCAAGCTTAAGAAAATGAAATAAATGTATTTCTTTGGCAGAAAACGTGGCCCTTCGTGGCAAAGCAACTCAGTCACATCGGTACCTTCACCATTTTGGGGACGCCAACAGTGCAATTGATGGAAATCGCGACTCTACCTTCGATGCTGGTTCATGCACTCACACTATAGAAATGGCCAACCCCTGGTGGAGGGTGGACCTGCTGGACCGCTATGTAGTCACCTCTGTCATCATCACCAACAGAGGAGACTGCTGTGCAGAGAAGCTCGACGGAGCTGAGGTCCACATCGGTGACTCTCTACAAGACAACGGTGCTGTGAACCCACCGTGAGTGCACATGAACGCCACTGTAAACCCGACACCACAGTGACCTTTGTAGTGTCAGGTCTGACCCTGACTAAGAACTTCGTCAGTTTAATTGGACTTGGTTGCTTGTTTTGACAGACTTGTTTTTCTTTGCATGACTAAAAATCTCACAATAGAGTTTGTGTTTCTTTTTCAGAGCCGGTGTCATCTCTCAGATCCCTGCAGGAAGCTCGCACATTCTGTCTGTGAATGATTTGGCTGGACGGTACGTGACAGTCTTACTTCCTGGTGCAAAGAGGATTCTGACTCTGTGTGAAGTGGAGGTCTATGGGTACCGTGCGCCGACAGGTGAGATTTAAGATGCATGGACAGACTACAGTTATGGATTGAGCTGGAGAGAAAATTCACTTTTGTTGTGACTTGATTGTAGTGAAACATGAGAATAATACAAACATATGAATACATGCTGACAGTTTATTGCTGTTTTTCTTAGGGGAGAACCTTGCACTCAAAGGGAAGGCCACACAGTCTACGTTATACTCAGAAGGCATGGCGTACTTTGCAAACGATGGAAATAATGGCAACAGTAGAGCAGATGGGTCCTGCACTGCCACCAACAACAATTTCGCCCCCTGGTGGCGACTGGATCTGATAAGAACCCATAAAATTTTCACTGTAAAGATAACTAACCGCATAGATCCTCGATTCGCACCTCGACTAAATGGAGCTGAGCTCCGCATCGGAGATTCTCTCGAAAACAACGGCAACAACAATCCCAGGTCCTACACCAAGGATTAAAAAAATAATCTGAATATTTCTTTTATTCTTAAATTGTAGCGCTCCATCAATAACAAACGTGTCTTTTTTCTTTTCTCAGGTGTGCTGTGCTTGAAAACGTCCCAGCTGGCGCTACTGTTGAGTACCAATGCAATGGGATGTGTGGTGTGATGCCTCCTCATCCTGTGTTATTTTGGCTGGACTCCCTGTTTTTCCCTATTTGCCTGTTCTGGCTGTGCTCTTTTCCAGGGCTTCCTCCCCTCCCCCGGCGCTGAGGCTGAGTGAGACGACACACCTGCTCCTCGTCCCCAATCAAGGGACTTTAAGAAGCCTGCAGCCCTCAGTCTCAGCGCCTGAGTATTGTCTACCCTGCCCAGCGGTAAAGACGCGTCTCCTGGCCAAAACCTCGTGGTATAACTTTGAGAACTTTACTCCTTGTGACTCTTTGCATGTCCTTTAACTCCGGTCTCCTCTGGTTTCTCCTGCAGTGTCTCCAGCCCACACGACAGCCAGCCTACCAGCCAACCAACCGGACTTCCTTTGTTCCCTTATCTATCCCTTTCTGTTTTTGGACATTAAATTCGTTTTACGTTGAGCTCTGTCTCAGTGTCTGCTTCTGGGTCCTCACTACAAGCCTGCCGCACAACAGAATACTCAGGCCAGGAGAATGGACCCACCAGACCCAGACCGAGTTCAGCTAGCCGTCCAGAAGCTCGGCACGCGGATTGGCCAACATGAGGAGATGCTCCAGAGTCTCCATCAGTCGCTTCATGGCCTCTCCATTCAAATGTCGCAGCTGGCGGAGCAACTACTCCCTCGGTCTCCACCACAACAACCAGGATTCCCCCCCTCTGTGAGTACGGTCCCCTCTTCACCTCCTCCACCACCCGCTATCCTCAAAGAGCCCTATGTCCCTCCTCCTGAGCCGTATGCTGGGGAGATTGGGGGCTGCAGAGGTTTCCTGCTCCGTTGCGCCTTAGTATTTGATCAACAGCCCATTAGCTACCCCTCAGATCGAGCTAAGGTTGCGTACACCATCAATCTGTTAAGAGGTAGGGCCGCTAAGTGGGCTACAGCCGTCTGGGATAGGGACACACCTCTGTTCGCTTCTTACCCCCGTTTTTCCGAAGAGCTCCGGAGAATATTTGATTTTCCTGTCGAGGGCCCCGAGTGTACCAAACGGCTATTTTCCCTCACCCAGAGCTCTCGGTCAGTGGCGGAATACTCCATTGAGTTCCGTACTGTGGCGGCCGAGAGTGGGTGGGGGGACCTCGAGTTAAAAGGGGATATTCACTCGGGGTCTCTCTGAACAATTGAAGGATGAGCTAGCGACTCGTGATGAGCCCTCCTCCCTGGAGGAGCTAATAGCGCTAGCTATTAGAATTGATAATCGCCTCAGGGAGAGACGGAGGGAGAAGAAAAACCATTCCTTAGTCCCTAGAATAGACTCCCCTCCCTCTGTTGCGGTCAGCGGGTCTCCTCTGCAGCCCTCAGTCTTCCCGGATCCGGCGCCATCTGCAGGTGAACCCATGCAGATCGGCCACACTAAGCTTCACCCGGATGAACGGAGAAGGAGGGTAGAGAAGAGGCTATGCATCTATTGTGGCCAGGCCGGTCACTTTCTAACCAACTGCCCAAACAAGTTAAACGGCCAGGCTCATCCGTGACTGAGGGCACACTGATGAGCCATACCTCCTCCTTTGCCAGCTCTCCCAAACGCATCCTGGTACCTGCTTGTCTCCTGTGGGGAAAGGAGTCCACTTCCCTCCAAACCCTTATTGACTCTGGGGCGGATGATAACTTCATTCATGCTGGACTGGCAGCGCGGCTTCAGCTCCCCCTGGAGGAACTCCCGGCTCCCCGTAAGGTCACCGCTCTCGATGGCAGAGTTATAGCCTCCATCACCCACTGCACAGCTCCTCTCACCCTCATCCTCTCCGGAAATCATCGGGAGGACATCCGGCTGTTCCTGCTTCCATCTCCTCACTCTCCCCTGGTGCTGGGACTCCCTTGGCTACAAATCCACAACCCTCAGATTAACTGGTCCACATCTTCAATCTCCGCCTGGAGCCCTCACTGTCACTCCCACTGCCTCCGCTCCGCCAATCCTCACATCCACCGACAGAGGTCAGCATCTCCACCGCCATCTCTCACCTCGGTTCCCCCCGTCTACCATGACCTAGCAATGGTATTCAGCAAGGAGCAGTCTCTCATTCTTCCTCCTCATCGCCCCTACGACTGCGCCATAGACCTGCTCCCTGGAGCCCCTCTTCCCAGTAGTAGACTGTACAACCTCTCTCGGCCCGAACGAGAGGCCATGGAGGACTATATTCAAGACTCCCTGACCTCAGGACTCATCCGACCCTCATCTTCTCCCCTGGCTGCTGGTTTTTTCTTCGTGAAGAAAAAAGATTCCTCTCTCCGTCCCTGCATTGACTTCCGTGGATTGAATGATATCACCATTAAAAACAAATATCCCCTACCACTCATTGATCCCTCCTTCGAACCTCTCTGTCAAGCCACCATCTTCTCAAAACTGGACCTCCGGAATGCCTATCACCTGGTTCGCATCCGGGAGGGGGACGAATGGAAGACGGCCTTTAACACACCCATGGGCCACTTCGAATACCTGGTCATGCCCTTTGGCCTCACCAACGCTCCTGCTGTGTTCCAGACCCTCATTAATGATGTCCTCCGCGACATGATTAACCAGTTCGCCTTCGTCTACTTAGATGATATTCTGATCTTCTCCCGAAACCTGGAGGAACACCAGCAGCATGTCCGACTCATCCTTCAGCGCCTCCTCGAAAACCGCCTTTTCGTGAAGCCCGAAAAGTGCGAGTTCCACGCCTCCTCCGTCAGTTTCCTTGGTTACATCATCGCCCAGGGGGAGCTACGCCCAGACCCAGAAAAAGTCTGCGCTGTCCGTGACTGGCCCACCCCCTCCTCCCGCAAAGACCTCCAGCGATTCCTTGGCTTCGCTAATTTCTATCGACGGTTCATTAAGAACTACAGTAAGGTCGCAGTTCCCCTCACCCGGCTCACATCCCTAAAGGTTCCATTCTCCTGGACCCCCGAAGCAGACGCCACCTTCCATCACCTCAAATCCCTCTTCATCTCCGCCCCGGTGCTCAAACACCCAGATCCCTCGCTTCAGTTCATGGTGGAGGTCGACGCTTCGGACTCTGGAGTAGGGGCCGTCCTCTCACAGAGGGACTCTCAGACCCAGAAGCTTCATCCTTGCGCCTTTTTCTCCCGGAAACTCTCAGCCACGGAACAAAATTATGACGTGGGAAACCGTGAATTACTGGCTGTCGTGTGGGCACTGCAAGAATGGAGACACTGGCTGGAAGGAGCTTCCCAACCGTTTCTAATCTGGACAGACCACAAGAACCTGCAATACCTCCGCTCCGCTCGTCGCCTCAACCCCAGGCAAGCCCGCTGGTCCCTTTTTCTCAGCAGATTCAATTTCACCCTCTCCTATCGTCCCGGCTCCCGCAACCTCAAACCAGACGCCCTCTCTCGGATCTACGCCTTGGATACTCCAGACCCCAGTGAACCAGACACCATCCTCCCCGCCTCCTGTGTCGTCGGCTCCGCCACCTGGGAGATCGATACTATCGTGGACCAGGCCCTCCGGAACCACCCAGACCCCGGAACCGGCCCGCCGGACAGAAAGTTCGTCCCTGAGGTCGCACGCTCTCAGGTCCTACAGTGGGGGCACTCCTCCAAGCTCACCTGCCACCCCGGGTTTCAACGCACCCTCCAATTCCTCCAGCAGCGGTTCTGGTGGCCAGGGATGGTCCGGGACGTACGGGCGTTTGTTGCTGCCTGCTCCGTCTGTGCCTGAAGCAAAGCCTCCCACCAACCTCCGGCTGGCTTGCTGCGTCCTCTGCCTGTGCCTTCACGCCCCTGGTCCCACATAGCCTTAGATTTCGTCACTGGTCTCCCTCCCTCTGAAGGTAACACTGTCATACTCACCATCATTGACAGATTCTCCAAATTTGTTCACTATATCCCTTTACCCAAGCTCCCATCTGCCTTTCAAACTGCTAACCTCCTAGTCACTCATGTATTTCAATTACATGGGATTCCCCGTGACATCGTGTCAGATCGTGGTCCTCAGTTTTCCTCTCAGGTCTGGAGAGCTTTCTGCCAGGCAGTGGGCGCAGCAGCTAGCCTCTCCTCGGGTTACCACCCACAGACCAATGGCCAGACGGAGCGGGCTAATCAGAACCTCGAGTCGGCCCTGCGGTGTGTGGCGGCCCATCACCCAGCGTCCTGGAGTACGCACCTCCCGTGGATCCAATACGCCCATAACTCCCTCACCTCTTCAGCCACAGGTATGTCCCCATTCATGTGCTGTTTTGGGTACCAGCCCCCCTGTTTCCCGAACAGGAGCAACCTGTGGCCGTCCCGTCGGTGAGGGAGCACATTGGGCGTCTACGGGAGGTGTGGAGATCGGCCAGGGCCGCACTCACCCGCACGGCCGAGCGCAACAAACGCCTGGCTGACGTTCACCGCTCTCCAGCACCAGACTATCGTCCTGGTCAGATGGTCTGGTTATCGTCTCGTGACCTTCCCCTGCAGACCGAGTCCCGCAAGCTGTCCCCCCGCTTCATTGGTCCCTTCCCTATCCAGAAAATCATCAACCCTTCAGCGGTGAGATTAAAACTTCCCTCATCTCTCAAAATTCATCCCACATTCCATGTCTCCTTGTTAAAACCTGTTGCCTCATGCACCCTGAGCCCTCCTTCCGTCGCCCCTCCACCCCCCCGATTGATTGATGACCACCCTGCCTTCACTGTAAGGAAAATCCTGGACGTGCGGCCTCGGGGGCGAGGCTTCCAATACCTCGTGGACTGGGAGGGTTACGGTCCAGAGGAACGTTCCTGGATCTCCCGCTCCCTCATCCTGGACCACCAACTCCTGGAGGAGTTCTACGCTGCCCACCCCAACAAGCCCGGCAGAACGCCAAGAGGCGTTCGTTAAGGGGGGGGTACTGTGGTGTGATGCCTCCTCATCCTGTGTTATTTTGGCTGGACTCCCTGTTTTTCCCTATTTGCCTGTTCTGGCTGTGCTCTTTTCCAGGGCTTCCTCCCCTCCCCCGGCGCTGAGGCTGAGTGAGACGACACACCTGCTCCTCGTCCCCAATCAAGGGACTTTAAGAAGCCTGCAGCCCTCAGTCTCAGCGCCTGAGTATTGTCTACCCTGCCCAGCGGTAAAGACGCGTCTCCTGGCCAAAACCTCGTGGTATAACTTTGAGAACTTTACTCCTTGTGACTCTTTGCATGTCCTTTAACTCCGGTCTCCTCTGGTTTCTCCTGCAGTGTCTCCAGCCCACACGACAGCCAGCCTACCAGCCAACCAACCAGACTTCCTTTGTTCCCTTATCTATCCCTTTCTGTTTTTGGACATTAAATTCGTTTTACGTTGAGCTCTGTCTCAGTGTCTGCTTCTGGGTCCTCACTACAAGCCTGCCGCACAACAGGGATGGATGGTCGCTTTGTTAATGTGGTCATTCCTGGAAGGTCGGAGTACCTGACCCTGTGTGAGGTGGAGGTTTATGGTTCGGTCCTGGATTAAAATGAAGAGTTACTACTGTTACATGATTTTTCATGTATTTTGTTCCCATTAAATCACTCAATCCTGTAGACAAAGCTTCATTTTCTCTGTTTGCACAAAAATCAAAACCAAATAAAAAAAAATAAAAAAAAATTCTCCTTAAAATTCAAAACCAGTGACACATTGGTGAAATGTTACTTTGTCTGGTAGTTCAGGGTGTTTTCTGTCAAATGTTTTTAGTGGACGATAAGTCACTGCTGCAGGTGGACCAATTAAGCACTGGGACTCTTCTACTCCTGAGCCATGCTGTTGTAGTATCTGCAGAATGAGGTTTGACGTTGTGTTGGGTAAATACGTGAGATCTTCCCTAAAAATTGCTTTATCTGAAGGGAAAACATGGATGTATTATTCAGATGCCTTACACCCTAATGTTTTGAGTGTAGCATATCATGTCATTGGAGTTATGGTCTGAGTTGTTGTACTCTTTAGTGTGATGAGTGATCTTAAACACTGTACATCACATGACCTTTAAGAACCTCATAATCTCACAGTCAAACCATAAGTGAGGAACCGAAATACACAATAAGGGAAGTGTGCATTAAAGAAAAAAACTGTTAAGCAATGATTGCACAGTGCCAAATATTCCTGAACTGATTTCTGATTATGGGCTCATCAGAAACAGAACTGAAGCAAATGAGGGTTATAAAGGCTGCTGCACATCAGGAGCTTCGGGGATTTGGAAACTTTCATTTCATCATTTGACTTCAGGGCGAAAGCACCGCTAAGTCTCCAGGTAAATATCTGCGCATTAGATCATCTAATTATATCTGTTTTAACAGCAAATTAAACCCTTTTGTGCTGTTTTCCTTCTGACTTTGTGTTATAGAAATGACAGTAGTTGCTTGATTAGAAAAACAGACATACATCTTGAAGAAATGTTCCTCTGCAGCACAGGCTGGCCTCAGGATACCTTTGGCAGGCGTTTAAATTTTAAGCAGAGAGTTTTCCAGTTCATTCTTGTTTTTAGAATTGAATGCAAAAACTCTTCACTCAATTCTATTTCCACTGAAGTGAAGTTAAAAAAACCCACAAAAACCTGTTGTCAAAAACTATCTTTGACCTGCTTTACTTCGATGACTCTGTCCTCTCTGTCTCAGTCAGAACAATGAAACACACTGTGGTATTTCTTCTACTGCCTTTCCTGGGAATATGCTTGGCTTACACTTACCGTAAGTATAATGTGCTGATATCTGTATTTTTCAGCCCCAAAATTGTTGACTGTACTGCAATCAATATGCATAATTTTACGGCCTATATAATTTAAACTGTGTTTAACCTGAAAATAAGTTCTCTTCAGTGGTCATTACTGAAAAAAAACAATAGCTAAAGACTTAAAAAGCATTTTTGGTTCCAACCTGTAAGGACGCTGAATTCTACTGTTAAATTTGGCATTTTAATATTGGACCTAATGAGGCTTAACTCACTTTAGGAGCCATCCTCTAGTGGCTATTCATGGAACTGCAGCTTCTTCCACTCACACTATGGCTGCTTTTTTACATCATTACAAGGTTGACATATTCATTATTGCAGTGAATGCCCCAAAAGGATAAAAAGTCTTTCTATCTGTTATCTAAACTGAGTCTATTCCAGCAGGGTAATCCCCTGACAGGTTGCAAGTTTATCCCTTGGCTAACATAGTTACACATTCTCACATGAGTGAAAACTTAGAGCAACCAGTCAACTTCGCGAGCCTTTCATTAGCATGTGGCGCCATGTGTGCAAATTGTACAAAAAGGCTCCAGCTGGGATTCAAACCAGGGACCTTCTTGCTGAGGAAATGGTGGTAACCACTGCCTAACTGGCCCTAGGGTTAAAAATTGGTTTCAAAGATATTGTTTCCTTTTTTTTTGAGTGGTTACAGGGTTTAAAGGCCTGCAGTAGACGGTATCAAGCTTAAGAAAATAAATAAATTTGTATTTCCTTGCCAGAAAACGTGGCCCTCCGTGGCAAAGCAACTCTGTCACATCGGTACCCTCACCATTTCGGGGATGCCAACAGTGCAATCGATGGAAATCGCGACTCTACCTTCGAAGCTGGTTCATGCATTCACACTATAGAAATGGCCAACCCCTGGTGGAGGGTGGACCTGCTGGACCGCTATGTAGTCACCTCTGTCATCATCACCAACAGAGGAGACTGCTGTGCAGAGAAGCTCGACGGAGCTGAGGTCCACATCGGTGACTCTCTACAAGACAACCGTGCTGTGAACCCACCGTGAGTGCACATGAACGCCACTGTAAACGCGACACCACAGTGACCTTTGTAGTGTCAGGTCTGACCCCGACCAAGAACTTCGTCAGTTTAATTGGACTTGGTTGCTTGTTTTGACAGACTTGTTTTTCTTTGCATGACTAAAAATCTCACAATAGAGTTTGTGTTTCTTTTTCAGAGCTGGTGTCATCTCTCAGATCCCTGCAGGAAGCTCGCACATTCTGCCTGTAAATGATTTGGCTGGACGGTACGTGACAGTCGTCCTCCCTGGTGCAATGAGGATTCTGACTCTGTGTGAAGTGGAGGTCTATGGGTACCGTGCGCCGACAGGTGAGATTTAAGATGCATGGACAGACTGCAGTTATGGATTGAGCTGGAGAGAAAATTCACTTTTGTTGTGACTTGATTGCAGTAAAACATAATAGAAACACATGAATACATGCTGACAGTATATTGCTGTTTTTCTTAGGGGAGAACCTTGCACTCAAAGGGAAGGCCACACAGTCTACGTTATACTCAGAAGGCATGGCGTACTTTGCAAACGATGGAAATAATGGCAATGACAGAGCAGATGGGTCCTGTACTCACACCAACAACAATTTCGCCCCCTGGTGGCGACTGGATCTGATAAGAACCCATAAAATTTTCACTGTTAAGATAACTAACCGCAGAGATCCTCGATTCGCACCTCGAATAAATGGAGCTGAGCTCCGCATCGGAGATTCTCTGGAAAACAACGGCAACAACAATCCCAGGTCCTACACCACGAATTAAAAAAATAATCTGAATATTTCTTTTGTTCTTGAATTGTAGCGCTCCATCAATAACAAACATGTCTTTTTCCTTTTCTCAGGTGTGCTGTGCTTGAAAACGTCCCAGCTGGTGCTACTGTTGAGTACCAATGTAATGGGATGGATGGTCGCTTTGTTAATGTGGTCATTCCTGGAAGGTCGGAGTACCTGACCCTGTGTGAGGTGGAGGTTTATGGTTCGGTCCTGGATTAAAATTAAGAGTTACTACTGTTACATGACTTTTGCTTTTCCTATTTTGTGCACTTAAATCACTCAATCCTGTAGACAAAGCTTCATTTTCTCTGTTTGCACAAAAATAAAAAACAAATAAAATAAAAAAATTCTCCATCATATTCGATACTCGTGACACATTGGTGAAATTCTATTTTCTGTCTGATAACAGTTCAGGGTATTTTCTGTCAAATGTATTTAGTGGATGACAAGTCACAGCTGCAGGTGGACCAGTTCAGCACTGGGACTCTTCTACCCCTGAGTTATGCTGGTGTAATATCTACAGAATGAGATTTGGCATTGTGTTCATGAAATTTGTAAGATCTTCCCTAAAAATAACTTTTTCTGAAGGGCAAGATTAAGTATGTTGCTCAAAAATAAGTATCTATTATTCAGATTATTGGCCTTTTAGATGTGCAAGCTACCCACAGGACCAACTCAAGACACAGGGGATGTTGGTCATTGCCCAGGGAAGGCTAAACCTCTCATGCTTTGAATCTAGCATGTGTATATATGTGTAAACTTTGTCTCCTGAGTATCTTTGGGGAATAAAACTCACACACTGATTTATTTGTGGTGCGGCATTTACTGCGCTCTGAAAAATCAGAGACGGCGGCAGGATCAAAGCAGCTTTGATTTGTTATTTAAAGTTAGTGTAACTAAAGACGACTAAAGATGGGATGGAAAATAACTCCCTGATTTCAATTTCACACCAGACATCCATGACAGGACAGGACAGCAAACGCGCCGATGGCTAAAACTTTATTTTTCAAAATACAGACAAAATAGACAAATATTATAAAAAAAAGACATCTGAAACACACCAAAGCCTGCAACGGGGATCAAATACAGTGTTTGAGTGAAAGTGTTTCAGAAGGTCTAACTCCTTATAAATGGGCACTTGACTTACAAGGTTATTTCTAGAGCATGAAACCTCAAAGCAAACAGCTGTGTCACATCAACTGTATCACAGCATGAACTTTTTTTAACGTCTGTGAATGTGTCTTTTTCTGTTTTAATCTCACTAGTCTAATTTTTTCTTCTGTTATAAAATCACCCTCATAAATCATTGTCATACCACAATGATTTAAAGCTATTACAGACATTTTGATTCACAGAGAACGACTTTAAAGCTGAAAGTATCTGATCTGTATTTACCTGTATCTGTGGAGGAAATGTCAAAATGCTGGGGGAGTAGAAAGCCCACTTACATCAGGGCCAGCCGGTCTGTTAGACCCTCTTTCTCCTGCTCACACTCCTCCAACATGTGAACTAATGCCACTTATCCTGATTAAGTGGGATTTTAGAAAGACATGTATTCACTTCAACAAAAGCTGGATGAGAAGATTAGTAATCAAGTAATTAATACCACTCACTTAACCTCATTCATGCTTATCCACCTAAATAAGTAGGTTCGCACTTCTTAACTTCATGTCAGGTTACTTTGACGTGAGGCGTGTTTGGGAGATCAGGCGAAGTGTGGGTCTTAGACACCCCCTCGAGAGATGAATGTTGCCGACCGCTTGCTTCTCTAGTTATACCAACTTTAGTAACGACCGCAGGATAGCAATACACAGCGGTCTGAGGAGCCATAAACAAACCTCAACCTTCTTCATGGAAATGCAATCAGACCGAGACGCTAAGGCAGAAGAACTACCACATCTGCAGTATGATAATTTTTACTTAAAGGAAATGATAAAGAAATGATCAGAAATGTTCTTCCTTGAGCTGCGAAACCCCTCAGCAGTCTGTAATGGACTGGCCCGAGGTCTCGCTACAAACAAGTGGCTGCTGGAAGAGAGTAGGTGAGTTGTGTTTAGTCTCTTTGTTAAAGAAATTAGGCAAAGTTAAAAATATGTTTGGTGGCTAGTACTTTGGCTGGGACCCTATATGTCCTGCTGATGAAGTTAGGTGCTGTTCTGAGCATTATTTGTGGCTATAGAGTGGCGTTTTGTTTATGAAAAGAAAGCGGTCGGCAACATTCATCTCTCGACGGGGTGTCTAACTTAGTGTTACAGTGTGTTTGACCTGGTTGGCTGGTTTTGTTACACTTGTAGAGGTTTTATTTGCCTCGGTTTTAGCAGAGACCGACTCAGCTAAGCTACCCAGCTGAAGGATTTGGCTTTAAATTTAAAGATTAGAAATCTTCTCAACTGGCCACGCTCAAAAAGTGAAAAAGGTTCATTCTCAAAATCCCACACGGTTAACTTGGAGACAGCTGATCCAATCACTGTAACCCTATCCTGCTGTATATGGACTCATTTTGTTTAATGGCAGAGATGAAATAATAAAAAAAGCTCTACTCGGTGTGAAACTGATGCTCTGGTTTTGGGAAATTTGCGACTAGATATGAGACTAAGAACTGGGTTGAATTATTAAGAAAAGGCTTAAAGCCACTGCTCATTTATTCTACAGTGGGTATGAAGGACACTTGTTAACAGTGGAAGCTACAGATCTAATGAGCTCAACTTTTCTCTGTATGATAAAAGATTGTCCCAAATCCTGTTCATAAAAAGACACCGGTCTTTCTTTAGTTTTCCTTCACTGCACAGACATGAAAGTGGTTTTCTATCTTCTAACCACAAAAAAGCAGAAAAGCATCATTTCCTGTAATGCGGCCCGATGGAGCGATCGACAACTGCTACCTTATAAATGAAATCCACTGCTACAAAGAGTCTGGACTGGCAGTTTCAGTTTCACCCCCCTAATACTGACAGCTCTCAATCACTACACACACTGTACATCTTTCATGTGCTACAGTACCCCAAATACGAAGCTTTATTTACAAGACTAACTTTGGCAATAAACAATATCTAAAGAACACTTTAAAGGCGGGACATTAATCATTTACAAAACTACTGTTTGAGAAAATGTGATCACACGGCACAGCTGAGGATCAGCCACCAGCTGTTCTGCTATTAAAACTCCCATTCTGACCAGTTTATAGCTAAAATTAAAGGAGCAGTCTGTGTAATTAAGTGGTTCCTGACAATAAGGTTGTAGATTTCAACAAAATGATGTTCTCATTTAAACCGATCCACTGAAAATAGGTCATCGAGGTCTGCACCAAAGCAAGAGTTTGGTTAATCCTTTTTCGGCTCATTTTTGACCAAATACCCCCAATATTCAACAAAGTGGCCATTTTACTCCCATTTCACGCTCAGTGTGGGACTCTGATATGCTGTGTTTAATTTTAATCCGTGAAAATGCCCCTTTTTTCCACAGCAAATACAAAGAAAATGGGTTTGTATTTTATTGGTCCCATATAGAGTTACTTTTAACTGTTTGAAACATATCTGCCTCACAAGATTATGAAATCAGGGTTTGTGGAGGATCTGCAGCCTCTCAGTTTCCAACCTCATCATCATCCGTGCAGTGATCTGAGTGGGAGGGGATGCTATGATAACGGGGAACTATGATGACTGGATGCAGAGGTGGAAAAACACCAACACAACGACAGCGAGAGCTCCAGAAGAACTCCGGCCAGTACACCGCTCATGTGATTTAGTGTTACAGATGCATGTCCGTGGGTGGTGAGTTTGAATATACGTGTTATTCTCGCTTTCCTGTCTCTGGTATGTGACTTTATGTGCTCGACAGTCATCCTTTAGGAAGCCTGAGGTGGACTGATTGACACAAACTGGCATATTAGCACCAAATCTGGGATAGACAACACACACTGTTGTTAGTTTTAGCAAACAAAATGGGATTATTATCTGTTTACAACATGTCCTTCAGTTAGCGTCTTTGTGATGTTTCAAAATCACAGCAGCGTAGAACGGGATGAAATCGCTCAAGCGGTGGGAGTGGAAGTGGTCTTGCACACGTCATTCCCGTTATTACATCATCACAGGAGCCACTTCGAACCACCTTGTAGGTCTTTTTTCTCTTTTCACATTCTCGGGGTTGCTGGGCTAGATGATGATATTAGTGTTTTTAGGCAAAGAATAACATGTTTTTATCCATATGAGTCCTTAATGTTAAAACATCTATGGTAGCCTTTTGACCACCGTAACCCAGGATTTCCACCGCATCCAGAACGGCAGCGATCCTCGCCGTATGCCAGTTCCTACCAGATCTTTTAGAGATTACGGACAGCAGGAATCGTGAGAACTCACAAGAACCCGCGGGTTCACCTGCAATCGCGTGATAACAAGTTGTCTTAAGCCACAAGGCTAACCACATAAGAAGTAGATTGTGTCCTTTCAGAGGAGGAAATCTACTTCTAGACTTCTAAAATCAGCATCCTCTCCTCCATGGTGTCATCGGGATGAAATGCTGTCTATAAACCTTTGACTTGTTCATCTCCGTCCATTTGTATGGTGTGAAATACGATCCGCCTGAAACACAGAGTGTTTTATTTTGAAAAGAAGCCGGATGTTTTATTTTGTGTCTGTGCCTGATTTCCTTTCCAGCATGGGTTAATCTGTGCTGAATTTATCCGACATGCTCCAGCATCCGGAAAAAATAGAACTTGATCTTGCGATCAGCTGCAGAGTCCAGCGATCCGCAGCAGAACGGAAAGAAACCAGTGGAAATTGACACATTAACTTGAACGGTTACGCTCAGCTACAGATACCGCCTTTTCATAGCCGTTCCAGATGCAGTGGAAATTGGGGGTAAGTCAGCAGCCAAATGTTGTTCAAATTTCAGATGTTGCATTTTTTCCCGGTGGATTTCCGATTAATGCCGACTTGTTATTTGTTGATCAATCTGACAGTTTGCAGCAGTTTGTCACTGAAACACTGATGGGGCTTCAAGCCTTTAGGATGATGTCTGAAGAAAATGGCCTCCATGTGAATGTTGTTGGTAAAGGACCTGCTGCCTTTACAGACAGATGAAGCTCTTTTATGGCCACAAATGACAAGAATTTATGTAATTACCCATCTGACCTATGAGTTCTTTATTCCTCTTTCTGTAGATCTGCTAAATCTTAAACACTGAAACTCCTCTGATTTGTGAGAAGCTTTTTAGTAGATCTATTTTAACGTCAAGGCTGAATGATATGTATTAAAAAGATTTTTAAAAAGCTTTTAAACACAAGAGCAGAACTTTACCTGTAATACCAAACCTTTAAAAACACTGTTCGCTTCTAGGGAGAAAACATCCTAACACCTTGAAGTTTGCATAAAAATACTCACACAAATAAATTATAAAAATAGTGTATTACTAAAAACTCTTTTTTTTAGAGATTAACACTGTGCATAACAAAAGAAGAAGTCAGCTGTTTCTGTCAAAGGGCATAGCTTCACAGTATGTGGACATCATCGATTGGACAAAACGGACTTCTTTAGCAAAAGTCAAAGAAAATTATGTACAGTAAAAAACAACAGTGAAAGTGAGGACTGAGTGTAACAGAAATAAAGCGACAAAGTGAGAGACGACCTTTGACAACATTTGGTTTCACGTGGACGTCAACTTGAGCGTAATACAAACCTCACTGGATGACGAGGACAGCAACAAAGACGAACGGCAAACGGCGGAGGAGAGCGATATCCTTGAGAGAACCGAAAGTGGAGAGTCCCGTGGAAAACTGTTTTACCGGATCAATTATCAGTCTAATGCTCAGGATGTAAGAAATCCAAAAATAGTTGAACAATGGGCTCATCTCAGAGTAGAAAGCAGCAATGGTAGTCAAAGTCAAAAACAAAAAAAACCCAAAGAAGTAGAGAAAGATGAGAGTTCATCAAAGAGTTTGGTGATGAAAAGGTCCGTCCTGTGATGTTATCTGAGATCTTTGGACGCTTTCGGGACTTTGAGGACTTTGTAAATGTCATTTGAGAAGACCGTGGTGAAATGGGGTCTCGAGTTCCTGGACATGTGTGTGCAGAGGGGGACTTTACCGGCATTTTGGGGATCCTCAATATCCCAGATCTCTGGCATGCTGCAACCGGGCCTGGGTGAGGACAAGGAAAGGAATTAACTAAAATCATAAAAACACAGATTCTTACACAAAATAACCAGCAAAACAACCACAACAAAAATGTAAAGGAGTGAGTAACTGTCACAGTGGGTACCTGGTTCTCCTGGTGCACCAAGAATCCTCCAGGATGAAGAAGTCCACCCCCAGCTTCATCAGATTCCTCTTTACTGTTTCTCCAGACATGCGGCTGTACATGGAGTACACCAACTTTGTTCTTTCCCTGCAAGACACCGAGGCAACCAATGATGTGGACAAGACACCGAGACAACCAATGATGTGGACAAGACACCGAGGCAACCAATGATGTGGACAAGACACCGAGGCAACCAATGATGTGGACAAGACACCGAGACAATCATGACGAGGACTTCTTTGTCGAATAATAAAATAAAAATATGTGAAAACCCCTGAGATAAAGGTTTAAAAACAGCCCACAAAGCTGTTCTAGTGAACCACGTGGTTTAGAATACGTTTTCAGATCTCAAGATGAGCATCACAGAGTTGATTAAGTTTGGGCGACAAATAAAAAGTTTGGAGTTTACCAAAAATAGACCATCCACCAACTTTAATTGGTAACAGTTCCTTTAGTTTGTTGGTTTTTGATAACGAGGCTGTTATGTGACTGAAGCAGTAAAAACCCTTTTGTAAGAAAACCATAAATGCAACAACAGTGTCGATCCATCTGAATATCGAGTCGAGTTCTTTGGCTTAAATGAAAGATGAATTAATCATTTTGTACCGACCGTCTAAATCCGAGCTAAAAGGAATCACACTGAATAAACTCTGAGTGGTTGTAAAATTTCATTGTCACAAACTTTGTTGTTAATCTGTCTCAACTTGGACTGTGAAGCCAAAGACTCATTACCGCCAAGAGAATCTCAGTGAGTTACACAACTGCTTTTACTGCCTGTGAACAAAATACAAAAACTGCTGCTGGAAAAATACTTGAAACCACTGACCTCAGACCAGAGTCTTCATAGTGAGGGTGGTTGACGATTGGCCGAGCCGTCGACAGCTTCACGCTGGCCATGGTGGGCATGGCGCCAGCAAAGACAGAATCTGGATAAAACAAAAACTTAGGTGAAGGGTCACATGACTTCAAAAGTTAGTATGAAACGGTTTCGGCCTGTCTGCACTTTACTCACCAGGAGGGGTGTTTTCCTGGATCCAGTCCAACAGCTCCTCCTGCGGCAGGTTGCTGAACTCCCCGATGATGGCCCACTGCGCCTGCAGGTTGGCCACTCCCTGGACCGCCATGATGGCCAGGACTACAAATACTGCAGCCTGGTGTTTAAACTTCTCCCCGATCCAGCCGAACAACTGACGAAACAAGCGAGAGAAGAGAGGAAGGATTACTGAGAGACAGAGGAAACAGATGAGTGTATTTCAGCTGTAAATCATATTGGTGTTCCTGAGAGCAGAGCTGATACTGCAGAGGAGAGACAGACCTGTCTGGAGCAGATGAGTGAGGCCATGATGCACATGTGGGGCGTGAGGAAAAGCTTGAGTCTCATGATGAGGATGGCCAGGACAGCGAAGGCCACCAGCTGCAGACTGTGGTACACCATCTACAGGATGACAAGTTCACACTCAGACTGATCAAGTCTGACTGAAGGAGGAGCGTCAATGAAACAAGCTGGAGACTCTTCTTATGGCTTGAGTCAAACGAGTTTAACTCAGATGCTAACGTGCAAAGACTTCCCAATCTGAAGTCCCAAACTTTTGAGTCTGTGGTTTTGAATCGGCAGACAGCAGCGCTCGTGCATGTGAGTGGGGTTGTTTTTTTGGAGGAGCTCCAAGGGGAGGGGGAGGGACTAGACGAAGTCCTGAGGAGATGCTACATTCAAATTCGTACTAGTTTGCCGTGATTACCAACCCTACCTTTAAGTTTGGACTTTTTCAGCAGCAGTTCAGGTTTCATCGTGCTTTTCGTGTACTTTATACATCATACATGACATGATATTAGTAGAGGACTGTAACAAGGTGTGAAATAATCCCACCAGCTAACCAGAAATTAGACAGAAATTTGTGGGCCTTTTAAAAACACAAAATGACCTTTCCAAAATGACCTCTTCGTGTCAGTTTTCGCTGCTCTATCTTTTTCCAAAAATGCGAGATAACCAGCAGATCAGTGAGCTTTAATGTAATAGACGCACGGAGGTTAAATGTGACAGCCTGACAACAACATGAGAGTTTCGCTCCTTTAAGGCAGTGAAAGCACCAAGAGTGGATGCATATTAATTCTGCAAAGTAGGTTAGCATCAGCCTGAAAGGATTGTGTTGTAATTAATTTTGTGCCCCAAACCGTTCGACTTCATTATTTTCAAAGAGCTCACTAGGTGTTAATGAAACCAGAAGTTGCGGCTGAACTTTCAGTGAGGCTTCTATCTCTTTCGAGGTGGCTCCTCTTTAAGTGAAACCGATCTAAAGCGGGAAGGAAAGCTCCGACTGGATAATGACATTTGCCGGATGCTTTGATCTTTTTTTAACGCCGCTTTCCTCGTGAGGACCGAGAACACCCTTGGGTCCCCGCAGTTTCACTCGTTGAGCCGTCCAGAAACATTACGGCAATTATCAGTGAGACTCAGGACACTTCAGCCGGTGGACGGTCGTTTAAAGGCTTTCTCTCCTTGGGTAAAATATAACAGAGGAGGATGAGAGACGGCTGGGAGAAAAGAGCAGCAGAGAGGGATTTCAGACGGGGAGAAGCTGTCTTTTATTTCTTACTAATGAGAAGAGAGGGTGAAAGCACAGAGAGACGTGAGCAGACATGACTCCACTGGAAGATATCTTATCAAATGAAAAGGGAAGAAAACTGTAAGAGCCGAGGAATTGATTTCAAAATGAATTAAAGAAAATCAGAAAGGTCCTCTTACCTCTCCTTTTCCAGTTATTTCAGACCTGCAAGAAAAACAACAAAAACAGAAAAAAACTATGTGAACCAAATAAAGCTCAGTGCAAACTTACCAAAAAGAGCAGAGAAAAAAGGAATCAGATTTTGGTTACCTCAAGTATCTGAGCAGCTGGATGTAATATGCCTAAAAGCTTTTAATAGTGACCATAAATAAATCTGAGAAGCTGTCTCGACTTTTAAGTGTCTCAGCATTTGGACACTCAAAGCTGTTATTAGAGCATTTGTCCACCCTCAGTTTCAGAAGGGATAAATATTAAAGCTCCTCTGAAGAGCTGTCAGCTGGTTTGGATTTTGATACCCTCATCTCGTTGCTTGTTTTGTCCTGTAGCAAGAAATCTCAACAATCTGTGTCCTTTTCAGTCTGGGCTCCTGGTAGGGCTGGGCGATAAACAGAAAATTTACAGATACCGAAATTTACGACAATAACTGACCTTATTTTGCCCACGTCAATATATTGGGTGTCAAAAAACGAAATAATTAAAAGTTGTTTTTGGATGTGTGTAGGTCGGCTATGGTCTCATGTCCCTTTAAGACGCTGTCCTACATCATAGACGTGACTCCACCCCATCAAGTCAAGAGGGAAAGACAGGTGAGGAGATGGAGGACGGTTCAAAAGTTGTAGCGGCTGAAGTAGATGAAGTTTATGTGGGAGGGAGTGAGCAGCTTGAGGTGTAGTTATCGTTTATTTATCGTTATTGAGATGAACTGCTCAATGTATCATGATATTCATTTGAGGCCATATCGCCCAGTCCTAGCCAGTGGTTATATAAACAGCACAGTTATATTGATGTTAACCTGCACAGAGGAACAGAGACTGATGGTACTAGCTCTGCTAATGTTAGCCACACTGGCAGGCTGAATTGACATTTTTTTTATTATTATTATTATTAAACCTTTATTCATACAGGTTATCTTACTGAGATGCGGGGACTCATTTTCAAGAGAGACCTTAAAAATACATATTAGATTTTTTTGACAGCATCTAAAACTGGGTGTAGATCTAGTTTTTATGTTTTTTAAATGTTAATAAGAAGACAATATTAATGATGGTATGAGTGCCAGGGGTACTGAGCACACTGAGCACCTTTCCCTTCCTATCCATTCTCTCTCTGTCTGTGTCACTAACTCTGAAACTGTTTTCTCTTTATATTTGTATGTACATGCTGATAAATGAAGCGTGTCTCAATCATTCTCTGAGTTATTTTTATGTCCTGATATTGAAATAAAATATTCATTCATTCATTGTAAATCGAGTGAAATCAGCCAAAGTCTTCATAATACTCACCCTGCAGCTTCATCCACATCATCAGCCCTGGTGGATGATTTCCCACCTTCCCTCAGGAACCGGACGATATCCTGGAGGGTCTGAAAAGGACAGATCATTAGAATAAAATGTAAAGGAGTTTCCTCCGAACAGCTTCCTCAGCTGGTAGCGAGTATCATTCTTTGTCAAATCGACTTGTGTATTCTTAGCTCAGTGTGGGCAGGTCATAATGAGATTAGACCGCAGAGAGAGAGAGAGACGCTCTTTAATGGTTATTTCTGTCTGAGGTTTCAGCCCTTAAATATTTCATGTTTCAGGGATAAATCTCCTCGTCCTTTTTATCGTAGAGCTGAAGTTTACACGTGTAAATGCCAACCGTGCTTCTCCCGCTGAGCAAACAAGGCGAGAGCGATTTTTCTGGAACTGAAATAGTAAAACTGAATTTGATGAAGGAGGAAAATATCAGAGAAGACAGATTCACATTTGGCAGCATCTCAGGGCTCCAAACTGATCTGAACCTCCTCTTTGATGCCTGCTGCCTCCAAACTGCAGCTTTGACACTTTTTAACACCCACAGCTGCGCACTGTCTGTCACTACAGACTTCATGTCAGTCTCCTGAGTTTCCACAGATATGAAAGGAGAAAACGAGCATGAATCAGATTTATTATTGTGATCTCTGTGTTTCTTTTTCAGTCTTCTCTGAAGAGTCTGTAAAGCATTTTTTATAAGTCTGTGCAACCCTGGAGTGAGATACATCCCAGTTCTGCTCTTCCTGAGTTTAACTCCTTTATTTACATGTTTGTTTGTTTTATAACTGTGTGAGGTGCTGCACAGGGACAAGAACAGTGTGTGACAAAGATCATGACTGAAAAAAACAGAAAAACAAGCCCAGTAAGTCAAGAGCAACATACTTTCTCCTGTTTATTCTTAGTGCTTATATTCAGACTCGTTTTTTTCCTTGTCCTAAATATTGTTTCCCAAAGTTGGTGAGACTTTTTCTGAACCAGATCTACAGTTTATGGACAGGCAGTGAAGCAAACTGCATAGATGATAAAGCCTCCTGTGATAAAATGAAGGTTAGGATTTTGGCTTATATATGAAAAAAAATTAACTCAACTTCTCACAATCTTTTAGCATCTGAAAAAAATGCTGGCAAAGTTACCGTATTTAAAACCCCTGAGGTGCTGTTCTGAGCATTATTTGTGGCTATAGAGTGGCGTTTTGGTTGAGGTTTAAGTGTTGAGACGTAGATCGCTCTGTATCGCTATCCTATTACTATCTTTTTGTAAGGAGTTACAAATAATCTAGGTTGGCCTGCTCATGCAGCCTTGTAAGCAAGGCTGTCTTGCAGGGACCAAAACTATCGGTCTGTCGGAACATTTAATCTCTGTGAGAGTCAAGTCTAGTCTAAACAAAGTGTTGAGGGTCAGACATAACATTATGGGTCGCCTTCTGGAGAACTGATATGACATAACCATGATGACGGAATACTCATGCACACGCGCACACACCTAACAGCATAAAAGTGAGTAGAAGAAAAAGTTGAAGAGGCTTTCCTCGGGTTTGGTCAAGACTCTGTTTGTCATCTGTACCGATTTCTACGTCTGTACAATAAAAGACGCCCATGCTGTTCTTCAGATCTCATCCTGTCTCCTGTGCATTGTTTCACTAAGTTTATTCTGGATTTTCCACAACAGTATAACCAGAGAAGTAAGCAGTCGGGAACATTCATCTCTCGAGGCGGTGTCTAAAATTGTGTTTGACCATAACTTAAATCCATAACATAAAGTTACACCAGAATATCCCTTTAAATTGGCCGGCTCAGCAAGGATAAACACATTACCAGAGTTAAACAAACCAGAGACTTGGTCCATTCTGAGGTACAGTTCAGAAAACTCACCCTCCAAGCAATCAGAGCAACCACCAGCATGTTGACGGGCAGCAGAAGTGTTTTGAGGTAGCGTACAGGAGTCTGAGGAGAATACAGAGAGATGCAGACATGAGATGGAGCTGTCTAATAATCTTCCCCCTCCACTCCAACAGCCTGTTTACACATTCCCTGCATGTGAAACAAGCTCAAAACTAGCTGCTGCGATCTGCTATCAGATTTCTGTTTCCTGTCAAACACGGAGCGCAGATCCGGCTCCTGACAGCACCGAGACCTGCTGTGAGAAAAATATCCGACACTCGATACAAAAACTCCAGCAGACGTCTTCACAGGAGAGGGGAAGTGACAGATTCATACTAAACCACCTGAGACCGGCGTTATTCATCAGAGACCGTTCAGCACCGAGAGTCAAAGGGGACAAATTAATGTCAGCTCTGATTTAAGGGGGCCAGATGTTTGTCTCCTCACCTCTAACTCGATGAAGTCAAACTCAGCGGCACACGTGTACATCAGAGTGTGGAAGTCCTTGTAGCTCGTGAATTTGGACTTGATCAAACCGCTGATATGAGCCTGAAAAAGACAAGTGACAAAAAACGACTCAGACAGTTGTTTTGTGGTTCATTCCTTCAGGGTTTAAAACTCTGAAATGCTTGAGTAGGTCTCTAAATGTTCGTCATTAATCAGTTTGACATTTCTTGTGATGCTGGTGTTGAGTCAGTCGGTATCACTTTGGGCATTGTCTGATAATAACTGTAGCTGTAGCTGTAGACTAAATGCTGAAACAAATGACAAAAATGAACTCGAGCTGCACTGATAGAAGCTTCTTTGGCTGATTCCAAATTTTCACTTGCTGACCTGCAGATTCTGATTGGTGTCTCATCTTTTTGTCCACATGCAAATGGAGATCGCTGAAATTGGAAATTCTCCCAAAGTGGAGATTTTTAACCACTCTGTTTCTGTGTGTTCACCTAACTTTGAGTGACTTTCAATTAACCTACCAGAGACCGGCCTTTAGCCTCTTTGCAAATAGCTACACTGAACCCGTCTGTCAGTCAAGTCAGCAACACCTCTGAGTTTCTGATCTTTTATCCTAAATAACATAAAAACTGATGAGTTACAAAAATATTCACTCTCTATACAGTGCGTACAGTGGGAGCCTTAAGCTATCCAGGAAACTGTTTTTTGAACCAGGCTGAAGACGTGTTTATTTTTTGCTGTAAAATAGGAGTTTTTTTACTTTGTCTGTCGAGATTTTAAGTGTTTCTGCAGCCGGTCTCAAGTCGACACTCAAGTTTTTAGCACTTTCACATTGGCTTCAGCAGCCTTTGGAGGTTGCTGTTTGCTCATTATGCATGCACCCAATGTTCTTCTATAGTGTTTGAAATTATAGATAATTATACTATATCAACACCTAGTGGTCCAGCATGCATACATGAGTATTTTTTAACTGTTTCTGTGTTTGAAAATGGCAGAGGAAAACTCCAGTTTTCAAAGTGTGGACTCTTGATTTTTTTCCCTTGATTACAAAAACAGAGTAAGCATCTCACCAAGAATTATAATGTTAAGTTAAAATGCTTCAAACTTATTATCAGCAGCTTTTTCAAACATGTGGATTAGACAGAGGACAGTTAGAGGAGCTTACATCATCTGAGGCTCGGAGGACGGTGGACAGCATGAATTTGAGCAGAACTGTGGAGCCGAACCAAGCCAAACCCTGCATGACCTGAGGGAGGAGAAGAGATACACACTGACAGGCTGGAAAATACTCACATAAACACACACACACAGGAAGTGTAAGGTTACACTCCAGGCTGGGTTCATTTCCTTCACCTCTTTCATTTTGAGTTTTGTCGGTTGTATAAACATGATGTTCATATTTTGCGTGTGAGTAATTAGCTCTTAACGGATTTAAATACTTTTTATACCACTTTTAATGTCTGCAGCTGTTCACTCCATCACTTTGTTCTGACTCATCACTGACACCCTGCTACTATTTTACAGACCAAAGATTTACGAAAGAGGATAAGGGCCACATGAAGAGAAAAAAGTTGTTACAGGAAGGAGATTAATATCAAAATTTTGAGATTACAACAATCGAAATATGTCAATAAAATCAAAATTTTTGTTTAAAAATTGAAATTTCAAGATTACAAAACGTTGAAAATAATTTCGACATTAAAAAAAAAAAAATTTTGAGATCAAAGTTGAAATTTCGATATTAAAGTCGAGATTACAAAATGTAGAAAATGTTAAAAATTTGCGATTATAAAAAAAATAATAATTTTGAGATTAAAGTCGACATGAATAGTTGAAATTTTGACTTTTTAAAATTTTATCTCGGAATTTCGACTTTAATCTCGAAATTGAAATGTAAATAATCTCACTGCTGTAATTATTTTTTTCTCTTCTTGTGGCCCCAATCCTCTTTTGTAAATATTAGATATGCATACATTTCTCTTTTTTTTCTATAAAAAAATTTAATTTACATTACAAAATACAGACATGTTATACAGACCCATAAAATGATGCCAGGTTTGAAGACTCGTAAGAACTGATCCCTCAGTGCGATGATAGCCTGGAAGAAATCATAACAAAGGAATTTAACACCAATAAATAACTGGATTATCCACATTTTTCTGAAGTCGTGGAATTCAAAAATATACGTTCTGTTATATTTATATATCTGGGACATATTCATAAAATCTAAATCTCACGCCTGTCAAAATAAATCTGAGCATATTCACATCTGTGCAACACAATAAACATGACTCTGAGGTCTGACTCACCCAAATGGAGACGAGCGAGGAGGCGTAGAATGATGTGAGCAGCATGGAGTTGCCAAACATCAGGACAAAGCAGACGCCGAGCGTGATCTGCGGGGTGACACAAACATGGAGAGGAGTTTTGGTTTGTCACAGTCTTGTGGCGTTGCCATGGCTGTGTGTGGACGGTCCAAGCTGCTGTTTCCAGACCGCTTGATGTGCTAAAATCTGTTGTGTAATAAGAAACGATGCCAAGGCTCAAACTTGGCAGAGCGATCAGAGACGCAGCCAGCTTCTGTAGCTCTCATAAAAACTCTCAATTTTCACTCTCGCCTGAAAATTAAAAAAAAAAAAAAACCTCTGTCTCTGTAGCAGGAGGGTGGTCCAGGCCTTGAATAGACTGCATTAAGTTTCAGTAATAAGACTTTCAGAAAACACTCCAGAGATTTAAACTAATGCAATAAACTCTGAATACACAGCCACAAGCAAAATATAATCCTATTCATGAATTCCTGATGCTTAATCCCACTGTGAAGAGTGAAATAATGCACCACTCTGCATTATGTAGACAGCATGGCAGAGATCCACGACCAGAGGCGTTGTAACCTTTAAGGTATTTCAGCAGCTGCCAGTTCTGCTTTTTAAAGATAAAAGAGTGGCTTAAAATAATTTGTAAAAATAGAAATTTTCTCTTTAAACAGAAAATATCCACATTTGAAATTCATGAGCAAAGGGCAGAGGTGTGTTCGAACAGCAACAAAACCTCAAAACTAATAAGAGTCCACAAAATGTATTTACAGAAAACAAACAATTAAGATACGCAGCTTTAGCAAACTACTACTGTATTGATCTAGATATGAAGTTAACCTAATTCTAATATAGACCACCCTTAATATCAAGACTATGGATTACAAACAGACTTTTGTCCCTGTTACTGATGTTGACAGAGTTGATATCAAAAATCCCACCCTATGGAGTCAAAGAGAGGACGGAGAGCATTGCAAAAGCAAGTCAAGAGCTGCAAAAAAAGTTGTAAACGTAATAATACATGAATGATCACACAATTATTAAATTATTTGGTATTTTTTCAACTTTTTGGCCTTAAAAATATTTCTCTGCTTTTACAAAACTCACATGCTTCTCTTTGACATGGGGGCGGGGTTAGATGATTTGTGTGTCTATTAGGGCCAGATGAGATGACTGACATGCCTATGTAGGCGGGGTAAGATGATAGGTATGGTTATGGGGGTGGGGTTAGATGATTGGCAGGTATAAGAGTCAGAGTGAGATGATTGATGATGATGATGATTACATGATTAGAAGGGAATTGGTTAAGGGTTAGATGATGGCATTTCTATGTAGGCGGGGTTAGATGATTGGTATGATTATAGAGGCGGGGTTAGATGAGTGGTTTGCCTATGGGGGCGGGATTAGATGATTGGCAGGTAACTGGTTAAGGGTTAGATGATTGGCTTGTCTTTGTAGGCGGGGTTCGATGATTGGTATGAATATGGAGGCGGGGTTAGATAATTGGCAGTTATATGGGGCAGGGTTAGATGATTGGTGTGTCTATGGGGGCGTGGTTAGATGATTAGCAGGTAAATGGGGCGTGATTAGATGAGTACTTCACGTATGTTTACAATGCCTTCTGGCTTCCTTTTGATTTCATACCCCGCCCCTTTTCACTTCTGATTGGTCAATGATGGAGGAATAACACAGACTAGAGGAACAGTGTGACAACCATTCTTAACCAAGACTCCTGTGAACGCTGTGACAAAATCAAGATGCTGAGCGCTACACACATTGAACTTTGCTAACTTTGCATTGAAGTAGACGCAGTAGTCTATAGTGGACACAGGCCCTTATCTTAAATAAACGCCTGGCAGTTAAACTGTCCATGAAAACCTCCTGAGATAAAACCCTTTACATTTGTATGCCAGATAAAAGGTGACCCATCCAAGACTCATGAAGCAGTCTGTAGGTCAGAGAGGACACAAGCAGAGTTTTGTGTCTGGAGCTTTTTTCTTGAACAGACATACACAGAAAAGAAAAGCTAAAGCCATGGTTGCAGGGCTCTTTAAATTATGCAGAGCTATATGCCTTCTGCTGACACAAATCTCCACCATCTCACCACAAAGGGTCTTCTGCTTATCTACAGAGCACACAGTCCCAAGTTAACAGCCCAGCATACTGAGGGGATTATGGGAAAGAAAGAATGTGGAGCAGAGGGATAACTGGCCAGTAACACACACACACATACACACTCACACAAATCCAAACACTAACATCTTTATACACACTCAAACGGACTTTGATATATGTTTTTTTTTCTTGGCAGAACAGGACAAGTTGCTCATATATCCTCCTCCTTCGTCCTTGCGCTCAGGCGGCAGAGATGCTAACGCTAAAGAAATAAAAGTCACCCCTGAAAGTCTCCGCTAGTGTTGTCCTCGCCCGGCTCAGGAAAGTCTTCCAGCCGAGGAGCGAGGCGAGATAAGAGAAGCGAGGCGGAGCACATTACAGCTCAGAGGACAGCTGCAGGAAACACTTTCACTTATGCTGAGGAAGAGCAGACACTAACACACGCTGAAAGCTAATGTGCCAACACCTTAAACCTCTACGCTCCGCTCAGGTTCACAGGTTTCTCTTCCTTTTCAGGTGATTTTTCTCTCCTCATTCTGAGCTTTTTGGTCACACCCGCACAGTAAGGTTTCACATCTCGGCTGCAGTGGTGAAATTTTATCCTGCTGATTATGAACCAGCTTCATAATTAAACATAACTCTGTGGTGGATGATGATGGAGGGGTTTGAATAAGTCATTTACCATGTGAGTGACCAGGATGGATTGCATCTTAGCAGCGTTGAGGTAACCCAGGATGTAAGAAGCAAACAGAGACGCCACCTAGAAAAGAAGAGGAGATAAAAACAAGATGGTAAAGCTTCGATATCTGCTGTCAGATTCAACATCCACACTAAACAAAAACCTTACAAAGCAGATCTCTGTGTTTGTTATAATAAGAGCACACAGGACGTTAAAATAATGTGTGAATGTAGAATGTTTTTAAGCTCTAGTGCTTTCACTAAGTGTGTCCAGAGTGAGGAGTGAGCAGTGTGGGTGGACATGCAGTATTTGGCCTCTGGATGCGTCACGCCTACATTGATTGAGACGAACCAGTTCAATTATCGGTCCAAAAAACATACAACAAAGAAATAATCCTTGTTAAATAAAACCAAATTGTGCACAGAAAGCTGCAGTGCCCTGAGGGGGCTGGAAGCAGAGCGGGCTCATCTGTTGCTGAATACAGATGCTGGCAGAGGCTACGTGTTTGCTCTGAGGTCGTGATTTAAACCACAGCTCTGTCGTCAAACTGATTCCTGCTTTTACCATCTTTTTCCTCTTTCTTAGCATCTCGTCAAAGCCTTCAACCTGAATATTTCCTTATGTGCATGTAGTGCATGTGTTGGTTTTACATTCCTACCCTCTTTTTTTATATATATTTACTACATTTTACACAGGTCTTTTTACTCAGTTGTACATATATTTATTTATTATTTATTTTGCTTTTATCTAACTTGAAAGCCATTTGGAGATGCACCCAAATCTCGTTGTGATGTTTTTACAATGACAATAAAGGCGATTCTGATTCTGGCTGTGAAGAATCGAACACTATCTTGTTAATCTGGATCTACAGCAAACACATAGTCACACTAGAAGTAATCAAATAATTCATAAATGAATTGAGGGTTTGTTCCTGAAAGTCTCGTCAGTCTTGTGATCTGTTTTGGTTTTGTGGCGTCAGAGCTCAAACAAAACACTGTCCTCTGCAAAAGTTTGTTCAAAAGCTTTCAACCAAAAAATACACCTCACAATAAAACTACAGCCTTCAAACATTAGCTGAAAAACAGAGAAAACATTAGCAGCATCATTTTTACACCTACACTTTTTATCCAGTGTGACAAAAAAAGGGACGCTGTGGAAAACGACTTATCACCAGAGATATGCGAACCATTTCCACACTGGAAAAGCCTGAATTCATCCTCATGCTTAAAACTATGAACCCCAGGTTTATGAAAGTGGTCTGCTGATGCTTCTCTGCCTCATCCTCACTGCAGTACATGTGAACAGATTGCTGCAGAGCTTGAGGGGATGTTGTTTTCTTCCAGTTCAACAGACTTGCAGCCTTACATGAGTTTGATAGAGCGCTTTATGGATGACGATTAGACGTTTTTGAGTCGTTCTCTTTTGAGAGAGAAGAGAAGAAAATCAATTCAAATTAAGTTTGAAGTGACAAAATATGAGATTTGATTATTAGTCCTCAGTCTCAAATTGAAAAAAAATGATTTTGACATGTTTTTTAGCCGAATAACTAAATAGAAAAACAAAGAAAATCAAAACAAAACAATTCTTGATTGTGAATCAGGGACAAAATTTTCACTCCAACTTTGTTCAGTTTGAAACTTTTTAAGTTTGATCACTTCGATGAACAAAAAAGGTGCTTCGTCTGTAAAATCTGGCTGGCTTAAAGATGTTTGTCACTTCAACTCCAACTAAAATGTTAATTTATTCTCGATCGAGTCAAAAGAAGATTACACAACCGAGGATCTCCTACATGTGTCCTCCCTGCAGGCTGAATGTTGTCACCATGTTTTACAAAACAAGTGATGTAAGAGAATGACGCCATTCGCTCTCTGATGACAGGCGGTGTGAATGTTTCAGCCTTTTTTCATCCTTATAAAAACAACATAATTCACTCTGAAGTCTGTTACAGCCCTTTTGTGGATGTTAAGTTGTTTACACCTCTGTGAGAATCTCATATTTACTTCCACCATGTTCTAAGAAGATTTAAAAATACGGATGTGAAAAGTAAATTCTTGTAGGTACACTATCTCCATTCCTTTCCTTTCAGTCTCCCGGGTCTCTATTTCTTTGAAAACCAAGACAACTTCAGCTTCGAGTAAAGTCTCTATTTTCTCCCTAATCTCTCAGCCCACTGTGCTCTCTCCCCTCAGCCTCTCTCGCTCTGTGTTTACCTGAGTGAGCAGCACAAACTGGGCAAACTGCCAAGGCAGCATAAAGCACAAATTGGAGATGCCCAGGGCGACCATGGCTGTCCTGCTCGGCTTCCGTGTCCTGTGGAGAGAGGAGAAGAAGAAAAAGAAAAAGAAATGGAGAGATGAGAGTGTGTGGGTGTCATGGAGATAAGAGAAGACGCATTAAGATGGATGAGAAAACACACACACACAAACACGAGCACAAACTTTCAATTTCACACTGTGTGTTCTACAAAGACCTGGTTATATAGTGCGCCCGCCTCAGAAAACACGACACGCAGTTCATTCGACATTTAAAGCTGATGTTTGAAGAAGTCACAGGTTAGTGGTTCCTCTTTAGCAGCACAAGGCTGAGTCCAATTTAATATGCAAGACGATTTTTTATAAATGGAGTGGAAAGTAAACTGAGTAAACTTTGTGTGGTTGATATTCTTATAATCCAGATGGGCAGCAGCTTTTCACTGAGATATTTGTGCGTCTTTTTCTTTGCTTTTTAACTGAAGTGCAGAACAAATAACCCCCCACAGAGTATAAAGGAAAGAGTCTACAGAAAGCCAGAGACTGTTTGTTCACGATCGGATCCAGAGTTTTCATGGCAACATTTTCAGATTGGCAGAGCTGTGCATCTACCATACTGTCTACAGGGGGCGCCAAAAACCTCACGGCCATTTCCATTTTTGATAATAATGGGACTGTGAATAATAAGTCATTCTGCATTTGAAGGGTTTCTTTTAACTTTTTAAACCAAGTTTGAGACTTTTAAAGGCTGTTTTAAGACCCAGATGAAGAAGAATTTACATGATTTTAGCACCTCAGGATCACAGATTTGGCATATTTATACATAAATATACATACACTATACATTTATACATAAATATCCAAACTTCAAATACTAATCTACATATTATGCTGGTTGCCTCTCATGTTTGTCCATGCCAACTGCTCATTTCCTGCATTTTTGAAGGCAAACTTCCTCAATTTCTGTTACTCCTCTCTTATGCTAGTGTTCAGTAAATGTGCACATAATAAAGCAGAAGTTGTCATGGGAACAACCAAATCCACAGAATACTAGACTTCCATGTTACATTATCTGAAAAATTAAGGTTTGATGAAGTCATTAGAAATGCCTCATTTAAAATTTCTCTCAGGAAAATTTTGACTTTTTATGACCTTAAACTCCCAAAATCAAAGTTTGAAAGACCTTTAAAAGGATCTAGGAGGCCTGTCATATTTTTTTTTAATCCAACATGTATTTAATTTTTTATATAACACTGTAGTGATACACCAACTCAACAGCAAAGTCTAAAGAAATGTATTGGGATTTGAATTATTGTTTTCCTTCAAACAAACTAATCTCAACATTCGGTACAATCCTGCACCCTGAGTAACATTTTTACTGCACATCTAAGTCCTGATGCTTCAGGTATGTAATAATTCCATTTGAGTGGTGAAAGCTCCCTTATAATGTCAGCTACAATGCTGACAATACTGCACTGTGCTGAATAAGAAAGTGATCCAGCTGGAGTGGAGCAGAGAGTTTTCCTGCTCGTCTTTCAGTGAGCTGCTGTGACCTCTGCTTCTCCACTCAAAGTAACTTCAGGCTCCTCTGCCAGGATTCACTCTGTGCCCAACTCCGATTTCAAGCTGCTCCATTAAAGTTGCTCACAGCTACACTTCAAAAGATGGAGGAGCTGTGTTGTATTTAAACACACCTAACCATCACCAGTGTTACAGGTCTGGTTCACTGTGTACGTGTCTTTTCTCTCCTAAGTGATCTGCTCATTTATTTGTAGATCTTTGTGTTCTTGGTGGGTTTTCTCTTAAAAATCATTATATGTGTGATACAATGGAGACACAACTGAAGTTTGTAGATCCTCTCTGGATTACACAAATGACATTTTGTGCCTTATGTACTCATGGAAACCAATAGATTCCACACTCTTAAGAACCATCTTGTCCAGTGAGACAGTTTTTTTTTTTTTTTTTACATTTTATAAGGTAATCTGAAAACTTTTTCACAGAGGTAAATGAAGACTTCGAGGGACCAGGGTTTACCTCAGAATGTAGGTGAGGAGGAGCATCTGCAGGACTAAGAAGGGGTAGGCAAAGCTCTCTCTCAGGGGTGGGGTCCACATCACCCTGGTGCTCTGATTACATCCGAGAAAAGCACAAAAACAAACATCAGCATTCAGAAAATCAGAAAGCTTCACAGGGAATGGAAAATACAAGCACTGAGCTACTTTTCTTTGTGTATTCTCTGAAATTTGATGTATTGAAACTGTTGCTTTAAGTCTCTCCTCCTGAAATGTCACTAAAACATTTTTATCGACTGACATTGAGCTGTTTTACCGAGGGTTACCCTTTAACACTTTTGTTTGTCATGTTTTCGCCCTGTACTGTGTGTTTGTTGGTGTGTAAACAGAGCTGACTCACTCACTGTAAACTTGATCTACCTACAGGTACAAATGATGTGACCTTGAACCTTGAAACAGACAGCTGCAGGCTTTGGCACTCTCAGAACTGAGCAATACCATCTAATGTAAGGAAGTAATATTTAGACCACCCTACATACACTAACAGACTGAGGAGTCTCCTCCGAGCAGACCAGGTCACCTCCTCCCAGTTTTAACTTCTTTTACATAACATCAATTATTCTCCACTATTTGAAACAAGCAGTTAGAGAAAAATAGTGAGCATTTTGGGCCTAACTGTTTCAGAACCAGTCGTCTGAAGTTGTGCGAGTTCACACCATTTGCGTTGATTAGGTAAAAAATAACATCAGACTTCACACAGTGTCAGAAACTTGGAATAAAAGACTGAAAGCGTTGAGAACTTTATCAGGACCCTCCCCGGTTTTTGGTTCCCTGTCATTATCACATTTTCAACAGCTTGTAAAAAGGGAACCTCATTCTAGCACCTTACAAAACGTATTCCACATTGAGTGAAAAAAAAAAAAAACACCTCATGTGTTTGTCGCCTCGAACACGCCATCCCATCTTACGTAGCTATTCTAGTTTTGACTCGTGCCCAGTTCTGAGTGAGCGCTGTTTAGTTTCTTGACCTCAATTAGATTTTTCTAAGACTGGAGTTTGCATGTTTCGCCTCAGACAAGAAAGAACTTCATAAGCGAGATTCATCGTTTGGTTTTCAGACTTGCCAGTTGACATTCCTCGCTTTCACCCACCTCTACAGCAAATCAATATCCTGCCTCACATCACTCAGACTGAATCTTTCCACCCACCCTCCATGAGGCAAAAAACAACAACGCTTCTGCTGAGACAATCGACTGCTGCAGCCAAGGGAAAGAAAACGACCAAGAAATAAGAAATCATGTTGAAAGGATTGAGAATTATTTGTGTGTGTGTGAGAAAGTGTGTGTGATTGAAATGTAGCCATATTGATCCTCAAAAATAGAGACTTCCTTTATATTATGAATGAAACTGGAGAGAAGAAGGTGGGTGGAGGGGCTAAGCTTTGAAAGCCAGCCAAAACCAGCTCTAAGCTCCTTTGAGGGGCTGAAATGAGTCCCTATTAACCACCCTCTGCTTTTCTGAGAGCCTTTTTTTCTATTTGGAGTTTTACACATTTCAGAAGCTTACACCCAGAGAGACTCACATGGGATCATAGTGCTGAGCAACAGAACGTACACTCTCCTCGCCCGCTGACACTGACAGGGAAGGCAGCACTCACCTCGCCGTGATTGAAGAAGAAACATGTTGAAGTAACAATGCCGCCGATCACGCTGCCGCTGCACGGGGAAAATAAAGAGAAGCAGACACGTGAGATAAGACAGCTGAAGACGGACTGAGCAACAACACCCTCAATCTGATGTTTTAAATCCATATTTGAGAGGAGAGAAACTGAAAAGATGTTTTTCTGCCTCGACTTGACAAGAGCATAAATATTCCATTGTGCAGGACAGATACAGGAGAAGGTGTAGAGATACCTGAGGTATGCGCCGTAAATGAAGAACAGGCTCATCATCACGCCGTTCAGCAGGAACACACAGGTCACGTAGAAATAAGCCGGGTCACCCATTCCTAAGGAAAAAGAAGAAGAGATACAGACAAACACAGAGGAGACACTAAGGGTTAATCGGGAGGACAAGTGATGAAAACACTGAAAGGTTTCTTACAATTGTACAATTCAGTTAACCCTTCCTCAGACGTTTGGTCTCCAGTAACAGTGAAGAAAACACACAGCCTGGTCGACTTTGAACACAATTTAGTTGGCTCATCTTTCTTTGTCAAAAATGACTCCACAGTTTTCAGGTGGTTCAAAGACTTCGCAGTGAATCCTTTGAAAAATATCCAGATGGGGATGAATAAATTGTTATTTTAACTAAAAAAAAGCCAGATTGCCTGAGCAAAATGGGACAGTTTGTACTTGATAATTCAAAGAGAAAATTGGTGCAATCTGATCCAATCCAGTACAGTGTGATCTGATATGGTGCAAAAAGATTTAATAAATGGTACGATACCATACCATGCAATATAATACGATACCATATAATAAGATACAATACGACCATATATAATACGATACAATACAATATAATGAGATACGATACAACCATATATAATACGATACAATACCATACAATACAATACAATACAATAAGATATGATATAATACGATACGATATAATATAATATGATACGATTCAATACGACACAATAAAATACGAAACAATACGATATGAAGGGATATAATACGATACGATACAATACGATACAATACAATACGATACGATATAATACAACACGTTACGATATAATACAATATGATACAATACGACACAATACAACATGATATAATATGATACGATATAATACGATGTAAAACGATACGATACAATAAGATACGATACAGTACAACACGATATGATAATACAATACAATACAATATGATAGGATACGATATAATAGGATACAATATAATATAATACGATACGACACAATACAATGCAATACGATGCGGTATAATACGATACGAAAGGATACGATACAATACAATACGAAACAATACGTTACGATTCCATATGATAGGCTATAACACCAGACAATACAATACGATGCAGTACAATGTCAGGCAGACTAAGTATGCTCTTTTTAATCTCACCTCAAAACTCACTTCCACCTTTTAAATACACGGTCTTAGTTGCAACTGTATATAAGACACAGACTTGTTTGTTGGTGGGCAAAATTAGTCCTAACTGTGTATCTGCATTTAGACTTTCTTTACATTTAGCAGCATGCAGTTTCTTTGCAGACATACAGCTCTTGCCAGTGCTATCTGCTACTACCAACAGGTATATGTGAGGTAAATGAGCCCAATCTAAACTGGCCTTGATAGTTGTGAGGTATAGATGGTCCCACTTCTCCCAAATATTTTATATCACATTATGTGTCATGCATGTTCTTAATAACAGTCACAGTTTCTTAGTTGAAAAGTCTTTCCTCTAACTTTGGTGTGTTCACTTACTTGCAGTTTGTCAAGTTAGGTTTAATCTTATCTGGCTGTTTAATCAGGGCTTGATGCTAATAAACACTTCAACATTGCTTTAGCTTGTGAACTGACTTGTCTCAAGGTTGTTGTTGTGGCTCAAGCAGAGGTTCATGTGCATTTTCTAACTAGGACATGTCAGAAACCACATGAATGCAGGGTTTGCACACCACAGATACTGCTTTCTGCTTCAAGCTCCATATTCGGGGTGAAATATCGTAACAGAACAAATCAACTCTTTCTGCTTTTTGTTCTGGTTTAGTGCAAGATTGAGCTGCAGGTTGTTGCCGACAAGAAACTCCCAGAAAAACAGGAACAAGCACATATGAACCTGCTCGACACAGCTCATAATTTCTTTTGTTTTTTGTAATTTGTTCCCTTGTGCATACAAAGAGGTTTGTTGTGAACACACCTCATTTCACAGTTCTAAAATAGCTGGCTGTTGTGAGTGTTGCTATAACTGAGAGCTGTTTCATCACAGTGTTATGACAGTAAATCACAAGACAAACAGAGAAACAGCTTGTTCCAACAGCAGCTCAGTGTGAAAAAAATAAACCTTCAATATAGACTCCTCGCTCTCTAATTCAGCGTCTCACAGAAATAATGCAGCGGCTGGCAGCTACAGGAAACGTTCCCATTTTCTGTAAGCTCTTACGCAAGGTAGCTTGCATCAGGTTTATGTAAACAGAGAAAACAGACAGTGTTCATCGACCCCGGGGTTCCTCGTTTGACTAATGAGACTGACAGGAACACAGAGGCTGCAGCTCCACTAAGGCAAGCTGACAACAGATTTCACTTGTTTACTGTCAGCGGATTTACCCTTTGAGGAAACGCTCCCACAAACACACAGAAGAAGAAGAAGAGCGTTTGTTTAATTTCACTGAGAGGATTTTTCTTTCCCCCCACAGGTGGATGCGATGTTAATCATGTTTCCTTGACAGATTTGTTTTTCTGCCATGAGATTATTGCCCAACGCTTGACAAGATTTGATGTTGTTAATCTAAATATTTACCCAGGTACTTTTTTTTTCTTTTAATGTGAAAACCGTGCCAAAACAAGAAGTAGATAAATGGATTCCAGGTTGAGTTTGACAGCAGATAAGTGCAGTTAAATCCAGAGTTTATATACCTCTATATGAAAGATGCAGTCTGCTTGTGAGGGCTGCCAGAGGAGAAGAAAGTTTTAGCTGTATTCCTGTATGAAGACTTCCACTGTGTTCAGCAATGAGCAGCTTCTCTGTCGATGTGTAGCTCTTTCTAATACTGACCCAGCTCTCTGTACAGTAGTCTGGCTCAGCATATGGAAACATTCAGTGCGTTTACATGCACATCTTAATTGGACTAAGCTCATATTTCGTTTCTTTTCCCCTGAATCGGACTTCTCTCCTTGTCGGGGTTTATATGCAGTTGAGAAAATTTAATTATTGATGTGAACGTGTCCTCTTTCCCAAAACTAGGGGGCGATGTGGGTCTTTTCAGCTGCGCTGTTTCCGACCCCAAACAACTGTCAACAACAACAACAGCAGGTCCGTGCAAGACATCAGAAGTGTCTACAACTGCTGCTGGGTGTTTTCCAGCACGACGATGGAGCATCAAGTACAGCGTTGTTTTTGTCGTACATGATGTACGCACTACTTTTTCTGCAGATGAGACTCACGCTACTCCTCTTCTCCTGTATTTTTGTTACGGGGTTATGGGGGCGTGGCGCACGCACAAATGCATTGTCCAATCATACCCCAGACAACGCTGGTTACATGGTAGAGAAAATCGAATCCCAATCGCATTATCTGGGAGTCTTAATCCTAGTTCTCTGACTCCAATTGGAGTTCTCAAACTCCGATTATAGTCGGACTAAGGTGTTTACATGCACTTCAGTGGTCCGGTCTTAATCGAAGTAAGGCAATAATTCGGTTTTCTCAACTGTCATGTAAACGTACTGACTGATAGCTGTGAGTTGCAGCTCGCAAGCAGCTCCCTGAGACGTGCCTGGCTGTTTTAGCTGCTTCTGAATAAGTTATTTGTGATTTTTTTTACTACTGTTCAGGACTGAAAGGGAACATCATTTAATTTAACTCTCCAAATAAACGTAAAACTCCTAATCTCCACTCTGCACCTTGAACACCTGTTATAGTACAATGATTCTGGACAGAGAGTGGGTATAACTTACTGGGAAGAAGTTACAGCACAGCTTTCAGGCTCAAACCCCTGAAGGCAAACACCCCCCGGTGCTCACTAAAGCTTTGTGTTCTCAGTACAGACACCGTGCCAGAGGCAAGGAGACCAAAGAGGACTCTGTTTGACAAAAAAAAAAGAGATAATGGGGCCGTAAAAGAGCTCATCTCAGTCTGGCTTTTAAAATGTTGGCTGAGTGAAGATTTGCAGAGGTCACAAAAAAGTCTGGAGTGATGTGGGCCAAGAAAACACTCAATAAAAATTTGGTTTGAGTCACTTTTGACTGGATATTTTCTTTTGAGTACTTGGAAGTAGAAACATTATTTTAGTAGAGTTTTATCTGAATGTAAGATGATCTGAATCACGTTTTCTTTTCTTGATTTCAACATTAAATTTCAGGAAAGTTCTCTTGGTTGTTTTAACTTCATCTTTCTCAGACGAAAAAGACGCTGTAAAAAAAAGTCATCCGTTAAATTCAACGTGAGAACATGTTGTGTTGTAACAGTTGCACACTACAAATCTATCCCCCTGTGCGACGTAGTCAACATTCAACCCGCTTGCTCTGTGAGTGTGTGTGTGTGTTTGTTTGTGTGTGTTTGCTGATCAGACTGGAGCTCCACTCTGTACCTTCACAGCTGTCCACAGGAGTGAGTCCCTCTCCTCTGTTAATGGACCAACACATCTTCGTAGGAACCCCAAAGTGTCCCATCACGCCCGTGTACATGCGGTACCAGCTGGCCAGGACCACCTGTGGAGCAGAGACGGGAGCCAATCAGTGAGAATCCTCTTTAAACAACATGTTTGAAAGTCTTTTCTGTCCTGTTGTTTCTGTGGAAACCAAGAGAAACCCACTTTGTTTCTCCAACTGGCTGTAGATTGCTTTTCTGAGGAGAAAATTTTAAACGAGTAAACTGTGTCTTTCATTTTACGCCTAATGTATCTAAAGGAAACACAAGAAATAAAAACAGTAGGTGTGAAATCAGTTCAAAGTTAGAAAATGGTCTGACAAATATACAACAAATACAAATTCACAGCAGTGGCAAAAACAATCAGTCTTTTTTGATTTTGTAAAGGGTTTTGTTTATTCCTGTGCAGATATATACTTTCAGTAGACAAAAACAAGGATGCTCTTTACGGTCCACTTTTCTCTAAACATGCACGTATACAAATCAGGAATGAAGAATAATTTTGAGCTTTTGGACCTTTTTTTTGCTGGGATACTGTACTTGTGAAATGAAATGCTAACGAAACTCAAACTTTCTTCAGTCATGTTGTGAATTTGTTTTTAAAAAGTATCAAAAATCTATTAAATCCCATCTTTGGTGGGGTCTTGATAATTCATCAAACAATGAGCGTGGTCTAGACCTACTCTTTTTCTTTGGAAAGCGTCTTGGGATGACAACTGTTGTGAATTGGCGCTATATAAATAAAATTTGATTGATTGATTTTATTGATATTACTCTGTATCTGTAAAATCAACCAGTAAACCCATTGCCATTTATTAGGGATGTTCCGATACGATACTGATATCAGATATCGGTCCGATATCATCAAAAAAACAAATATCTGATTATATCGACCTGCATCTAAAATCTCTGATATCAGCACTCCAATACAAGCAGTCCATTCCAGACTCCGCTCCAGCAACTCCATTTAGCAGCGCCTAGATCCAGCATGCAGAGCCCATGTGATCACAACAAGGGTGTGTACTGAGGTACTAATAAAGTTGCAAGGAGTAGAAGTGATGTCGGCTGTGTGGCAGTACTTTTCGTCCAATTCCCAAAAAGACGTTGCAGCTGAATGCAAAACTTGTTTGTGCCAATATTGGATCATTTTCGGTATCGTATCGGAAGCAAAAATGTTGTATTGAGACATCCCTACCATTTATCAATCAGTCCTCAACTCACAGTCCCCTCTTATACATGCACAAAGTTCCTGAAAACATCCTGAAATTACCCTTGTGAGCTTCACCCTGAATATTTAGTATCATTCTGGGGCAAAGTCCAGGTGAGTTCATGTTGCTCATGGGGCGCTGATGTTCATCATGCAGCCGGTGTTCTGTCTAGTTTTGCTCCATGGTTAAAAAATGCTGCTGTGGAGCTCATCAATAATAGAGGCGCCTGGTTTGCACCAGTTACTGAAGTTTTCGGGTCATAAACATGGATAGGTTTACTGTTAGAATAAGACAGCATGCTTTTCTTTTTTTTTATACTAATATGAAACTTTTACTTCAGGTTTTAGGAGAGGTGTATTTCAGTGCACTAATATCCCTTATCAAATAATGCAGCCAGTGCAGAACCACTTTAAACCTCACCACTAATCTCTCTATTTGCATTGCCAGAGATGTACAGAATTTGTTTTGACACTCTATTACAAAATCTGTCATTAAGACATCAAAACTTGAATGTCACTTCAGCCGGACTCACAAACAGCAAACTGAATGTGTGCACTCTGGGATGGATAAGCAAGCATACATAATTCATAAGAATAGAAGTTTTAAAATGAACTTTACCTCTGGATAGAGATTGAACCTCTTCAGTGTGTTGATAACCAGCGGGTACTCTGTCAGCCGGTCATTCATGATCATGTGGAGGCCGTCAAGAAAGGAGGGAGCCTCAATAATGATCTTATAGTAGGAGTAGTACAAACCCTGGACCAAAAAGACACGAATAGTTGTTGATGAGTCAAACTCAGACTGAGAAAGATGTTAGAGGGAGAACTAAAGACGGAGGAAGACTGGGAGAAACAAGAGGCTCTATAAGACAGAAAGACAGCAGGGGGATCTAACTAAATATAACTCCACCACAGCACACATCTCAGATAGAAGAAACACAAACAGGCTCAGCAGATGGCAACAGCTCACAGCCCACTCTGCAGCACTCAGCTGGGGTGAGAGAGGAAAAATGTTCTGTTTGCATATGATTAAGTCATCACCTTCAGTGTCGGCTCTGAAAAGGGCACGGAGGCTGTGCTGCATGTTGAATAGCAACAACTTCTACAACAGTTACCGCGACAGAGACACACAAACAGATGTCGCATTAAGTTACACACATTTGCAGGATTTTAAGTGTCCTCTAAAGTGAGCCGACACAAAACAGTCAACTTTTTTTTTCATTTGAGTGATGTAGAAGAGCGAGTCTGTGACCTGACAAACTCAGGCAGAAGTGTTAAACATGTTTCCACCTTTAATGAGGCGCTGTGTTTGGAAATGTCACAGTTATTATTCTACCTGGCTTTCTTATTAATCACCTGGCTGTGTTAAATACTGGCTTCTGATTGGCCAACACCATGTAACAGCATCACCAGGGACAATCAGATCACATTTGTCACATCAAATAATCTTCACAAAAGAGTTCATGATTTCACTTCTACCTGTTGACAGTGTGGCAAACATGTTAGTCTAAATGAGCATCTTTAGGACCACAGGGACAAGGACTCTTCCACTAAAGAGCCAAATGTTGTTTGGAATTATTTTGTTTTAATATAGAGGGATTCTCTTGAAAATGGTATAGCCTGAATGTCAAACACTGTGCTGCTGAGCATTACTGGCACCTTCCAAGTCATGCCATGGGAATTTAGACATCACTATACCATCCCTATGCCCCCTGTGTTTCTGAGTTAAAGGGATATTCCGGCGTAAAATTAATTTAGGGACAAACACACCGTAACACTGAGTTGCACCACTACACTCTATAGCGGAGTTTCGCAGCTCAAGGAAGAACATTTATTATCATTTCCTCATGGAAATGCAATCAGAGAACTACCACATCTGCAATGCTAAATGATTAATATGGTGCTTATAACTTCAAGGAAATGATAAAGAAATTATCATAAATGTTCTTCTTTGAGCTGCGTCACCCCGCTGTAGTCCATGAAGGACTGGCCTGAGGCCTCGCTACAAACAAGCGGCTGCTGGAAGAGAGTAGGTGAGTTGTGTTTAGTCTCTTTGCTAAAGATATTAGGCAAAGTTAAAAAGATGTTTGGTGTCTAGTACTATGGCAGGGATCCTATATGTGCTGTTGATGAAGTTAGGTGCTGTTCTGAGCATTATTTGTGGCTATAGAGTGGCTTTTTTGTTGAGGTTTGTTTATGGCCCTTCAGACCGATGTGTATTGCTATCCTGCAGTCATTACTAAAGTTGGTATAACTAGAGAAACCAGTAGTTGGCAACATTCATCTCTCGACGGGGTGTCTAACTCCATATCAGGTGTGTTTGACCCTGAATTAATTTTACGCCGGAATATCCCTTTCATGGTACCTTCCGAATCACATCATGGGCACTTAAGACATCTCTATGCCCCCTGTGTTTCTGAATTAAGTGCATGGTTCCCTCACCCACCTCAGTGGAAATGATTCTGTGCCCATGCAGTGATTCCCACTTCAGAGTCATGTCTGTTTTTAACAGGTCTAACTCCTCCACACCTCAAAATCACCACCTTGACCACAAACCTTTTCTCATCTTTCCATATGAGAGATTCAGCCTCTCTGCTCATTTCATACCCAGTCCTGTTAATAATCTTAGCTGGAAGAGGTTCCTCTGGGTGTGTTTTTTAGCACTACAAACTGTTCAACTTTCTGTTGTCCCTCTCTCAACTCTTTTAAATCATCAAATTAATGTTTCATTGCATGCTTTTAATGACTAGTTTTCTTTTTTGAGCTAATAAAATCAGCAAATTTCAGCAAACATATGAAGTAGTAGTGTGTCCATATCCAGTAGAAATCTTCTTTTGACATGTTACAGAAAAATTATGATAATCTATCGTTCAATAACAATGCCATAAGAAGCAAACAGAAGAGCCGTTTACCATTTCTGTGCGAAAAGCCATTTCCTTCTCCAGGTTGGACAGGTGTGAAAAGTGTCTGTCATTCTCAAACAGCTGAGAGAGATGTTGCCTGATAATAACAAGAGGGTAAAATACATGAGAAAGGAGCTGCAGACATTTGTAAACACGGTGGGAATGAATGAGCAACAACTACCTACCAGTGGAAATATCCTGCGAGACCAGCTGTGGACGAGAAAGAGAGAGAAAAATCTGATCAAAACATCATGCTAGTCCACTTCACAAACTAATAACAGGCTTGAAGAGAGGAGGAGCAAAATCACAGACTTTAACTTTACCAGAAAACCTGTTAACACGCGCACAGCTGACATGTCATTAAATAAGAAACATGAAGTAAAAGCGGTAACATCAGGTGGCTAACACTGTTGAGCTAGCTCTGAGGCGGGCTAACGTTAGCCAGCTGATCGGTGTGGAGATAACTTGATTTGAGTGGATCCGTCAAAAGCTTCCCCCCTTTAAAACCCACGGCGTTAGCAGCCGTTAGCTCGCAGCTAGCAGGCTAACGTCTCCCAACTTACCGAGCACGAGCGTGAATCCCAGCCACACGAGCGCGGAGGGAGTTGTTAGCCCGAGCCTGTGTCTGAATCCGGAGAGCCCGTTTGAATGGGAGCTGTTGAAGGCTTTGCCCTCCCTGCCAGCCCGCCTCACGGTACTTTTACCGGGAGGAGAAACGAGCGGGCTCCTGTCGCGGTCAGCCTGGGTCGCTGGACTCTTCCCGGGCTGTTTTCTGTTTTTAGCCACCATGGTGTCCCGGGGGGAAGAGCCGCGCGGTTCGGCACCGTTGAGAAAACACCCGAGTCTGTGTGTGTGAGTGTAAGCAGAGGCAGACACACACTGCTGCTCGTATCTGGTCCTCGGATCTGCCCCTTTTACTACCTGAGTGATGCTTTGACTGGTGCCTCGCTTCAGACGCTCGCAGAAACCTTATGAAGCTGCGCCCCCATCTGGAGAATCAGCGCTACTACAGGGAGCTTCGAATGGTCACCATAGCAACGCGATTCGTTGGGTACCAAACTGGATCACTTAATGCAGAATGACGGGGGGCGTGTTCAAAAGGGATGGCAGGGTCCCCTATGTGCCACCCCACACCCATCAAATATGATCTTTACATTTCACCTGGCATCTACAAAGCTTTAGAGATTTCATATTTCACTTCTCATGCATGATTTATCAAGGCTTTTCATGATGAATCATGCATGATTTACAAAATATCTTTCATAATCCAGCGTAAAGGGGGGAAATTCAGTGTTAAAATTTCCTTAAAAAATACCATGTAGGGGAGAGTGGGGTAAGTTGAGCCAAAGGGTAAGTTGAGCCACCCCCTGTTGCTTGGACACGGTAAAAGAAATTGATCATGTGACCAAACATTTAGGAGATGGTCATCAATTCATGGAGTCTGTGAAGGTTAGAAGCACATGGGTGAAGGGGTTAGACATTTATGGCAGTGAATGCTGGACCCTGAAGCCAACCCTGGAGAAATCCCTAGATGGGTGCCACACCAGGATGTTGCGTGCAGTGCTTAACATCAGCAAGAACGCACATGTAACCAACAGAACACTGTAAGGGGGAATACCAAGGGTGAGCGAGAAGATTGCTGTAAGGAGAATGAGACTAGCAGGACACTGCCAAAGGCATCGGGAACTGCCAGCCAGCAAATTGGTGCTGTTGGAACCAACACATGGGCATCGGTCAAAAGGACGTCCTAGACTATCATATGTGGACATACTCAAGAAGGATGCAGGAGCTAAGAGTACCACCGAACTGGCGAGATGTATGGAGAATGGCTGTTATTTAGGGAGAGAGAAGGTAAGGGAAGGGCTGGGGTGAAGAGTAGGTAGTAGGGATATGGCTCAACTTACCCCGCTCCTATGGTCAACTTATCCCATACACGGGGTAAGTTGACCATAGGAGACCACTTTTTTTGCCATGCTATATTATCAAGACAGTTATGTTTACATTCTCATGCTGTTGGTTTGCAGGGATGAACAACATCTTGAAATATATGCAGATACACTAGTTAGAGACAAAACTATGACCGCCTTGATGTAGTGATCCGGAATATGAAAACTGGCTCATCTTACCCCACTCTCCCCCATGTAAATTGGACCGCAAACAAAAGGAAATTTCTTCCAGCAGGGCAAACAGAAGCTGCATCTGCAGATTTAAACCAGTAGATGTCACTATGAAACCATAATAAACCCACCCTGAAGACTTTCATTCAAGTTCCACTTCATCACAACAGCTCAGTATTTATCTTGATACAAACTTAAGCTTTACTTTACAACACCTTACCCCAGCCAGTAACAAGATTAATAGTAGTTTTACAGCCATGGATATTAGCTTTTTTTTTTAAAGATGATGCATCATCCATACTTATACTTGCAGTTTAATGACTTTATAAGGTAAATTCACGTCCCATTGTATACTTTGTATTTATTTTAAGTTTTCAAAACAAATTATATGGACCAAAACAGATTTTAAAGAGGGAGATTTAAACTCTTCATTCGACGCTTTTGCCTGAGTTTGGAGCAGACAGTCTTGCAGCAGGGATAAAAAAACAATAAAAATGAGTTTATACCTTCTATTTAGCTTGGAGACGGACAAAGAGGGAATGAAATCTGCCTTTCTTCAGCCTCCACAAACAAACCCTCGGGCCGGGGAATCTACCCACTGATTCCTGCTGATGTGATGGTGGATGGTTTTGGATTCGGGAGGTGTGTGGGTGAGAAAAGCAGGAAAAATGGGAGGTTTTGGGACGCTGTGTGTTTGTTTTCTTATCCAGCTCCATACTGTGAGCCAATGTGAGAATCTGTGAGAACCACGGACAAGAGAGCAGATGGCAGATGAATGTGGAGTTGGAGCGAGAAAGACTCCAGTTGTCCCTCAATGTGAAATTTTAAATGTAGTGGTGGGAGAGCACAATTTAAAACTCACAACATATAGAAACATGGGACATTGTTTTAGAAAACATTAAAGAATTATTACTCTCCGTCACTGCTCATGCACATCTGACAGGATGCTTATTGTAACACCATCCTACTACAGCTGATGTTGCAGCACTTTGACCTCACGCCCTCCTCGGTTTGTCTGTCCAAACCCCGAAAAGCCAGCAGCACATGTGGACATCATGTGAGATTAAAAAGCCTTTCCTGCATGCCACATCTCTCACCATCAACCCCATATTTCCAACCCCATTCCTCCTCACTCTCATGGCGGTATTTCCTCAAACTTCCAGCGTATTCGCGGCTGGATGTTCCAGTTTGAAACACAATAACTGAGGATGAGAAGTTGACAGAACAGGGACTCCGCTCAGGTCAGAGGTTTCTGGGCCGACACCCTTTCCAAAATGCTTAATGCAGCAATTTTTTAATCACATAGAAATTTATTAATTAAAATTGAGTGTGTCTAGTTTTAGATAATGTTGCATTCACAGAAATGGTGCTGCGAAGGCCTGGCCTGTAGAAATGATGTCTAATTGCACGTGTGTGTCTTCATGAGTGTCAGTGTGTGTGTGTGTCAGTGGGTGGGTGAGTGTGTGATGCAGCAGGCGTTGGGACCTCACAGTGGGGGAGGAATTAATTTACAGGCTGAATGGCTCCCTGTGCAGCAGTGACATGTTTATCAGGCAGCAGAAACACATGCTGCCAATGATCACTCATTGTTTGAGTATCAGTTATCTCAGCATTAAGGCCCATTAGTTTTCTCTGGAAACTGATTCAATTAGCGCTCTCCAGGGGCCCCGGGGCCACAACACCACATCAGCGGGTCACAGGAGAGAGCGGCTGTCACACCAGGACAAGTGTGTGTGAATGTGTGTCTTGTCTGTTAAGACCTCTCCATGAGACTGAGTCAGGATTAAATTTTGAATTTAAAATGTTAATTCTGCTTAAAAATATAAATAAAAACAAATAAACAGCAAAGTCTAATGTTGTTTTTATCTAAAATCACAGTTGAACTTATTTTTTACATTGTTTCCAAAATTCAAGACACTATTTCATCCAAAAATCTTAAATTTTCAAGTAAACATAGACTCAAATTTCCTGGTTTCTTGCTTTGAAAGTTGGTGATTTTGCAATATTTTTTACAGAGACACTAAGAAAAGTTTAAACAACAGACGCAAAACTAGAAACTGTTAATGTCACACTGACAAAAACCAACAAAAAAAGAGCTCTTCCATGTGCAAAGTAACACAAACATCTTTAACATCATTCATAAATTTAAAGGTGTACTTTTATGCCAAAACACGTCCCATTTTTGCATCAACTACTTTTTTTCAGTGTCAGAGACCAAAGCTTGACTAAATTAAGATAAACTGTTCACATTTAAATCAATTAAAAGAATAGAAAGAGGTACAAGAAGTTGGTGTTGTTCCTCTAAAAATTTCTAATGTTTTTTTTAAACACATTGTTTTTTTTAAATCTTGTTTTCAATGCAAACATTTTAACAGACAAAAGTAGAGAAATAGCTCAAGGCAAGGCAAGGTTATTTGTACCGCACCATTCATACACAAGGCAATTCAAAGTGCTTTACAGATGGGAGGAAATACATAAAAAATTTATAGAAGGAGAGATTAAAACAATTTAAAATCAAAAAGACATAAAATGATTTGAAATCAAAAAGACAAAACAATTTAAAATCTATAAGACATAAAATGTAACTAAAAATCATAAAAACAAAATGCTCAAAATGAAATGACAATGACAGTGCAGCATTAGTGTAACTTTAAAGCTACTGTGAGAAACTTTTTAACCTTTTTTTAACAAGCTGAAATTCATATTGATCCCTTTTAAGATATATAAAAGCAAAAACATGAATTAAATTCGCTATACCGTCATTTTTCATACCTAATACCAATGTGTGGGTATACGTAGCAGCTGAAATAACAGCTCTGTTTTTACATACTTTAAAAAAATCCCCATAAATGATAGATTTGACTGTCCAGAGTCAGCGGGTTAATTTTTTTAAAAGTGTAGAAATAATGTATGTAATGTAGAAATTGGGCAAAGACTGTTTTGTCCACAGGGGGCGCCAAAACTGACACAAACAGAAAATTCCTCACAAGAGCTTTAAAGAGAGCCTGTTAGCTGTAACAGGTAGTTAGCTGTAAGTCCTTTTCAGTAATAGAAGACGACTGTCTGATCATGAGCTTCATCACGGTCACGAGTTTTTGTGTGTTTCTGTGCGTGTGCCTGAAAGAGTGATAAAAGTGTGATCATCATTCTCAGATGTCTTTCACCCTAGCAGGTGCTGCAGCTGTGTTCAAAGTTTTTCTCTCTCTCTCAGGTTGTTGTCATGGTAACACCTGTTTAAGGTGACCAGACCGATGGCCTTGGCCTCGTCTTAATCCTGGTAACACAGCTGCCTGGATTACCGGAGCACCTTGACCCGGAGCGTTTGAATCCCTCGCTTCCCGGGACAAAGCTGTCGACCGGTTCACCTGCTGCTCAGCTGATGTGGAGATAAACGAACAGGGGGACGTCAGCCTGATACACATCAGGGAGGTTACTTCATTTCATTAACAGAGAGCTGCTGGTGGCTCCGCTCTGTGTTTAATTCATGTACCTGAACCCTCATTTTTATTCCAATTCAAAGTCTTATCAGCAAGTCTGCGCCACATGTCCCTGATAAAATGAGGCTGATTTTAACTAAGCCAAAGAAAAAAACAACTTAGAATATTTCAACCTTTTAAGTGCTGCGTAGTCGTCACTTTGGCTGATTCAGTCAGTAAACTGAATGTCTGTGTAGAGTTTGTGTTATTGGTGGTGAATTTTTCATGCAGATACTGGACACAAATAATGATTTTTTAAAGATTTTTGTGCTAATAGACCATCCAGATGGTCTGCGCTTAAGTTTGTTTTAAAGTCAGTGAAACTCTCGCAAAATTTAGTTTTATGCTAATACATATTAGCATCTGTCAGTATACGTACTTCCTTATTTCTGGTCTGTAAACTTGGCTCCTTTACCAACTTTGGACCAGCGAATAAAGTTATCTTGGGCATGATGATTTCAACTTTGATGACTTAGTGTTGGCTAAGTTTTGCACCAGTTTCAGTGTCCTGCATTTCTCCAAAAATCTAGACCAAGGCTTCAAACCTGCATCCTACAAATGAATCTAATTTTATTTTGTTGATACAGAGCCGTAATTTGCACTATGTTCTGGACTTTTCACAGTTAGGACAGCTATAAGTATGACAAAGTATCCAAAAGTGTTGAAAATGTTGTAATCTGACTTAAGCAACCTCAATTTTGGGACCTAGAAATGAAAGATGCATCAAAACAAGCAACTTCCATACCAATCCTGCTTCAAAAATCCCTCGTTTAAATTTTTATTGTCCAAATTTATGGTGCTAAAAAGATTTTACAGATATCTTTTAAAGGTTGAAGATAAATTCTGTCACTAAATCAGAGAAAAGATTTAAAAAATGAAGCTAGGAGTCGTTTAATAGCTGCTTTGGTCAGGTTCAAGGCAGAAATATTTAAGCATGTAAGGTACGATTAAAGAGAAGTCGGGGAGGGGAGAGGAGGGAAAGATGAAGGGCAAGTAAGAGGCCAAGTGGCGAGTTGAGAGAGAGGACATGATTGGCTTAAGTCGGTGCAGAAAGATTGTTTCCTTTGGCCCTGTGCTGCGATTTCCTGCCCTGTGATCATCTCTTCCATATGATTAGGCCGATGTGCAGGGCATGCAGTCACATGACGGGCTTTGCTTCATGCCGGCTGTGCAGACAAACGAAGCGGAGCAGCAGCAGAGTCAGCAGGCCGACACACACTCTCACTCGTACACACTGACACACACACACAAGATTAGCTGCAGCAGAGAAGCAAACACACACACACACACTGGTGATGATTTTGTTAAACTAGCTTCATGTTAGCATTGAGTTTCCTCTAAGTGTTGTAAACAGATTCTGTGTTTGATGACAGATCTTTAACAAACATAGAGGGACCTAAAATTTTTAAATTTAGGGGTGAATGGCCCTTTTTTGCCAGTTTTTTAAATTTTATATGCTGGCTCAATCTGTTGTATCACTGTTGAAAGGAAAATTTAGAGCCCGAGTGATCGACTGACTGCAAAAAAAAGATTGTAAGATGTTGTTATGGTGCCATAAACACACGGTCAAAAAACATGTTTTTAATGGAAGTCTAGTGAACAAAGTAGGGTGGATGGAACTGAAATGTGGCGATGGTGAACGACAGGTGACACAGAGTTTTTTAATATGAAGAAAAAGAACTCTCACCAAATTTGATGCCCAAATCTTTAAAAATGTGACCGTCAGCTCAGAAATAAAGATGAAAAAAAAGACAAATGTCCTCAAAATGAACATAGTAGGAACCAAGGGTTAAAGGAAGTTCTCCAGAAGATCTTACATATTGTTGCAGATACTTTTTGTCCTCGTCAGCTGCCGTATATACCCCCTCAGAAGCTGGAAAGTCCATTCGACAGCTTGTATTTTGCCTCAACTCTGCACTTCATTGTACAGTATGTCTCAGTAATTTTCTCTTACTTGTGAAGGACAGTCAGAGAAAGACACAGTAAAATATTTGAAGTTATTTTGCGTTTTATGGACGACAGCCACATTGTAGCTTTTTCTTTCCTGCTTTGACCTCTTACACACTCTTGATAACCGAACACAAAGCTGCTCAGATCCTCTGATCGATGTCAAACCTTTAACTGAGCTCCTCTTTGGCAGAGATCTTATGAATGTGTGAGGGCATAAAGAGGCCTTTGAAAATAAAAATATAGATAAAAGAGTGATTCCTTTCAGAAACTCACCATCACTCTCCTCTGAAAAGCACACACACTCTCACACACAGGCACTCACAAACACACACACACACAACCAGCCCTGAGTTGAGTCTATATAATGTAATTAGCCCAAATCAGTGACCTCCTTTTCAGACCCTACACAATACCAGAGGGGCCCTGCTTTCCCTCAGCTTGCTCTAAACACACACACACACACACACGCACGCACGCACACACATGCATCAGCACCACCGCTGACCTTCAGAGTCACCCATCTGGGACCTTCTGGCTGATGGAAAATAGACCAGTTAGTGCTGGAGCTGTCTGGGGGAAGGATGGACACACATTGTTCAGAGGTACAAAGGATCAAGCGAACATACAGACCCGACACTAACGCACGTTTTAACAAGGAGCACCTGATGACTTCACATGTTTCCTGTTTGATTCACCTTCTTCCATACCTACTGCACATGCTGTCGTAAAAACATCTACTGATCAACCTCATAGAGCTCTCGGGACGCAACGTGTGAAAAATATTTGCTCTAATTAAGGCGACAAACCCCAGAGTCTTTAGTCTTTAGCCAGGTGAGATGACCCCGAGTCCATCACTGTGTGTGCAGACTATGGTGTGTGTGTGTGTCCACCGTGTGACTTACACACTCGACCAGCTTCTTCTGTCATTTGTCAACACCCTGGTGGTTTAATCTGTCCTGCCTGTGCAAGTATTAAGAGATTATGAGCGTTCTGCATGGCTTCATGCATGCCGCATAAGGGGCTGTTTCTCCTGCGAGGGGCCCTTCACCTCATTCTTGGAGGAGGGGGGGACGACAGGGGCCGATGAGGGGAGAGAGGAATGGAGAGGCAGAGGTGACTTGCAGGAGTATTTTTTGAGTTTTTTTATGGAGACTTGTAGGAGAGTAATATCCCTAAATCAGCTGTTTTCAAATGCGCCTCCAATATAACAGAAAAAGGTGGTTCATTAAAGCTCCAGTGGGGAGTTTTTGATGCTTTTTTTATGATATCTAAAAGCAAACATGGCCATCAACAACAGTATTACAAACTTTTATGTCAAATTTTTAATGACTTAACTCACAAGCGAAGCTAAACCTTGGACAGGAGCTGACATATTTGGATGATTTTTAAGCTTGAATCTGCTGGTTCAACATGTTAAAGATGTTCTTCTATCATGCAATCAGGAACTGTCAATCATGATGCCACGCCCCTTTTTACTGCATCAAATTACGAATTAAAGCTGAACTTTTTTCAGAAAAAAAACTTCTTACTTACTAAACTAACAGAAACCATGTCTTTAAAAAAAACCCTTTGTGACTTATTTAAAGAATTAAATCACAGTCAGGGTGTGAATGATAACTATCAATTACAATATTCAAACAATTGCATTTAATCTCAAAATTTTGAATACTTAAAATGTAACAAAATGAAATGCATAAAAAAATACAAGCAGGCCGTTGCATTACATACCAGAGAACTCTTTCAGGATTCATTCAGGTGGTTGCAACTCAAGATTGAGAGCGGGGCTCATGGACTGTTTAACGAAAAGACCGAGCTTTGGTTTCTGAAGCCTACCGGTAATGCTTTCTGCTGTAAAGATGGCTTGTTTTCTTTGAGTGGGTTCTGAGACCAACCTCAAGTTAGGGTGACCGTATACTGACTTCCCAAAAAGGGGAAACAACTACGCAGGGGCGGAGTCGCACGAAGTTAATTTTGAGAGTCTTTCGGTTCAGATCGAGTGTCTTTTACGCGCTTTTAACTCAGAAAGTCCACATGACACCAAATCGAAACTTACGTACAAAACCACGGACATTTGAAGGACTTTATAAACTTCCCAGACAAACCTGGACAGCCCCCAAAAAAGAGGACATGTCCGGGTAAAAGAGGACGTATGGTCACCCTACTCAAGTGGACACTTGAGGAACCCCTGGATCCACCTCTTGACCACCTCTAGAAACAACCAGAGCCCATCTAGTCCATCCTGTAACTATAATGCAACATCACAAATGCAACAATCACAATAACAGACAATTTAATGTCTCACTATCTTCACAGTTCACTTAATTATTTAGCATTACCTATTGTCCACCTTTTGGGTTTTAGATCATGCAGTGTGCAGCATGCATGTTTTGTCTTTTTTTAATAAAAGAGACTGAAGTCCACCTTCATATATTTCACTGATAATCTACAGAAGTGTCTATGAAGCTTCATGATCTGACAAACTTTTATATCATATCGTCACATTCGGTCCAGGACCTGAGGGAGAGCAGGGCCCCTCTGTGTCCATCTGTCTGTAGTCAGATAAAGAGAAAATATGAATCCTCTGAACTGTGTGTATTTGTGCGTCTGTGTGTGTGGGAGTGTGCGTCTTTATTAACACAGTGTCCAGGTACTGAGGCGAGCTGTAATAGGCTCTTTCAGCGCCTTGGCTGGCTGGCGTGCTGCGGTGATCTTTCAGCAGCTGGGCGCCCCGCTAACACCTCTCTGCTCGCTGCAGCCCTTCAATTAGCAGTTTATTATTGCAGAGGCCCTCGGCTTCGGCCGCCAGGCGCTTATAGACACATGCCAATACTGCTGCTGACGCTCTGTGAGCTGGAGAAAGACGGGGTGCCAGAGAGCGGAGTGACACCTTTCAGCAGCAGACTCTGGAGTTTTTGGAGTGAGTGTGTTCAGTCTCTGCAGAGGTATGAATGCTTGTCTGCGTTTACCCCCATGTAAACGTAAAATGAAGTACAACTCCTACTTTTTATATATATTCCAGGCAGGAGTGTTACAAAAGTCATCCACTCTTTGCACAGTTTGTACAAACTAAAAACGGGTCTCATAATGCAGAACTCAGATGTGTGTCAGGCTGTAAACAAGTTCACTTTCGCTGTAAAATTCAACACTTTAACATGAGACCTAATGGGGATTACTTGGCTTTCAGTGTGGACCTCGAGTGGACACTTTAGGAACTGCAGTCTTTGCATCCTAATTATGCTTGTCAGTGCTATAAGTTACGTCTTACGACAAAAAATCAAAACCCTGAAAAAATCTTTTATTCTTGCAAGCTTATAACTTCACTTGTAATCGTATTTTGTCTATACCTTGTAATAGTATACGTTTTTTTTTGTTTATTGAGACTCAGTTTTGTAATATTATGTCTTAAATGTTTTATTTACATAGTTGCATACCTTAATTTGTAAATTTATCACACCATTCTTGTAACTCTACATCTTGTTCTTAAAAATCTGCATATTTTTTAGGTTCATTTACAGCTTTTTCTTGTAAATCGAAGACTTTTATTATAGATTTATGACTTTTTTCCCTTTATATTTACTTTTTTTAAAATCTTTTTTCGGAAATTAAAGACTTAAAATCATGATGTTTATATTTTTCAGGTTAATTTACACCTTTTTGTGTATGTAAATAAAGGACTTTATTATTATAGATTTATGACTTTTTTCTTTTATATTTACTTTTTTGTCTTTTTATTTTTGGACATTTAAGACTTCTAGTCTAAATGTTCATTTTTCTCCTATAAAGTTGCCTCCTTTAAAGACAGAAATGTTCACAGACTTTGTAGATTAAAATTTGACTGAAAATAAAGGGTCCTTCCACTGAAAACATATTTGACTTCATGATAGGGCTGGGCGATATGGCCTCAAATCAATATCACGATACATTGATCAGTTCACCTCGATAACGATAAATGGACGATAACTACTCCACAAGCTGCTCACCCCCTCCCACATTAACTTTGTCTACTCCAGCGGCTACAACTTTTGAACCGTCCTCCATCTCCTCACCTGTCTTTCCCTCTTTGTTACGGACTGGATGGGGTGGAGTCACGTCTCTGACAGCGTCTTAAAGGGACACACATCCAAAACCGACTTTTATTTATCCATTTTTTTGTCACAGAATATACCGATATGGGCAAAATGAAGTCGGTTATTGTCGTAAATTTCGGTATTGGTAAATTTTCGGTTTATCGCCCAGCCTTACTTTATGAAAACAGTATCGCGAAGTAACACCACCGTGCACATGTCCTGTTCTGTTAATAGTTTGAGTCATGATCTCTGCAGATCTCTCACACCTCCCTGCCGCCTTGTGTGCACATGTGTGTGTGTGTGTGTGTTCTACTGGCTTGTAGTGGGTTAACACTCATGGTGACAAATTGTGCATGGGCTCCTCTCTCTCTCTCTTGTCTTATGCATGATCACATACAGCATACACACACACTCACACACTCACACACACATATACACACTTAGAGAGCTGCGGCCCCCCTCTCCTGCTGCTGCCAATGCACTGCTGGTTAGATATTGTTAGGATTCCATTTGCCATTTACATTTTCTCTGCTTGACATAATTGAGGAATGGATGCTCTTATGAAAATTAAACCCGCAGTCCTCCCGGGTTACTGTAACCCTGTTAAAATGTAATGAGATTCTTTATGCGTCGTCTTGTGATTTTTTTATTAAATAGAATATCAGTATGACTAATTCCCTGGGCCTAAATGTGGACTGGGACACCGCATTATTGATAGGCCGGTGCATAAGTGGTCTCTCTTGGCCTGCCTCTAATGGCCTAATAATGCATTATAGCGGTATCAGTGGGCCTGCGGCTTGCAGTGCTTATTGTCGTTATTGAAAACACCTGGGAGGACCATTCATCAAGGTTAAATCAGCAGGGCCCGTCCGTTCATTAGGCTGTCAGTAAACATCTTTATTTAGTTTTGGCTGCCGATACTGACAGAAGAGAGGATCGGAGAGGTCTGACGAGCAGCTGCGGCCCCCTCGGAGTCCAGGAAGACACAAGGACACCGAAGACACAAAGCCGACCGTGGCGAGGCTCCCAGCCAGAGGTTGCTCCACGTCCGCCAAACCGAGCCTCCTCTGTCAATTGGACGGATGACAGAGCGGAACAGATTAGGCCGGTCGTTCCGGGAATAGAGGCCGTTTTTACGATAGCTGTGCATCGGCTGTGCATATTTATCTTCTCTGATGATTGTTTGGAGTGTAAGCAGAGGGAGAGGCTGAAAAACTGTCGGGAAACCTCTGAGAATTTGGAGGTTTTTGCTTCTTCCTGACGGATGGCTCGAGGCCCTAACGAAGAAAGATGGAGCGGGCGGAGGAGCCGGTGGAGAGATGATTAACCTCATTGACTTCCATCTTTAGTTAAAGAGCAAGTTGACAAATCATCACTGAATGAGCCTGAGGCAGCAGCACCAGCACTAGCAGCACTGTCATATCTATGTGGAACTATAATTAAAACACGTATATGACTTCTTCACACTATCAGATTTTTACAACTTTACTTACCAGACTTGTATATTCTGGTGGATGTAATACCCGGATAAGGGTATAAAAAAAGTTGTACTTGTGTTTTTAGGCCTTTACTCTACAGATAATCAATAACATAAAGGTATACAAGATTGGTAATGCTTTATTTTTGTTTTTTGCATAATAGCGAGCAGAAGAGGGGTTCGAATCATTGCAGGGGGTGTTCTTTGAATACCTATAGGATGCTCTGTGTTTGTACAAGTGCATATTTGATGGTGAAGACTCCTGCTTCCCTTTGGATTCAGATCTAAGACATGGGGCTTTACAGGTGAGCTGCTGCCTTTGGGTGAATGGTCCTGGGTTCAAATCTACCAGAAAAGAAAATGTGCGTTATAATAATTATGCATAAGATTTCATAAAGCGCTTTATCAGAGACCCTCAAAGCGCATTACATTCACTCACACAGACACACTTTGGTGGTGGTAAACTTGCTCTGTAGTCACCGCTGCCCTGGGGCAGACTGGCGGAAATGTGGTCGCCAGTTTGCGCCTCTGGCCTCTCCAATTACCACAACACTCACAATCATACACCAGTGGAGGACACACACTGGAAGCAAGGTGGGTTAAGTGTCTGTCCCAAGAACACAACAAACAGACTAGAGATAGGGGGGGAAGATAGGTGGGAATCGAACCACCAACCTTCCGGATATTGGACGACTGCTCTACCTCCTGAGCTACTGCCGCCCTTACTGCTTTTCTGGGACAAACATTGTTTCTAACTCTTTAGATTAAAAGCAGTTTTTTAAAAACACTTGAGAAATAATCCAGGAGGGAAACCTGACAAAGTTTTGGTGGTTAGAGAGATGGTCCTGGGTTCAAATCTAGATCAGGGAAAGGGCAAAGGGAAGTCACCTCTGAGAGGGTGAAGAGGGACTCATCAGTTAGTGTCAGGTTGTTTGCTGGTAACTTGCAACAAGATGGGAAAATACAACTGTAAGGATGCCTACGAATGGAAGGTCCACATGAATGATCATTTTGACAAGCTTTACTGGTTTCAGATCTGGGTTACAGCTTCATCATGCTATAAGTGTAACAAAGACTAGTGTGAGATTGTTCAAGTATATATAGTCGTCCACGTTGTCAAATATTCTGCTTGCGTCTTGTTGACCTGAAGGAGAGTCCATGTAGGGTATACATGTCAGTGATGCCTGAGTGAGTCCGAGTGATGTTAAACATGGATACAAGGTCCTTGTTGAGGATGGTTGTTAGAGGCCCATGGCTCCAGAAATCTAGCTCCAAAGTATCCGAGGTATTTGAGTGACACAGCTCCACCACCCTGAAGGCTGACATGACTGGCTAAAAGAAAATCACACTAACAATAACTGATTAATTTTATGGTGAATTTGGCCCCTGCAGCGCACTTTACACAGTTAGTTCATTATACACACAGAGAAGCACCAAACACATACGTATGCATAGATGCAAGAGTGCACATGTGCATCAGCGGGGTGTAACTTTGAATATTAAGGTCATATTGAGAATAATGCATTAAACTGTGTTATTTTCAGCTGTGGACATTAAAATAAAGCAGTTTAATAATTTCTCAAAATACTGACATGTGATTGACCATTTAAGGAGTTAAAACTTACAGTTTCAGCTTCTTTGTTCCTTTCTTCCCATCATGAGTGTCCATTATATTGTTCAGCACAAGTATTTTTTCTCCTAATATGAGATAGTATATTAAAATTTCACCTGCAAGACTTGACGTTTGTGTTTAAATGTGTATTTTGATTATCATTTGTTTCAATGCAGTCCAAATTTAATCTTTGCATCTGTATTAATATATGTTTTTTCCCTCCCTTAGAGAGAAAAGAGTTTAAAAAATGACAAACAATCACTGTCATAACTTTTGAGTTCTTCAGATTTGGTTCATCTGGTTTATTTTTAATAAGAATTTTTAGGGTTTGAAGACCTAAAGTCTTTTATTTCCACTCCTCCTTTCTTTGACATGTAGAAATAAAAACAAAGCCCCTCCTTATAAAAAACTAAGCGTACATTTTCTCTTGTTTTCATGTTTTCACAAGTCCAGGAGGCCCCGCTCAAGTTTAATTCATTAACAACCTCAGAGCTCTGAATGATAAAACTTCATTAAGCTCTAATAAGACATGAGACTCATTAGTTTGAGCCTCGGCCCAAACACAGATGAATAACTCATTGTCTTCTCATAATTAATTTCTTTGCAGCTGCAGAACAATTTAATGAATAAATTAAGCCGAATTTAAAGAGTAAGTGGCGTGTAGACTGCCGTGTGAGAGCTAATATGGTCGACCATGACAATAACGATTCATTCAGAGGAAACTGCGACAAATCGAGTGGAGGGGACGCCGTTTCAGGCTTTAATACAAAAAAAGAAAACAGAGATCAGACTGTGTTTCATTGGTTTGGATTCTAATCTGGAAAATGGGCTAAAAATCAAACTCTGCCATCACTGGCTTTTAGTCGCTTTCATATAAATGATGAGGCGACTTCTGAGGCTGGCAAAAGAGAGATTACAAAGCATTGTGGGAAAGAATCTGCTGACTTGTGGTCCAGTGAAATAAATGATGTGTTGCTTCATCAGTTTATCACTGACTCCCGAAAGTGAGGATATTTATCATCATCAATATTTTAAAGTGTTTTCTTTCTCTCTCTCTGTGGACCACACTTTTCCTCAAATGAGTGATTTATTCAAGAAGGATGAAAAACAAGCTTTTGAAATTTATTCTTTTATTATTAATTATATGAAACTTTTCTTTAACTGTGTGATTTTACTCTGTAATTTGACTCTTTATGCAACTTTTGCACAGTTCTTGTTTATTTCTGCCAAAAATTAACCCCTGCAAAGCTCGATTTTCCTGCAGGTGTTCCCCTTTAACCTTTTGTCTTGGTAAAATCACGATTAAAACTGTTAATAAAGACTCCAACTTGTTCTTGTGAGGATTTGACATTAACCAAAAGCCACACATAAACATTGGGATCCATGCATACACCACATGTGAAAGATCGGTCTGGTGTCGATGAATCCATGTGGTAAGAAGCTCCTCTCCTTCCAGCTCAGATTCATGGGAACCAACATTCACGGGAACAATATATCTCTCAGTGTCCTGCAGGGTGGAGGGGATGTTAAAGCGCTGCACATGTCTGTCACTGAGCCCGCCGGGCCCCAGGGCCTCAGACCAAACACAAACAAACTACAAGAGCCGAGCTCAGGGAATTCAGACACACAGTTTTATCCACAATTACTGTATTTAACTGAATAATTTGGAAGAAAACAGAGTCAGGACTTCGGGACTTTCAGGAGTTTCATAAATCTGCAGGAATGATCTGTTTCAGTCGTCTTTGTCTGATCAAAATCAGTTTGGATTAAAATTTGCACCAATCACCATTGCTTTATTTTTCTCTGTGTTTGCTTTTGCACTCTTTTAAATATCTTCTCTTTGCACTGCATAAATATTTTAATTGTCTTCTGGGCAAACAAACTGGAAAATGTTGGATTAAAAGAAAGTATTTTCTCCCCCAGAGGCTGTGACAGCTCCTGTTATCTTCAGTTTTATTTCTCTGGTATCATTTATTTCTCTCGCTCTGTTCTCCACCCAAACTGCCTCTCTTAAATCATCCCTGTAATACTGGCCCAGATTGGTTTACACTGAGACGGTGAGAACTGGTCTTGCGTTTCCTCTGACGACCTCTAGGGGGAGATAACAGCATGAAAAGCATTTTTGAAGAGTCAGGAGAGAATGTTGCAGTGAAATCACCTCACTATCTTGTTTCTCTAAAAACACGTCTTTATTTCTCCTCATTTTGTTTCTAACTGACCTTCAAACAAAACCCAACCCCAACCAGACATCATTTTAACCCCCTTGTATTTTGTTGTAGCTGTATCATCTCAAAAGTGTCACATTTCAACATGAAAATATCTTTAAAAAATTCACTTTTTCGCTCACTGTGGTTGCTCCTAACTGTGAAGACAACAACTCCCATGATCCAACACATCCTCATCACAACGTCATGGTCTGTCCTCTGATATGATTATAATTAAATGACCCAAAGCAGCAACAAAAACATCCTTTTTTATCAAGGAAAGAAACGTACATGAGGATGCACAAAGAAGAAGAACGATGAAAAGGAAAACAAAATAAAAAACTCAAAGTGTTTTCAGATGTTCTTTCAAAACAGAAATGACAGAGTCTTTGCACAACAGTCTCAGGCTCTCAAAAGTTTTAAATCATCAGCTCTTATGCCGGCTAATTATGATGATTCTGACATTTTAAGTTTCCTTTCTAATCCAGGTTAGATTTCTCATAGATCTCTACTCGGTCGGACCTCAGATTACCTGTCTGAACTCATTTCTCTCGACTTTCTGCTCCTCGCACACACGTCAGGACTGGAGGTGAGGGAGATTTCCAGGTAGTGGCCTCAAAACTCTGGACTACTCGGCCCACATCTCTGAAGACTCTTTGGGTGCTTGATCGGACAGGTTTTTGGTCAGTGTCCCCCCTCTTTGAGTAAACCATATGTGATAGTCTCTTATATCAGAGTACCATTTCTGAAATCTTGAACACTGTGGCACTTTTCCTGCTCTTATTTTAATTTGACTACACCTTATTTCCTGTAATATATATTTTCCTTAATGTAAAGACTGGGAAAAAAAATTTTACCTCTTACTTTAACTGATTTGTTAGGCTAATATTCTGTTATTTATCATGCTGTTGGTGTCTTTTAACCTACATTTACACTTTCAATAGTCTGTTTTTTGGCTTGTGAAGCACTTTGGTTCCACTGAGGTCATCTTTAAATAAGAATAAGAAGAACTTTATTAATCCCCGAAGGGAAATTCAATTGTCTGCTGTCTTACATAATATGTCTCCGAGAGTTATCTACTATACACACAAGAATTATAAAGTACAAATGATCTTCTGACTCTTTCTGTCCTGCAGTGAAGAGAGAGGAGCCGTATAAATGTTATATAAATAAATTTATATACTGTATAAATAAATGTTGACTTTGACTTGATAAAGTGTAATTTATTTTTTAACTTGCACTGTAAATTTTTCTGTTATCACCTTTTAAAAGTGTTGGAAAAAGTTTTCTTGGTTAGTTTCTTTTTATAATTCTCTCTCATGTTTGTACTTTTAAAAACCTGAACATGTTTTAAAAGTTAAATCTAAACAGTTTTTGACGCCTCCTCTCATGAATCCCCTTTCAAATGCCATCATTATGCCTTGTATGGTTGCTCTCATTACACTGACTATAAAGGCTATCACTCTCATATCCAGTCGTTCATATATTTCAGCCACAGTCTTACCTGTCATTGGCATTAAACTCTAAAAGTCTCTTTTTCCGTCTCCCAGAGCTTTGCCAGCTTCTCTCTCTGAGCGTCCTGACACAGACACAAACAATTAAAAGCTGTTAAGCGACCTTGTTTGGCAGCAGCAGAGCAGCGGACAGCAGTTCTCCTGGCAGACTGAGGGCAGAGTGATCCTTCTCGACAGCGTTCGTCATCCCGGCCGGGCCCCTGAGAACTTCTGAATGAGTAAAATGATTTGATTATGTTGAGGCTAATGACGAGGGGCATACTTAAATCCATCTCCACCGTTTTCTTTGCTTCTGCCCCTGATTCAGCGCGCTGTCAGCAGGTTTTTTTTTTTTTTTGCTGCAGTCCTTCAGCTCAATGCCTCGTCAGATAAACACTGAGAGAGAGAGAAGAAGAAGAGAGGTATAAAAAGAGAGAGAAAAATTAACACAGTTTGGAAGCAGGTCCTGAAGAGGCCCAGAAAACTGATTCATCGCTCATGAAACACTTTTAAGACACCAACCACATTTGATCCTGCTGCACTTTCAGTGAAGTTAAAGTGGCTCAAATGCCACAAAGAAAAGTTGAAAAGATGCATGACTCAAAAACAGACAAATAACAAAATTAGCTGCAGTCAGAGCAGACGTCTGTTCATGGTTAAATATAGACGCCCATATTCAGTCAGTCCTGCAATAAACATAAAATCTGTGTCTCATACTCAAACATATTTCAGACACTCAGTTTATTTTGTGAGAAGCTGAAAAATTTGATCAACAGTGTTTTGGCAAAAAGCATCAATCCAAAAGAATCGACACCTTTTTGTTTCCAGAGTCAAACTGCTCCTCATGAATTTGTTGTTATTTCCAACATAATTGTGGCGACCCACTCAGTATTTTTATTAGTTTTGAAGATGTTTAACTCAAACTTCTACCTTTGCATCATCCGGCACAGAAGTGTTAAAATCTATATGACTTTAAAAGCAGAAAAAATAACACTTTGGACCAAAAAAAACACATACGATTGTTAGATTAACTGTGCTTTTTTAACTGGTCAAATTTAACACATTAAACACATCATATTGATGCTGTAGTTCCAGGATAAGTTTCCCTCAAAGTGTCTCTAATTTGACCAGTTTACTCATGGGAAGCGGAGAGAGAAGTTAGCAGCCACTTACTTAGAGTCTTCAACATTACCCTTTGTGTTCCTATTTGTGTGTTTTCACTCATGTTTCTTCAGTGTTTCCTGTTTTATTTCACAATCATAGAGCCCTGAGATTATAAGGGGTAACTTGCAGGATGGCGTTAACAGAAAGAGAGCTACACGTCTGCAGTGGAACGGCACATTGCTGAACACAAGTGAAGTCTTAATACAGAAACCGTTTTAACTATTTTCCTACAAACTGATGTGACTTATATTCTGGATATTAAGGTAGTTAATGGCCTAGTTTTTTTAGAGGTGGTATTAATGATATTGTAAAAATCATTTACAGTTAAAAGAAACAAATTATTATTTTTTGCTTATGGAACAATTCACAAAAAAATCTGAAAAGCAGGTCCTCGTTTGTCCTCTGGGGGCACTGAAGTCAACACAAAGACACATGTTTTAAAGCATCAACTTTAAAGATAGAGGCGGTGAAACACCCAGAAATTCAGGATTTGGCCTTTAACCAAATCAAACCATCAAAGCAATAAACCAAAGACACAGTCTGTAAACACGATACATAACTTTAAAAAACAACTTTCTTTTTGCATATTTCTTGTCCAATGCCACAGGGCTTCCTGGATTGTCTACCTTGAACAATGAACCAACAAGAAACAGGGGAAGACAGGGACTATATACACACTGGGAAATGAGCAACAGGTGAGGCAGACGAGACACAGGTGAAACTCGTACAGTGATTAACGGAGGAGGGAAAACTAGGGAAATAAAACAAGACTAGAAACACAAGGAATCAACGAAATAAAACAGGAAACACTGAAAACTGATCTAAAGAATAAAACACAGAGAACAGGAGGGAAACAGGGTCAAACACAAACTGAAAACCTCAGGGGAACACGAACATGGGGAACAGAAAAACTAGGAAAAACAAACAAAAAACAAAACCAGTGAAAAACAGAATCAACAGAACATATGACTCTGCACTGAGACAAAAACATGCAGCTGTTAACATAACAATGTCACTCTGAGTCTCTGCTGCTGCAGGAGTCAATACAGGCCATATGGAGACATCGTTCTGTTTTTAATTGACAGAGCTTAAATTTGAGGCCAAAACAAAACAATCAGCAGCATGCCGAGCTGGTCGAACCCAGCTCTTTAACTGACGTAACAAAGCCCGGTGACTGACAGACAGCGACCTCTCCTTCCTGTCCGTCAACACAACAAAGACCTCCGCCGTCCATTTACAGACAGCTGCTGCTCTGCCCTCCAACCCTCAGAAACCAAACGAATTACTGTAAAGAAAGAGGAAATCACGTTAGGGACGAGCAATCACTGCCCGTTGTTCTAATATTAGCGGTGTCATTGTTGAGGTGAAGCCCTAACCCTGCTGGGAGCTCTGTGATTGGCTGTAACACGCCAGCAGTTGTGTCACTCTGATTGAATTTAATACTCAAGACAATGTTAAGAATAATTTGTGTTTCATTTTGTTGTTGTTGTTGTTGTTGTGTGTCTGTTCTTCCAAAGGCATTAAGTCCAATCAGAGGACGTCAGATGTCCTGTTCCTCTCTCATCGTCTGCTGTGTGTAACAGATCTGCACATAACAGTCAGTCAGTCAGTTAGGAAAAAAAAAATGTCTTCCTAAGATTTAGTGTAAGCTTACAAAGCAGACTCATGGTGTTCAAAATGTTGGCATCAACTCATAAATATTTCCAAAATAAGATTTAAGAGTTATATCATTGTTGGCCTTATCACTAAAGAACACATCTTGATTTTTAACCAATGCAAGAACAAACAAAAATTTTTCAACAACAAAACAAAATTTTCTGCCTTCTTGATAACACCCCTGTAAAAAAAATGTAAACAAAGTGCCCTCTTGATAACCCACCAGTAAATCAAATGTAAATGAAGTGTCTTTTAGATAACCCCTAGCAAATAAAATGTAAACAAAGTGCCCTCTTGATAACCCACCTGTTAATAAATGGTAAACAAAGTGCCTTTTTGAGAACCCACCTGTGAATAAAATGTTAAATGTTATTGTTGTGGCTCAGCATCATTTATATGGCCATTCTAGTGGACACTTCTTGTGCAAAAGTAATCCTCTGATATTAAATTATTTATGCACAAAAGAATTAAAAGACAAAAACTTGTCTTCCTTAGATTTGGTGTAATCTTAAAAAACAGACTCATGGTCTTCAAAATGATGGCATCAACTCACAAATGTTGCCTGAATAAGGTTTAAGAGTTATGTCATTGTCGGTCTTATCAGTAAAAAAACAAACCTCGATTTTTCAGTAATGCAGGAACAACCAAAATTTGGATTTTCAACAACAAAACGAACATTTTTGGAAAAAAATAAGGATAATTTGGATAAAATAAGCACTGTATTTTATGTCTTTTAAGTTCTCCTTGTTTGCAAATCATCTTTTATTTGACCATCTGCTGGATATGACATATCATTTCAGCACTAGTCTGAATGCTCTCCATGTTCTTCTTCATGCTGAAAGAAGAGAAACCGCAGGTCTGTGCATGAAAAAAGGTTCTATATTGAGTACAAAAAAGGAATCTGTCAGTCCTCAAAAACCTGAATCAATCAACCCTTCTGCATGTGCCTGCTAATGTGAGCGTGCGCACGTAAACGTCGTCTGTGTAAGAGCGTGTTCGTCCTTACGTTCAACCAGTTCGTCTCTCTGTGTTATCGTCACTTCTTCGCCGGCTGCCGCAGGTCACCCCGGTGAAAAGACAAAGAGAAAGCGCGCAGAGCGAGATTGAAAATGAAAAAGAGGAAGGAGGGAAAAAAAGAAACATTTCACCGCTTTCAGAGAGACTCCATCGGGTTGAAGAGCTCCTGCACCCCCACTATAATCACATTACCCAAGAAAACTTTTACTTATGGCTAATGGAATTCGCTTAAAATTGAACCGCTGTGGGGAAAGTAGATTTGCATTGATCCAGATATGTATAGAGCCAAAGTCAGTCTATCTATTCTGTGAGGGAATTAAAGGCCGCTAAGCCTATAGAGCCAGACTGTATAATCCTATGTTAGAAGATCAATACTGGCTGGAACCCACGTGAGCTGTCTTCATTGTGTGTGTTGTTCCCGAGCTCACCCTTACTTTGTATACACTGTGTGTTTTTAATCTGCAGAGGTCTGTATATTTTACCTGTAAATCCGTCAGTTTGTGGGATCTGCTCGTCTCTAAGTCATAAAAGACCGGCTCTTTTTGGATCAGTTTACGGGGTGTGGTGGAGGTTTTTGCAGTCAAACTGTTAACACCGTACAAATAAGCACGGCTGCCCGGCGTTTATTTAGTCTGACACCCGTAGTCTGCGTGCCCGCTGACAGTTTTCACCCCCAAGAGGAGCAGCGGGAGCAGACGGAGCTGGCAGCCAAAATGTAGAGGGCGAGGCTCGGGGTTCAAAGCTAATAAACTGACTGGATATAAAAAACATGATTACACAGACCGCCCTCTGAACATTTCAAAGAAATAAAAGAAACTGACCTGATGTCCAAGGGGCGTCCGTGTCTGAACTGCTGCTGCATCGTTGTAGATAAAATGTAAACAAAGTGCATTTTTGTCGACCCCCCTGTTAATAAAATGTAAACAAAGTGCCCTCTTAATAACCCCCTTGTAGATCAAATGTAAACAAAGTGCCTTTATGAAGACCCACTGTAGATAAAATGTAAACAAAGTACCCTCTCGATAACCTCCAGGAAATACAATGTTAACAAAGTTCCTTTTTGATATCCCCCCTGGAAATGTAATGTAAACAAAGTGCCCTCTTGATAACCCTTCTGTAAATAAAATGTAAACAAAGTGCCTTTTTGATAACCCCTGGTAAATAGAATGTAAACAAAGTGCCCACTTGATAACCCCCAGCAAAGAAATGTAAACAAAGTGCCTTTTTGAAAACCCCCTGTAAATAAAATGTAAACAAAGTGCCCTCTTGATAACCCCCAGGAAATACAGTGGAAACAAAGTGCCTTTTTGATATCCCCCCTAGAAATGTAATGTAAACAAAGTGCCCTTCTAATTCAAATTGTGTAATGACGTCTTGACTTTGTTGCGCTGTTTTTGCACCTTTTACATCTCAGCATGATTCCCGGAAAGTGTTTTGCTTTTGCATGTGCTTTACATGGATTCAGAGAGTGAGATTAGCTAAGTGGTCAAGCCTAATCAAATCACAAGGTTTTAACTGGGCGACATTGATTAGCTCCGAAGTATAATTCGTGCTGGCAGTCCATCAATCTCATCCATATTCACTCCCTTCTTCAAACATCTCGCCGCTCCCTCCCTGCAAACCCCGAGAATGTGCTAAATGACCTCACACACTCACAGCGTCGCCACGCACACACCCGATAGTGACCTCATTGATGAGCCGACTCCTGCCAATGCTGAAACACACACTCACACACACACACACACACACACTCATCAGTCAGGAGGTCACTGCGAACCCATCATCATCACACCGACTGGAATGGACCGAGGCAGCAGCGCAGCAAGGACACAAGCGAATCTGATGACTAAGAAAATCCAAATATGAGATTAGTCCCTCTGACTATCCGGCTCCTAAGTGCCACTCCACAGAAATGGGGCCCTAAGAAGATAATAACCGTACAATTGCTTTTATAGGGATGGAGTTATTCAATTACAAGCCCCCAGAGTGAAATGTTGCTATAACTGTGCTGCCGAACACGGCTGCTGGGAGAGCGGCCATTTTTGCAACCTTTCGGAAGAGGATACTGTGAGGATGAAAAGTAACATGTTTAAAAGAAAATCCTGCAGGAGAGATGATAAGAAAGTGATGATGTGCTTCAAAACTTAGAGATCACTCATACCAGGATGAATTTGCAAAGTAGGCATGCACTCTTGATTAAAAAGTTTTGTTAAACTTCCCATCAGAATAAATCTTAAACTTCTGGAGAAGCAGACAGGACCTGTTCACTCTGCGTTATACTTTACATGTTTTATCCCAAAGACTCATCCTAAGTCTCACCTTGCACGAATAATAACTGACAAAACTACCTGTTCATCATACATTATCAAAATCACACTCAAATTGACACTAAATGTTGATTTGGAGTCAATTTTAGTAATTAAATAATGATATAAGTAAAGATTTACTGTCTTATCATGAGGTAGCTGATGGATGTCTTAACTATGACTTGATTGTTATGGGTAAAAAATATGAAGTCATGTGACACAGTGGAAAGTTCCCATAAGTTTTGGCTGACAGTTGGGTCTGAGAAACGCATAATTCGGCCCAGAAGACCAAAGTTTGACTTCCATAAATAACTAGTGTGACCATATGTCCTCTTTTACTCGGACATGTTCTCTTTTTGGGGGGCTGTCGGGGCTTGTCCGGCTTTGTCCTGGGAAGTTTATAAAAGCCCTCAAATGTTCGTTGTTTTGTACGTGAGTTTCGAGTTTGTGTCACGTGATCTTACTGAGTTAGAGGCATGTAAAAGACACTCGACCCGACCTGAAAAACTCTCAAAGTTAACTTCGTGTGACTCCGGAACTCCACCCCCGTGTAGACATGTCCACTTTTTGAGAAGTCCAACCAAATGTAAAATGGCGCACAGACTATGAGATAATGAAGCAGATTTTGGGCCCTCTTGGTTTTGTAAGGTTTTACTATTAGCATGATTGTGCACACATGGCTTTAAAAAATGGGATGTCGCTCTATATTTGAACTCACCATCTTGCATTCAAAGAGCCGTCTGAATTTGCATTTACGAGTAATGGGAATAAATTATTGAACAACAAAACAAACGTTTCCAAACCCTTGGGCTGTACTCTGGACAGCAACATCTTCTCACCTAGATTTATCTTCCCACCAATGAGAATTAACCGCTGACCGGGTCGGCTGAAAGAATGAGCGTGTTTGACCATCCTTCCTTGGCTCTTTGGCAGCATCCACTCAGAGCTGTTGAAAGTCCCGAGGTTAAGCTTGCCCTCTCCCCAGTCCGCTACCTCCAACTTAATCCTGTTTGTCCCCGTTTACCAGGATTGAAGTGGAGCGGCCTCTCTGGATTTTCCCCTGCTGCCTCCCATGTTTAAAAACATTTCCTGGACCATATCTATGTGCCCTCACCCAGGACAACTTCTATTACTTACAAATTACAGGCTTGGTAACCTAGTTATTTACCGGGGCTTCAATTTTTCCAGAAATCAGCAGGGTTTGCAGCAGAGACCAGCTCGATCAAGGGCAAACCAAAGCTGAACATGTAGTCTGAATACAAGGTTTATTCTAAGATGAGAAGGTTTTAAAAAGTCTGAGATGTTGATCCAAAACTTTCTTGGCTGAAGGGGATTTAAAACTTTAACAAAACTGATATACTTTTTGGCATAAATAAGGGTTAAAAAGTAAATCCAATCCAACTATTCCACAAGCTTGTTGCCACATCAGCGTCACATCATAATCGATTGTCGCATGCCTCCATCATCCCCAGAGAGGTCCTCCATGAAGACGAACAACAGCCATTAAAATTATTGATTAATCATCCTACAACACACCCTGACTTGCTGATAAGAGAAGGCAGAGATGTGGCGGTGGATAATCACCCATGAGCCTCTGGGGCAGCTGGGATTAAGTAGTGTGCAAGCAGCAACCTCATGTGTTGAAGAATGAAGCGAATGCAGATGTGCAAAAAAAACAGCAGTTCCTCCAGAGTCCAAAAACCAGAGTCCAGAGCATTTCCAGTACAAATAATTTAATGACTCTTCCTAAACCAGTGAAAGGAAAGTGCGTTAAACTGATGGAAATTAACCTCAAATATGTTTCGGGCCTTAATACTCCAACTTTGAACACTCCATCTATCCTCAATTATTTTGACTTTTATATGTTTACCATTTTCTTTACTTGGTGATAGAGTAATTGAAGTGTAGCTGAAATGAAGCCAATATGGAAGTACAAAGAAACACTTGTAGTTCTTTGAGTGTCCACTAGAGGCTGTCTGCAGAAACACCAGAAACCACATACACACTAAGCAAGAAAATGGGCCATTTTTAGAACAAAATAAACATGTTTACAGTCTGGTTTCTGAAACAGTTTTGGCCTGAATAGCTCGGGGCTCCCACAGCACCCACAGTACGGTGAGTTAAACTTTTTTGTAGTTGTCAAGGAGACAAGATTAGCAAATCAGAGACACAACTGACTTGACTGACACGCAAACTGTGGCCATTTATGAAGAGGCTAAAGGCCCGCCTCTGGTAGGTTGACAAAAGTTAGGTTGAGCTAGCATTGCCAATCTGGAGACTGCCACTGACAGGCTCCACAAAGTCAAAACTACGTTTAGATTTTTTTAGACCTCAGCAGCAGACCTGGTAAAAAGGGGGTATGATATTCAAAAGTATGTTTACACTACTTTTATAATCGTCTGAATATTAATGAATATATAAATCACTATATTAACTGAAAATGAGCCTTTCATAGATACATATCTTCCTCCAACCTCTTTTGGGGGACTTTAAGTTTGTGTTGATTTTGGCGCCCCCTGTGGTCAAAATATAAATCTCATTGTCAAGCTGCTCTCATCTTTGAAACGTCGTTCTGCTGTTTCAAACTATCTAATATTTCCATCATCAAGAATCTTCACTGTGGAAAATCAAAGCAAAGGCCAAGGTTAGCCATGACTCCATCTGATGCAGTTACAGACAAAAAAAACTACAATAAAAACAATCATGTCACTGATCGCCTTGTTTGTTTTTGTAGTTCATGAACTAAAGAGACATCAGCCTGGTTTAAAAACTCCTCACTGCAGCTTTAACTAAATACTGACATCATTTCATAAACATGACACGCTGAAATGTAGATTAAGACGTTTCAAAGTTTGCAAAAATGAGACCACACACTCTGGTTGTTCGTCTCTCCTTCGGTGTGCCTGCCAGCAGAAAAAAATGTCAAACCACCATCAATTCTTCTCTTCAGCTGCTGAGCCGCTCCTGCAGCACAATACCTGGATGCTGCTCTGTTTTCAAAGAAAACAAAGATTTAATGTGTGAAGAGAGACGCGTCAGCTCCTGAGGACACGCCGTCTTTCTTCATTGAGCAGTATTTTGACTCGTGTGTGATCTGGGAGTGAAAGAAGGGTCACGATGAAAACAAAAAAAAGAGCATTTAATATTTTTTCTTCCCTGCACAAAACTCCACGGCGCAGTTTAACAGGCCAGTGAGAAGTGCAGAGGTTGGAAGATTTCAGGATGACCTGCAGACCTCAGAGGATTAGCTCAAACTTTTACTCATTTACAGTTTATCATATTGCGGCTGTTTCTGCCAGCTACTTTAGAGTTATTTGTGTCACGCTGGGCAGGGTTAAACAAAGAAAAAGACCGAAATGCAGAAATAAGGATTTAATAAAGAATAGATAAATAAATGAAAAAAGCAACAAAAAGAGAAAAATCCACATCTATAATGTGTACATTATAGATTTAGAGACAACTGATCCGCTCAGCTGACTGGAAAGCTGCTTCTAGTAGCCATATGAGACACATGAAGCTAATCAAACTGATTCAAACCTTTCTGATACTTACAACCTTTCTAATATTTTAGGATTTGTAATTATTAAAATCTTCCCTGTTTTAAATTAGTTTTAATATTCATGCATTATTCAATCCTACAAACAAAATCCCACTTCTACTACAACTACTGCTAATATTAATTAAACTTCTACTTCAACTACTATTTCTACTACTTCTACTTTCTCTACTGCTTCAACTACTTCTACCACTAGTCCTACCACTTTGACTTCTACTTCTTCTATTCTCAACCTACTTCTACTGCTTACATGACTACTAATATCACTACTATGACTAGTCATCATACTACTTCTAGTACTACAACTTAAACTTACGCCACTTCTCACCTTCCTGCCTTTTAAGGTAATTTCCTTCTTCATTCAAACTTTGTGCAATTTCAGACATTTTTTTTCTAACCTCTTTCAGCATGAATAAATGTTCAATTTATGGAGCATATTCATACTATTTGTCCTTGAACCATTTTCACAATTATCCAACTTCCATTTCTTTTTCACCCTCTAACAGCTTTTACATTTATACCTTTCTCCATGTTTTATTAGCAGTTTTGCATTCCTTTTTCAGCTTTCGGCACTCAGCATTTCCACTAGTTTATCATTATGATGTGTGCTGGCGACCTCTTGGCCTGGTCACTCTTGTGAATGAGATCTCGATCTCAACGGGTTGTTACCTGGTTAAATAAAGGTTATATAAAAAATATCATGACAACTTGGTTTGAATATGTTAGGATGTGGTCCAGTTTTCTCCTCTTTGGTCTGAGAATGTGAAGGTAAGTGCCTCTCTCTCTCCACACTCACTCACTCACACAATGAATGAACACTCCTGCCTCGTGTCTCTTCCAGTTTCCCTCCCCACCACCAGGCCTTGAGGGCAACAAGCACACTAAGTAGCTAGCTAATTAGCTAATAACCTGCTAATCAAATTGCCAGCCGCCTGCCCTTTAAGGCCTTCAGGATGGTCCATTAGCATCAGCTGCTGTCGTCAGAGCTCGGATATGTCCGGCGTTTCAGCCAAAGAGCCCAACATTTCTCATCCAAAGTTGCACCTTTACCCATTCACAGGCCCTGCTGATAACAGCCCTCCTGTCTGAAATCAAATGTCCTTTCAGACGTCTTCTTTTACAGTAAATGACCCAGCACACACACACACACAAACACACACCAACACACACACACGCTGCTTTTGAGAGAGCTCTCCTCGCCTCCCCAATTAGGCCTCTAATTTGGCTAATGGAGCATTAATGGAGAAAGAGGCTGCCGAAGACCCGAGCTCAGCACAATGTCCTCCAAAACAACATCACACACACACACACACACACACACACACACACACACACACACACACACACACACACACACACACACACACACACACACACACACACACACACACACACTTTCCCCTGGTACCCAGACCCCTCCAGCCCCCAACCCAATACGACACACACAGATTAGATTTCACTAACAATAGTATCAGAATGCTTCTCTCTGGAGACGACACACACACATGAAAACACACACAAACACACACACACATTTACAGATAGGCTTGGCATCTTCATACACACAGGGTCTTACATGCGCACACAGACTTCAATAATACTCTTATAAAACTGCTCTTACCACAGACAAGTTAAGTGATTTCTAGGACTGAATCTGAATCGATAAAGACGTCAAGGAGAGAGTGGATATTTGCTGTTAAAGTACCCCAAGTACGCAACCGGACTCTAACCAACAGTTTAATTTTGAACAGATTATCCAAATCTGACAATGTTCAAGAAAAACTGAATTTGACAAGGTTTCGGTTTTAAAGGGGAGGGGACATCAGTGAGAGTCCTGAAACTTAAATTGTACACATGAGCTAAAAGATTCTCATAACTTTGTTCCTGAGATAGTGACTTTTCTACAACTTTATTTTTATACAAAAATGACTTTAAACTCACAACATCATGACTTGTTTTCTTTATGACTTAATTGCAACTGTTTTCTCACAACATAATGATTAAACTCATTTAATATTGATTTTATTCAATATAAAATGATACAATATAATACACAAAATTATGACTGTAATCTCTTTTTATCACAACTTTTTCTGGCGATATTATAATTTAACCACAACTTTTTTTCTGGCTGTAATACTTTAACTTATTCTTGCAATATTAAGACTTTTTATTCTGCAGTATTATGATTTTTTTACTACTTTCTTCTGGCAAAATTATAAAATAAATCTCATTTTATTACTACTTTTCCCCCCAAACTATTACTACAACTTGTTCTTGCAATATTAAGACTTTTTTCCTCTAACATTATGACTTTTTGCATCTTTCTTCATGCAAAATTATGGCATAAAAATAATTTTATTCTTACCTTTTCCCCCCACACTATTACTACAACCTATTGTTGCAATATTAACATAATTAAAAAAGAAAAACATCTGGAAATAATACGACTTTTCAACAACTCTGTTCTCACATTATGATGACTTTAATACCAAATTGTTTTAATTTGATCACTTTATTCGCCTGACTTAAATCTATGACTTGATATTTTTGGATCTTTGCTCCTGTAACATGGACTAATTTTCTCAAAATCTTCTTGAAAAGTTCTTTAATGTGAACCTGACACTTTCCTAAATCCTGCTGTTACACTACATATTACAAATAAAGATAAAAAATAACACATCGGGAGAAAAAAAAAAACAGGTTAAATAATTGAATTTATTGCACAATAACGTCAGTATAAGTAAAACCTGGAAGCTTCAGTCCAGTAAGTAAGAAGTAACATGGTTGTCTACAAATCGTCTGCACAACACGTTGACAGAGAACACACACACGCTCTCATTAACGGATGTGGACAGCATGGGAACCTCTGCAACGCTGATGAGAGGAGGATCAACATGGCGCCATCATCCTGCTCCTTATCAAACACACACACACGCACACACTCATGCACACAAACTGGTCATGTACTGTATATGTACATAACCCTCTGTGATACCCCAAACATGTATGACCTATGTGACAGGGCTCTGTTTGGGCCTTCATATCTCTGCTGCCATGTGACGTTTCATCTCCTCATGTTTGGATCATTTATCAGATGAAATTACTTTAACATTTCAGTCTGTAAAATAAAACCAGAGCTGTTTTTGTGTTGCTGAAAAGTGAAAACATTCAGCCAGTATGAGGTCATCACCCTGTATGAACATGTTTCAGCAGCATTAGTGAATATTCGCCCTGTGCTGCGATAAGGCCGCAGTCATCTCCTCCCACGTTGCCTTGTTGGGTTGCGTTGGAGTTTCCAAGGCATGACGGCGCTGGCGACAGCCATATCTGACGCTCTGACCCTTTTCAAGTTAGCCGCTAGCACTTCAGTCTCTCTCCCTCTGTTGCAAACACACACACACACACACACACACACACACACACACACACACACACACACACACACACACACACACACACACACACACACACACACACATCCTCCCCACATGTGCAGATAGTGCCACTGCTCCAGTCTCCAGCCCTACGATAAGGGGACCCCCTGAAAGACGAAGAGGAGGGGTGCAGAGCAGCAGCAGCAGCAGCAGTGAGTGTTAATGCTGAGAGTGGAGAGTGTGTCTGCAGTCATGCTAATCTCCAGCCCGGCTCCATAAACACTGCTGTGGCCTGCAGAGCCAGATCTCCAAACCAGCCAACGAGCTCCACGGCTCCAAGTCTGACGCAACGTGTCACACTGCGAGACCAGATTAGCTCAGTCCCCCTATCTGATGATGTCACCAGTTACCATTTCTGGTGATTTCAGGGAAGAAAAAAAAGGGGGGTAATATTAACAATAACCATAATCTATAAATGGTAAATAGATAGTTTATAAATGTTTAATCATCATTTAAAAACAGCATATAGACCAATTATAAATGGTAAACAGATCGTTTATTGATGTATGTTAAAAGTTACTTTACCCTTTACAAGCAATGAAATCATGATTAATAATCTGCTTACCATTTATAAATCATCTATTTACCATATTTAAGTGATGGTTATTGTAAAGTGTAACCAAAAAATGCACAGGTTGGGATTTACTGTGAAACTTTATTCTCATAACTTTATTTCTGTGATATTATAACTTTACTACAATTTTATTTTAATAACAAAATGACTTTAAACTCACAACATTGTGACTTTTTTTTCTTTATGACTTCTGTTCATATCTTTTTCCTGCATTATCATGACTTTTTATGACTTCTGGCAAAATTTTGACATAAATCTCATTTTATTACTATTATTTCCACCACACTATTATTACAACCGATTCTTGCAAAATCATGACTTTAAAATCATTTTATTTAGACTTTTTTCTGGAAATAACAGAAAAATTTATTCTGGAAATATATAAAATCTCATTTTATTACATTTTTTTTAAAATTTCACACTTTATTCTCTTTACTTCAATCCATGATTTGATGTTTTTAAAACTTTGCTCCTTTAAGATTGATTAATTTAGAAAAAAAATCTTTAAAAAAAGTTCTTTAATGTGTTTCTTGTATTTGAGGAACATTAAAAACCATCATACTGCCAAATAGCGATGAAGTTAAATAATGGCGTGCTGCAAGAGTCGCCCTTATCGATGTGAAAGGAGAAGTCACAGGCCGAGATTTTGCAAAGACCGAGACATTGAAATTAAATAAATAAGATCTGACGACGGAAACTAACATTTAGAAAAAAAATAACTTTTCACTCGCATCTCATCGCTCAGTTTTAATTTGTTTATATTCAAACTGTTTCATCTTATCAGGAACTACACTGTAAGATTTATCATCCGTCTAGATTTGACTTCCCATTCACAGGAAAAACATCTGACTTTATTTTGCTCCGTCTCTACACCGATTGGCTCCCTGACTGGTAAGCTGGTCAGTTATTGGTCGGTTTCAAAACGTGGTTATGTTGTGTGAGTCAGAGGAAGATAAGAGCCGGAGCCAGACCAAATAAAGAGCTGCATTCCTCCTGATGTTTGTGACTCCTTTACCACACACACAGTCATTACTCTGCTGTCTTAGAAAACCACAAATACACTTTCTATGCTTTTGTTTTACACATAGTTTAGATAATGGCAAATTTAAGTGTCCACTGGACTGAATTTCCCACAATTAAGGTTGTTCATGTCAACTAATTTCATTTTATCATTCCTAAAATTGAGGACTGAGGGGTCATGGAGCTCAGTGCAAAGACATACAACGGTATCACAAATATGCTTACAAAATACCGAAGACTAAACATTAAAAAGATAGTGGACACACGTGAGTCCGGTGAAGTTAAGAACTCAAAGAATGATGGAAATGTTGGAGTATATACAACATCTTTGGAGTTTCAGATACGCTGAAAGATCAGAAGGAATTTAAAGGGAGTGTCTTTTGAGATCTGCTTTATTTGTTTGAACTCTTTTTGCAAGAATGAAAGTTTTGTCTGTGTTTAATTCCTGTCATGTAAAGCATAGCGGCCCGTAAAATAAACTCATGGTAGATCCTGAGCTCGAAATGTGACGTGATGTTGATCCCAAAAGAATATGGACATGTCTAACCCTACTGTCTAGACCCTGGAGTGAGCAGAAGTTTAATTTAAACAGTTTAATGTCACTGAAGGGTTGATTGACTATAAAAGTTGGGCAAAGTTAATCAGAAATATGATTACAAAACATTTAACAAAGACGTTGATGTAATAATAACAGAAAACCTCTTAAGTCTGTTAAAAATTGAACATAAGTTAATCATTAAACCTGTTGAAACTCCATGAGTCTGTCCCCTATACCTGCTTCAGGTCCTGTTTACACGTACACAGTTATTTTTAAAAACAGAGACGTTAACCTTCGTTCGCACCCTTCGCTTAGACGCAAACGGAGAATTCGCCCCTGAAAATGATGCTTTTTAAAAACTACGGCCAGAGTGGACTTAACATCAGTCTGAGTCTAGATATCTTCATTTTTTAATTCCTATCTATATGCCATAATAGTCATGAGTGGAAAAAAAGTGTAAAAGCAGCATAAAAACAAAGCAGTGTTTTACTGCTTCTTTCCTGCTTCTTGGTTCCCTCCAGTCGAAGAATGTGCGCTTTCACTTTTTACTGTGTTTAGTCAGGCCCGTTCCTAACTTTAGCTCAATTAACAGGAATTTAACCATCAATGTTTCCTCTTTCCGCGTACATGAGTTTCAAACTCTCTTAAGTTTTTTGGGTCCAGATGGATGAGAAGCTGTCAAGTTCAGAACAAAAGCTCCTAAGTGGGAACCGCCACTTTCTCTTCCTAAACAAAACAGCAGGCGTAAGAAAACAACAGTTGGATGCCGTAAAAAAGTGTCGAGCATTAACACGTTTGCCCTCTTGCACTTTCGCTCATTCATGCATTAGGAAGTAGGATGCCGTTTGTTACCAGCGGTTGTTTTGCTTGTGTCAGCTTTTACGAGTGGACGAGGAGATGCTGTTTTCCTGTTCCTCGAGGCTCGGACCACCCTGTCTCCGGAGAGAGTATCAACGTTTTTCAGTGTTGGCAGACTTTTGAAAGTCACAGATAACAGTTTGAATTTAAATGACTAATACGCACATTTCAGGATGGAAAAGAGCCTTTGTACAAATTTAAATAAGTTATTATCAGTAAGAAACTTATTATATTACATCCTCACGCCAGTTTGCTTCACTGATAAGTTTTGTATCCTTGAACGTGGCTCCTAATGT